TCATCTCAGCTCACATTTCACGGAGGATGCAGCTCAGAGCCATCCTCAGCCTCCTCTCTCAGACAAAGCTGGAGGATCCCTGCTCCATCTCTGTCTTTATGTCTTAAACAAGCCTTGTCTGCTGTTTGTTGCTCCTCGTCCCCTCCATCAGTCTTGATAAAAGAAAGCACTATCTGAGCAGGATCATCACTAAACAGACCCAAACCCCTGCATGCTGCCAACATATAATCTGGGGTGTACAGGAGGGAGAGCGTTTTCTTGCAGGGGGATGGGGGGGCAGTCATCCAGCTCAGCCCATTTCTCTAATGAGCTGCTGAAGAGGCCGTGTCAGAGACCTGCTGAGGCTAACTACCACCTCAGGTATTCTCCTTTATGGAAGAGGCAGACGTATATTTGATGTTAATAATCCAGCCTGGAGGAGGATGTTATAACCACCAGTTGACAGAGCCAAAGAAGAACATAGAGGGAGAGTGGAGTTGATTGAAGTCCCCCTCCACCTCTGCATACATACAGCATGCCACTATTGTCTCTGTGCTCCCACTCTCTTCATACAGTTAATTTCCCCAGACCCCCATAGCAGCTGCAGCAGGTACACCTCAGAGAGGTGTAACACGGGGCTGCATCTCAATTCTCCCGCACAGCCTCCTTTTCCAACAGTTTCAGCACTCAATCATAGCAGGAAAAACACAGTTGAATCTTCCCTAGCAGGTGAGGAGGAGCAGACCAGGAGGTGTGTTTCTGTTCGAACAGCGGCTGTAACTGTACGACAGTAAACAAACATATTCTGGAGAGCGGCCATTATCTGTCATGGAGCGCTCATACAGGCTTGCCTTGTATTTATTGCCTATTTAATGGACTTGATTGTATTACTGAAGGTAAGAAGGGAAAAAAAATCCATTGCCAGCTAGAAGGTGCTTTCAGCATCCTGCAATTACCTTATGTAAATCCTGGTCTGGAATGTTGATCCACTGCTATTTAAAATGCATTGAATTTCCATGGAAAATGATCCACTCCTGCCGCTTGAAGCTCATTAATAACAACGGCGGGCTGGGCCTGACATTTGGAATACTTACATGCTTACTTAGCATCGCCATGCATGCGAGTAGACTGCATTGGCTGCCATGCGCTGCAGCTATGACAGCACATTTAGAAAAAAGGATGGCTTTGAATTAAAGCGCGCCAGCAAATGAGTTATTTCTGCGACTGGAACCAGCAGTTCCTCTTACACAAGTAGTTGTACTTGTAAGTGCTCATGCAGAAGAGTGCATGAAGCATTTAGGCTCCTCCATGTTTACAAAAATCGCTTCATTACTGAGTTTTACCAGTGCATCAACAGAGCAAGTGCACTGTGGATACTGTTCATTATTTTTCTTTCCCAGTTCTGGCTTTTTGCTCAGGTTTTCAAAGATGTTCACTTGATTTTTTTCTAAGCCAATCCAACAGTTGTAGATTACACCTGTAGCGCTCATATTTTGGTTATCCCAATCAAAACCAGGATACGAGGAGAAATCTAGAACCAATTCAAACGCATTTGAGCCAACGATATCTTTTGAATTGCACACAACAAGCTAACGCACTGCAAGAGAAAATGAGAGACAAATGACAATAAAGTAGGGTGACCGTTTTCTGAATCACCGAAAAGAGGACACGACTACGCAGGGCGGAATGGCATGCAACATTTAAGTGCTTCTAACTCAGTTAGTTCATGGTACACAAACTCAAAACTTCCATACAAAATCCCCAATATTTGAAGGTTTTTATTTACTCCCCCCGGACAGGCCGAAAAGCCCCCCAAAAAAGAGGACATGTCCAGGTAAAAGAGGATGTATGGTCACCATAAATATAGGAAGTAATCATGGCAGATGGAGGACAGCAGCAGTCCAAAGTGTTGTGGTACACAACATCGTGTGGTGTATTGTTTACAAAATCAACACTAGAAATACAACAATATGATAAATGAAGTCATTGTAAAATCCACTTGCTTTGTGAGAGCGGCACCTTTCCAGCAACAAACTGTGAATGTTTCTGCAACATAAAGGGGCTTTTCTAGGAACAGAATATTCTCAGAGACTGTCTGGATTCATTCCCTCAGAGACAAAAGTAATGATGATGATTTATGAGTAATTTTTCATGAACTGTGCCAAAAAGAGTCAGTAGCAGAGAGATGACATCAAAGTTTTTCACTGTACCTTTAAGAACTCAACACTTTACTCTCTTTACACTCTAATCAATGACAGTTGCAGCTACTGCAAACATCTATTTTCCACAAAAAAAACTCAAACACATCTTTAACCACTCTGCATCAAACAGTAGACCATACGTAAGACTAATTTTTTCTTCATGAATTTGTAGTCTATATTCTGATATTTATGACATTTCCAGTAATTTTCTGCACTGTTTCATAATAACAAACTGACTGCAACACCCCCCCTATAAGCAGATATTTGCTCAGTGAGTTGGGAGTAAAAAGCAGCAGCTAAAGTACAAGAGCCTTCACCACACAGTGGCTAACCCTCCCCACCATTTTGTTCCTCATCCAGCCACTTTGCTGACAGCCCACCTGCAAATGAAGCAGAGGGAAGCACTGAAGCCCCATAAATCTTTTATGCTCCATAATGGCTTGTTCACATTACCTGCCCACACCTCAGCCTCTAGTGAGCAGGCCAGGCCAGCTCTGAGCAGTCCTGAAAAAACCCACCAGCATATGGAGCACTTCAAACACTCAGAGCCTCCCTGAGCCCGAGCTGTGGTCGCACCCATGAATTATAGAAATGATCTAATTGTTTTCTCATTTGGAAATAGAGGGGGCCCTCCTCTCTGCGTCTCAGATTTAACGGCCTGTGGTTTCCAACGGGGCACATGATTCAGTGCTGCCTACCTCTGACACGTTTGTTGAATCCGAGGTGGTCCGACCTGTCAAAACAGAGCCAGAGCTGAGGTATAAGTCAAACCTGTGGCTGTAAATTCACAGGTAGAGAAAGGAGGGGCTTTGATTTGTCTTCAAAGAGAAACGGTTGTGATCAGAGAAGGGAGGAGGGCCCATTTAGTGGTAAATACATAAAACAAACCTGGGGACTGGATGAAAACCTCCATTTTTGGTTCCCCAGAGGATTTATGAAAGTATATTAATGCCAGGAGAGGGAAAACAGTAGAAAAGTAAGAGAAACACTCATGGGAAGTGAATATCATAAGACACCCAGATGGCTCCCAAACACTATGACTCAGTGAGTCAAATTCAAAAATAATGTCATAAACGTAACTTTATATTTCCATTTACTTTAATAAGACCTTATTAAACAAACCAAAGCAACTCAGTGCACAGTTTATGCCTCAAACATATGACAAGATGTAAAAACAAACGGTAACTTTGTAAGAGAAAAATAGAAAATAACTTAACATTCGTGAACTGAAAGCTCTCTATGACATCTAAGAAGCAGACTGAAATTCATATTGATGCCTTTTTTTGTGATATGCAAAAAAAAACAAATCATAATTTGTAATACCTGAAATAGGTGTGAGGGGATCTGTCATAATCACCTGAGAGGTCAGTTAAGATCTTTGAAAAAAGAAAAGAAAGCTATGATTGTTATGACCCATCTAGCTGTGGCTAGGGACACAACATGAAAGTGGACCCATTTCACCCACCTCTCAAACAGCCACATGAACAAGGGTTCAGGGTTTTAACAAAGGAGTAATTTATTTAGGCTACAAAAATAAAGGGATGAGTACAGAAAAAAAAAAGATCACCTCCTCAGGGTGCAACAATGGTAAATAATAACTGAGGACAACTATTAACTAACTGCTCTGCAGCAGCCTACCGCCTGTTGCAGGGAGCTGGAACAGCCAATCGGGAACATGAAAGGGCACACCTAATTTACATAAAAGATAGGCGACAAACTCACGATGCACACACCACACATATGCCAGAGAAAACAGCCAGGCCAGAGAAAACATGCAAAACAGTTTACATTACTGGAATATTACGATCGTGGTTGTTATGATTGTAATCAAATTTTTGCTAATATTTTGTTTATATTCGATCACTTACGAAATAATTCAAAATATCTGAAATACTTGTTTATTAGTTTGAGAGACATCTCAGCAGGTCCCAACCTCCAGCTTAAGAAACCACAGGTTTAGCATACATGCTGGGGTAAAAACTCTTTCTATTGACATGTAGCTCATAAAACCTCGCTCATAAATCCCTTTAAATATTTCAGCCCTTGGACCTTTAAGTTTAGACTACGACCATTTTAATCAGAATAATGGAAAAACTAAATTATAGTTGCTGCAATCGTGAGATGAAAATTTAGACAAAATTATATACCCATAAATCAGAACTAGCAATAATTCTAAGTTGGCTGTAAACTTAACTGTTTGGCTTCATCAGGTCAAACTTCTGACTTATAACTACTTTGGCTTGAAGTCAAATGTTGACTATTTTCACTTAAAGCGCACTCATCTCATGATCAAGAACTCCTCTTTTATAGTTTGATAATAAAGACCTCACAGCTCTAAATTCAGAAGTTCAGATGAGTATTTGGAGAAACTGCGTTCCTGCAGATGTCAGGACATGCTGCAGCAGAGGGAGCTCTGTATAAACAAAGTGAAGCTGAATGGAGGTTTTTCACTCACTCAAAGCTGCCTGCAGGAAGCAGCTTTGCTCAGCACTCGCTCAGGCTTGTGCTTCTTAATCAAAACTGGCACCGCGGCAATTACCTAATTAGACATCAATTAATCCACACCCTGCAGGTCCACAGCCAAGTTTGACCTAAAGGAGTAATGACAAAAACGCCTTCGAAGAACAGAGAATCAGATTAATGGAGGCCGTGCAGCAGAGGTTGTGCTGCATTTGAGAAATCTCCAGAAATATACTGCAGTTCATTTCATAATTAACAGGTAGGAATATAATTGATTGAGACATGAAAGCTTAATCACTCAATTCAATAAGCGCGATATCAGCTGAGTAGATTAATCCAATTCAGTAATTAAAGGCGAGGGAAGAGGTGAAGCATTAGAGTTGATTGAAGGTTAAACAGCAGACTCACCTTTTGTTCACTGGCGTCTCAGTTTTATTTTACAACCCAAATTCCATCAGAGTTAGGTCACTGGGTATATAAACAGAATTTGATGGTTTGCAGGGCATTTACAGCCTTTAATTAAATGAAAACAGTGCAAAGACAACAAATCAATTGAAAAAAAAACTGGAAAATGTACTTGTCATATTTGAAATATAACTTAAAAATTTGATGTTAACAATACAAATGAATAAAAGTTACAACATGGATGACGAAACACAGAAAAATCTGTGTAATGCTAAAAAAGCAAATCATCGCTAAACTATTTTAGTTAATCTGCAACTTTTTGGGTATAAAACAGAAATCAGAGAGCAATTAAGTCTCTCAGATGGAAAGTTGGGAAGAGCTTGACCACTGGGTGAACAAACAGTCCAAAACTTTCAGAATAACGTTCCTGTGCAGAACATTTTGTGCCACATTCTTGAGACACCCAGGTTGCAGAGCATTAAAATCTCTGTACAAAAGAGACATGGTCAAAAAAAAAGTACTGGATTGTTGTGCTCTTTGGTCCCTTGTGCAGCACTGCATGAAAAACAGACATGACCCTGAAGCTGAAATCACTGCATAGTCTTCAAATCACATCCAAATACCACAATATGATGCTGCATCCCCAAATGCAGGTTAACATATGCTGCCATCCAGACAATGCCTTATGCGGACATTGATAACATTTTGGGAATCAAACAACAAAAATATGACAAAGGAGACCAAAAGTGTTGAGTGGCTTAAATCTTATATTAGACAAGAATGAGACAGTTCACATTCAAAACTCCAGAAACTGACCTCCTCAGTTCCAAAATACTTAGAAAATGGTGATGTGACACAATGGTGAAAAAGCTCCTACCTAACTGTTTTAAAGTCCCACTCTGATCATATTTTTTGCTACTTAAAGTGTTATCAGTGGTCTTTCAATTGAGATTATGAAGTTATTAGCCAAGATCATGTTACCTGAGTCATTTTCAAGTGCTTTTCTTTTGCAGACAGCACTGCTCTGTACACTCCTCTTCTCGTTAGCTTGTAGCCTAACATTGTCAATGTTGTAGAAGTAACAGGTAACATAAGCTATTCAGCTCTTAGACACTAATGTCTTACAGGACATAATGAAAGTTAATATTATAATTAGCTTTCTAACGAGCATTGCAGTCGGCTAACGCACACACTTGTTCTGCAATCGTCCTCTCTATTTTTCCGAGTGTGGCCTGCATAGTGGGGCTCCGGGGGCGGAGTTTGGATTTATGACATAGGAGATCTCACTCTGTCTGAAGCTGTCGTTTGGGTCTGCCAGAGAAACACAGTGGTTTGAATGCAGATATACTCAGAAATGCAATTTTGCACTTATTTTTCTCTGATATGTCCTGTAGCATCAGAAAAATACCATATGAGCATGAAGACAACAAGAAAAACATGATTTTTATCGGCGTGGGTCTTTAAAGCATGTTGCCTGCATCTAATTTAGTATTTTTCATAAACCCATTATCAGCTTAAACATTTATCTTTTCAAACCATTAAATTTAACTTTCTCAACATTTAACACAGCGTCCCGACCCTGACAGCATCGTTACCTCTGATAAAAGACACACATTTCAGAGTCCAAACATTTAGTTTGTTTTTTTTATTAGACGTAGCATTTTCACAAACAGCAGTTAGCCTGAAAATTACATTCAAAATGTGCAGCTGACCATGCGCAAACACTCCAGATACACCTTCAAACAAAAGTAACAGTCGATCATGTGGTTGTTTTTTTCACATCTGTGTATTTTCATCTTTTATTTCAAATTTACAAAATCAAAATCAGCTTTCACTAGTTCACCATCAAAGCATACATACCTCAGTCACTAGAACACATTTTAACAGCTAGTTTTTCTGTACATATGCTCTGAAAGGTTTTTTAAAGGCTCTTCTTTGCATTCTAACACCCAGACGCTCCCAAACATCGACCTTTTGTACCGCTTCCCTTCTCACAATCCTCTTCAATATTAGCTTAGGGGAAAGAAACCGGTCAGTCAATTCATGTAAAAACTGCAGCTCCACAAATCCACTTTGTTGCTTTCCAGTAACACCAGGAAGCCAGTGACATTTCCCACAAACACTGAAGTTCATAAAGAAGCACAGACGATGAACCCTGTTAGCTTAACTGAAACTTTACCAAAAGCACAAAGACGACACGACACACATGTTTGTACAAAGTGGCAAGACGAGGGTGCTTCTGCTCAGGTTTTATTCCATTTAGGTTAATTTATTCATACGCACACACTCTCTGTCACACGCGCGCACGCACACACACACACACACACACACAGACAGACACACACACACACACACACACACAAAGAGGGTTTGTCCTCCATCATTCAAGTCACAGGACGCTCATGTCACAGGGTCAATGCTTAACACTGGTTCAAAGAGGGGAGAGAGGGTAATGGGGAAAGGGAGTGATGAAGATAAGTGGGATTGTGGGAAATTGGGGACATAATCTGTAACTCCAGTTTATCATCATCATCATCAAGTGCCAAGAGACAGTCTGTTAATATAACACTGATTATTTTCTCCACCTGATCCAATACCACACACGGCTTAAACATCACAGACAAAAGCTCCACGACGCAGAGAAACCATCCAGTTCAGATTTAGCTCAAGCCTTCAAGCGAGGTGATGAGGTTGCCGGTTTTGACTTTTAATGCCGCAGAAAAAGTCGAGTCGGCGCCCAGCAGGAGGCGAAAGGGTGCCCCCCCGGCTTTGCTTTAAAGTTTGTATTACTGGCCACAGGGATCCAGTGTATGTGAAAACACCTGAATACTTAAAATCCACCAAATCACACAGACGTCATCACGGCATCACTCTGAAACACTGTCCATGGCCCGGCCCGCCGCTCGCAGCGCAGAAAGAGCGGGAGGAATCTGTACACCGGTTTTTAAACTCATTTGTAAGTGCAACATGTTCAGAATCTGTCCCAAAGTGAATGTGAATGACTTTCTTTTTCTCCTGACTGCTTGGTCCACAGCAATGTTCAGCTCAGTCAAAGAAAAGGGGGAAACAGGAAAAAGAAGCCAGGTGTCCTTTTTCTGAGCGGGTGCCTCTACCTGCCGAAAATGCTCTCATACTCCAGCAGTATGAGCTCCACTATCTGGTTCTGGTAGACCATGTGGACCGCAATGTTGCCCGTCTCAGTCTCAGGCCGGAGCAGCGTCGGTCCAAACACGATGGCCACGCTCTGGGTGGTCATGCGGTTGGCCTCGCCGTGATCAATCACCCTGAGGGGGAAGAGAAAGAGATGTAAAGATGGAGTGTGTCGTAAATGGTTTTAGGAGAGCGGGTTTGTTTGACAATCCTTTGATTCAGAGCTGCTGCGGGCTTTCATCTTGAAAAACAACATTAATGTCTTTACACACATCTTCAGGGACGGAGGTGTAGCCTGGTGACACACACTCTGTAACACCGCTGAACGCTCCGGGCTAGAGCATAATAGCCTTTTTAAATAGAATCTACATCCTTGCATGCAGATGCACAAACAATAACATATTCATGGAAGAGAAAAAAAAAGAAGATTAAATCCGCCTGCTGATATACGTAGACCTCCATACACTGAATGTCACGCTATAAATTTCCTCAAGAAACACCACTTCATAGGTACTGAATTACAGCAAACACACCGCCATATAAATGCAAATTGGAAAGCTAGGCAAATGTCATTGTGAACATATGATATTGCCACCGGCTGCAGTGGGCTAAGAATACATGTTGAAGCTGGCTGGAGTGTGTTTGCCCACAGGCTGAGCAGGCACAGGAAAGGTAAACACACAGACTCCAACAGCAGCCGCTTTAAATACAGAGAGATGTTGTTTGTGATCAGAGTGCATTAAAACAAAGCTGCAACACTCACAACTTAAAAGTGGTTGAGGTATGTGTCTGCAGAACCAGGGACTGCAGATTTAGGACTGCATTTCTGGAACCACAGTTCAGAGACTCTTGCTGTTTGCAACATCACCTTCACATGCACTGGTTAACCAAGGAGCGCGTTTTCAGAGCATAATGTTTTAATTTTAAGGTCCAACCTTGAGCCTAACTACAGCTGTCTCAACAACACAAGGACGCTAGAGATGAGGTCCCAGAGTTGCAGTCCTGAAAATGCTGACACTGGCTCTGCAGACACATAATATTAGAATGAGCAGACACTCAGGTGTTGCACACACACCAGCTAATCCTCAGACAAATATAAAGTTAGAAGAAAGATAATGTAGTGAATATCAATGGAGGCATTTTCATGATGTGAAATAATCATTTCTAAATGCCAATTACTCTGACTCCTGTGTCCAGAGCATACCTCATCTTGAATGTTTATCTAGACAATTCTAATATATTTGACATTTTCCAACATTATAACTCCACTTGATGACGACCTGCAGCCAGAGAGTAAACTAAAATAAGCTGTAGCTCAGCTCACAGCCTCTGAAATATCTGCTTGTTTGAGTGGTTTCACTTCATAGACAGTTTTTATTTTCATTCACTTTGACCAGTGAAAGCACAACTACAAAACAAGTTGAAAACCCACAAATGATCTTGTGATAGCTCAGCTTGCAGCCCCTGAACCACCTGCTAAAGAGCCTCTTTTTTACCCTTTTTCAAAGTATGAAACTATAAAAGCTGAGCACCCAAAGTGAGCCTATTGCAGCTCAGTTCATAGCCGCCTATTGATCCACTGTGCCACGCTGTGCAGTAGCTGCACAAATTGTTTTCACAGGTCTTATGTGCAGTCATATTTTTATGACGTTTCTTTTGTATTCAGGAACTTTTTGTAGTTCATAATATATCTCAAGAGTGTTGTTTTTGTTTTATTTTTTGGCATTTCTTTTTTTTTTCGAACGGTAAGCAGAAACGAGAAGAAAACAAAAGAACGTTTTTGACAACTCGAACTTTGACTTCAGTGATGTGAGGTTCATAAAACAAACACGCCATCCCTTTTTTCCTTTTAACTAAAAGAGGCATTGAATAAAAATACATTGAATAAAAATACAAATTAAATTAACAAACAAATGAAGAGTAACTAAAATAAAGGATGAATAAAATAAATAAAAATAAAAACACTTAGGAAGGTCATGATTTATAGGAGCCTCAGGTCATAAACAAGAATGCCTTATTTACCACCCTTCACATTTCTTCAGTCTACATTTTAAACCATATTTGACAAGAAAAGAGATTTCAGACGCTGTCATTGGTGGAAGTCACATGATTAGACAACAGTTTTTAAACATCAGGGTATCAGGGTAAGTGCTGCACTGTTAGGCTTAAAAAGGTGTGAGTGAGTTGTGGATGCTCTTTTCTTACCTCCTCAGATGTTTGAAGAGGACCTGCATTGTGTCATGGTTCGGTTTTGGCAACTTCTTAATTAAGTCTTTGATTGAATTCACTCGCTGCTTGTAGTCGGAGCATTCTGAGGCAGGGGAACAGACAGCTGGTCAGACATGCACAGGTGCAGAGCACCACCTTGTGGCAACATCAGGGAAACACATGCTTTAAACTTATCACTGATCAGGATTCATCCCTTCGGTGAATCGTAAAGTTACTCACTGATGGCGTTGACAAAGTCGTTGAAGGATCCATATGTGAAGAGAGGCTCAGGGAGCTCTCTGAAGAACATCTTCAGAGCTCCGGTGGTGACGTGGATGTCCTCCCACTTACTGTCATTTAGATCCAATGTCTCATCTGAGAGGAAGAATTCAAAAGGTATAAAGGAGATGAGTAATGGGCACCTAACAAGACCTACAGAGAAATACACTCATGTAGCAAGATGTTCATGGGTAGAATTAGTGTTTAGTGTGTGTTACAGGCCTGTTAGAGGTCAGATGGCAAACTGGACTCTTACCATGATTTACAGCAAAGCGGAGCTTCTGGATCACAGCCAGGTTTCCACTCACTCTGTATAAACCATCAATGTTGAGACCTGCAAGAGAGGGATGAAGCAAGGGCAGAGGGACAGAAGAGATGTGAATCACACCTGCTACACATAGAAGCTGAAGTTACAGATGTGGCTAGGTGGCTGTCTAACATGAGTCTGGTCCTGCTCAAGGTTTCTGCCTGTGAAAAGGAAGTTTTCCTCGCCACTGTCACTTATGTTAGATAAGATGGGTCGAATCAGTCCCATCTTAAGGTTGGGTGTTGGTAATTCATCAAACAATGAGCATGGTCAAGACCTGCAGATGAACAGAGCAATAAAACCCTGAAGTCTGGGATTGGCTTGTAGTCCTGCTCTCACTCTACCAACATATCTGACACACTGAAAACTCATCCAGAGGCAGCAGATCAAACTCAATTCTAGCTGGTAGTTCTTGATCAACTGATGATCTTGATCTCTTTTTTTGACATACAAGCACGGACGTAATTTGTGTGTGGGGAGGGGGGCAGGGGGGACATGCCCCCCCCACTTTTTCAAAAGCCTGTTTTGGTCCCCTGCAGTTTAACCATCTGAAACAATGTTACTTTGTGCTATAGCAAACTGATACACGTCTGGCACTAGGACCAAATGGCCGCTCAAGCCGAAAACTGGTTTCCCTCGGTTTGGACCGCCCACAAGGTCCTTGATTGGCTCTGCCGCAGGGTCACTTTTTTGTGTGATTGGCTATTCCTGCTCTCAGTCATTCCATGCCTGCTGGATTGGTGTTTTGCAAGTTGCTCGTAAGAGTCAGTCCGCGAAAATTGCTCTTCCCCTGATGGAAGTTTACTGGAGGGCAGCATTCATTTTCCCTCCGTAACGTCACATTCATTGGAGGTTTCATTTACATCCCTGTATCGGGTTTGTACTTCCATTCACCAGCTGGCCTCCTCTGTTACTGTGTGTGCAAGATGTGCTGTTCCCTTTCAGTCGATTCACTCGGTACAACACATATAGTATGGGATATCACGCCCCTGCGTGACCTGACTGAAGACACCTTTATTCACGCCTTTAAGGCAGATGATCTGTGGTGACGTCTGGGAGGCTCCGCCTGCACATATATACGTGTAACACCACAGTCATCCTTCAGTTCTTACGCTCTTCACCTCGCTGAGAACACCTACACCGAGTCGGGCTAACTAGCTGCTGCTAAATTAGCCTGGTCTTGTCTCTGGCTACTGCTTGATCGACTTTAGCTCAACTGCCCCTGTTGGTGTTAGCCTACGGCTACCCGCGGAGCGCTAATTTCGTTCAGCTTTTGAGTCTCGTTATGAGCTCTAAGCCCATGAAGGTGAAGGCGAAGTCTTCTGTTCGCCCCTGTCCTCAGGGGTGCGGCTTCTCCCTTCACGAGAAGGATCTTCACGAGGCTTGTCCCGTTTGCCTGGGGATTGTCCACGCCAGGAGGGCGTTGACTGAGCCCGAGTCGTGTGAGTCCTGTCACCGGCTTCGGAGCTCAACCCTGGGAAGGCGGGTCAAGTTTGTGGAGAAAATTCTTGGAAAAACCGCTGTTGCGCTGCACGACCCCTTCCTTTCCGAGTCCAGAGACCCGGCTTCGTCCGAGTCCGGTGGTGAGGACTTTCTGGTCGAAGGCTCAGTTGGAAGCTGGGCAGACCATGTGGAGTGTGCTGACGGGTCAGCTGGGTTTGAGCCGGGCCCCTCCGAGGGCGCTGGCCAGCCGCTATCCGGGCTAGCTTGTTACCAGGAGGACGATGACGTGCTGGACATCGGCCTGGACGTGCAGGGTTTTTCGGAAGATGAGCTGGAGCCGTTGTCTTCAGGTCAGTATGCCGCCGCTGCTGCGCCGGTTGATCTGGACGACACATCCTTCCTCTCACTGTACCGCCGTGCAGCTGAGAAACTGGAGGTAGAATGGCCCTCTCCTCCTCCAGCTCAAAAACCGTCGCGGTTCACAGGGTTTTTTCTCCCACCCGAACCGACGACTGTTAAGAACAGTTTGCCCATGTACCCGGATTTTGTCGCGGAACTAACCTCGACATGGAACAAGCCGCTGTCCACCCGCGCCACAGTGCCCGGTTGTGGACAGTTTCTGGATCTAGATGGAGCTGAAAAAGCTGGATTGGTGAACCCTCCGCCTATGGAGGCGTCCCTGGCAGCTTATCTGGCCCCGGCCCAGAATCACGGTGTCGGTGGCCCCATCACGCTCCCATCCAAGCACTGTAGATTTTCAGCGTCACAGCTGGATAAAATTTACAGGACACAGGCAAATACGGCTCGTGCACTGAGCTCCGTCACTATGCTTCAGACATATCAAGCTATGTGTCTGGCAGAACTCGGCTCGCGTATGCCTCCTGACAGTCCGCTTACTCCTCTCCTCAATGAAGCTAGGGTCGCCACAGATTACATCCTCCGTGTGTCCCGCTGTGCAGCGCTGTCTCTCGGTAGAGGCATGGCTTCCACGGTGGTGGCGCAGAGGCACCTGTGGCTGACTCTCTCCGACGTTCCGGAGAGGGACAGAGCGGTTTATCTGGACGAGCCTGTGTCGGCCAGCGGTTTGTTTGGGCAGTCCCTCGACGACATTCAAGCTAAGTTTGAGCTGAGGAAAAAACAAACCGAAGCTTTGAGAAGCATCATCCCCAGGCGTGATGCGAGGCCCAAACAACAGGGTTATCCGCACAAACCGGCACCAGCGCCTCCCCCTAAGAGGACTGCAGCGCCCGCCAGCTTGGGGCCCCAGCCGGTGAAGCGATATGTACCCGGTCAGAACCCACGCCCTTCGGCTTGGAACAAGGGTCCGCCACCGAGCTTCCGGAGGGACTCGGCGCCCAGGAAGAAGAAGCAGCAGTCATCCTAGCTTCGGGATCGACTCGAGAGGGCCAGCAGCACGGAGACACTGCCGCCCTTCATTTTCTGCCGCCAAAGAGGCCGCGTTTAAAGTTCGTTCAGGGGTCCGGTCCCGAGAGGCGCTGCACTCCCTTAACACAGTCTCCCAAGCACAACCCCCCTCACATACACATGCCCCAATAATGGCGCCTGTTGTTCACTGTGTGAATGTCACAAATGTACGTTCTTTGAATCAAATAAAGGTTTCGTTTTGTTCTCAAAACATCATGAATCAATCAAGTCTGGGCGAGAAAGTGTTGCCGTTCCCAGCCGGCACGCTAGGGGGCGACAACCCCTCCCCCACAGTACTGGAGGTCAGTCGACTGACTGTTCGTCTCTCTCGGTGGCGCGCATGCGCAGTCTCACCGTGGGTAGAGAGAACTGTTGCCATCGGCTACCGCTTACAGTTCAGGGTCCGGCCGCCTCGCTTTCACTCTGTAATACACACAGTTGTAGCAGAGGAAGCAGCAGCAGTGCTGAGGGAAGAAATAAACAACTTGTTGAACAAGAGGGCGATACGAGTTGTTCCCGCTTCGGAAACGAACAAAGGTTGGTACAGCCGCTATTTCGTTGTTCCGAAAAAAGGAGGAGGGCTCCGTCCTATCCTAGACTTGCGAGTGTTAAACAAATACCTACGAACCTACAGGTTCAAGATGCTAACACTCAGACAGCTACTGGGCGCGATCAGACCGGGAGATTGGTTTACAACTATCGATCTGACAGATGCTTACTTTCACGTAGCAATTCATCCGGACCACAGGCAGTTTCTAAGGTTTGCATTCGAGGGCATAGCCTACGAATACCTGGTGCTGCCGTTCGGCTTATCACTCGCCCCCCGAACATTCACCAAATGTGTCGAGGCGGCATTAGCTCCGCTACGGGAGAAAGGTGTTCGCATCTTAGCCTATCTGGACGATTGGGTGCTAATCGCGAGCTCCAGAGAGCGAGCGGCGGCTCAGCTGTCATTGACCCTATCGCACATCCAAACACTGGGCTTTTCAGTAAATTTACAGAAAAGTTCACTGACTCCGAGTCAACAGGTATCATTTCTCGGGCTGGAAATATGCTCCGTTTCAAGCCGAGCACGTCTGTCAGAACGCAGGGTGGCTGCGTTTCACCGCTGCCTTGCACAATTTCAGTTGGGACGCAAACTGTGTTTCCGGACGATTTTACAGCTGACAGGCATGATGGCATCTATGATCGCTGTAGTGCCGCTCGGACTGTTAAAAATGAGAGCGTTTCAACGCTGGACTCAGTCTCACCGGCTGTGCGCGCAGCGTCACCTCCAGAGGAGGCTGACGATAACTCAGTCTTGCATGTCGGCTCTTCTCCCGTGGAGAGAACCCGGTTTTCTACAACAGGGATCTCCGATAGGGAGGGTGTCTTTTCGCAAGGTGGTGTCCACAGACGCATCCCTGAGGGGTTGGGGGCTCTGTGCGAGGGCGCAGCAGTGAGAGGTGTGTGGACGCCAGCACAATGCAAACTCCACATCAATTACCTGGAGCTACTAGCTACCCTTTTAGCTCTGAAGCACTTTCGTCCCGTTCTGACAGGCCATCATGTTCTGATCAGGACGGACAACACAACCGTGGTTTCTTACATAAACAAGCAGGGAGGGACACGCTCTCTTCCCCTGTTAAAACTGTCTCACTATCTGTTGCTATGGTGCAGTGTTCATTTTCTGTCCCTCAGAGCCACACATATTCCGGGTCACTTAAACCTTGGACCAGACCTTCTCTCCAGGGGGGTCCTCTTGTGAGAGAGTGGAGATTGCACCCACTAGTGGTGGCTCAGATATGGGACCGCTTCGGCAAGGCAGAAGTAGATCTTTTTGCCTCCAGAGCAAATACTCATTGCCCCCTGTTCTTTTCCATAACAGACTGCAATGCTCCCCTGGGGATGGATGCGCTAGCTCACCCATGGCCCAACACGCTGCTATATGCTTTTCCCCCAGTGGAAATGATTCTGCCCATTCTGGAGAGGGTGCGCCAGCAGGGGCTCTCCCTGATCCTGGTGGCTCCTCGCTGGCCGGCGAAGTCGTGGTACGCAGAGATAATCAGTCTGCTGGTAGCGAGGCCCTGGCAGCTCCCTTTTTGCAGGGACCTCCTCTCCCAGGCGGGAGGAGAGGTGATTCACCCGCGCCCAGAACTGTGGAAACTACATGCTTACCTGTTGAAAGGTCCAACTTAATGGCTCAGGGTCTGCCCCCAAATGTGGTGGCAACAATCCAGAGTGCAAGGGCATCATCTACTAGGGGCCTATATGCCTATAAATGGCGGGCGTTTGAGCAGTGGTGTCAGGACCGAAATGTACTCCCATTTCAGAGTTCTATTGTGGATGTTTTAACATTCCTTCAGGACCTGCTGGATAAGGGTCTCTCTTTCTCAACAATTAAGGTCTATTTGGCGGCTATATCTGCATGCCATGTTGGCTTTGATGGTGTGACGCCAGGCGCTCACCCTCTTGCTATGCGCTTCCTAAAGGGAGTCCGCAGGCTAAGACCTGTTCTTAAACCCAGTGTCCCCTCATGGGATTTAGGGTTGGTGCTTGAGGCTCTTGGTGGACCCCCATTTGAGCCTATTGAGTCAGCAGACATGAAATTTCTTTCATACAAGACTGCACTGCTACTTGCTTTGACGTCTGCAAAGCGAGTGGGCGACCTTCATGCTTTGTCTGTGCATCCCTCTTGTACCCAGTTCACTCCGGATGGATCTAAGGCTACATTGCATCCAAACGCGGCGTATTTACCTAAGATTATCCCCACAGCCTATAGCTCTATGAGTTTTGAACTGCTGAGCTTCTGCCCCCCTCCATTTGCATCTGAGGAGCAGAGGAGGTTGCATTCCTTGTGCCCTGTGCGTGCACTACGCACTTACATAGACCGCACTCAGAGTGTGCGTTTATGTGACCAGTTGTTTGTCTGTTTTGCTAATCCAGCCAAGGGCAAGGCGCTGTCTAAGCAGCGGCTTTCCCACTGGATTGTGGAGGCTATCTCCTTAGCATACGGCAGCAGGGGTCTCCCGTTGCCCCAAGGTGTGAAGGCACATTCAACCAGGGGAATGGCGGCCTCTTGGGCCTTGTTTAAAGGGGTTTCTGTGAGTGATATCTGCACTGCAGCCAGTTGGTCATCACCGCACACTTTTGTTCGGTTTTACCGTTTGGATGTGACAGCACCTTCGGTGGCTCACGCTGTCCTTTCTGCTGGGTCTACAATGCACTAAAAGTTTTGGAGGTTTGACTTCGGTTCGGTGGCTGCTCTGCGGGGCGTGTATATATGTCCCATACTATATGTGTTGTACCGAGTGAATCGACTGAAAGGGAACGAAATGTTATGAATATAACTTCTGTTCCCTGAAGGAGAGGAACGAGGTACAACACTGGGTTGCCCCGCTGCGCGGCAGAGCTCGGTGAAGAGCGGCTATCGAACTGAAGGATGACTGTGGTGTTACACGTATATATGTGCAGGCGGAGCCTCCCAGACGTCACCACAGATCATCTGCCTTAAAGGCGTGAATAAAGGTGTCTTCAGTCAGGTCACGCAGGGGCGTGATATCCCATACTATATGTGTTGTACCTCGTTCCTCTCCTTCAGGGAACAGAAGTTATATTCATAACATTTCGTTTGCTAGGCTATATGTCTCAACAGTACTCAAGTCACATGTGTCTCCCCAACCTTTGAAATCAACATTTCGTCCATGCAAACAAGCTATGATCAAGTCCCTTAGGTCGTCTCGTACCTGTGTTCTCCACATGGTCGATGCACATTGTGACAAACTTGGGCACTGACGTGTTCTCCCGCTGGCACAGACTGGTCATACTGCAGCCAAACACCTGATCTGTGAAACACGAACCACACATGAATCACTTCCTGTCACCTGTGCAGCATGAAGAACCCAAACCACATGTCATCATGAGGAGATTTCCTCAAAAACAGAACTTGTATTTGCTCTGAATACCTTTAATGTATCCTTTGTCCCTCACAGCCTGGTAGGTGGGTCGACGGGTCAAGAACTTCTTCAGCTTCAACCTGGTCTTCTTCTGGTCTGAGGCGTCCATGCTCACAGAGGTCTTCATCGCTGAAGAGAAGAAGAAGTGTTTAATAAACATGTTTCTTCAAGACTTTATAAAGAGGGTTGCAGAACACTGAGGGGACATAAGTCTGTGTTTGGGTCACCTCTGTTTTTCTTGGAGTCCCTGTGGTCCTTCTCCTTGTCCTGCTTCTCAGCTCCTGGAGACTCGGGCATGTCCTCCTCGATGGCCTCGTCTGACTCCCAGGCCTAATGAAAGGGATGCAAATATGTCATGAAAGAAATTCAGGTTGAAATGATCCCCACAACAAGTTAGGGAGGCCCCCTAGTTTGAGGTCCAAGTCAAGACTTAAAAGAACCGAGTGATGTCATGGTTGCTAAGTCCATTTCTTTTATAGGATGTACAGCATGCTTCATGTTTATTAGTTTGGATTCAGATTTGAACCGCCTCTACCACACTTTACTTTCTTTTCTTGAACAGGTGTCAATGATTAAATCAAAGCTCCTGTTGTAAAACAGAAGATACATGCTGTATGGAACCTTGTTACTTGGCCAGAATCAGCCACTTCAGCTCTGAATGAAGTTTCCCATCTGGTTTAAGACTTATAAAATGAGCGGGTCCAGATACAAGAGGACCTGGCTGCAGACACGGTGAAGCTCCTTTAGAGCTTGTAAAAGTTTGACCACTGTGAGCACCTGCTGCACAGTTGGAAGCTGGGCCTTTGCTTGAATCTCAGCTGATATTTGGAAACACCAGCAAAAGTTGTTCTTCGTAACGTCTTTTTCACAAATTTAAACACCAAAAAAAGTCAACAGACTTTTAACAGTTCAATATTTTAAATGGCAAAGTTAAAATGGTTTGAAGACTCTATGAGTTTCACATTATAATGCAACGTTTAAAATCTATTTGGATATTTTAAATCCAGAGGTTTGTGATTACAGATCTGCTAAGGTGGGTAATACAAAGTTTCTCCAGTAAGTCTTCAAAGTTTAACAATTTTTTGACCATAAATTGATGCAAGATCTTGAGATCTCCATGGTTCAGATAATGAAAAATAATTCAGAACTGGGAATCCTTCCAGTCATGTTTTCTGATGTTTTCTAATCAACGGATCAATCTTAAACCAAAAAAATAATACATTTGACAACAATTATGAATTATACTTCTTAATAAAGTTTGCAGATTAACTTTTTTTTTAACACAAAAGTTTTTTTTACTGTTTAAGTTTGTGAAAAGGACACAAAGAGGAACAACTTTAAACAGCTGAGAAGTGGGGGTCCAACTTCCAGCTGCACAGGCGTTTGCAGAGCTCTGCTGCATCTGCAACAAGGTTTAATCCTGACTTCTCAAAATTGACGAATGATGTCTCCTCACATGTGTGTTGATGGTTTCTGTCAGGGCCCGGTACCAGTCGTTGATGACGCTGTCAATCTCCGACTGGATCAGCAGCTCTGTCCCTTGACGGGTCTTCAGCTGAGGAAAAGGAGAATTCAGCATTATTTTAAAATGCATGATGCTGGGGTTGATTAAAAGTGAAACTTGGCAGTAAGTCTTTCGAGCTCGATACCTCGATGACGTGCTTCTTGCTCGACTTGTCCTTGGAGGCCCAGTCCACAGAGCCCCCTCGTAGATCGACGGTGAACTCCGGCTTTGACTGATTGCTCCCAAACTTCTGGAATAAAGGGAGCAGTGTGAGTTTAAGTCCAACACAAACACAATCAAACACAGACAACATGTTTAAAAAGAAGTTTCTTTTCATGTTAGTTTCATCCTGTTACAAAAATGTCATAAAACTCAGGAGGGAAAGCTCTTGCAGAGCATCCTCATTCTTTTCAAAAGATAAAGTTAAATGATTAAATTTCAATGCATACAAGAGGAGGAGGAGTCACATCCTTCAACACTGTGGATGTTATTTAAGTTCATGTGCTTCATGTTCATGTGCAGACACACATTTTAGTTTGTGTTACATGAAAATCAAAACCAGTGTTAGTAGTTGTTTATGAGCAAACTAAGAAATGATTTCGAGTCTCAGAATTGATTCTAGTGATTAAAGGACTTTCCAGGTCTTCAACCTTCAACCTTTACCTTGACACCCAGGGAACACAGTTATGTCTGCCTACTTTGCTCGGCCCGGACAGTTAACTAAAATCTGGTCTTTTCTTTCTCCTCCTTAGAAAAGTCCTCATATGTTTATTTCGTCTGGACTGGACTACTGTAATGCACTTTATTCTGGCATCAGTAAGCACAACATACAAAGAATCAACAATCAACTAAAAATGCTTCTGATAGATTTCTAACAGTTAGTAAGAGAAATGATCAAATAACACTGGTCCGTGAATTTAGAATAATTATCAGATTTTTCTTCTTTTCTAAAGCCTCAAATGGCTCCAGCCTTAATCTGTGAGATGCTGATCCTCTATGAGCCTGACTGGAGCCTGAGGTCTTCTAACAGGGCCCTTCTCATGGTTCCATTAGCTGCTTTGTTTTCGATTTTCATCACCTTAACTGCAAAAACTACAAAACAGCTGTATATATCTTTTTTAACTCATTTTTTAAAATCTGAAATTTCTTTATTTTTTTATTTCATTTTTGTATTTATCGCAGCTGTAAATCTTGGAATTACCCCTTGTGGGATAAAAAAGGAATATCTTATCTTATTTATGAAACACTTGTTGCAACTTATTTTTACCAAGAGTTGTTTATTAATAAAATTATTATTATTATACGTTTATTATAATTATCATTACAGGAAGGAACTCTTAATTTTGACTGGTCAACTACATATTCCTCTCAATCCAAGTTCACTTTTTCCTCACGGTGAGACATTTAAATTCAGCTGTGCAGGGATCTGGTTTGGAAAGCTTTTCTCTATCCCTATAGTACCACAGGGTTCATCTTTTTTGACAAGTTTCTCTGCACACATGCTGTGCAGTCTCCAGTTGCTAGGTGGTGGTTGTAGTGCTAACTTATGTCCTGACCGATGCTTTTATTTAACAATCCTCATTTTTACGACATCCATGTTTTTACTGATCATTCCATCTCATATCTAACATCTCAAATAACATACAAGAATCAGCTCGGAGCTGGGGAAGTTAATAAATCCATTCCCAAATTACACATTGTCATTGAGCAGCTGAAACATTAAAATCAAAAAGGTCAAGTTTCACACACACTCATGAAACATTAAGAGAGTTAGAGAAGGAAGGAGTGAATGAAAGAATGAGAGACGAGCAGGAGCAGCCAGACATGCAGAGGGAAAGAGAGAGAGAGAGAGAGGAGACATACAGCAGCAGCCTGCACAGGCCTGCAGTTCACATAGGAGACAGCAGGGCGGGGCTTGACTGAGCGCTTCCAGTTGCTAAGAAGAGTGAGGAGCAGCTCAGGGATGGAGCCGCTGCGGTAGTAAGACTTAAGGGAGAAGGAGAGGAAAGAAAAGGAGAGGAGAGGAGAGGAGGAGAAAGAATGGAGAAGAACAGTAAACTGAGGATGGATATTCAACAGCACATGAGGTGACAGGAGGAGACTGTGCCAAAATATGGAAGACAGATACCATAGAGGTAAAAAGCTTAGATTTGTAGATAAACTAGCCTCTAGTGGCTGATGGGATACATACCCAGCTAGTGCTGCCCCCCTGACCCTTCGCAAAGAGCAGAGAGGAACCCTGCAGCACTGTCCATGAGGAGGTCCAGTTCTTCCTGTGGATTACATTAAAACAAGATTCAAGGGTCCAGGATTTCAACCATCATATTTCTGCGTCACATTCAGAAGCTGGTCAGATTCTTACCGGACTTTCTTTCCATTCTCTGTGATTTTCGTGACATTCAGGACTCCACACTTCTCTGAGGGCTGAGGAGGAAGACACAGACACAGGTAAGAACCCGCCAAACACGTGCATATAAACACACACACCATCACACACATACACGCGAAGGATGGGTATTATTATGATTCATTGATAGGAATATCAATGCCAACACTGTTTATTTTCACACTAACTGATACTATATGTTATTTGGTGCAAAAAATAGGTGTGAGGTGTAAAAAAAAGTCTGTTTTGTCATTTGGCAGAAGCTGCTGCATGACTGACTGTGTCTGTAGAAATGTGAGGACCACAAATATGAAATCCTGAAAAGGATTCGTGACTATCCTTTGGATCATGGACTACAGAAGAAGCTGAATCTCTGCTTTTTTATATATTTCTGCTGTGTTATTGTACTTGGAACAAAGCTGAGGAAACCACATGGGAGGCTGCAAACTTTGTAGACTAAGTCTGAAAAATCACCTCAAACTAAGCTGCCTTGGAAGAAAATTTGATCGCTACAGCAGATTTCTAATGTTGTGAAGCTGAACTTTCTGCAACTCATAGCTGGGTCAAATGCCACCAACGCTTTAAAGAGCATTGGTCCATGCATTCATTAAAGAGATATTCCGTCATAAATTTAAGTTCCTGTCAAACACACCATAACACCGAGTTAGACACGAATAATGCTCAGAACAGCACCTAACTTCATCAACAGTACATATAGGGTCTCAGACACAGTACTAGCCATCAAACATCTTTTTGGCTTTGCCTGATTTCTTTAAAAAAAGAGACTAAACACAACTCACCCACTCTCTTCCAGCAGCCGTTTGTTTGTGGGGGAGCCCTGACGAGTCGATCACCGAGTGCAGCGGATCATTTCCATGAAGTAATAATCATCATATTAATCATTTTGCACTGCAGACACGGTAGTTCGTCTGCCTTGGCGTCTCAGTCTGATTGCATTTCCATGAAGTAATGATCATAAATGTTCTTCCTTGAGCTGCGAAACTCCGCTGCACTTGGTGATCGACTCGTCATGGCAAACAGTCGCAGTCGTCAGAATTCATCTCTTGAGGGGATGTCTAACTCGGTGTTACGGTGGGGTGTGTTTGACCATAACTTCAATTTACACCAGAATATCCCTTTGACTCTCTAATTCTCCACTGTAACTTTGTACATGGGCTAAGACCAGCCATCTTTTAACGCCTGTCCTTCATTCAAAATTCGGACTGGAAAGAAGAAATGAGACCACATCACACCAGGCTCAACTAGCACTACAAAAGGCTTCACTTTATATGACAACAGGAGATCTGTGGGGACAGGATTTGTCAATAACTCTTTGCAATAAATCAGAACCAAGATGGCGCAGAATGACATCAGCTGCACATAACTTCAAAAACAGCATAATTAACATTAGGAATTGTGCCTCAATTTTAATCTCTTTCTTTCTCTCTTTCGAATCACCTACAGAGTATGAGTCAGGAGTTGCAGGTTATCAGGAGCAAGACACAGAAAGCAACGAGAAGTTGTCTGGCTAATTCATCGTAGATGGCAATTAACTAATATTAGAAAAAGGGTCAACATGAAACATACTTGTGTGGTCAAAAATACACCCATGAGGCCTGCCAAGTATCATCTACATGTGGGAAAGAGTCAAATTCATTCTTGAGGTTGCTGAAATTACCTCTTTATCCACACAAATCTTGGAGCTTTATAGCATTTTGCTGCAATTTCATTACGTTTTGTAAAGTGGGTTTAAACTAGGATTGAAAAACACTTCAAAAACACACTGAGGCTACATTCATCTACTTTAGGCAGCATTAGTAGGGGTTAATGTCCCTCAAATTCAAATCAAACTTTGTCAAGGAGTTTATCAGAATAAAAGAAGAATCAGTAATAAGTACTGATCCTCAATATCTATCCCTTATACACAGATAAAAGAAAGTGGTACAATGTTTGAGACTGGAAGTGGCTGTGCAGCTCAGTGCTGTTTCCAAATATCACCAGCAGAGGGCTCTCTAACTCTCTTTATGAGTATCCAAACTTCTGCATTTCCTCTGGTCGGAGCATGTTATAGCTTGGTGTTAGATGTGGTGCAGTTAGATGTTGGATGTGACATGCAGAGAATGAGAGAATCTGGATGCAATGAAAAGTAAAAAAAAAAGAGAGTTTGGACGATGAGAAGAGAGATGTGTTTATGTTTGGATGCAGCTGAAGGTAGGATGATTTTGGTAAGTGTGGTGCAAGCTGGGATACTAACGGTAGAGGGGTGCTTAGGAGATGAGGGGCAGGAATCAGAGTCTGGAGGGCTCTGCTTGGGCGCTGGAGCACACTCCTACCAAACAAGAGGCACAATATGATGAGTGTCTAATACCAGCTAACTACAACAAAGCACATGGAGACAGTCAGTCGGAGGTTAGAGAGAAGAGGAGGATGGACCAGCAACCTGGAGAGGAATCATTAGATTGAGTTTGATGTTAAAAAAAGTGATCAGCAGAAAATGATGGAGAGAAGACAGTTTAGGATTACAGTAAGAAACAACATGCACTTGAGTTTTCATAGAGATTGTGTTATTTCAGGTTCAATATTCCTTCACTTCTGTACAAGATAAAATCAAATCAGACACCTTTGACTGAGTAAGCGCACAGCTTTGATTGGCAATCAACTATTTCACGAGATTTGCACGACAAACTAACAGCGAATCAGATCATATGTTGATCGGAAAGCAGAGAGGCTCTGTGTGGTACCAACTTTATCACTGTAAAGAGAGAGACGAAACCTCCTCTTGTGTTGGTTGGAGGTGAAGCGCCGCAGTTTGAAAGAGAACTGCAACAAAACCGCCACAATTATTAGCTTCCAACATATGACACTGACTCTTAAAACCGGCAGCCCAAAGTTAGCCTCGAAAGCTTACAAGGTGATGCGTTTATAAGAGTGAGGCACACTAATAATGACAACAACAAAAAAACAACTTAAGTGTGTTTTAAGTCTTTTCAGCTGATGCAGACAAATACCTCCAACTCACTGCAAATTCTGTTATGATCATTTCACTTTATCTCACCCTGTGGAAATAAAGGAGGTGATATTTCTACATATGAACCCATTTACAGTGTTTGCTAATTTAATTGTTTCAATCTTGTTAGGTTGGAAGCAGGGTCACTTCAGTGGAGGTGAGAGGCCTGGTTTGTATTTGGCAGATAAAGGTTCAGGGATTGGAATAATCCATTAGGTTGACCTGCAAACAAGTGAATCAAAATGTCTGATCCGGGAGGTGATCAGAAAAAAGCTGGAATACCTCAAACGGCATTTTACTCACTATTGAAGGTTATGTAAAATGATGGATTTTTTTTTCCTTGAATTAATTTACAAACCAGAAAATGATTAATTTCTTTGATGCAATCTTTTAGATATCTTTTTAAAAATGTAATCACACTTTGATAAAGTTGGAATTGTGAGCATGTTTTTCACTGACAGAATATTCTGTAACTATGGAAACTAAAATGTTGAGTTAATGCTCAAAACTACGAGCAGGAAGTGACCAAATCCTTTATACCAAGTTAGATAGCACAATTCGCTTAAACCAGATAGTTTAACAAGTTTTGGACCTTACTGACACTGAAGCTGGTTTGTGTAGTTGGTCAAAACAAAGACACAAAGCACAAATCCATCATATTTTATTAGCATAGCATTGCTACCTGTAATGTTAGCTGAGGGCTAATGGATTAATTAGTCTTTTACTACTTCTTAATAAAACAGACTAGCAACATTAAATTTGGCTAATACTGGAGAAACATATAGAAAAGACTCAAAAAAGTAAACAACAGCGTTTCTATGTGGTTGGTTATTGATAATGATGTTTGTGCAAATTGGAGATATATCTTTAAGAATAATATTATTTAAATTATATTCATGTCAAAGCTGCAAAAATTGAAGTAAATGTTTTTTTAAAATTTTTTATTTTATTTTAATAGCTTCCATAGTTCTTGGACAATGTGTTTACAACTGCAACTAAAATCTTTCAGGGCAACAGCAAATAACAAAAGTGTTACAAAGAAAGAAATGCTCACACTAAATCAAAGCTCATTGAGTGATTTCATTTGTTGTTTTTTAAAGGACATTTTCCTGCAATTTTAAAAAATAAAGAAGCTGTTATTAAGGAGGTGCAGATTTAAAGTCTTTACTGATGCATGTAATCTAATACCAGCTAATAATTTATGGCATGGATATATTGTGCATCCCCCTGGCAAACAATTAAGTCTGTTTTGGTTTACAGTTGCTGGGACAGAAAAATGTTTGAGAAAGCTGTAGCAGAGACTGAAGTATAAGGTATTAGGAGGTGTGAAGCACAGCATGTGTCCTTAAAACTGCCTGATTTTAAATGATGCATAATAAAAGGGAAGGTATCGATTAATAAGCTGCTTTAAAATGAATGAACAGAAAACAGCATGAAGCACATGGCTGAGAGCTTTAAGAACAAATTGCATTGTTACAGTGGTGCTGATGGGCTTTAGCTGCTTATGCAGACACACCTTCATAGTACTGTGGAGCCTTAAAGCTTTCATTCTGGCTGCTCAGAATAAAGATCACACTTGTCAGGTCAAGGCCAAGCTCATTGATGTCAATCCGCTGTGATTTAATCAAGCTTTCTTTTGATTTATGCAGAGATAGGAGATACTTTTCTTGAGTATTTGGTCTGAGCAGCTCTGAAAAAAACTGCATTACAGTACATGCTTCTGTTGCATATGTGAAAAATACAATCCATCTTTGTAATTGTTTCAGGTACGTATTGTTTTTCTTCCAAGACATCTTACTGGTCATGCAGGGAGGATCTTGAAGCACAAGATGAACCCCCTGTCAGTGGGACAAGTAAACCAAAAGCAAAAAGTGTCTCCTGAACAGCCTGTGTAACCACATCCAGATTTCAAACCAGCCAGCCCGCTTGAATCTTACCTTGTCGTTGAGGTCTAGGACGTAGGTGCTGTGTCTCCACTTGGTGAGGACGATGGGATCCGGCTGCTTCCTCTCCAGACTGCGGCTCTTGGGGACCTCACCGGACTGAGGGGAGAAAGTGTACTGCAAAGACAGAAGACAGAGATGAAGTTTAGGCATCATCACAGAATAAACCTGGTAACACTTCAATTCCCTTACCTCTCCTTTTATCCTCCACAGCACCATTGGACCACAGTGCTTTTGTTACACACCAGCAACACTAACATGCTGCACACAGATCCATGTCCACACTTCTGCTGGTCTGGACTGCTAGATTCTATTTTGACCAGCTATCCAGATTAGCGGTAAGTGAGCCGGTAATAGTCTGTAAACCACAGTTCACACAAACTTGGCACCTATTAGCTCCTCAGACTCTCATCCAATTACATTAACAGGACCACTGCTAGGGGAGGGCAGGTCGCACGGAAGTGTGCTACGGGGCAAAAGCTAAGGGTGATATAATGTGGGAAGGTTTAACATTTCAAAGCGAGGAGAGGGGAGCTGTAAATAGTTTGACCAGGTCTTAATATAATTTCATCATAGAAATTATTTCCACAACTATACACTTGAATTTTGGGTAATATTAAAGGCTGGAACTGATTTTTATTTTTTTTTTTTCTCGCTAGGTTCTTGTCCAGACAAAGTCGGTTTAGGAACAACGAAACAGAGATAAAGTGTTGTGGAATAAAACGTCTTGTGGAAAATCCCTCAGCTAATGAGTTAATTAGCAACAGGTTAATAACATTACATGGTTTAAAATCTGGAAGAGGTTTACCACTCTGTGAGAGACTGAATGAGCAGATAGTTCAACAATTTTAATAACAATAATCAAATTAAAAGACTCAAAAATCTGGATAAATCTATTCAAGAGGGACACAGCTGGAAAACTAAAGCTGTGTGGCTGTGATCTTTGGGCCCTTGGTTGACACCATCAAACACTGATATGACTCTGAAGTGGAAATCACTGCATGGGCTCAAAATCACGATCACAAATCAATCGCAGTGAACACAGTTCAACTCTGCATTCATATGTTGGTTAAAACTGCATCATGCAAAGAGCACAAAATCTATATAAACATGATCTAGAAACTGGTGACTTCTATGGGCACGCCTATTCATGATGGTCTGAGGCAGAGTGAAAAACTTTACTGTGGTCTGATTCAAAAACTTGATATTCATTTTGGAAATCATAGACGATGCTCCAAGTGGGAGAATTACCCAGCTTGTCATCAGCTCACAGCTAAAAAACCTCTTTCTGCATGTATTACAACAGTGTGGCTCTGCAGTAGAAGAATTCAAGTCCTAAATATGTCACAGGGTTAAAAATATTTGGCGAATGATGAAATGAAAATACAGCAAAGGAAACCCGAAGAGTTAACCAGCAGGAGTGGGACAAGATTTCACTTTCAGAACCCCAGAAACTGTTCTCCTCTGCTCCCTAACATTCACAGAGTGCTGTTCAAAGAAGAGGTGATGGTTAAGCACTTAAACATCACATGTCACATTCACCCATTCACACCACATTCACACTGATGGCTGAGGCTGCTGTGTATAAAGCCCATCAGTTTTGACTAATCCCATTCACACACCACTGGGCACAGCCGGCAGGCACGGGTGGGGATAAGTGTCATGTCCAAGCACACCTCAGCATGTGGACAGCACTGGGATCCAGCTCTGTCATTTAGACTGGAGATGACTGACTCTACCCATCACAGCTTTTGAAAGCATGTGTCATACCTACTGAGTGATTAAAATCACAGCTCCTCCTTATGATCAAACTTTCTTTGTTTTTAACCCACTCGGAGTTTCTATGAGAATGTCTTTAAATCACTCCTGAATCTGAACTCCTAAAGGGATCAAACACATTTATTTTTAATGGAGCTGCTCTCTTAACCAGAACGAATCCTCCTCCTTCCTTTCCCTTAAACAAGGATGACAAACCAAAAACTTCATTGTACAAAAAATAGAAGTCTGTATAGATAAAGACCTTTTTAAACCCAAAATGACTGGCTGAATAAAGAAGACAAAGACAGTTAATATGTATGAGATCCTCTCACCTTAGGTAGCTCCCATTCTGACCTGGATCCATCAGCACTGTAGTAGTAGGGCCGGCCCTGCTCGTCCACATGTTTGATCCACTGCAACACAAACACCAGTCAGCACTCAAAAGACTAGGAAAATGGCAAGATAAGGGAAAAAAATGAGTGGGAATGTTTAAATGAGAAAATCCACCAGTTTATAGACTCTACCTTCTCCTGTGTGTATTCAGAGACATAAAGAGTGTGTCCATGTTCATCCAGCTCCTCGGACCAGCCTCTAGGGGGCGACCCGTACTGGCTGTCAGACTGACTGGAGTGGGTGCTGTGACAGTTTTCCTCTGAGGACAGTGGCTGAGACAGATGGGTGAAAGTTTTAGTCTTCAGGTTAAATGTTGGTCTTCAGATGTACATTTCAAAAGCTCCAGTGAGAATTTTTTTATATCTCAAACACAAACTACAGTTAAAACTGACGCCTTTAATAAACTGAAAGTTCCTCATAGGAGCTTTAATTCAAATCAACAAGAAAACAAGTCAAAAATGTTGTAATAACATCATGTCTTACTCAGGCTGGTCCACTGAGACACTTGAACAGAGAAACCTACAGTACAGACTGATTCATAATGCAAAGACAGACCCTGGTGAGGCGGTATGAAAGCCAGGAAGTGTCACTAAAAATGCAGGGCTTACAATAGTACAGTAAAAGTTATTTAGTCTGTAGATATGTGTTCCTAAATTAAGAGTATGAATGTGCTCAGAAAACCAAATAGTCAAAACTTTCCAGAACAATTATCAACATTCCAGCAGTCCTGATGAGCTTTGACTGTGTAAACACATTCATCTTGCTGTGGAGTCTGAAAGTCTTTATTCTGGCAGCTCAAAATTAAGATCAGAGTTGTCAGGTCAAGGCCGGGCTAAGTGACATAAATCCACTTTGATTTAACACAGCTTTGTTCTGATTCATGCAGATAGGAGATAATTTTCACACTTTTAGTCTGATTAACTGATAACAAACTTTCATAACAGTTCATAATTTTTATCACTCCTTATCTAAAAAATACACAACATTTTTGAAAAATCATTTCATATTCAAGTCTTTAAAAGAAAGGCAGAGACAGCTCAGACAGTTCCTGTTAGAGGATATAGTAAACCTTTGAGAAATTGACAAGCTTTTGACCTTTGACCTTTCCTTAATTCAAATAAAATTTTGTGAGGTCTTTTTCAGGGGATTTTTCAAAATGGTCAATATCAAGAAAGAATAAAATATTAGAAAATTGTTGTTAAAAATACTGAAACTGGGAAAAAATAAATTAAAATGTGAAAAATGTAGTGTGTCATCATTACCTGTTGCTACTTCTGCACTTTACATCCACACTGAACATTTTCAATGTAATGGAAACTTTAAAATTCTGGTTACTTTAACTTGAAATGATTTCTTTTATGGTCTATAAATGTGCTTTTCACACATCAGCATCAAACTGCACACTTCAACAAGCAATCCTCTTTAGAAGGTTTTCATGCATGTTGAACTCTGTCTTCGCTGTTTGCACCCTACCACTGTTCTTAAACATGCAATTAGCCTCAGAGGTCCACTTATTTCAGACTTGTAGTTATCCAGTACTTTATATTATATCCTCACCAGTTTAATGAGACTTTTACCATGATATGTAATTTGAGGATTTATTGGGAAAGCTCTTTTTCATTCTGTTGAGAACAAATACTGCATTGCATAATGATCAGACAGTCGAAGAAAGATTAAGAAAACAATATCAAACCTCAAATGAGTTCAATATTTTTCAAAGACTGCAGTTAGATCTAATTGATTTCTCTAACTGTTCTGCTTTTACATGAATCATAAGAGAAAAATTAAAGCGACAGTGATTTGTTTTAGTAACTAAACTTAAATTGGGTTGTTAGCAGATTTTAAAAAGGACCAGACCATGTCTTCTTTCTGGTATTTCCACACTACCATAACCACCTGTTGAATTAGCATTAGATTTTTGGGACGCACATTAAAACAGTAGAAACATTCTCATGCAGGTGATCAAGAAAACTTTAAAACCATCAATACGCTGCTTCAGCAACAGTGTGTCTGTATTTAATAGAGGTAAAAACAACAATCCCTGATGATATATTTTTCAAATTAGTGTGTGAGAAAGACATTAAAACGTTACTGTGATTTTTTTACTGCCACCATTATTTATCCACTTATATGTTGGTCTAAGAACTTCATTTCTAATATCTTTTTTCTTTGATGATCAGTTTATGTATGAATGGTGGTTTGTGAAAAAACTTGCCATGCAATTACTTCAATCCACCAAATGGGGGCAGTGTTGGATAGTTAGACTGAGACAGGCAGCCTGACAGGCAACATAACTTCCTTGTATCAAACACACACTCATTTCCCTCCTGCAGTAACCACAACAGTGTTTTCAGAGTCCTCTGAGGTCCCCCACACCTTCACACCTTCACCACAGTCTCTTTGTTTCAGACTGACCTCCAGACTCCACTTGAAAACTGTTTATGTGCTTTAAGGAGACTTTTGTACACAAACTTCAAAGCTAAAATTTGCATAACATCACATCTCCTTTCAGGCATAAAGGTATACCTCAAATATTTACGCATTTCTTCTGTGGCAGCATTTAAACAGGGCAAAAAATATACACGTTTCCCTCACCTCACTCTCCACCGTGCCCTGACTGTCCCCTCGAATGCTGCTTGTGCTGCCGCTGGTGTCCCTGGTCCTTGGCGGCTTCCAGGTCCGCTCTCCGGTAGCTCGGTTGTAGTAAAAGTGCCGTCCGCTTAAATCTTTGTGGGTCTCCCAGTCGCCCAGGATGTGAAGAGGGGAGCCAGAAGGGACAGGCGGCAGGCTGGACTGGGAGATCTTCAACTCCTGGAGGTTTGTGTAGACCGGAGAGTCTGACCGGCCCTGACCTGTGGGTGACGTGGTCTGATGGAGAAAGGAAAAGGAGAGAGGAGATCAGGTCATGTTTTAGTCAACGCATTCCACTGTTTTTAGCAAGTATCCTCTCACTTCTCCAGATGTTTTGAGAGTCTTGATTTACTATGAACATCTAGTGATGTTCCAGGACTTTTACAACCACACATATCCTTGAAAGTCCTCCAGAGTCTGCAGACAAGCAAGTGTCTGCAGGAACGTTGGTCCCATCCAGTCCAGAAACCACTAGGATACATAAAATGTAATAAAACAGTTGTAATGTTGACTGCATGGCTGCAAAAACAGACCTGTTGCTGCACAAAAAGCACCTATTTTTAAGATCATAGAGATGAGCTCTGGTGAGTTACCGCTCTGGCTGACGGTTTGCACGGCAGGATGCAGCTGCTGATCCAATCAGATGCCACATGTGGCTCACAGATACTTTGAACCATATCAGACTGATGCAAATCAAGTTCCCAAACCAGATGGACTCAGCACAGTTACATAATCACTGATGTGTCTGCTCTGAGCCCGGACATGATGAACGCAGGGAACAGATGCAACATTTGAAACACACAGACAAACAGACAGGAGTTTACCGCCAAAGCTAACATGGTAGCAGCAGCTATCTCAGTGAAGGCAGTGATGTATGCAAAGCAGACCTCGCCTGATAACATTTTATTGTGTTGCAACAAAAGTGGAGCCAGGCTCAACTTTTACTCTCAGGTGACCCTTTTGTTGGTAACTAAATGAAAAGAGGAGGCTGCATTTTTCACAAAGTGCTACAGTGAGTGTGAACCTGACCCCTGAGTGGTCAAGTCGTGATGGAGTAAAAGGATGTTTAGCTTTCTGTGAGTCAAAGGACAGATTTGAAATCCTGTAGTCTTCATGAAAATACTCAGGTTTCACACAGCTTTTGGAGTTGATTTGTTTGCCGAGGTCAAACAATGCAGTTCACTGCAAATTACTCAATAGACTACTACTTTTCAATCTGCAGTCAGCTATATTTTCGAGGGATGCACAAAATTATATTTTGCTGAATTTCTACATGCTGATATTTCCAAAATGATTTTATATTTTCACCCCTTATTTCATTGTAGGGAACAGCAGGCTGATTCTGTATTAGAATAAGTAGAGCACAGTAAGGTGTCGACAACATGTTGACACCTTACTGTGCAACTTCAGCAACGAGCACAATACACAGCGGTCAATGTCTCCACGTGCAAACCTCAACCAAAAAGCCACTCTATAGCCACAAATAATGCTCAGAACAGCACCTAACTTCATCAACAGTACATATAGCGTTACAGCCATAGTTCTAGCCATAAAACATCTTTTTAACTTTGCCTGTTTTTATTTAGCAAAGAGACCAACCACAACTCATCCACTCTCCTCCAGCAGCCGCTTGTTTGTGGGGGAGCCCTGACGAGTTGATCACCGAGTGCAGCGGATCATTTCCTTAAAGTGATAGTCATCAAAATAATCATTTGGCACTGCAGACGCTGAAGTTCTGCCTTAGCGTCTTAGTCTGATTGTATTTCCATGAAGAAATGATCATAAATGTTCTTCTTTGAGCTGCGAAACTCCGCTGCACTTAGTGATGGACTCGTCAGGGCTCCCCCCACAAACACTCGCAGTCGGCAACATTCATCTCTTGAGGAGGTGTGTAACTCAGTGTTACAGAGTGTTTGACCATAACATAAATCTACGCTGAAATGTCCCTTTAAGTCTGTGGAAACCTGCACCTGTCACTGATATCGCTAACAGATTGGTGGTCGTCCAATATCAGTTTTTCAACAGCCGTTGACAATACTGATAATGAAAGAGTAGGTTGGCCAATATAATTCTGATATCACATTGTTGTTTGTCAATATGACACTATGATCAGTCAATTTAGTATAAGCTATAAAAGTGGTGCATTAGATATGTGCACGCGATGACAGAGTCTACATGCCAACGTGTGTGTATGGAATGACTGTATGGCAGTATTTTAAGTGGTCTGTATTATAGTTAAAACAAATACATTTATAGTACAATCTGATGTTTTTGTCTCGCTAAAGGGGGGTGTTATGTATTTTTTCAGACTATACTTTCTCTTTGATACCCCTTGAATAGCTTTACATGATTTTCAGATCAATAAAAGCCTTTCTCACAGTGGTGTATATTAAATATCATTATTTCAGCCTCCGTCTGGGCTTGGTTTTAGCAGCTGTCTCTTGTTAATCATGTATCTCCTGATGCTGGTATCAGGCCAGTGGTGTATGTTTTTCAGTCTCTAGATGGATCCTTAAAAGTTGTCAAAAGTCCTATTTAGGCCTGTCGCGATAATCAATAAATCGCCTTATCGCTCGATAAATAAAAACGAGGTCGATAACTTTGCCAGCCTCGATAATTGACGTGCGTTTGTTTTCCTCCTCTCTCGCTACCAAACACGCTGGATGAGAGAAGAGGTCTCACTCTGCGCATTGTTCTCGGCACCTGGGGGCGTTGGCTCTATAGTGGAATGAACGGAGTTAGTGAACCCTCCTGTCAGTCATTCAGTGTCTTTGTCACGAGGGGGCTGGCGCGCACAGGCACACAGACACAGACTTTTGGATACAGTGCTGCAAGTGAGCGTCGTGAGTGAAAAGCAAGCAAACAGAATGAACACGACAGCTTTGGTGTCTAAACCGAACGCAACAGCCCAAGTGTGGAAATATTTCGGCTTTAAACCAGTTTTGTTTTCGTCAACCACAAAACTCCACGTGTGTGTGTGCGCGCGCGTGCGTGTGTGTCTGTGTGTTGGAGGAGCACAGCAGGCTGATGAGAGCTGTCAGAGCGGACTGAAGCTGCTCCTATATGTTTAGCGTTTAACTGACTGAGTTTTGCAACTCTGTTCGTCATTTTCGTCTCGTCCCATCAACGTAAACGCACTTTCGTCTCGTCACATTTTAGTCATCTCCGACTTATGTTTAGCTCGTCAACGTTACGTCTTCGTCGTGGGAGAAAAGGGAAATATTTTAGTCAACGAAAACAACCAGTGTTGTTCTCGTGTGGAAATTAAAGTTTATCACTTTTGACATGGTGTACTCGCATTATTATGCCATATAATATCATTATCTATAATTTAAAAAATGGTGTCAATAACATCGTTTATCGGCGATAATTTGTAGCACAATTATCGTCCAGCAAAATTTGTTATCGTGACAGGCCTAGTCCTATTTCAACTGATTGTTGTCACTGAAAATGTGTCTGAAAGACGCCTTATAAATTAATCTCCCAATGATGGAGAAAATGCATCTTCCATAGGTTACAAAAGCAGGCAGTCTTGGTTAGTGCTGGAACCTCAAACTTTATGCTTTAATTCAACATAATCCAACATTTTTATTTGACATTGGATTTATGAATTTATATCTGCATTCATACATTATTTGTATGTTAAAGCCCTAAACTGTACTGATGGATTAGAAAATAATCTGGGTTCAATGTGTTCATTCTCCTGACATACTGATGCAGAGACCTGTGATGAGTGCACATTGAATATTTTGACAGAGAGCATGATGCAGGGATTGAATCCTCAATCTGTCACAAAAAGCAATCTTCTTCGGAGCTGTGCTACATTAAGTAACCCTTGAAATTATAGGAAATAAAAAGAGAAGAGCAGAATATGTGTGACCCTCATAAAGAGGAAGAGGAAGAAGAGATTAAGATAAAACTTCCCTGCTGAATAAAGCGTTGATGTGTTGTTTGGATTACAGAAGTAAAAAGACCTATTGAACGGCATGCTTTGTGATGAGAACAAACTGTGCTCAAGTTTTTCTTCATTATATCAGGAGACCAGAGTCCACACAATAAACTCAATCACAGCCGGGGCCTCACAGTTTCACTGCAGAAACACTTCAAAGTCAGTTTTAACAGTGGTCTTTGAAAACTTGGCAGCATCCGAAGGTCACAGCACACAAAGCCAGAAAGCCACGTTACCATGGCTACAGCTCTGGGCATTTAACACGGCGCTGAATGCTTCTGAAAAATATTTTGTGGTTTTGGAGCAGAGCTGAAATTTTGATGCCAGCTTTGTGTCTCTGTAGATGAGATCCAGCACCAAACACTCTGTAAAACAGCGAGCAGATAAATGGCCGAGCAGAGCAGAGCAGAGTGAGATATCAGGGCCTGAGCCAGCTCCACACGCCTCCCCCCTCTCTGTTTGGTCCAGGTGAGGAATGCGGGGGGAAACGCACTTCAGACAGACAATCTGAACCACTTTCAGGACACAGATGGGACTTCCTGCCGTTTTTGGAATAACAGGAATATTTTTCACATCAATTATTGTTTAATATCCTGCACACATGCAGGAGCAAAGGAAAGACCGCGACTGGGTCCTGCTGCTCCTCAGTCCAACACGATGCAAGTGCTCGAGCACGGAGGCGAACCGCTGAGAGATGATAGTTTGGCTGAACCTGAGTTCAGACTCATCAGTCACATGGAGAATGGAGCCAGTGTGCTGCAGCTTTAATTGGGTTTTTAGGGAATAATGTGGTAATGATCAAGTCTAAACGCACATGATGGAGTGTGGCCTGAGAGTGAGGCGGGGGTCAAATCTATTTAGATTCTGCTCAGGCAAGAAAAAGCAATCTGCATCCGCAGGAGGAGGAATTAACAAGCAGTAATGTCCAGTTTGATCCATGTTCGAACAAAACACTTTCCTGCTGCCTCTGCTTTCATTTACACAATAATTTAACTATCAGCGAGGACTGAGCGAACTGTCTGCAGAGCCTGTCAGCGAGCAGAGAAACACAAGCTCACTGTCACCATCATTAAACTTGCATTATCGACACTGCTCTCCTGGGAAATATGCCTTTTTTTTAAACTGATCTTGAAGTTAAATTTAAACTTTTACTTTCTCATATCAGTTGAGTCAAGATCTGATAGACTCACAGTCAAAGAAGTACCATCAAAGCTTAGGCAGATTTATCTTGATATGTGAGCTCCAAAACACCTGAATGAAACATTTTTCAACTCTTTGTCGATGTGTAAAGTCTGCACAGCCTGATGGCATGTATGTTTGGTTTACTAACACCGATTTCAGGGGAATAAAGAATCTGCAAATACTGCAATAAAGGAAGTCATATAAAGCAATTTTGAACTTAACCGATTTTGATATGACTCGTGCAGTGATTAAGCTGTGCAGAGGGCTGCTTTCTAAGAAACTATCTTTGGACCCACTACAAAGGAACAGAAATTGTCAGCCTGGTTTTGACGGCTGCTTAGGTACAGAAAACAACACAGCCATAGTTTTCTGTGCTACAAGTAGGGGTGGAAGGAAACACTGATACAGCGTAGTATTGCGATACTTTGTCTGGTGATATATCATATCGACTCATTTACCAAGCATCGATTTTTTCAAATTAATTGCTAATATGAAGTCAAATCTCTTATAATGGGAAAATAAAATCAACTGTTTGTCCAGTGAGGTTGGCAGAGGTGATATCATAGAGACAGTTAGTGCAACAAATATAGCAGGACCTGGGGAGGGGCAAGCAGGGCACAAATGAGGTGGACCTGACATATAAGGTTTGCTAGATGTGCTCCATGAAAATAAAATACCGTGTAAATATGACAAACATTAAGGGAAGCCAAAAGCTTAATTAGCTAAACAGTTGAAAAAAATGTATCAATCGCAATATAAGGTATTGCAATACTCATGTTTGAAATCACAATAATATCGTATCATGGCCCAAGTATCGTGATGATATCGTATTGTGGCCCAAGTATTGTGATAATATTGTATTGTGGGACCACTAGTGAGTCCCACCCCTGGTCACAAGTTGTGTGTAAAACAGTTTCAAATGACACAAACTGTAAACAATGCTGCCTGGCAGAGGCCAGACAGTAACATAGACTCTAGCACTCCTGCAAAGTCTGTTTAAGGCTAGTAGTGCATTTAAGTCTATAAGTTTGTATGACAAATTAAGTCAAATCAACAATAAGGCATGACTTCTTTTTGACCAAACATTGAATTGATGCTGCATTTTTTCCTGAGGTGGAAGTATCAGACTTAATTGTGCAGATTATTTCAGGATGTGTTGCCAATTCATCTGACTGTCCTTGATGACCATCAGGTCAAAAACTTTCCATGTTCCATACTACAATATCAGTGACACTCCCTATGGCCTCAGCCATCTTTCAGCACAATAGAAATAAAGCATGTCAAACAAAGTTGAATCAGACAATGTTATACACAGAAAACACTCCAAAGTATCAGTTCATGGCTCTATTGTAATACGAGCATGGTAGAAGGACCTTCTGGGTGCTCTTTAACATATCCTCCTACAGCAGTTTGCGGATATCAGAGATAAAAACACTGACCCAGTCCACACATCACTCAGGCTTTTGCACTTCACCTTCAAAAGAAAACCTCTTTGGACCGGAGAAAGCATGACTAACTGCTCCCCTGAAACTGAGCAACCGACCCAAAATAGCAGTGATGTCAAGAGACAATGGGCGTCCTCTTTGCAAAAATTGGACTCTTCTGTTCCAGACAGAAAAAGCCTTATGCAACATGCACCATATGCTGAGAGAGAAAGGGTTCAACACAGACCTGGAGAAGCAGAGGACAGGGGAGGAACGTCTCCACAGTTAATGTTTAACTGAAGTGGAGATCAAATATTTCCCTGGCAGACTGCAGTCACACCGAAACCTCTCATTAGAACATTATTAACGTCACCTAGAATTCAATTTAGCAGTTTAAACAGAACAAAGCTGCCAGTGTCTGCTGCTATCAGATGGAAAATTCCCAAATAAAAAGGAGATTAATAGTTCCAGGACAGAAAATCTATCCTTTTGTGCTAATTTAATCTACGCCTGACATGGCAAAAAGACACCTGCATGTTAAGATATCACCTCTTTGACCGTCTAAAACAAACATGTCCATTATGTGTCAGTTTTATCTGTCACCTTGGATCCTGGGCTGCCCACAAACACCTCGTCATCGTCCTCGCTGGCTCTCCTGTAACCTCTGAAAACACTTAATGCACGACGCATGGTGATGCACGCCGTCCATCAATTGTGAGAAGACACACGCAGACCCCTGTGGATTCACCTCCTCACAACACACACCTAAACTCCTCTTTTTCCTCTCTGCTTCTGGCTCTGCAGCGGTCAGGTTAGCAGCACAGGAATTTGAGACTGACTGTGACGGAGGCGAAGGGGAACTGGATCTTTTAACTTCACAAACCCACAGTCATATAACACAACAGGAAATGACAATGAAAAAGAAAGAGCTTCCTCTATCAGTGTGGGTTTCTCTTTGAGTCAAATCAGGCCCTGACACATGCTCTCACAAACTCTATATTTAACCTGGACGCTTCTCTAAACACAGCAGAGCAGAGTGACTCTGTGTGTCGAGGAAATGTAAAACTTCGACTGAAACCATCTCTGGTCCCGCTCTCATCTTTCAGGTAAACAAATGAGTGCTGAGACGGTGTGTTGTTGGAGTTGTTGCCTGGTTTCACGTACAAAATAAAAGTTAAGAAAGAGCACCAGGAAGGAAGAGGAAGGAAGACAGAAAATCTTGCGGTGGGAAGTAAAAAAACCATAACATGAATGATTTTTGCCCGCAGAACAAAAGACAACCCTCCCTGTCAAAGCAGGGATAAAGTGTTATCAATGAAACTCTTGCTTTATCGAGCAGAGGACTTCTTTATCAGATTTCAAAGTAAAACCAACAACTTCAACATTTCCTTCAAGATTTTGCAACATTTGTGTGATCACCTTACAAGATCTTTCAGCATTAAAGGGCTTGCAAAACACATGCTTTACAGACACTTGATCCTATTTTGGTTGTATTGCTAATCCATGTATAATCTACAATCATCACAAAGAGGCTTTTATTTTTTAACCACACAAAAACCATGTGACTTCAACACATTATTATGTAAGCAGAAATCCTTATCTGCTCTTATAGAGGCTGCAGACAGTAAAAGCTTGTTTCTGCTTTAGCTGATCTGCAGAGGTAGACGCTACTCAATATTTAAAAGTTTTACACCTTTTTATCCAACAGGAGGAAAGATATGTCAAGATGCATGAATGTGAGATCTGAGAGTGTGCCTTTGCTCTACTTTCGCTGAAGTCTGGCTGCTTTGGTTTTCTTTCAGCTCTTCCTGAAATAAACATATGCCATTAGAAAAACACTTAAGGGATATCCAATTACCTGATATCAACACCAAATCAAAAAGGAAGTTTAGGCGTCACTGCCAACAACAAACACAGAGAGTGAGACTCAAGTGCTCAAGTACGTTGAGGGGTCTTTTTATCAACTTACAGCTGCCTTTGTTATTTTTACTTCACAGCTTCCTCTCACCTCTGCAGAGCCTTTAAGGATCTAAAAGCATATGGTTTTCATATGCTTTTTGATTCATAGCCACATATTCTTCCCTCTAGACTAAATGAGTTACAGATCAGAAAACAGTAAAGATTGAGCACAGGTTGCCAAACACTGGACCACAGAGGTAAACAACGTCAACTTGTTTTCCTGAGTGTTGCTTAAGTTAGCAGAGCTCACACCAACAGCCTTAGCATGCCTGTGCTGGTTATGGATTGCTCAGGTTGAATGGTTATATGTCAGTTTAAAGATACATCACCTAAACAAAACTAAATCTTCACTTTTAAATACGGTCAAATTGTGCAGCAGTGCAAAATAACATTTGTTATCTGTGCTTGTTTGCATCCAGCCAGTTTGGCTATATACCATCATAGCTACTAGGGTTGGGAATCACCAGTTTCCTCATGATACTATGTTATCACAATACAATATTATTGTAATATTTAACATTTTGCAATACAATGACTTCATATTAGCAATTAATTCTTGGTAAATGAGATGATACGATATATCACCAGACAAAATATTGCAATACTATGCTGTACTGATTTTTCCTCACACCTCTCGTAGCTACATTTAGTAGCATGACTTGACAGCATTACAGCATAAACACAAAATGTGACAACATCTAAGGTCTACAATAACAGGAATATGAATATTTTGGTATAACCAACTTGTATTTCTACTTCTGACGAGTGCACATGATGACGATTTAGTTAGCTAAAGGTGCATGAACAATAATGAAGAACAGTTGGAATTAGACTGGGACATTCAGGTACAAAAACTAATTATTTACATAAATTCTCATCTCCATTGCAATGTTGTTAACATTTTTTCTAAACACATGACACTGACCACAACATCAGCATCCTGGAAGGTCAATCAGCAGTCTTGCTAGTTCTGGCATGTTTGCACCCTCCATTCATAAACTGGCGTTTTTCTGCCTTCACTCCATTAAATCTAAAAGTAAATTAACAGAAAATAATAAGAGGGAAAAAAACTTCATTGATTCTTAAAGAGAAATACAATTTTTACCCTCTGTTTCTGATCATGCTACATATAGAAATTAACACATATGCACAAACAGGCTGCAGTGGACGTGCACTCATCGACAGATGCTGAAGAAATCATCAATGAAAAAAATAATTTAAGACGCTATTGATGACATTCATGAAGAGCTGTTTCCACAATTCACCACCATCCCTCTCAATGTCCACCCAATTGTAAATCAGCCTTCAGTAAATACTCAAAGGCAGTTTCCTGACTAGTTTGACATGAATCAGATGTGGCACAGAGCACAGAGGCTGGGGGCTGAGACCCGGGGTCTTTGACAGGTAATTAAAAATAGAAAAGACTGGAGGGGGCAAGAGGGATCGCTCATAAAGCTCAGGGGAAAGGGGGTGTTTATGAGGCGTGGATTGAGGGAGAGACAGAGGGCAGGAGTGGAAGAGAGGTAAAGATGTGCTGTTGCATGCAGAACAGTCATGATAAATGAGTTTCAGACTACAGGCTGGGACAGTATAGAATGCCTATAAACTGCATTAGGATGCATTATGCAGCCTGGAGAGTGTGTAGAGTGTGTAGGCACACCCAGCATGGAGTGTGAGATTAATTCAGCTCTGAGGTCTAATAGAGTCAGTGAAGGCAGAGGGTCTACGGAGCAGAAGAACTGATGAGACTTGTCTTTCTGATGGAGCCCAATGAGATTATACTCTGCAGCATAGAACACAGCTTACTGTAGCTCTTTTGTTTATCACCATTTAGGGAATACAAGCCCCTCCTCCCCTTCCCCCAGTCTATCTAACCTCCAGCCCCACTGTGCTTGTACAATCACTAGAAAATGCCATGCACCGTAAATTACTCCATGTGTAAAGAAGTGTAGGTCAGGGTGAGGGCAGCAGTGACGCAAGGTTGCAGTTGCACCCAGAGACCACTGGGTGCCTCTCTTGCGTTAGCAGGGAGCTGGGGGGAGCATGGGGAGAGGGGTCGCTTGTGAGTGGGAGGGAGTCTCCATCAAATGCATCAGGCCATGAGGAGAGAAGCATGAGGGGGAGGGACTTCACTTGGTGAACACATGGCAACACACTCTGCAGCATCTCCATACTGCACTCTGAGACATGATGGGTCTCCTTGCAGCAGGATGCACAAAGCTTTTCTTCATTTGCTGCACACAGGGGCCGCTCCTATATCCTTTTGGTTTTCCTGGACAGAGCTGGGATGTAATACAGGCTGCTGCAGCTGATTCACCATGCTGCTGCTGTTCCAACTACAGCTGCTGACTGAGACAAAGAAAGTGGAGCACATGACATCAGTTCTCCAGATCCATGATGGCCCATATTGAGTCATAGAACAGGACATAATGCTTTGCCTGTATACAAAATAACCCAACTAGCTACTAGTTATATTACTGACCTGATAGTATAACTTTGAACTGCCAAAGCCCTAACATGAGCCCAAACAAGCAAACATCTAATGCGCGAAAAAATGAGACACTGTTCAGTAGGAGTGGGAGGAAAACATTAATACAGCATCATATTGCAATATTTTGTCTGGTGATAAATCGTACCTTATATAAATCGCAATATATTGTATCAGAATACTCACTGGATCACAATAACATCTTATTGTGACCCAAGTATCATGATAATATCGTATCGTAGCCCAAGTATTGTGATAATATCATATCGTGGCCCAAGTATTGCGATAATATTGTATCATGGCCCAAATATCATGACAATGTCGTATTGTGACCCAAGTATTGTGATAATATCGTATTGTGGCTCAAGTATCGCAATAATATTGTATCGTGGCTCAAGTATCATGATAATATTGTATCGTGGGGCCACTTGTGATTCCCACCCCTACTGTTCAGAATCTGAAAAAATGCAAGTCCATGTTTTAATATTATAAAGGATGTTTTATAAAAACTTGAAAAGACTGAATTATTTGTTAGATCTGCAACCTGTAATAAAATATGGGATAAAGAGAATTAAGTAGTAAACTTAGCCAACCACTGTCTATTTCAAAGTGTTTGTAGAGCTCCTTAAAGCGGCTTCAGTCTGAGTTACGCTAACTCATGGAGCCTACATGCAATCTATAAGAGCTATGTTCCATGTTAAAGGCTGCAAACACAAATAAATCGAGGTCTGTCTCTCTGCCACTCACAGATGGCCACTGCATCAATGTCACACCTCAGAGCGTGTGTGCGTTTCCCCATACTGTGTTACATAAGTGATTGTGTAATTGAATTAGTTGAAAGCCGGCTAAGGAAGTGCGGTGAGGTGAAGGGGGGAGAGGTGGCACGGTGACTGACGGAACTACATCCGTGGCCATGACGACACCCAGCCAATCAGGCAGCCGGCCACATAAAAGCGTTTGAAGGCAGACCACGAGGTGAGAGGGGGAGAGGGAGGAGGTGAGGTACACCACCTCAGAGCCAATGCATCAATCCACTCCTCTCTCCCTCTGTTCTTTTGTCCTCTCCTCTTCCTGCTCTGACCTCCGCCCCCTCCTCCTTCATCCCTCACTCCTGTGTCCACACACACAGCAAACACTCGCTGCCCCTTTTTTTCCTCCACTGCATCCTTCTATAATCACGCATCAAACCTTCCAGGCTCAGCCAACGCCCCACTGCACCCCCCTACCTCCCTCCATCTCCATCACCCCTGTCTCCATGTGCTCCAGGATGTATGCTGCTGATCATGATGGTTGAATCCATATGACCAGATTAACCTACATTTCCACCTCACTGGGCGTCAGACCACATTTGCCCATTCGCCCATCATCACATTTGCGGCATTTCGCCAGCCGAATCCCCCCATCTCTGACGCACAAGTGTATCAACATCAACACAAGGACAAACACACACTGCTTCCTACTTCCCTTAGCAACCAGGACCAGCCTTGGACTGCAGGAAGGTAGTGTGTTCAGACAAGACTTACAAGCTCAAATCCATGAGATGGGATACTGCTAAAAAGGTTAATGCATAGGGATATTCTGCAAATGATTTAAAGCCTTTTATTTAATCCAAAATAGTGAAAAGAAAACCTCCTGAATGTTCAGACTGGAAAATGTCATTTTATGCAAAATTTAGAACTTGATGCTAGCACCACATCTTAATATATATTTAGGACAGGGAGGGCAAATACTGAAAAAGTTGTTTAATGCTAACAAAATGACTGGAACAACGTTCCCTTAGCTGATTAAAAAAAAGGGGCATTCAAGCAAGGATGAGTCTCCCAGCAGCCAAGATTTGATACAGATGCACCACTTTGTGAGAGACTGAATGAGCAAATAGTACAACAATTTGAGGGTGTAAAGTTGCAAAGAGTTTGAGGATTTCATCATCTCGACTACATATTATTCTTAAATATCAGATTATCAGAGAAGGAGGAGGAATCTACACAAAAGAGACAAGGCCAAAAAACAGTGCACTGCATTTAAATAAAACAGGCATGACTCTCTGCAGTGGAAATCACTGCATCACTTTCAAAAATATGTCAAGACAGTTCATGCAGGTTGAAACTGTTCCATGCAAATAGGAAAACATAGAAACACAATTCAGAAAATATATACTACTTCTCTAGGCCCAAATTCACTGGATGGACTGACTGACACAAAGTGTAAATTGTCCTGTGCTCAAAAAAAATCAAAAACTGACGACTTTGTAGAGACGCATAAGTGCCCAAAATATACAGTGACATATGATATCATCCAGACAATGACTTTCAAGGACAGCCTTGCATAATGAAGCGATGAGATACCAAACCACATTTTGCATGTGTTAGAGCAGCATGACTTTGTAGTAGGAGAGTCTGAGTGCTAAGCTAGCTTGCCTGCAGCCCAATTTGTCCACTATTTCAAACATTTGGTGCATCAGGACATGATAACTATGACAGAAATGATCACAAACTTCTGAGCAGCTGAATCAGCCAAGAATGAGACAACTTTACAACTTCAAACTACTTCCAGAGAGTGTCTCGATGAAATTTAACACATTTGTAGTATGTGTTCAGTCATGACTCAGTATGTAGCTTAGATGAGAATAGAGAGTTGAGAGTGTATGTGAAAGACTCAGACAAATGCGCTACTCTAAGGTCAGCAAAACATGGGCAGGGTTTGTGAGTGAAAGCACAAAAAATAACCAGGAATAAAAGTGAGTCAGCGAAATTTTCCACCGGACAGGATGACGACAGCGACTTTCATTTCACAGATCAAGAGGATCTGGCAAGGCATGCAACCTGACAGAGACGAGAGCAATTAACCTTTGGGTCCTGAGCTGATAGCGTCAAACTGAAATGTCAGTTTGTGTGCGTGGGCATATACCCTGCTCCAAATAAACTCCTGGTAGTGTGATGAAGAGTGACTGAACTGATGGGAGCTGCTGCTGCCGCTTGGATACTGCAGACGAAAAAAGCTTCAAGGCTGCAGAGAGGGGCCTTCATTAGAGCAGGGAGTGGTTTACATGAGGATTCTTCTGTCAGCATGATCTGTTTTACATAATGCTCCATGCTTTGATTAAATCAGATGAAATTAAAACAACAGAAATGCTGTTTGAACAATCCTTGGTATGTTAATGAGCGAGGGAGCGGGTGGATTCGGAGAACAAGGGGAAGCCTGCAGCCTCCCTGCTCATGACAAGCTTCATGTGCTTATTGGGAGTCGCAGTTATTGGCCAAGAACCAGCCTGCCATACTGGCCTGCAGATTCTGTGGGACAAGTGTGCCAGTAAGAGAGCTTAACTAGAGCGGGGGAATCAAACAATTCATATCTGGGACAACACATCCATGGTTATTTTGTAGACACCAAATGGATCAGAGGGTTTGGCTTCTATTTGAGGCTAAACTTGAGTCAGAGCGTGAAAGAGCAGAGACGAGAGACGGGCCAGGCTCAGGCAGATATTTCCTTTTTTGTCCATTTCTACACTTTTACAGAATATGCAGACATTCCTGGAGGGTTTAAGAAAATGAGCATCTGAACATCTCAAGTATACTCAGATGTGTGCAGCACATGAGCGCATAGCTCAGCATGTGTGTGTGTTTGTGCGCCTGGGGATGCACACTTTCAAAACAGGACTTCAGCACAGGTTTTTGTGTATGCTGCTGAATGTCAGAGCGAATGATATGATTTGTGTAACAAGCTGCGGCACCACCTGTGTCCCTGCTGCACCTGGGCAAGCTTTGTCTCAGCGTCCACCTGTGTGTTTTTCTCTTGTCATCAGATCTGTGCAGCCAGACACACACACACCATCTAATGAGCAATGCAAAATGGTGCCGCTAAAACAAATCTGAACGTCCCCGGTGATGAAGCTTGGTATGAGCTGACTGTTTTCACAGGGCAGGCTGAGCCATTTGAAGATCTAGGTGTGTCAAAGGAACCGTGTTCATTATATCTCAACGACGAGTAAAAACAGCATCGTCTGGGAAAAATTTAGCCAGCTGAGAAGTTAATAATATTTAATATAATAGAGTTTGACTTAGAGGGACAACATTAATGTTACCAAAAAGCTGAAGGATCTATTTGGATACATAAATAAGTCCTGCTTCTCTTTTTATGTAATATTGAAACTTGTTGAGTCCTCCTTTTACCTCTCCTTGATTTTGTTATTGTGTTGAACATGAACGTCTCAAAGTCTTCACAGCCTGGACAGTGAGCATCATGATGGATTGAGATTTTTTTCTTGTTTATTGGTGTTCGACATTGTTCTCTATATTTCTAAATCAATAGGACTGATATAAGTGCTCTCCAGCTCAGTTGTTGATTATTTTCATCTATGAAGACATCTGTTTTATTAAAAAAAAAACTTTGAGAAGTCTGTAATCCGGGCTTTCTGCATGCAAATGTTTTATTTGACTCTTTGTGGACACGTTCTACTGAAGTAAACATTTTCTGTGTTAATTTATTTAATGAAAAGCAAGTGAAGCAATTTTGTTGATTATTTGATATTCCTGGATTGTTGTATTTCTCAAATGCAATAAACAACAAAAATGTGAAATCGGAATTCTTTATAGGCCATCAGCTGACCTGCTCTTTCAGTATCTGTTTTGGCATCAGCCAGTGAAAAATTTTCTCTAGTATTTAGTACTCCACAGCTCAGGATTAGGACCATATTGAGGGTAACCCCCCTGAGATTTCAAGAATTAGGTTGCAATTTTACAAGAATAAAGTCCTTTCTGCCTAAAACCCTTCAATGCTGTATATTTGACAGTAAAATGCTGTATTTTTTTCATTGTGGCAGCCATGTAACATTATTTTATGGCCTACATATACCTGCCTACCTTTAAGCTCCCCTCTACACCATGCACATAAATCAAGCTGCATCCACACAATAAAACTGATGAGTGAACTGCACAAGAACAGCAGATACTGGTAAGAAAGGGACACTGGATCAGAATCAGAATCAGAATCGAGATGGTAGTCAAGTCTTGGTGCTAAAACAAAGAAAAAAGAACAATAGAAATAAGGAAAGATATATAAATAAGTACAAAGCTTTGTTACAGCAGTTGTAAAGCTGTCAATGAGCCTTAAATAGAAAAAGATGCAGTTATAAAAATGGTAAGAAACTATATAAACAGACCTTAATATAACACAATATAAACAAAATTACCAGTAAATTAACAGTTAAGTGCATCCCTCCACTTTAACATTTCCTCTTTTTTTCTAACTATATCTCCTCCTTTGCAGGTGTTTCTTTTTTTTTTAAGATGCTGACGACACTTTTGACTAAAGAAGCTGAAAAGAATCCTCCATGCATCAGCCCTGAGTCTGACTTTAGCCTTCAGAGCTAAAACTGTTTCCTCCTTTCATCCATTTGTAAGTCAGAACTTTAAAGTATCTGCAAGTCAATATTTCCTTGACTTGACTTAATGCAGAACATTTCTTTGCTTTACTCTTCACCCATGACTGCTTTGACTTATCACAGCAGTACCATAAAAAAAAAAAATTTGTCACCAAGTCAACCACTCAGAGCTGGTGTGAAAAGCTCCATCCTGTGAGACGCACTGAATGAAACACAGGGTGTGTGGGTGAAAGGCTGTGACACAGACAAAGAGACTGCATGTGCACATGTGCATGCCATGCTATGCAGACTCCTACAGTTCTCTGAAGAGGGGTCAAAGGCCAGAGCTCCACACAGCAGAAGTGACTTCTAGACCCCCAGCAGTCTGTGCAGTCTGCTGCCTCCTGGCTCGGCTCTCTCCCTTTCTCTCCTGACCACCCTGCTCTCACATTTCTTCTCCAAAAGCTGCACAACAATCTGTGCTCTGTGATCAAAGTGTGAGACGGACATCCAGGCGAGTGGGACTGGATGACAGAGCGGCGCTGCAATCTGTTACCCACACAACCATCCAATAAAAAAGCAGAACAGGATGTGATGGATTGTGCGTACACTCCTGAGAGAGCACTGAGCGGGAAGGGCCCGATAAATGAATTCTGGCTGCAGAAGTCAAACGACCTGCCAGTGCTCTGACAGCATCACTTTGTTCTGTTTAGTCACGGACAGGTTCGAGGGGAAAAAAATATTGACGACATGCCGAAGAAAAATCCAATTTCTTTAATGGAAGCTGTGCTGCCAAATGTCTCTCTTATTACTCATTTCCAGTGGTCCTCGCTGTACAACACTCTCTGTGTGCAAACCTGCTGCCACCGGCTTTTCTCCCACTGCAGGGCCAAAACAAACACCAGCTCTGTTCTGTGCTGACACCATTACATTTACACATTTGAGTCTCACTGCAGTGTTGATGAGACTCGGTGCAGATTATCAGGACAGCTTTTCTTCAGTATGTGAAATACATCTTGGTATATGAAAGAGCTACTTATGTCACAGAAGGTTCCTGCCTGTCCTACACCACCAAAAGTCGACAAAAACACTGTTTTTAAAGGACTTTATTTTACCGCCACAGTATCATGTCTCAGCATTTTCTGTCAGAGGGGCTGAAGCAAAGACTTAGAAACATTCCTCTGTGGCTGACAGCTAAAAGCTAAGCCCCCGGTGAATGTCTAATCCTGCTCCATGACTCCACTGCGATTGGTTCAGGCTAATTAGGCCAGCTCCCTCCCCTGGGTGCTGAATGGCTGGTCAGACTGGAGGGGTGAGGGAGTAGGGGGAGACTTAGCAGGACACTGCCAAGTCAGACAGGACCTGTAGAGTGGATCAGAAATGTTGCAAAATGACAATTTTTTTAGCAACTGAAACAGAAATTTAAATGCTAACTAAGAAACCAGTCTAAGAGTAAGAAAACAACTCAAAAAACAATTTCTTTAACTGGACTGAACACAGCATTACAGAATCTGCACCACTAGCCTTCAGTTCTCCTTGCAGCTCAACATCCACATGCCTGTGATGGTTATACATTACAATGAGAGGTCATACCAGAGAACCAGATTTAGCTTATATTAATTTCTACATGAAAATTAGGGCTGGGAATCTCAGGGTACCTCACGATACGATACATGATACATGGCTCATGATAACATTAATACCTTGATGTGGGGATAATGTTTATCGATACATTGCTCCTGGTAACCTATGATATATCTGTGTATTTAGAAGGCTGAAAGAAAAACAAACAGTAAAATAAATTTCATAGTTTGCAATATTCACTCGCGAGAGGAGCGCCCCCTGGATGACATGTTAAATGCAGACTCGAATCACCAAAGAGAAACAATGAAAGTGTATTGTGTATATAGTTTAATGATAATATAAACAATCGATATGTGGCGAACAGGCATCGATAATCCATCACTATGTTAAATATCTTGATAGTTATGAGCAGGATATTTAACTGCTCATAAACATCCTGCTCATATCGATATTTTGTCACACTCCTAATGAAAATACTGCAAAAGCATGCCACATTATAAAATGCCATCCTTCATCTGTGCTTGTTTACATCTGGGTAGTAGAGCATTACTGCTGCATGGCAGAGTCAACACTATCTGGAGAAACAGCAGCTGCTAGTGGCATTGAAGTTGTACGGCAGTATGAGGGCTGTGAGGATGACAACATTTAAGACATAAGGCTGAATATTTTTGTACATAATGGGAGCAATAATCAGACCTAATATAAGATTAAACTACTTTTGATTTGTTCAATCAGCTGGTAGTGCTGAAAAGCAAAGTGATAGATTGATAGACCAGGTGTGCATGTCCCTAAAACTACACTTGGACAAAAATAACAGTTGCCAATGCTTCGATTATAGTGTTCATTTTAAATCTGCGATGTGTTGTCATTTCTCCAGACCTAACCGGCACATTCTCATTTTCAATATCTCCTCTCTGAAGCTCAAAAGCTGAAACATTCTCCTTTTCTGCTTATAATCTCTGCAAAACCTCTGCTGTTTGAAGCACTGATTAGACTTCTGCAGCTTCTTTGTGGCTTTAAGAGGAGAGTCAAGCAGGTTCACATGTTTCTTCAACACACATATGAACAACAGTCCTCATTCATGTGTCCAATGAAACCACGAGAGCAGATAAGCTTCATCGTGACGATGCAAAAGCCATTTACACAGGAAACAAGGACCACTGGTACTTTATGTTTTAGTGGATTATGGGTCAGAACAATCAGATTGCCCGCATTAGTTTGGTCCTCATGTTGAGCTTTTAACTTCTTCACTGTTAAAACATGTCGCCATTGTCAATAAATCTCAATGCCTTCATTATCATTCGTGGCTAAGAGCTTAGAGGAGGATAACAGGATGTGATGTGCACTACTGCTGCCAGTATGACAACATGACATGAAGAGGTACTGCTGATATAGAATCAGGAATCAGTTTCAACTTGAATGTAAATGCAGAAGAAAAGACAAACAACCAAATGATCAAAATGAAACAAGAACATGTCGGTCATTTGATTCTGATGAAGAGTGTTTAAACTTCCTCCCTTTATCCTCCCTCCTGCTGACACATCAGCAGCACATCAAGCTGAGACTGTGACAAAAACAGATCCAGTTACTGTCTGCACAGTGGAAATGTCAAATATATCAAGAGTCAACGGCTGCAGAGCTGAGACATCAACATGTTAGATAACAGGGACGCTCTGCAACATTTCCTCACACTGATAAATGTTCCTCAGATTACCAAGGCCTTCACATGTGCTGATAACACGCTGATCACATGATAGATCGAAATATGTCAATCAAGTTTCATAAATGAGATGATAAAATGTACTTTTACTGAGAAAATGTGTTTTTAGGGTCAAAGTTTAGAGTCCACGAGTAGTGACAGTAGCTCAAAAACACTCTGGTGGAGCTGACTATTGTTAAGGTTTCAGTTGAGGACTGAAAACCAAAGCAAGGTCTCTCTGAAGAACTCCCTTCAGTTTACATCAGTCACTTCTGCTGCTGCTAAGACCAAACTGACTCTTTCCTTCCTGGGAAAGAAAAAACAGAATATTTTGAATTGTTAAACTTACAAAAAAAAGCTGTTTGCACCCAGCGGTGGACTTAAACAGTAGAGCTGAGACTGTAAATAATGCTGTTTAAATGGACCCCAAACTGGAAGTATATGTGATTATGAGGTTGATGCATGTTAAGTTTTATAGGAGCTAAAAAATGCTCCATTTAGTGACATTCAGCAAGAGAGTTCTTGGCTGATATGTTAGAGAATAAAAACAAGAGTTGGCAGTCAAACTAGCAAAAAAGGCGCTCAGTCCAAAACTGAGGGTTTTCTTTTGGATGATTAAATAACAGTCTATGCAAAAACAGGCTTACATTTAGATGCAAATTTTGACCATTTTATGCACAGACTTGTACAGCTTGTGAGCACTGTTCGAACCAACCATTTCATTAAGCAACAAATACTCTGAGTATTTCCACTTGTGTCTTGCAGACAGGTCTGACAAAGCATGAGCACATTTATTTCAGCATCCTTTCAACCTCTTAACTGTACCACCTCCATCCCTAAACTGTTGAGTACGCTGTGAAAAATGTTGAAAAAAAGCAGAATCTGTTACAAATGATTTTACTTTGTATTTAATGGAAAGTAGCACAAAACAACATATCAAATGTAGAAACTGAACAGCATATGTGGTAGAGGAAAACATTGCTCATCTACTGAGTACAGCTTTTGACTGTTGATGAGTTTCCCAGTCTTTGAATTAAAATCAAACCCTGAATATAAGCCATGTATTTCTAACGGCAAATATACAGGTAAGACAGTCTTCAAAATATTATGAAGCTGTGAGTAGGGCTGTTTCTTTTTTCGATGGAAAGAGGCATCTTACTTCATTACGATCTCTGCATAGAGTCACACATGCACAATAGCGTCTCCGCCAAGCGGTAGGGTATTAAAATATGGCGGCGCTGGTGTCCAATACAGCAGTTACGAGTATGTGCTTAAAAAGCTCCTAAGTTTGGGAGCACTTTAGCCCAGACAAGGTGGATAAAAAAAATAAAAAAAAACTTGCAAGGTTTGCAGATCTTGCATATCATGGCAACACGTCAGTGATGCATGAACATTTAAGGAGAAGGCATGTAATCATTGGATTAGTTGACTCATCATTTCAATAGTCAGTTATAACCAGACAGTTACATGACTGTGAGAGACTGCATAAGCTAACAGTTCAACAGTTTCAGAATTACCTTTGTCCATTAAATGTTCATTTTTTTTTCTTGGTCTAGTCTCCATTCCTATTTCTTCATCTGTTGTTTGTTAGTGTTCATGTTTCTAGTCACTCTGTTGTTATGTGATGACTCATGTAATATCAAATTACTTTGTTGTTATTTTATGAAATGTTATGTTAAATTTTCACAGTGTTAAATTAAGACTATAAAATTTTTAAACAAACATACAATACTGAATGGCTATGACAGGCAGTGCTGCATTAAACAGGCTTGACTGGAGTGAAAATCACTGTATGAGTGTAAAATCTCTCCCAAAAACTGTAAACGCAATGGTCAAAGGTGCTGATGAATCAGTCTTCACTTCTATGAAACACGCTGCTAATATTGGATTTAAAATAAGAGAATTCATGAGATTATCCAGTTCAAAAATAAATATGTTGCCTTTGCACTATTCTCAATGAAATGTTTAAAATGATTCCCAAACTATCAAAAAATGTCTTTATCCATATTTTACACAGTGCTCAGTGGTTTTTGGAATTTGGTTGTATGAAATCAAAACTAAATCTGTATGTTTGGGGTTTATTCAGCTGTAGTGAGGCTCAAAGCATAAGTCTGGTATCCCCAACACAGGAAACAAATTATTAAAAAGAAGTTCTAGTTTTGGTCCAAACACGACTTATTAGAAAATACATTTACATCTCAAAACTACACGGCCCTCTTATGTCACCCTACAGAGAGCTGTTAAGGTTTATGTTATTCTCCAGAAGTCCAGGTAAGAGGACATGTTTAATTGGTCTTCAGGTGAAGTGACCTGTTAAACCAGGCTTTCATTTACTTGATTCCCGACCGCCTGTCAGATCTGAGGTCAACAGGCGTGATGGAGCAGACTCAGGGGGCCTGGCGGCAGAAGGCCTGAGGTCTATTGATGCTCTACCACATGAAGTGCAGAGATGGCGCGGGACACAAGGGCTCTTGGTACAGAGGAAAACAATGGTCAGTCAGCCTTCAGTCAGAGCAGCTGACAACAACAACAACAGGAGCAGAAGGAGGAGGAGGAGGGTTGAAGAAAGGAGTAGAGATTCACACGGGTGGAAAAGGGCACAAAGAGAAAGACAAAAATACCAGAGCTATAGAGAATAAAGAAGTCACAGTAGGTAGATTTGACAGCTGTGTTACCACGGTGATTAGGGAGGCGGAGCTAACATAGCTTAAATCATTCAGTCTTTACTTTTTAAGGTGGGCAGGTGTGTTACAGCTGAGGGAAAAAGATCCTTTCACCTATTCAACATCCAGGAAAAGCTCTAAGCGTGGATACAATCACCTTTGTGCACTGACATGAGCGAACACACAACCTGGAGCTTCTGTCACTTCTCACAATATCAGCTCTGTTCACTGACAGACTCCATCCTCATCAGCGAGGCGTTCCAGCTGAACTGCATTTGCCCTGCAGTTAAGTGAAGGTCAGGGCCTCTTTTTACTCCCTCTGTATGAGTCAGTCATGGACTTCCTTAGATGCTGGAAGAAGAAACTGGAAACAGCCATTAAACCAGTAACTGTTGCGTAACACTCAACCTCAGAGGTCAATGTATTCGAACCAATGCAAAATTAAGTCTCCAAAACTAACAGCTGTGCATGCAGAGTCCATCTCTGTGTGTCACGATCTTAAAAATGTAAACTTGCACGAGCAGTGCTTCTGTCAGATTCCCCCCTAAACACTTGATTAATAGGCACAGATTTTAAGAATAAGTGTTCCTGCTCACCCTGGTGTTTGTTGACATAGTGGGAGTTTGTAGAGATGGCTGACAAAACCAAAGGCCCTATACACCCAGTCTTAACTCCTGTACATACAATGAAGTGTTGTGAGGATCACTCGCAAAAGAAGATGGGGAGTTTTCTGTTAATTTGAAGTCACTGCCACAGAGCTGGTGGTGCAGAAAGACATGACTGTACACATCATTCAAATTGCTGATGACACTGTATTATTTATAGGGGTGGGAATCACTAGTGGCCCCACGATACAATATTATTATGATACTTGGGCGACAGTATGATGTTATTGTGATTTTCAACATTTTGCAATACAGTGAGTATTGCGATACAATATATTGTGATTTATACAATTTTTTCAACTGTCTGTAGGACCTTTATGTTTGTCTTATTTATGCTGTATTTCATTTTCATGTAGCACATCATGCAAACCTTTTATATCTTTGCTATACTAACTTTCTCCTGCTCTATTACATCACCTCTGCAAACCTCACTGGACAAACTGTTGATTTTATTTTTCCATTATATGAACTTATGTTCATATAAGCGATTAATTTGGAAAATCGATACTTGGTATAGTACAGGCCAAAAGTTTGGACACACCTATTTTTTTATATGACTATTTACATTTTAGATTATCACTGAAGGCATCAAAACTATGAATGAACACGTGGAATTTTGTACTGTGTGAAATAACTGAAAACATGTTTTATATTCTAGTTTCTTTAAAATAGCCACCCTTTGCTCTTGATGACAGAAGTACCTAGTGACTGACTCTGTCTGTCACGAAGTAACCCTGCAAGGCACACCTTGAAGCTACCTCATGAAGCTCATTGAGAGAACAGCAAAAGTTTGCAGTGCTATCAAAAAAGCAAAGGGTGACTACTTTGAGGAATCTAAAATATAATACGTTTTCAGTTATTTCACATTTTTTTCTTAAGCACATGATCCCACATGTGTTCATTCACAGTTTTGATGCCTTCACTGAGAATCTACAATTTAAATCGTAATGAGAATAAAGAAAAAGCACTGAATGAGAAGGTGTGTCCAAACTTTTGGCCTGTACTGTATATGAGACGATACGATACATCTCTAGACAAAATATCACGATAATATGCTGTATCGATTCTCTTTCCCACCCCTAATTATTTAAATGTATTAGTCTGACTACAAGAAAGTTTCCTTTAGTGCTATTTCAGTCATATTTAATGGGTGTATGTGTCCTTTAAAAATCACCAAAAATAACCTTACAGATCCAAATAATTGTTTAACAATCTTATTAAAATATCTTCACTGTTTATCACAACAATACTCTGCACTTGTCTGGTTTAAATTAATCCTGAGAACTAATATATTGCGGTATCATCCACAGTGTATTAATGAGTATCTAACATTATAAGAAAAGTATACAAACTGAGGAATGACAGTTCAATATATCTTCATACATTGCCAAAACAGAGGCAAAGCTACACTCTGAGATTTTTTATATATACTTTGAAAATTACTGTCAGGGTGAGAGCAAAATACACATGCATACAAAGTTACTACTTTTATATAAGCAGTCTTATCTGTACATCATAGAAACTACTTTGTGCAGTCAGCACAAAGGAGCAGCATGTTAACTATGATCTAACAAGTGATGTCTTTCAAGAGTTAATAAAACTTCCAAACCATAACACAGCCTTTTAACATTTGTCATGTTTGACAGTAAATTAAGTGTCTTGTGCTTTTGGGCTGTTTGCTGGATAAATCAGGATGTCTGAGTTCATCACTTTGGAAAACTTCAGGAATATTCTCGGTGCCAAACTTCCTTTAAAGCAAAGCATTAAGAAAACTTCCACCACTGGCTGTCATCAAACAACACCCTCATGGTATTCAGGCTGTTCAATCAAAAACACAGTATCTAAGCGCAATACTGCAGTCACTATCAGAGGCCGCAGTAAGAACAAAGACCCACTAACACCTGCTCTACTTCTGCCCTCAGCCAAGCAGCCTAAGCCTTAACACCTCCAGTCACATTCACTCAGACAAAGACGGCTACTCACAATGTAGTGTGGGCTCCTCAGGTAGGAAAACATGGTCCCCAAAAGAGAGAAAGAGGTCCAGCTGGGGCTGAAGGGGGTCCCAGACAGGTAAGTGAATGAGGGTACGTAGCAGGTGGTGGCTACTGTAACTACTGTATGACTCACTGCATCTATACTGTCGTCACAGAGAACAGAAGAGGCCTCAGCGGCCGATTAAAGGATCTTAGGAGATCTATTTAGGGCTCTGGTCCTTGCCTTAAATAGGAGCACTCATTAGCTGAATGACCTGAGTGAAAGAGAGAGAGAGAAAGAGAGAAGGGGGGAGAAAGAAAGACAGAATATATAGAGCAGATGAAGAGAATGAAAGGGGCCCAGACAGAGTGGATTGCTTGACGGGTGGCCACACTCAGAGCTCACCCAGCAGGCCATAAAAGGTCGGAGTTCATGCTCCTGGGGTCGTAAAGTCTGCGGTTCACACGCTCCAGCTACACACTGTCAAGATAGCACAAAAACTCTTCTGAATATAACAAAAAACAAGTCAAAATCATCTCAAAAGCCCAAACAAATAAACAAAAAACAGCTCAATTGTGCGGCAACAACATCCAACAAACTGCAATCATCCAATCTCCAGAATCCAGCGTGTTTCCTCTCCATTGTTGCATGTTAGGAAGAAGATTAGTGTGATTAGATTTTGGAGATGTGGCGAGTTTGCTGCCAGCTGTGTGAAAAAACAAAGTGATCACAGCTGATCCCAGCGTTCACCCTCAGCCTGTCAATGGAAAGGTCAGCCAAAATAGATGAGGATGATGACAGATTACAGCCATTATCTGCCTCGTTAGCGGGGCGGCAGATTGGTGGGAGGATTTTTCTGTCATGGGAACGTCACAGTTTCATTGTGGTGAGTCAGGTGAGAGAAAGACTCAGTGAGAGAGTTTGTGTCTGCTGAGTTTTAATTCTGCTGAGAGGATGGAGTGAACTCAGACACTGCTGGAACGAATGCCACACGAACAGTCAAATTCTGCTGCAGCCAATGGACTTACACTCATGTCCCCGTCATTCATATGTTGAGTCATGAAGTAGTGACGCACTGAGTTAAACTGGGATGAAAATCTGTTTTGAGGGCTGTATTATATCCAATTAAAAATAATCAGTATTCAGTGCCAGCATATCCATAATTTTAACAAGCGGGTCAGGACTACAGTATTTTGCTGTAAATTCTCCCCCAAACCCCAGAAATAACAAAAGAAATGCAGTTTAACAATTTTTAGAAAATAATAAGTAAATTTCCAGAGAATTTCAGGACATCCAGACCTGGATAACTGCAGGAACTTGCCTTCTACGCATGCACCAACAAGAGTACTGCATTTGGTTCAGGTGATCGAGAGCAGCAGGTAAAACGTGGAGGAGTAGCAGGCAGAGCTTTTCAAGCTTAAAGCTTCTGTAAGGAGTTTTTAATCAGCTATGAAATGGGCTGAAATGAACAATAATGCAACTCTATGATGTACAAAAGCTAATGATGATAAAATTGACAATGTCTATACTATAATTTTTAATGCCTATAAGTGCTGTGAGGGGGTAGGTACGCTAAAAAAAACAGCTGTAGTTACTTTACCCACAGCAAAATATTCAAGACTCACTTTCAGACAAAATCATCAATAATAGGAGTTACCATTTTGTCCACAGGGGGCGCCAAAGTCAATAGAGACTTAAAGCTCCTCACAGCACCTTTAATGTCTTCACATGAGTACAACACGTACAGTAAATAATAATTCTGCAATATGAACTCAACAGAAATAAACAAAGCACAGATGATTGAGGCCAGCGGCAAAGAAAAGAAAGCCTACAAACTAAGATTTTTTCCTCCATATCATTTGCTTGACATGAATTTTCGAGACTTTGACCTGCTTCGACCCGGCAGGAATAGTCGGTGTCAAGTCAGGTTGGATATTAGCATTCAGCCACGCACCTCCATCAGACAATAAAGGGGAATTTTAGGAGGCAGTGCATGTGTGAAAGGGGCTCATGTCTGATTCCAGTTAAAAGCCAAGTCTGAAATTTTCCTCCTCTTTGCATTACTTTCTGCATAATTTCTCCACAAAAGGCCCTCAGCAGAGACAAAGACGAGTGTGTCTGCATGCCTTCACCAGCTGATGACTCATTTCTGCTAAGAACGGAGTGGGATTGCCTCGGAGCCGCTGAGCAGGCTGATTGAGGCGCATCAGGGTATTAACCCCGGAGAATCAGGTTAATTGAAAATCAAACACACGGCGAGGAGCGCTTTTATCGCACAATGTCGTTCCTGCTGTAGGTACGGCGTGGTGAGACGGAAGAGGATGGTGAAAGTTGTGTGTGTGTCAGTAAGTGTATAGCTTACTCTTAGCTGTGTTGTTGTGTTTAAGTCATACATATGCAAACATACAGAGGGTTTGATCTTATGTAGCTGATGTCTAACGCTCCGAATTTAATGATCCTCCTCTCCAGAATGTGACCCAGATAACGGCACCCTGCCGCCCTGCAGCTCCAAGTGGCATATTTTCACACATCTCCACCTCTCTGCTCTTCTGCTGTCACACCCCAATGTGACCTTTAAACCCTAAGTGGGTTACTTCAGTGCATGTATGCAGGAGAAATGAGAACATGTGTGTTGGAGTTCATATCAGCCTGTAAACACAGGTTGAGTAATTTAGGCCATCCTCTGAAATCTGTGGTGAAACTGAGCGCTAAGGGGCGATGTGGACTCAAGAACCCGCAAGGTATATGGGAACTTCCTCCCCAAACCAGTAACCCTTTCATAAAACACACACCAACACAAGTGCGCACATATGACCAAACTCAAAACACTGACAGACACAGGAAGTGTGCCTCAGCATCAGGTGACAGACGACGAGTTTCTCTGAAGACGGTCCGGAAGATGCTGTACTTTCAGAAATAAGTGCAGCCTGCCACTCAAACAGGCTCAAATTTATTCAAGCAAACTAAGGCCTGGTTGCTATGATCTATCATCTTGTTGCTAAGTAAAGCATCTCTCTGTCAAAAGAAGATGCTCTGAGGACCCTGAGGCCTTCTGTTTAATCAGATTTTCCAATTCAGTGAGAAACTGTTGGGTTCAGCTTTGCACTGAACTCATATATCAGTCCTGGGTTTTACCCATAGGATGTCAATGCTCAGAGTTTCCCATACATTTTCTTTACAGTTCTCAGCCATCATTCAAACAAATCAAAATGCCTCTTCATGCATCTGGGTAAAAGAGTTGTCCACTATCATCATGTTACAAAGCCTTAAAAAGCCTCATTAAGAATAAGAACAAGAAGAACTTTAAATTACAATAAAACTAACTTTAAATTACATTAAACAAAGATGAGTGCCACCACCTTTATAGCTCCCAATATGGAACTTTGGTTTTAAAGTGGACATCCAACATTGTTACAGTATATGTATTTAAATCTGGATCAGCGTTACAGACCTCCTTCAAATTCCATAGGACTTGAACTTAAAGCTCCTGTGAGGAACTTTTTGTTTGTGTCAATTTTAGCTCGCTTAAATAGAGTCCAACAAAGAATCTCATCCTGCTGACTTCTGACAGTCAAATGGACATTTATTGTGATTATCTTATGTTGACATCGTAAAATCTGTTCTTTTAGCTGCTCACCTGACACCTACCCTACTCCGCTGATTTCAGGCATTAAAAAACATACTATAAAAATGGTTGGTCTTGTTTATTTTTTGATATCACAGGAGACATTCCCTTCAATTTAAGTCTACCACATAAAAGAAAAAAAAACTTACAGGAGCTTTAATTCAGGAATCAACCTAATAATCTGTCATTTGTTTGTGTTTGTGTGTCAGGTATCCAGCTACGTGCTCTGAGAGTCAAATGAAGCCTTTATACTGAGAGTCCTGTGTCTCACTGGATTAAATTCTCTCATTTCCCTCAATGCTTGCATTTTTGGACTTATGCATACTTATTGTTCCTGCTCTGCAACTGCAGTGTTTTTATAAGGGGAGTGAAGTCTCTTTAACAAGCAGCTTGGAGATAGAGAAGACCAACACAGTGCAATTAATGTTTGAATTAGTTCATAGTGAAGCTTTTTGTCTGTTATTATCATTATGACTTCATCCACAAACTTCTGCATGGGGAATAAGGAAAACTTTGTTGTGCAGACTGCACAGGCATGTTGTGTAAATATTCTTGTCTTTTTTAACTGTTTTGTCAATCTGACTCTGAAACCTGCATCCCTGCCTCAAAGTGAGTACTTGTTAGTTTACACACTTACAATAAATTCTTAATTAACCACAAGATCACATGCAGTCCATCCTCTGAGGGTTGGTACTTTTAGTTTTGGGTGTTTGTTTGGGGGAAAAGGGGGGATATTTGTGGAAAACCCTGTTCACCCTGTCCGAAATCCCACCCTTAAAAACTCACTGAGAACCTTCAAACAAGCTAGAGGCGGCTAAGCTTGGCTTTCATTATAATATCTGCCTGTTTTGGAGAAGAGGATTTAATTGCTGTTTCTCCAGCAGCGCTCTGCAAAACCTTATTTCAAAGCGATTGAACTGAAAAATGCATATTTACTGGGCCTCTTTCAAACTCTTAATTAAAAGTTTCTGACTTGTGGGATGGCCTGGTTTCCATAATCACAATTTTCCAAGAGCTTAAACACTTAATATCTGTTTTAACACCAGGGTAGGTTTAGTTGGAAAGGAATCAGTTTGCATTAACAAGGAATTGTGAGAACAGTGCTTAAAGAAGACGGGGGCATGAAAAGAAGAAGAAGAAGGTCTGTGTTGGGGTTAGATAGAGGGAGCTGGTTGTTTTGGGAGCCTGCAGACAGTAAACAGCACATCTGCACTGAGAGAGACTGACAGCAGAGCCCCCCGCTGAGAGAGAAAGCACATCCACAAAGAGAAAATGGAATTACCTGAGCGGGGAGATAAAACCAAAAGCACAGCAGGAGGTTTGAACAACTCAATCTATTCCTCTGCCTCAAACATGAACAGGGGGAGACTTCAGAACCACATATTCACCACCAGACTGGTTTCTCTCCTAGTAGGCCTCAGACATTTAAACAGAAAAGCAAATTAATGCTGGTTAAAACCTGGCAGAGCAATTCATGTGGGATGCACGGTGCTGTTAAAATGTATGCAGCGATTAAACAACAGCATAGAAACAAAGGGGTGTCGTTTAGGATCAATGTATCTGTCTTGTTACAAATAAACCAGACTCATTATTTTAATACCGGCTACTGCAAATAAATGGTGCAACATGTTGCCTTTCAGCAATGAAACTCCAGGAACTGTTGGTTTGCCACTTAAAAACCTTGACACGACACTGAGCTATAAATGAGAGCAGTCAAACGTCACCTCTTGCTCCTGAAAACATGACCATGCTTCCATGTGAGTGAAAATAAGTGCTGCCAAAGTGCCGACAGCAGGCAAGAAAACACGAGAAGCACCACGGCCAGATGCTGCTGCATAGTATTTCATTTCATCAAGCTTAGGCCATGTACACACGTAGCCGGGTATCTGCTAAAATGAATATATTTTGTGCGATTCGGCCTGTCCTCCACACAAAGCCGCGAATACGTCAAAAAACAGTGCTTTTGGTGGACATACGCTGTGCTCCAGTTACCTCGGAAGTTGGTTATCGGAACTGGGAACTTTTCAGTTACCGAGTCAGAAAACCAAGATGGATGCCGACATTAGGCATTGTTAGCTGTTGTTTACAATTGTCTGCAATCGCTAGTTGTTAGCAGTTGTCAACTGTTGTCAGCTGTTGTTCGATGTTGTTAGCTACACCAGTTGTAAACAGCACAAAATACGATATTTCACCCATACAAACACCAAAGCACCGTGTTCACAGACACTGGGCGATACAACATACCACTTATTTAATTTCACAAAAACAAAACAGTAGTGCTAATAAATGTTGTATTACAAGAGCTTTACAGTTGATGTACTGCACTGCCATCTTGAATTATGACATTGTTGCCATTGTTTATGTCAGTAGACGGCACAGATATATACAGAATATATATTTTTGTGAGGAGCAAAGGAGAAGGAGAGCTTTACAGTCGGTTATTCTACACCAAATAATGCTTCCTCAACCTTTCAAGTGTCTTGTTGACTTTATACTCCAAAACAATCCATAAAAGCGCTTCCATCTCTTTGTTAATCCACACGAAAGAACTACACAACACTATGTTTCATGTTTGGTGATGACGAGAGAGGGAAGCTTGCATTGAATGGATGGAATGGATCTAACCTTTTTGGCAAATGCTACCAACTCCAACTTATGCGGTTATGTGTGGATGGAATTTTATTGAAAAACAATGATGTGTGTACATGACTTTTTTTTTTTTTAAATGCAGGGGGGTGGATATTTGTTAAAAATACCCAGCTACGTGTGTACATGGCCTAAGGATGCAAATTCAAGCTATTATTCATGGATGATCTGTGGAAATATTAGCAGTTATTAGTTGTGATAAGGATTTTGGTGTGATGCTTGAACAGCTATACATGGAAACTTCAACAAGAGAGGTGAATAGAAAGATAATTCTGACTCTCAGTGTCCAATTTTCTGACAACTTGCATAAGACCAATTTACCGTCTGTGCACTTTCTAGGAGCCATTCAAAAGCAGGTCAGGATGTAAAACTTTACAAAGCGAGTCTCAAAATGACCCCTCAGTGTTCATTATTCACAAGGATTTACAGTGAGCTGGATTATCCAGAGGTCTCCTCCTCTCCAAAACAAACAGACCCGGTGATTAAAAAACCGGGGAAAGAGGCTAACGCTGATTAAAAAGTTTTGTCCTATTCAGAAATACAGTCATGCTCCAACCAGCAAAAAGGAAAATGTAAATATGGATATAAAGATGCAGGATTTAATATATTGTACTCCAATCTCATCAAAATAAGTAGAAACGTAATCCTTTGATTTTTCTGGACATCCATTCCAACTTTAATCAGACATTAATAATATGTCAAATGCCTTTACATTAAAACCCTTTAAACTGAACACAACCTTCTCTATGTTCAATCAATGACATGACAGACAGTTGCTCTTATATCGACATGTATCCATACAAAGACTCAAGGCTATGTCCTTGCATAACCAAGTCAAATCAGGGATCGTTTGTCAAGGTCTGTGGCCTCACTTTGTCATGTTTAATCAATTTATTGGCTGGTATTCATTTGACAGATACTCATTGATGGGAATAACATATTAGTCATGTCAGGTCAAAGTAAATGTGAGGATTTGATGTTTTCTTCTGTTGTCACTGGATATGATTTGGGCCATACGAATTGATTGATCATTATAGGTTAATGATAATGACAACAGCCTTGTAGTGTCCGGGCCAGCTGACACGTGACAGAGGTCCAGTCCACCATGCTTTACAGAATTAAAGGGCAGATTTAAATGTCTGGCCCATCTACTTATTAACCTACATACCATGACTCAGGGTGTTTGGGTGTAGCGAGGCAGGAGTTGCAGTGACAGAAAGGCCCATTGTGTCCCATTCCTGCAGGTCATGGGTCGTTCAGCCCACTACCCAGAGACCGCCAATCCAGCCAGCTCTACCCTCTCTGTGCCCCCCGTCCCTCTCTGTACCCGTCCGGAGAAAAGTTCCAGCAGCAGAGCAGCCACTGTAAAGCCATTGTTGAGCACTGTCCCTGCCAGAGAGAGGGCTGCCTTGTCATCTATACTGCCCAGTCACATGTCCGGGCTCTTTAGAGAAATGAACTGCATCATCAGCTGGCCACAGGTCTGAAAACATGACCACATACTGAACTCCAGACAAACTGCCACCTCCTGATTTACATGTAAACTTAACATGAGGGATTTACTGTCTACTTTGAGAGGCAACAGGCCTGTGAAACCACAGAAGCCTGCTGCCCCTGTAACGGGAACAGGAGACTGTTTTAATAATGGAGGGTTATAACCTCAATCATCTGTATTAGCAGTTATATTTCACTTCTTGTTAAAGGCATTGTTATTACAAGTCTCACTGATACTCTCTGTGCATTCTCTATCTGTCCTCCATTCTGTCCTGCTTTCTTGCTCTGTTGGTTCCTGTATATGGCTGTTCTCAAGTCTGTTTATGTTTGAGCTCTTTAACCCATAATGAGGAAGTAGTTTTATTTATTTATTTATTTTTTTTTTGTTTGTTTGTTTTATCTTTTTAATCAGTATTAACAACCGTTTGCTGATGTATAGATTTAGTTGGACCTCTGTAAATAATAGAGGTAAGAAATACTAGGGGACTTGCAAATACAAAAAGGTCCAGCATACCATGCCATCATTATGCATTATACATCATGGTATGATAGGAAATTACATGATTTAATACAATTATATGATATGATACAATACAATCAGTGCACAATACATTATTAATTGATTTTATATGATATGAATTGATGTGATAAGATTAGTTACAATATGATATGATAGAATAGGATGCAATACAGCATGACATGATACTATGATACAATGTGATTTAACACGGAAGGCTTTGATTTTCCACTCTTTAACCTACCAGCGTTCACTTTCTGGGGTCTGATCATTGCAAATCAGTGCAGTTTTATCTTTTGTATCAGCATAAAGACCGCCGGCGGCATGGCACAAAAATAGAGCCCCTAGATTTCCTAATTCTTTTCTTCTTTTTGATTTTGAGGCTGCTAGCACATCTCTACAGAGTTTATTTTACTGTCTTCTTTAATTTTGTTGCAGTCAACATCTTCAGCTAACTGTCATGTTATTTACTCACTATACAGTAGAAGAAAGAAAATAAAGCAGCAAGAAAATCAGTTTGGAGGATCATCATTTCTACCTGTGTGTCGATACTGGTACCACACAAGTCAGGATGACAACGTTTCACCCTTCAGATATTTTGTAATAATATTAAATAGAGTACACTGTGTACCTGCTTTGTCTCATAAGTAATCTGGGACAACAACTGACTGTCAATTTGCTTCATTTCTATCAACAGTCATTGACTGATGATTTAAAACAGACCAGATCCAGGTACATGGTTCCTCTTCCCCACACTTTCCCAGGCTCTTATATCTCAGTCTTGTTCCCTTTCGTCCTCTAAATGACCCATAAAAGGGTCTTGGTTAGGTAATTGATCGTCACAGGGCTGCTTGTGTAGAAAGCAATTCAATTTCCACTGGGCATGACTTGCCACATTAGTGAGAATGGTGCTATTGTTTGGCGGAACCAGCAATGGCACGTAAAGGCAACACGGTCTGCCAAACTGTCCATGCTCCATTGACAAAATGGGCACCGATCAGGGCAGGAACTAGGGGTGCTTGGTAACCTGGAGCCATGAGGTGGTCCTCTCCTGCTGAGTAATGCTGACAGGACTGGAGCAGTCGTGCCTCTAGGCTGGAGGATGGTGGCAGACAGGGTCAGTGGGTTTACTTTGAGGTAACAAAGGGACACTGGATCGGGGCCCAAATGGGCTCAGAGGTTGTTTGGACAAGCTGAGATGAGACTGGTCCAGTTTGTGGGCCTGGGCTTTTGAATTTCAGCGATGGAATGCAAAACAAAGCAAATACAGTGGAGGCAGGGGCTATTTCAGATGGGTTTGTTTATGGTTTATCAATATTGAGAGACAGAGATTGCCACCTCAAAGGCTTGGATGAAAAAGAGACTGTCTTTGTAAACAGAACAAGTAATAAAAAAAACTGTGTCAGATAACATCAGTGTCTTGTCAGTGTTAGTCTCAGGTCTACAGACACAGCGGGTTAGAGGGTGTGCATGTTTCAGAGTCAATGGGGCAGATTTATCAATTCTTGATTTGGCTTCACAAATAAAACAGACTGGTACATCCTTTCATATACTCCACTGACAGTAAGCAGGACCTGATAAATGTGCTTTTTAGAGGACAGATGCGCAGCTTCAATCATTTTCCATTTAGATTCTGGGTCAATTTTGAATGGATTTGGCGTCAGCGCCCACCGCTCTGTTTAATACCTTTGACTCTATGTCCCTAAGCAACAACAGCAGAAGCTTAAAGCTATAAAAGTCCTCAGTGCCCCATCATGGAAAAATTAATTAAGAATGTTAAATCCAACAAATCAAGGAAATAATTAATCTGTGACGTCCATGAGACGAACCTTTTGAATTGCTCAAACATTTGGTGTGTGTTTTTTTGTTTTTTTTCTGTAGCTGCTGAGTAGTTCTACATTGCTGTGTCCTGACTGGCTAAACACTGATTTTAAATTCTGATGTGTCAGTCGCTAGGAACTTTTTAAATTTACGAAATCTCATGGCTAATTTAAAAATCAGACACAGAGAATGACAACGTAGTTATGCAAACTACATCAGTATCATCGGGGGGGGGGGGGGGGGGGATACAGCACAGTATTGCGATACTTTGTCTGGTGATATATCATATCGTCTCAGTTACTAAGTATCAATATGTGAAGTCAAATCTATGATAATGGAAAAATAAAATCAACTATTTGTCCAGTGAGGTTGGCAGAGGAGACATCATAGAGCAGGAGAAAGTTAGTACAACAAATATATATAAGGTTTGCTAGATTTGCTACATGGAAATAAAATACTGTAGTTCAAACATAAAGGAAAGCCAAATGCTAAATTAGCCAAACAGTTGAAAAATTATTTCTAAATCACAAGATACTGTATCACAATACTCACTGTATTGCAAAATGTGAAAAATCACAATGATATCATATCAGAGAGATGATATCAAGTATCATGATAATATTTTATCGAAGGGCCATTAGTGATTCCCACCCCTAGTATCATCTGAATTGTTATTTTAAACAATGGTATCATCTCTGATTTTCATAATCAGTGCATCTCTTTTCATGGACTCAACCATACAGCATCATCTTTACTAGTCTGCATCTAAACTACCAGTCTGTTTCACAACTTATAATTATTTTCTTATTACTGGCCCAAAATGCAGGTTGTTTCCAAGCTGCACCAGCTTCCTGTACCCCCCATAGCTTTGATTTATGTCGACTGTCATGACGCTCTACTACTAGGGAATAAACAAGCACAGATGATGAATGGTGTTTCATAGCTAAAGCTGCATGGTTGTATTTTGATCTGAACTATAAAGACTGAGTTGTATGAAGCCACATATGGCTAAACTAGGATGTAACCATTCAACCACTGCAATGTTACATATACTTCACTTGAGCAAAGCTTCAAAACACGATGTACAGATGATGGTGTGATCCTTAAACAAGTCTGTCTGAAAATTACAACACAACTTTCTTTGTGTAACCTCTTTTATAAAAACACACATGCAGCTTAGAGAGCTTCAACTGGGAACAGGCAGACAAAAAAGAACAGACATAAGATAAGAAGAAGAAGATAAGACACACTATTTATCCCTGAGGGAAAATTCGATAGAAAATTAAAAGACTAAAACATAAAAAAAAAAATCATGATAAAGAAAGTCTCAAAGTAAAACAACATCAGTACAGCAAAATCAATAATAAGAGCTAAAATCTGCTTATTCTAAAACTTTGTTGTCTAACTTTATATTGGTGGAAAAGCAGCAACGATGATGCATTTTAGCCAGAGGTTGAACAATACTTAAATGGATACCAGTATAAAATAAATTAGAGGTTCTTGCAGATTATAGGAGTCAAACTGACATCATGAAAGGTTAAAAAAATGTTATAGGTCTTCTTTAACGTGTGGGTATCAGGCCCTGTGTCCACTATTAAAGCTCATGTAAGGAGTTTTCTGGCATTTTTAAAACTGGCTCACATTTATGCCCTTATATGATAAACAAACAAAAGTCAGACCTAAAACCTGAGTGAGAAGGCATATGTCTGCCAAGTAGCCAGAGAAACAGCCCAGCTTTAACAACATACATATAAAATATTCACAATACATGATGAGCAAGATTAGCAAGATCAGGAAAGACTGCTTTGTCCACAGGGGGCGCACCAGGACTGACACAAACCGAACACTGTTCACAGAAGCCCTAAAGTTAACTTTAGTTATAATCCAAATGAGGATTCCTTTCATTTCAACACCTATAGAAAAATCTTGGAAAAGTTCCTGAGAAGCTTAAGATGGGTTCAAATATTAATCCCAACACCAAGTATTGGTTTCAGACAGGGCATGAACAACAGTCTCAGGGTTTGAAGTGCTGCGTTTGAGCTAGCCAACATCATGGTACTACCAACTAATCACAGCCACTCAGAGCACGCCAGCAGAGCTCTATTGGTTCAAAAAGATCATACAGGAGACTTATGTATTTCTCTTTTAAGGAATGCATAAGCAGCTCATCCAGTGTAATAAATAATTCAACAGCAGCAAACAAGTGTCCTATATCGTCCATTTTTAGAGCTAATGCATTTAAAAAGGATCTCCTCTAATGAGAAATAATGGTGCCTCTTTCATCCTTTTTCATCTTGACCAGATCCAAGGGTCTTTCTGTCAAGTAGCTTCTTTCTCTACTACGTGATCCTCAAACATCATCTCTTGCTGAATGTATCCAAAGCACAGCAGCCCCAAAGAACCCTGGAGTAGCTGTGGTCTAATTTGAATATGTTACCATGGCTGCAAACACCCTCTCATTCCAGATCAATACGGGCTCAAGGGCCTGGGGATTGGCTGGCAGATCAACAACAAACCTCTCAACTGGCCGCGGGGTAGGGGTCCTGGCCCCGTCCGCAGAGCAGCCACGTCACCCCCTCCGACTCTTAAAAAGACAAATTACTCGCCTTTCAATTACCAACTGAGGCTTCAAGCCAGGGACACAAGGAAGGAGAATGAATGTGTGAATTAAAGAACAATAAAGACACGGCACCAAGCTGCAAATATACCCTCCTGCTCACCCGGAGAGTCCTGGGGGATCAAAAGCACTGCAAGGGGACTGTTTAGTTTTCTGCCAATCTACAACTGGGTCAAAAACGCAATATCGCAAAGAAAACAGGCACATTGTACGACACAAGATGAGAACACTTGAAGTATGTTCATGTAGGATGAACAGGAGTTTGGGGGAGGACGGAGGGTGTTTAACCCAGGAATGTACCGTACACAAGCCCTTAATCCAGATATGTAAGGAGATTGCATTTCTAGTATGTGTGCAGAGGCGGGGGCAGTCTGTCCAGGCACGGCTGACCTGTAAGCCCCTCTGTCCCACAGTTGCTGGTGCGTTAAGCTCCCCCAGTGAAGCCTACAACACTTTTTAGATGATTATGGCACCATGGCCTTGTCTGTTTTTCTCTTTTAATCCATAGGAAATAATGTTTTCGTGTCAGCAACAAAACTAGAGCCTCAGTGTACCAAACACACTCACTTACACACCCATGCCAAGAACAGACTCTCATAAAGGAACTGAAATAGGGGGAAGTTCAATTTCAGGAGAACTTTGAGTCTGTTGACCTTTGATATATAAGAGCATAGAGAGGATACTTGTCATTTCAGCACCACATTTCCTCTGTTAGTTTGTTGTCTTGGTGCTTTAATGATCTGAAATCAATCTAAAAAACATTTCATTCAAGCCTCCCCTTAGGTGATGTTTCCGACCGTAAACAGAGTCTAAATAGCAGCTGAGGAAATAAGCTTTATGGCCACACATGCCAGTCAAACTACACCTACTGGGGGAAATATTTGCACACTGAAACAAGGAAATGAAGTGAAAAGATGTAAACAGGCATTAATTAGGGTATGTCTGCCTGCCTGAGCAGATGGTTAGCAGGCCTGGGGTCAAATGAGCTCAGCTATCTGGTGTCCCTTCACTGTGCAAACATTAACAGAATGGATTTAGTCTATGTAACCTCCATTAGTGGTAAACAATCACTGTCTGCTCCCACACACAGACAAAACAGAGAAATTCCAGGAGGAGTCAACAGGCTTAAACGCTTATATTACATTGTTAAAAACTCCATAGACACTGTGATTAATTCTCAGCAAATAGACTTTCAAATACATGTAAACACATACAGTATGTGCGACTGAAACCTACTGAACTGAACTTCTCATAGTCAGACTACAGTCGTAGACAACACAGTTGGTTGGGGATGTTTGTTTTCTTTCATATAGATACTTGTCAATCAGACTTAAACTGGCATTGATAGGAAGCCGGGTAGTGAACACAACCTCAGCAGAAGATCAAAGTACACAAAATAGACAAAATGTCAAACTGTTTGTACAAAAGGTCTAGAGAGCTGTCAAAGTGACACTGTTTTCTTCATTTCATCCCGTTAGCCGCTCGCTGTAGCAACAGTTTGTTAAATAACACAGAAGGTCAACCGGGAGACAACCAAGTAATAATGACCAAAATGAGGCATGTCACCATCCACCATATCTGATAATATTAAAGTTTGCCTGATACTTCTAAATAGAGACAGGGACTGTATTCTAGTTAAATCACCTAATCCAGCTTTTACCGCAGCTTGACTTAACTGTGCATGTTAACATATGTTAGCAAGGTAAGAATGTTCAAAGTTGTGACTTCTCGCATTCATGTTTCAAGATGCCACTGCAGAGCTATAATAAGTAAGAAGGCTGAATGAAGACAAAAGCGTCAACATAGATATTTCTTGCGGAGTCCCTGCTCACTCTGTGTGGTGTTGACTTTGGCGCCCCCTGTGGACAAAGTGGTAACCCTTTTTATTGTTGCTGATATCACCTGCTCCTTGTAAAAATCCTGTCCTGTTCTCTTTTAGCAGAAGCTTTAAATGTGAACAATAATTATAACACACAAACAGGCTAATGTTTCAATGTGTACCCTTTCATGTTGATTTGTCCTTCAAGAAGCCAGATTAAAAAAAATGTTATTATGTAAGTGTTACAAGCTGAGGAGTCAGGGGGAGTTTTATTAAAGCTGTGCCAATAAATCATTTTTAAATCAATACCATCTTCCTTCAATCAGAATGTGTCTATGTCTTTAGATGGTGGCTGGGTAATACACAGGAAAATTACAAATGTACATGTGTTTATGCTAATTAGAAACCCAATGGGATTAGAAAGACCCTGTGTTGAAGTGGTTCACCAGACATTATCCCTCACCTCTTACACTTGATTACATTGTTGTTCTTCTGGAAGCAGGTTAAGTGTTACATGTTTCATATGAGACCAACAACATGCTCAAAAGAAGCAAATTTTTCCTGATCATAACGACAACAGACTCCTGTGGAGATTTATGCAATTACAGACTGTTGCAGCATGAGTGTACCCACTGAATGCAGCTTGATTTCATTCATCTGTTCATGGAGAATTGACATGTTCGTGCTTTAAATGGGTGAAAAGCAAACCTGACTCACTGCGTCAACAATAAGAGGTGTTTGTTTTTCTTCTGTTCAGCCTAGATAGATAACGCTGACCTGACCAATGTCCAAGGAAAAGAGGCATTTGCTCAGAGGGAAATGAAGCCTGTCCTGAAATCGATGCTACACTTGGATTTTTAAGCACTTTTTTTTTAACCGTGCGGTTTCGGAGCAAACTGGTCTCTTATAAACACAAGCTGTTCTTCACATTTATGTCTGAAACTTTTTAAACCTTCCTTGACAGAATAATCAACAGGCTGTCAATCAAGTGTACAATGAGGTGATCAAACCAGCCAATGGTGTTGCAGAGCCAACAGAGCATGAAGGGAACAGTGAGACATCCGTTACCTCTGGCATATCCATTTCATTAATGGACACTGGGAGTGCCTCTCTGCCAATCAAAAACAAGGGCACTGAAAGGCTGCCGGCCTTGGAAAGTCTCCTCCGAGCTGCAGAGAAAACACTGATCAGCCTTCTGCCTCTGTTTTATCTCGGAGCTATTTCTGACCAGCTTTGAGGAAATGCACAGAGACATGTACTCCGTTCCCAAAAGGCAGAGCTGGGTTGGCAGACTCCCTACTGAGCAGAAATCCCATCAGAGTGCAATTATATGATGTGTGTTGATGCTGTGTTAAAATTGGATTTGCTGTTGAAATGACTGTTTGGGTACAAAGCTGTAAAGCTGGCAGAAGGATCCAGACTGATCCACAGCGGTGTAGTGTGCACTCTCTCTGTAACCTCTTTGTTTTCCACTGTAGTATCTCTGTGCAGTGACAGCTGCTAGTGGAAAGTTCTCAGGACAAAAACAGGGTTTCTGGAAAGTCAGTTCAGGGGTACAAACAGTACGACTGTTACTGGAGTGTAGGAGCGGCATCTCCTTATCCCTCTGCACACTATTCTCATCTCCTTTTTAGGCCAAAAAAAGTAATGCACTCAAATTTACATTATTACATAATCCCTCTGAATGAGTTTTGAGCCATTTTCTGTACTGTTTGAAAGTGGAAGCAGATGCTTGAGTACTGTACACTTTGGCATCAGGATTTTTGGTGTTTGAGCACCATGAGAAACATGAAAATAAGCAGGTTTATGATTTTTAACCATCAATCAAACATAGGGGTTTTTTTTTGCCAGCAGAGAAAAGTCAATGACACATACCCTGACAGGTTTTGACAAATAAATCTATAGAAACCACGCACTTAAGGATATCTTGAAAAAGATGATCGTAAGATCTTCAGGGGGTATCTTGGAACAACAATTTGTAGCTTTTTTACATAGAAGCTAATGGGTACCTTGAAATGGTGCCAATGAAACAGTAAGAATAGCTTGACCAATACACTCTCAGGTAACTTGAAACAAACCCAGGGGAGAACCTATAAACAGCCAGTAACAATCATTATAATCAGGAGCTAAAGCTTGAGTGTACCTTAAAGTGAATTGAATTCCAGGGGGTACCTTGAAACAGCCACTCATAGTGGTGTTAAACTGGAGCTAAAAGGTTGCATAAAATGGTACCATAACATAGGGCTGGGCGATAAACCGAAAATTTACCGATACCAAAATTTACGACAATAACCGACGTTATTTTGCCCATGTCAACATATTTGGTGTCAACAAAATAAATAAAAGTTGGTTTTGGATGTGTGTTGGTAGGCTATGGTCTCATGTCCCTTTAAGTGTGAGTGAATGTGGGAGGGGGTTAGAAGCTTGTAGAGTAGTTATTGTCCATTTATCCTTATCGTGGTGAACTGCTCAATATATCGTGATATTGATTTGAGGCCATGTCCCCCAGCCCTACCATAACACATTGAAAGTAGCTTGACCAAAATGCTTACAGGTACCTTAAAAGACCCAGGGGGGGACTTTTTAATCTGTCATTTATGGTTGTTCTAACAGAGGCTAATGGTACCTTGAAACGGCTGCCACATGAGACCTTCAAAAACTGAGAAATTATGCAAGCTATTTTTTAAACATCAGCTCAAGAGTCCACAACTGCTTAAAGGGACCTTGAGACAGGGGCAAACTGGGCCACAAAGTGTTTGATTTTGCTGTCAAACTTGGAATTTTTACACAGGACCTGGAGGAGATTGCTCAGCTTTTGCAGCCAGCCTCTGATGGACACTTGAGTAATTGCAGTTATCATTCCAACCCCTAATTTTGTTCCTCTTTGTAAGCTTTGGTAACAATGTATAGGAACCTGGTTACAGATTTATAAGGTTATGCATACCTCTGTATCAAACATAATGCAAACAATTAAATAGTAATAAATAGCATGTAAGCACATCCTACAGCAGGAAAGCAAGGATACAAAAGAATGCACCGCAGAGTCATCAGAGGAATGTTGCTCTTATCACAGCTCAGTACCTCCTCTACATCTCTCCATAGCCCTGCGCTCTTGAAGCCTACATCTGCTAGATTACAGTGGCAGACTCATTTCTCTCTCCTTTTCAAAGTGAGTGACCTCTGGCAACACAAGTATCCCAAAGCTGATAGTTTTTCACAGCTCATCTTTTGTCTCTCTGGCAGCACACACTCGGTAATTAGGGATAGCAGTGGCATATGACAGAGACAATACATGCCGCATGACGCTCGAGACACCTACGCTCTGACGCTTTCACCGGTCTTTGAACACATCAGTAGCCAGAAGGAGCTACACCTCTCCTGAGGAAGGCATTGAAACAAGAGAAAGTACAGGTGGCTATCACATTTTCTGGGCGATGTGCTGTTTTTGTATGATATCTTAACGGTACAAGCTAAGTAAGAGGAGGGCACCAATAATGCATCTCTTCTGGCGACAGATCATATTTCAGAGTTCTAATTTGATTTCATTGAGAGTTGGCTGCACATGGTCCAGTCTGATGTTGCACACACTTTTCTTAATCCCATTACCAGTCTGTGATGTGAAACTAGAGACAAAAACCTTTGAAAACATGAGAGGCATTTTGACATGAATTTCCATTTTCTGATTCATGTAACATTCAAATTTCTGTCAGTTCTCATGCAGGCAAAACATCAGTGTGGGCGGAAACAGGGAGAGGGAAATAAACACAAAGCCGAGCACTGTGGGGAGTGACGAGTGCTCCACTTTAGCGCACTGCTGACTCTGATCCCTTTAGGTGGATTCGGAGGTAATAAGAGAAATCGGAAATGGGGCGCACCACAACAGAAAGCACTGCGTAACACTGCAGAGGCCAAAAACGCTTTTAAACACGGAAAGCGATATCTAAATGGCTTCAGTTTAGGGCAGCCACATGCATCTAACACAGAGGGATTTGTAAGAGATACTGAGAGAAATGGTTCCCCAGACTGTGCTTGCTGTCCTCAGAGGTTTGCATGTAAGCACAGTCTGACCTGTCTGCTCATCCAAAGCAGGAGGCTGCAGGGGGAAAAATGACTAGCAGCTGTTTAAAAGGTTCTGGATACAGCCAGCATCAGTTATGTAACGGTGCACTGAGAGAGTCTCCATCACTTGTATGCAAACACAGACCTCTGTGGATAACACAGCAGGGGGGTGGTCGAGTTACTAGCTAAATAAATCCCACACAAGTACACCCACACGTGCCCTGACACCATATCAAACTCATAATAGTTCACACAACAGTTGGTGCTGTCAGTCTGAAGTGGAAATGTCACGAGCAGAAGGGGGCTCACTGGAAATCTCACTGGAACCAAAAACAGCCGGGGCACAGAGAGATCCAGATATGTTGCCGGGAAGCAGAGGGAGGGAGTGAGAGGAAATAAATGACTGCGCTATCAAAAGCAGGCCAGCTTAGGTGGTCTTACCTTTTCTGGGTACATGCTGTCCCAGTCAAACCGAGCTACAGCAGTGAGCCAGGCCCAGAGAGAGGGACAGTGAGCGACAGGGGAGGGACCCAATAAAGCACCGTGAGAGAAGAAGAGTGAGGGAGTGAGAGTGAGCAAATTAAATAGGTGATGTATCCCCGTCATCAGCTCTGTGAATAAACGCCACACAGCGTCAGAGGATGACAGGGAGAGCAGCTTTATGGATGCAGGAGCGGAGAGACAGAGGGAGGAGACCTTGAATCACAAAGACCCTTTACTGTCGCTCGTGTTGTTGTGCTACATGATCCCCCCCTTTGTCCTTTATGGAGCAAACTGAGAATTTCTTTTTTTTTTTTTTAAACAAGACTTTCCATGTTCACTGGTTCAGTTTTCTCTTAAAGCAGATACTCAAATGTAGACATCTAAAGGCCTACAGTGAGATATTTAATATTATAAGTAAGTATTATGATCCTCATTTATTGTCCCAGATATGATGTTTAAGCCAGCATTGGTTTGGTGTATATCAAACTGGCTGCTGCATTGGTTCAGGTACAAGCCCAGAACTATAAAACTAAACTATAATCAAGACCTTTCTCAAGCTTTGTCAACAAAAAACTGCATTTAAAGCCCCAGTGAGGAACTTTCCACCTTGGTTTATCTTGGCCTCTATGTCTTCTGATACAAAAAAATCTCATCCTGCCAACTTTAGACAGTCAGATCTGTTATTTAGAGTTCAAATTTTAAGAGGAAACAGTTAAAACTAAACTCTGTCTTCAGATACCTACCTCCTAGCAACAGTTTCACGCATTAGAAATAACAATATTAAAATTATTGGTCCAGTCACTGTTTTCTTTTCTTTTTAATATCATAAAAATGCTACAGCATGAATTTCAGCCTATTTCATAAACATCAAAAAACTCCCCATTGGGGCTTTAAGCACAAAGATGTTTATGTCTATACTCAACTCCAGCTCTATTCTATCTTTCCAGACTGCAAGATGGACTCTGAAAAATAAATATCAGATATGTGGGAACCTTTTAAGCCAACACATATTGTCCATCATACTGTTTGGCTCGTGTTTTCTTACATTTAGACTAGTCAGTAAGTCAGAGTTTAACTTTCAGTTCAAATAACTGAGAAATAATTAACTTTGGAACTTAGTCAAAGCAAACAAAATCTTCATGATGACTGTTTTTTTACACTAATAGTTTGTGTATTTTATTGATCATGCTGCTTTCAGTGGTTAATAGTTCTAGAGCATCCCCATTAAAGATGCACAACATAGGGTTTTTGCTCATCTCCAGCTGGCCGATATTTTCAACCTTAAAGGGATATTCTGGTGTAAAATTAAGTTAGGGTCAAACACGCCATAACGAAGAGTTAGACATCCCCTTAAGAGATGATCATTGCCGACTGCTTGGTTAAGTGCTGTTCTGAGCATTATTTGTGGCTATAGAGTGGCTTTTTGGTTGAGGTTTGCGCGTGGATCCATAGACCGCTGTGTATTGCTATTGTTCGGTTGTTTCTAAAAGTGGTATAACTAGAGAAGCAAGCAGTCAGCAACATTCATCTCTCGAGTGGGTGTTTTACTTGGTGTTACAGTGGGTTTGACCCTAACTTAATTTTACGCCGGAATATCCCTTTAAATTAGCCAATACCAATATCAATTCTGATAATTACACACCTTTTTGTCATTGTAAAATAATACAGTATATATATATATATTTTTTTTTTTTACTATGAATGATTTATTCTCTCCTGTAGATAAAGACCGTTATATGTCTACTTCAAATACTCCTTTACAACCATTTATGAATGTATTATATTGATATTTTGGCACAAAATATATTGGTGGAGATTTTCATATCTAACAACAGTTCATTTTTCAAGCTATGATCAATGCTGATAATTTTTTGCACCCCTAATGCAAACTGATAATCCAATCAACAACCCAACACAAAAATTAAAGGTGCAGAAGCAGGTAAACAGGTAGGCGTTGTCCTGCTACGATGAGTCATTTTGACTTTATAAATCTTACACAACTCAGTATCGTTCAAACAGTCTTCCTGTTTAATGAAAGATGACGGAACGTGAGTATTTTTAGCTGCAGCTCATTTGGGGGGGAACCCATATTTAAAACAGGCACAGCCACTGCACTGTGGTGACGGCGTGCGTTATGCAAAGTTAAGGATCACCATGATAAATGATGCAGATGAGTCACTCAAGCCTTGATGGGAGAAATGAGATCAGATCTGTTTCAAAAGGGTTTTCCTCATGTTCCAAAAATAAAGTTCAATCATAAATATTTCATCACATCTTTTAGGCATCACTTGCTGCTTCAATTGGGTTTACTTCCATTAGATTCCTGCACCTTTAACCATGATCCGCTTCTTAGAAAAGAGTTACAAAGGTGTAATCCGTCACCTTACACAACAGACACAACTCCACTAAACCCTGAGCCTGATGTCAACATTAGTACTTGTGGTCTTCTTGAAAGCTCAGGGGGGTTTGTGGGTTTAATCCTCTTGTTATATCACAGGAGCATGGATGAGGAGAGATGCTGGAGGGGGGGTGGATGGTGGTCACAGGTTGAGGTGCAGGCCAGGGGATCTTAGTTTCCTCACTGAGACCACATCTGACAGCATGATTCAGTACAAAGGTTGAAGAGAGAGAGACAGGTGAGCGGAGGGGAATAGGAGACTGACAGCAAGGGAGGAAGCGAGTGAGACAGAGAGAAGAGAAACTAAGAGGCCCAGACACAGGAAAGAGAGGAGAAGTAGAAAGAATGCAGGCGGGCGGGCGGATGAGCAGACAGACGCTCACATGAACACAGCAGATGTACTATTGGCTCAGGTTTAGTATTAAATTAGTGCAAAGTCCAACGCTTTGCTTTGAGCAGTGAGCTTCATTGACTTAGCCTCAGTGTGTGTGAGTGTGTGTGTGTGTAATATGTGTATGTGTGTGTAGGCACTGAGGCAGGAATTCAAAGTATGCACTGGAAAACAAGCAGGGGCCTCCTTTTCAGCCTGATCGGGAGTAAGACTCTCGGCGGAGCTCCAGATTACGGGGCACAGCGGACAGGAGACGGTTATACCTTACAGCAGCGCCTGCTCTCATATGTGGTGGTATTTACTAGCTCGTTATGTAATAAAAGCATGTGCTCTCTCGTACTGACTTCAAAAGATTTAAACTAACTTTGGAGATTGGTGATAGAGACAGCTCTGCAACAAATTTCAGACTCTGCAGGCGAAGGATCCGTGAGCATAACATGTAATTAGCAGGTTATTATGGAGTGAGGATGTCAAGAAACAGGTCGTTTCTGTACGGTAAACTGAAGAGCTTCCCAGGAGCTTCAAGTGTGTGAGAGAAAAGGCCCTCTAATCAGTCTGCATGCTGTCCTTTATGAGAACAATGCATGCTTTCTGCTTCACATGGGAGAGAAGCAGAACTAGACAGACATATCAGCTGGCAGATAAAATTTGGTTGATTGTCATTCATGGTATCAGAATACATGTATAACAGATATATAGAGCTTTTCTGAATTAAGGACAAAACAGTAAATCAAGTTTCTACGTTTGCTACAAAGCATCACATATGAGCTGACAGTGATTGTTTATGACCTGAAGACATTTGCACAGTCATGCCAATCTAAAACTGGATCCTCAAAGAAAAGGACAAGTCAGTAGGGGTGGGGGAAAAAATCGTTACAGCATAGTATCACAATATTTTGTCTGGTGATATATCACATCGTCTCATTCATCAGGTATCGATTTTACAAATGCATTGTTAATATTAAGTCAAATCTATGATAATGGAAAAATAAAATCAACTGTTTGTCCAGTGAGGTTGGCAGAGGTGACATCATAGAGCAGGAGAAAGTAAGTACAACAAATATAATGAAAATAAAATACTGTGTAAATAAGACAAACATAGAGAAAAGACAAATGCTAAATTAGCTAAACAGTTGATTGCAAAAATTGCAATATATGGTATTGCAATACTCACTGTATTGCAAAATGTTAAAAATCGCAATAATATTGTATCGTGGCCCAAGTATCGCAATAATATCATATTGTGGGGCCACTTGTGTTTTCACCCCTACAAGTCAGGGAACCACCTTTATGGCTGGGGCAAAATATTGATCCTAACTTGTGCAATACAATGATCAAATATGGATATTTGAAATCGATAGCATGGCACCATGACCTGATTTCCCTGCCAGTTCGACTCAAGGTGTCACTACTTCATGACTGCTTGAGATGTCACTAAGACATGAATGAGGGTAACATGAACACCAACAGAGGAAGGTGATAACAGCAAAATGTAAGAGATGAGAGGCACCTCTGTAACCAAAGAAAAGAAAGAGAAAAAAGATGAAACCCAATCTGCAGTGAAAGTTTGTCAACCTGACTTCTAATGATCACAGGTGAGTCAAAGTCGTACGTAATAATTACTTCCAGCTGGATTGAAAGCAATGAGAAATGTATCCCTAAGTGCTCCAAACTAGCATGACACGTGATCCTTAACCTAAAGCTGTCGCCATATGGCCGCATAAGATTTACTGAAGGCTACAAAGGAAGGGAAGCGGATTGAAAAAGTTTGAAAAAGATTATGACTGCAGCTATTACAGGTGTCTGAATATGTATCGATATTACCTCTCTAACCTCATCAGCCGCAGTCATCTGATGAGGTTCCCTAAGAAAACTCACATCACCCTGAAATACAGACCAACTTCACTGCACCAAAAGAGTAATAGTAAAATGATCAAACCTTTGAAGGAGCGAATGATAAAAGTGCATTAAGGAGTCCCAGCCACCCTCACATCTCAGTATATTTCGACCTCGGATACACTCTCAGCCTTTGCTTTGTTGCACAAGTCGGTAAACATACAACAGCATAGGAAGAACAAGCCACCTGCATTCAAATCCATCCGAACACACGCTCAGACATTCAGGACATCCACTTTTAATGCTCTCTTCCATCTTTAATGGTGCCCTCGTAATGTTGCATACGTCGCTCAGAGGTTTACAGCTCACAGGCTTCAGCTAATCTCCGCATTCACCCAAACATGAAAACATACACGTCTGGCCTTCTGTCCACGAGTCTCTGCCGTCTCACGAAGGCTGCAGCAGCTCTGTCAGGGCTTCAGGGCACTCACACTTTGTCCCCGACCCTCGACACCCGCACCCCCCCCTTCCTGTAGGCATCGCCAGCGAGCAGGAAGACCACACAGTAGGCTCACAGACACACTCTGGCCTCCACTCAGCTGTTTCCTTTTGTCTAGAAACCCTTTGAGATTCTGTCCGGATACATTTACAAGCCGGTTATGTCATTGTGGATTTATGCATCCTCGAAACGTACAAGACTTCTCTGAAACATGACATGCCTTACTGGAGGATGCCTTCTTTTAAGACTGATCCAGCTTGTAATCTGGGGGAATTACTGGTTTTATTGTTAACATGAAGCGCCGCATCTTACAGACTATGGGGAGTTGCCTAACAGCTAAATGTGACAGAATTGTGAAAGAGAGGGAGGGCCTGTCACTGTGGATGCCTTCTTTGGAGTGTGTGAAATGGTATAAGGGTGGGGGTGTGTGTGGGGGACTCTCAAGGTCTGTCTAATCAGACAGTGAGTGAGCACAGGGCTCCACGCTGCAAAGCCACAGACACAAACACATCCAGGGCCACGGCATCTTCCCCCTCCGTGACACATCTCAAGAAAACAACAATCTAAGCTCTCACACAAACCCAAAGAGAAAACTTCATCCGCTTATTAAGTCAGCCGCGTGTTTTGGGAGGAAAACCATCAAAAGGACTTTCCCATCTATAGGAAGATATGAGTAAATGGATTCCAAAATAACCTTATTCAAAACAACTCTCTTTGTGAGGACTGTGTGGGCTTGTTTTTATCTTTAATTTTAAAAACACACAAAACATCTCTATGAGAGAGAACAGCCGTAAAGAAACCCAACATGTTTGTGTGAAAAAAAAAGGCTTAAACTCATATGCTTTTCTTCATTTTTAAAGAAAATAAACTCGTCATCTCTCTGCCAGCCTCTTGAGAGGTGTGGAAAAGAGGTTTATTTTCTCAATCCCTTAAGAGCATGGGAGCTGTGCTTTTAGCAAAGAGGGGTGTCAACAAACCCCAAAGGAGAGGAGAGGAGAGGAGAGGAGGGGAGTAGAGGAGGGGAGAGGCCCGCAGTGATCTGCTGCCGCTGCCGCCAGAGTCCCGGAGATAAGCAAATTACATATGGAAAGCATGCAGACACACACAGGCGTTAATCGTCACCCAGAGATCAAATCTAATCAATTAGAGGTGGCCAGCTGGCACTGGAGCAGGAGCATGACAGCTTCAAATCCATCCATCCCACTGTCTGTCTGTCTGTTCATGCAGAGGCTCCTATGCAAACTAAATGTTTAAGAGGGGCCACTGTTTGTGGAGCAGTTTAACTTAAACTCTGCAAGTTAGGGCTGCAAAGTCTATCAAATTCCAACACTGATCAATATTTGAATTTATGTTGACATTTGAATGCATGGTCAGAAAACTTGACGTATGACAGTGATTATCAGGAAATGCATGACTGTATTCTATTTTCTGTCAATATTTCTACAAAAACAACAATCTGCTCAGTTCCTGTCGGGGTCTCCTCTGTCAACATTATCACACTTCATTTTGTAAATTTATTCAAATAATCACTTGTGCATTAAAAAGTTTCACCTGTGGGAAGGGATGGGCGATATAGGCAAAAAAATTACCATGATAAGATTTGCTGATAACAAAGATACACCAGAGATAACAAGAACACCAGTTAGAGTAGTCGAATCAGATACTTAACCACAAGTTTGAGTTTTAGGTTATGGAGAAAACTAATGACATCAAACAAGTCTCAAATGTGAAAACATTTTCAACATTTGTTAAAAACTCTTATTGCACAGAGTGAACAGCAGCAGATCCACTGTCCGATGTCAGGCATACCTGATTGCGCTCATCTAAGCCCCAAGCTAGAAGGAAATCCCTTCCATGTGGAGCCTCGTTCAGTAACCAGCTGCTCAGAAACGTCTTCTTCATGACCTTCAGCCATGTTTGTTTGTTATTCTGCTCTGTGTGGGCTATAGCTGTGAGTCCATCACTCGCGCTTACGCCATCAACTTGCGTTCGTCGTATTTATCATGAGGTGGCAAATATTTATCATGGAGGATTTTCCTGACGATATATCGTGAATGATAATTTATCGCCCATCCCTAGGGCAGATGTGTGTTAGTAAAGCAGAGGAGCAGAGTGAGCACAGACGGTGAAGCTGCAACATTGTAGCATGGCCAATCCATGCACTCTTGACCTCAGTAAACTAATACATTGATTTTATTTGTCAAAAATGGAGGACATGGTCAAGCAAAGCTGCACTGAGCAAACAATCGTGACAGTAAAATATCTAAGATGCGTAGTTTGGAAGTATTTATGGATCTACACTCTAGATGGAAAAATAACAGACAAATATAGGGCTGCATGTCAACTTTGAGCAGCTGTCAACAACTACAAATTTGCAGGCTCGCCTTATGGCTTGCCACCCCTGATGAAGTGGCAACAGACTTACATTGAGCAGCACAATGGCAAGCTTTCAGCGCTGTATGACTGCCTTTTTACAGCAGGGCCCTTACCAGAGGCTTGTAAAAAGGCCATAATGGATAAGATTGTAAAATTCAAACATATACAAACACTTTCAATATCCGATTGAAGTTGATTTTTTTGAAGAACTGACAGCCCTTAAAAATAACTCCATAAAATTAAGTCTCAATTCTTTCATCTGTAGGATAAAGGCAAAGAAATTTAACATCACATTGTAGAAATACTCTTTAACAAATAAAAGTCTTGTGTCTAACTTTGTTATTCATCAGAATCAAGTCAAATTTCTTGCACAAGTAAAGCCTTGATGTGATTTAATGTGATTTGATTCAATATTTGACTAAATTTTTAAAGCTGCCATGAGCAGTTTTTCTTCTTACCAGTCCAGCTTTGGCAGTAGATGAGATTCTGAATATGCGTTTTCAATAATCAAGCAACAATAAAATGATGAAAAATGAACGACTTTAAACGGCAGCCCTACTCCAAGTTGAGTTAGTTTCTCTGCAGTAGATTGTACCAATACAAATGTCATGATTCTGCAAATACTGAGGTCTATTTGACATTTTTAATTCTTTTAGGGTCAAATTTTGATTTCTGTGATTTAATTTTGCCCCCAGGGTTACACCTCCAGAATAGAGTGTATTAAAAATATTTTCCTACATATGCTAAAGTTAGAGGATAAGTTTAAATTAGTAGTACCTCTCTCAAGTTCAGCTATTTAAAACAAGGACCTTAAACAAATGTTTGTTACAGGCACAGTCTTGGGCAGCATTAATGCAGAGCAGGTGATCAGTATCTTCTGTTTGGATATTCTCAATCAAACTTTTTAAAAGCTGTGCATCTTCAAAATGAGGCATGATGATGTGTGCTCTGGTCTGGCTGTTCCTGTAGTTGACGTCACATTCAGTGCTTGTTGGAGCTGAGAGCATTGTAGTGTCAAGCAGAGATGGGAGTGCAGCTGTGTGTCATGCCTCAGCGTGTTGGTTAGCACCGTGTCCTTTCCATCATGATTTCATCCCACTGCCTTTTCAAATAAATGGAGTTTATTAGTTTAAATTCATTTTCCCAGCTGTTAAAGTGTCCTTCTCTGCGCATACTTGACCTTTTCATAATTTTGTCTCAGCCAAATCTAGGTGGTCCTCGTCAAACTTTTGACAGTTCTCAGAATTCACGTGTAAAATACATCAGGTACAACATGATCCCCTTGTTTTCTCTCTTTTTCAGGCCCACTTTGTCTGCGGCCCGGCAATGACAGGAAGCAGTGGAAGTGGCGGAGTTGAAAGAATTGGGTTTTTTTCTGCAGGGTCATTCATTTGGCTGGCAGCAGGCCAAACAGGACGTACTAAAACAACAACTACAAAGGCTCAGAGAGTGAGGGAGTGGGTTCCACCTGCCCCAGTGACCACAGACAGCTCTGAGCACTGATTCCTGTCTGCCGTCTGTTTCTTACCCGCCCTTCCAACATACTGTAGCCCCACACAAAAACACTGCAAAGAGCTGCTGCCCATGCAAATGTAAATGGCTGAGAGTGAAATGTGTGTTTATTTTGGCCCGTGTGATTTGACAAGCGTGAAATGAATTCAAAACGGTTAGTGAAGGCAGGCGGCGGCAGCCTTTTTCTCGCCTTGATGGGGGCTTTTGAGGTATGTCATCCAACCTACACACCATTTAGCCCTCCTGTTAGTGTGACTCTGAAGTTGTAAACTATGTTAGCATGCCTCCATTCTCACTTCCCCTTCTTTCCTATGGTGCATCACACATGGCATTCACACTCCCTCGCAGAGTCGTCCCCACGGCGGGGCGACTAGGGGCAACAGACTGATCCTCGGCTGATATGACCTACTTTCTATTCAAGCCCGTCTCTCTTTGTTCACTCCACAGAGGAGGAGGCTGCTGCAGCCCGTGGAACAAAGAACACAAGCAGCACTTGGAGCCTTCAAACACGCTGACCCTGCCTGGATACAGCCACCCCCAAAAACTGGCTCAGAAGAGCAGAGCAGCTCGGACTCCCACTGTCTGGAAATCTCCTCCTTTTCCTACTTTGATCTACCTCCACTACAGACCAAGGAGGATGTGTCCTAGTTCCTGCTGCCTTGCACTCGCTCTCCTGTCCTCCTGGCACATAGTAAAGAGATAATGATGGAGAAGGGAAGAGGCCTGAGTTATCAATGCAGGGACTGCAGAGAGGGACAGTGCTGTTTCCTCCTGACATCCACATTCATCAGCACTTTCATGATGTTGCCAAGCTTGTTTCAGGTAGTTAAGTTTGAATATGAAAGTAAAACAGATACTTTTGAAGGGGTGGTGAAGACATTCTTCTTGCCTTGGTTTGCCTGCATTGAGTTTCATCCCTGCATGCCCTTTCCTCAGTTGTCACACCCCCCAGCCCATCACTCTTTTTCAATGGAGACAAAGGATATCAGTCCTGACTTGCAGCTGTGAACTCAACATGATAAACTAACATGACTGGCTGTCGTCATAGTTCATGCTCACTGCTCTACTATCTTTAAATTGCTGATTTGAGGGATGTCCTGACCTTAGCTATTGGATCAGGCCGTTCTTGGCGAATTTGCAGGCATTGACAACAGCCTTGACAAGCCAATCCACCCTGAGTCAGCTGAGCACTGTTTGCAGCAGAAAACAAACTTGCAAGTAACTTTGCATTGGTAGCAATGAGGTGGTGGTAGTAATAGAGCTGTATTCAACTTTATGCGCAAGGGAATAAGGTAAACTCACTGAGGGAAATAAGCTGCTATGCTGAAGCTGCAAACACCAGAAAGAGTAAATTTCCCCAAGAGAGTAAAAAGGCAAAAGAGACTGAATTTATTGCTTTGTAAAAAACGAGATGGTGGTTAGGTGTGTAGGTTGATGATATCTTTTGGAGATTTAGGATCTAGGTATGTCCTGCTGTCTTTGGACAACATTTCAGACTCCGCCTTAATAACAATGGCACCAAAGTTTGTGAGAACAAACTAGGGCTGCGTGATTTTGGCCAAAAATAAAATCCAGATTTTTTTCCTCTGAAACTCCATTTTCAATTTCGTTTTTTTATTTTGTAAAAACTTCACCAAACTTTACTTGAAAAATAAAACGTTTTTCAATCATCTCTTAAAACGAAACCACTGAAAATGATGACGTGCATATGCCAAGCCAGTAAGTGGTGCTGTAACGCTGCTGAGGAACTGCACAAAAGACAGAAGAAGAGTACAGAGCATGCGTATAAAGGTTGTTTTGGCCAGACGCGCACAGGCATCATAAAAGAGTTACGCTGTGTGTCACATAATTGTTGTAAGAGAGATGCAGATAGGCATCCACACGGAGATAAAATGGTAGTTGTTTATGGATTTATGTACTCTCTGACCCAATTTCGAAAAGTACCATTTACAGTCACCTGAAACGCTGTTAGCGACAAAAAACTTTTGCGTTTACTCTTGAATTCGTTTCTGTGTGGACGGGTTGATACCGCCTTCAGAGAGACTTTGCAGCGGGGAGTGGTTTGATCTTCATCCGAAACTGTGTAGCTGTACCAATTCCACCAGACTGACTTGCTCTTGCCCTACTTAGCCACAAAATTATCGCCTTCTTTTGCAAATGCCATGTTTGTTTACACTGGTGTGTGTGGGAACTGGGGAGTGCTCCCGCAGGAAGGGGGAGCCGACGGTGGCCTGGAGGCAGGAGACTTAATCAAGAGGAAAATCGGTTTGACGATTTCAACTTTTTTAACATCTTCATAATCAAATGATCTGATTACGATTTCAAATCGATTAACTGTGCAGCCCTAGTTCAGACTGTACTCCAAATAAGGTGTTTACAGCTGCAGCATTATTCCTGACATGTTAAGAAGCATATCCTAAAAAAAAAGCAGTGTGTGGTCACAGCAGCTGCAGGGTCATTATGCTAAAATGAAGTTTGCTTTTGTTTCTACATAATTCTTGTGTTGTGTCCACAAAATCAAGAATTTCCCTTCTTTCAACATCTTTTATGATTAAAACAAACAAATTTCTACAAGTCCTCGCTAACTAAACATGTGCAGACACTAAGTAACATGCTGTTAAGCATTTCCTGACCAAGGTGCTTAAATGAGCCTATATTTTGGCTAATACAGGTGCATGAATAAGGGGTCTTATTCAAGTTTGTAGTTCTTGGGACATGATCTCATTTGGGTCACTGCAAACAAAACAAGGTGTTTGAATGACTCATACACAATGGGACCATGGTGTTCATGGTAGTGTAGTCGCTGCAGACCCTCATTGCACACTGGATTGATTCCCTTATATGAAATAAGCCGGAAACATCTTTTAGTTAACTTTGTTTTCATTTGTTGATCAAAAAAAGAAAAATAAAATTCAGCTGATATCAGTGCATTCATACTTTAACAGGATGGAAAAGCAGAGCAATGTTTGCATTTAGCAGCAACAATAAGCTTTTATGAAACACAGCTGCTTTGGTGAAGGGACTGTTACAATGCTGTGTGCATGACCAGTGGACCAGAGTGCCCACAATGGTGTGAATAAAGTTAATTTCAAGGCAGGCCGGATGTGCAACCGCTCCATAACACTGCTCCTAATGAGGTGGATTTTGGTTTGAAAGCACAGTTCTTGTTTTGGTTCGTTTGGTTGATAAAAGTTTCATATTTTGGTAGGGATTGGAATCCAAATGGTTCAATCCATCGACATCATTTACATTTTATCTTAACGATTCCTTCCTTCTGGATGCCTTGAAAAATGGTCTCACGAGAGCCAGTCTACGCAAACGAGAACAGAGACTTTAAGGAAAAAATATGGCAGATGGTAACTGTCAAAGTAGGCAGAAACGATCTAAAGCATGGCTTCATTTTCCTAAGAAAGATGACAACTGCACCATGTGCTACGTTTGTTTAGCAGTGATAACATGCAAAGGTAGAAACACCAGCAACATGCTTAAGCATTTTTCAACTGGGCACTGCATCAAATATAAGGAGTGACATGTATTAGATGCTCTCTGCCGGTCCTCAGCCGCTGCAGCTCCATGTCAGCACGGTATGGATGGTACATATCTCTTATGATGACATAAGCACAATGCATGCCAGACTTAACAACATATTAGGTATTTGACTTAATATCGACCGAAGTAAATGCTATACAAATAGTTCGTTGTTTGATTATTTTTAGACTCTCACTGAAGGTGGCGTAAATCTTTTTCTGTCATCAGAGACTCAATAAAATTTTGAGTTCACAGTGAAAATCTATAGTCCACTTTTCAATTCCCATCCCTTTATTGTGGATAGAGTTTGAGAATTAATTTCATAATTTTGATGGGAGTCATTCACTTTGAACAGACATCAAACTCATTCAGATCATCTGTAGTGAAGCATTAGTTTTCGATATAATACCTCAACAAACACTAAGGTTGTACAAGATCATCAGTAAGTTTGAAAAGCAGAAGTGGAAACAGCTCAAAATACACAACCTATCAGCTATGTTTGGCATCTACCCGTGCCAAATGTGGCTAATGGCAGCCAATTACAGAGTCCTCTATTAAACAGTGAGCTGTGAACGTGCCATTTAGTCTTCAATGACCCAATTGCAACAGCCGCCCTTCAAAAAAAAAAACGCACATCTGTACAAGCCAGACAAATTACACTCCTTGGGCAACAGCAGAAGATTTAATAAGCACCTGCAACTGTTGCCGCTTTCTTCAAATCTGGCAAATGAGGCACAAAATTGTTTGAGGTAGGGCAGGCGGTGTAGGGGCCTGATGGATGAATGTGGCTCTGCAAGAGAAGGGGGATGACGAACGCGCAATCTCTGAGCAGCCAATATCACAGAATCAGATGAGGACAAGGGCGGTTATCTGCAGCCGGCCGGGGAGAACAAATGAACATAGGGTGGGAAATAAAGCAAAGGGAGTGGGAGAAAAAGAGCAAAACTGAGGACACCAATGAGATTAGAAAGAAGGACAAAACCAGGGCGGCCCAGAGGAGTCAGTGCTTCAAATTTCCTGTTTGCAGAACTCAAGGAGCTGCAGCATCCTCTTTGGCTTTGTGACAACCAAAGAATGCACAAAAGTAGAGTCGAAAAACCATCTAACAAAGCAGACCAAGTTTCTGAGAGGGGTTTAGTCGCATCTTACCTGCATGTGTTCAGTCGAGCTGCTGCTCAGCTCGTCACCAGACTCAGAGTCATTGTGGAGCTTGTTCAGACCCTCGACTGGCAGCTCACTCGGTGGGGACGTCTTCTCGCTGTCTGGACTCTTGTTGTGGTCATTCCCCCCTTTTAGTGGAGGCGAGTCTGCCCGTGTCCTTGGCAATGTGGAGTTGTTGGCATGCTGATGGTTATTGTTGTTGTGAAGGAGTACCAGTTCGGCTACCACCTTGCAGTGAAGGGGGCTCCCCAGGTTCTGGTTTGTATCCCTGGGCAGAGCCGGTGGAGTGACCCGATCTGAGGATGGAGACGGGGTGGAGGAGGGTGATGGACGCCCAAAACTGGACATTTCCAGCTGAGGTCTGTTGAGGTTTTCATTAGAGGCCCGACATATATCCAGAACAGTGGGTTTGGCCCTGACAGTGGGCTTCAGGGGAGGCATGAGGGCCCGACGAACCTCCCTGACGTACTGCGCCGGCACATAAAACGCCTTTGTGCCCTCCTCCTTTCTCACCTGCCACCAGTCCTCATTGGTCTTCTTCACCAGCAGGTACCACTCTCCCTGGCGGATGGTCACCATCTTGTCTTTGGCCTTGTACTCATAGTCATACTCCACCTCGATGTAGACCTGGCCCGGGGCAACGGGCACCCCCTCTCTGTCAGCCATGACTACCGGAACAAGCGCTTGAACTCTGACCTTAGCTGCTCAGCAACCCAGGCCTGGGGGGCTCCTCATGTCTGAGTGGAGGAACTGCTGACCTGCAAGAGATAAGACCCACAGAAAGGCAGTCAAATGTCACATATCCAGGTCTGGGGAAAGTCTTGAAGTTTTTGCTATCGTTCATGGTACATGCTGAAGTACATGACCAAGCATTAACTAGGATAGCTGATGAGGGATCAAGATGGAGGAAAACGTGCAGCAAAGAGTCATTCACACAAGAAACCACTGCAACAAGGACAACAGCTTCTATGTAGAGTATTTGGACCACCGGGCCTTCAGCAACCCAAAAGACCCTTATTTTAAATCTCAAACTGTTCTATTCAGTCTTCAGCAGTGGTTGACTCACATCAGACCAGTATCAGTTTTCAACGGCTGATGCCGGTAATGAGGGAGCAGGTTGCACAACATTGACAAAATGTAACAGTTTATTGATACTAACAAATAAAAAACATAACAGCTGAACATGAGTGATGTTTTCATTCAGTAAAGTACCACCTCAAAGGACTTTGGGATTTCCTATTGAGAAAAAAATTACAGGGTAAATATTAGGGGTTGGAATCACTGGTGGCCCCATATTTCAACATTATGAAGATATTTGGGCCACGATACGATATTATTGCGATTTCTAACATTTTGCAATACAGTGAGTATTGTGATACAATATACTGCAATTACATTTTTTTCAATTGTTTAGCTGATTTAGCATTTGTCTTTCCTTTATGTGTGTCTTATTTACACAGTATTTTATTTTCATGTAGCACATCTTGCAAACCCTATGAGTCAGGTCCATCTCATTTGTGCCCTGCTTGCATTCCTACTGTCTCTCCCCAGGTGCTGCTATATTTGTTGTACTAACTTTCTCCTGCTCTATGATATCACCTCTGCCAACCTCACTGGACAAACAGTTGATTTTATTTTTCCATTATCATAGATTTGGCTTCATATTAGCAAGTAATTTGAAATAATCGATACTTGATAAATGAGACAATACAATATTTATATCACCAGACAAAATACTGCAATACTATGCTGGATCGAATTTTTTCTCTAACCCCTAGTAAATATCAACCTCCGGAGGGTTGATCATGTGAAAATGACATTAACTGGCTGATGATTTGGTTCTTTCTCGTCTTTAGAGCATTAACAAAAAAATACACATATAAGAAAAAAGACTACCTTAAAAATACATGCTAGAAAAAAATTAATTACAGGTCAATAAACTTTGCATTAAACTTAGAAATACTTATGTAGCATCAGGTTTTCCAGGAGTCCATTATTTTCTGGACACTTGCAGATTTGCAGCATTATGCAATTTATTGCTGTCAGCAATTGACTCCTATTCACAATGCAATAAAAGCCAAAAATTAATGCATTATTTTATCGAATCATGCACTATTTTGACTCTTTCTGCACACCGTAGCCAAGCTGCTGCAGTGTCTTGCTGCTATAATGAAAAGCAACATCACAGCACTTTTTGAATGGCACATTTCACTTCATGGAAGTCCAGGATGATATTGCCCATAAGTCAAAATATGCACTTTGGTGTCAGGCAGAATCGATATATCACTGCGGTACTTTGAGATACAGTTACTGCAAATGAGCTGAGCAGGCAGGCGCAGCTAATCAGACTGATGTCAGGGGGTAACCGCATCACCAACGCTGACAAAACGTTTATTCTGAGTCTGAAAATCAACACCAACCTTTGGAAGAAACTAAATCTAAATCAAAGAGGTGAACCACTGCACTCACTAAATGAGCGACTGGCTGCAGAGGAAAATAAACCTGAACTCCTAAAAGATGGGATCACTGAACCTGACATGTAGTTTTCAAATAGTGGGTGAAAAATGTAATAATTGCAAGTAATAAAATTAATCACTGGTCCGTTCTAGAGAGTTTATATCATTTATCATGATAATTTAGGTTATAGATACAGCAAAAAAATATGATCATATTTTTGGAAACCCCTCCAGACATAACAGAGACAAATGAAAATACACCAACCAGACCACAAAAACAGGCTCACATTTCACAAACCTCCGATCCTGTCACAACCAAACTTCTTAGTCACCTGACTACCCAAACCACAAAGAGCTACCACTGTAACACACTCACACTCTGACAGGGGCCAGACAGACATACTCCATGGGTGAGTCGGGTAAATAACACCACAGAGTATCCACCCCCTGTAATCATCAAAAACCACAACAGACTGTCTACACTGATTGCTCTGCTAACCGATACCACAGGTCGGGGTATCCAGCCTGGTAACCTGATCACCCTCTGCAGAGCTGAGGGCGATGACAACATGACCCTGTACACTCATCCTGCAGGCGATCCGGTGACTACAATGACTCCCTGAAGCTCACATTCCCTCAGAGACTGCATCCAAAAATAAAGTATCTTATTTTATAGAGTCCAGCTCTGACGTTTGAAACCACCGCATACTTTCTTTCTTTTCTTTGACTTCATTTTGATAATACTGTCTAAACATCATAATCTTACTGTTGAGTATTTTGACACTGTGCAAAAGTATCTAAACTTTTCCTTCACATTCATTTTGGCATTTTATCCGAAGATCATACAAACTTTTCCAGCCTTCACCTTTATAATGAAAGGACTTCAGCGTGAAACGTAAAACAAAACAAGCTAAGGATGCATGCATTTATCTGACTAAATAACGCCATGCCAAGTCAGCAGCAGCAGAAATACAAGTCAGTTAAACAAATTAATAATACATTCTTAATACTTTAGGCCCAAAATGATGGTCTTATGTTAGGTCTGCAGCCACCCAACACTGGTGGAAACTAATGCCATGAAGCCATGAAGCTCCACTCAGATGTAAACAAACATAGATGACAGATGACGAGTCAATGCAGGACGCATTTTGGCAGTACTCTGATACAGAAAGTGGGCATTAAAGGGATATTCCGGCATAAATTTAAGCTATGGTTGAACACACAGTAACACCGAGTTAGACTTGGAATGCAATCAGAAAAATACTTGCGGCCGGACACTTCATATCGCGGGTCGAGAGTGGCTAGAAGCTGGTTGAAGCCAGGCTTTTCAACGGTAGTTATTGGCAGTATGTACCTCGCTATGGAGCATGTTACTGCATGGGTGATGTCCTTATGCCACTCGGACGCTTTGTCGTATTTTGGCAAGAAACGAAGTCCAGTTTGGTCTGCTTCACATGCTTCGTGCTGGTGCTGGCAGCGGTTCCAGAGGATTCCTCCGACGATGACGTGGAGCCGCGGCGCGGCCGACACAGCTCGTACTCCTGCGGGTGCGATCGGTTTAGATGGTAAAACAAGTTGGTTGTGTTACCAGACTTCGTTTTTACTAATTCTCTGCAAATTTTGCAAACGACCGCTGTTCGCTTTTTGTCAGACTTCTAAAAACCAAAACATTGCCATGCTGGTGAACTACTGAAACCTTTTTTCGGGACAATGTCCTCCGCTTCTCCTTGCTGTATCATTTTTTCTAATACACGTGCTGTCTGTTGTTGTTTGAGAGGGGCTGGGCTTGGTGCCGTAGCGTACCTGGGTCTGCGTTTGTGATTGGTTGGGAGGAAGTAATGACTGTAGTAAAAGCTACATGATAGGCTATGATGAAAAAGAAAGGGAAACTGTGTTTTTCTATCGAACTTTTTATCGACCCGTTTTTTTTCTATCGCACCACACGTCTATCGATCGATATATATTGTTATCGAATTATCGTCCAGCACTAGGGTGAGTTGTGTTTAATCTCTTTGCTTAAGAAACCAGGCAACGCTAAAAAGATGTTTGGTGGCTAGTACTATGGCTAGGACCCTATATGTACTGTTGATGAAGTTAGGTGCTGTTCTGAGCATTATTTGTGGCTATAGAGTGGCTTTTTGGTTGAGGGTTGAGGTCGTTGCTGAAGTTGGTATAACTACATAAGCAAGCAGTCAGCAACATTCATCTCTCGTGGGGGTGTCTTACTCAGTGTTACCATGTGTTTGACCATAATTTAAATTTATGTTGGAATATCCCTTCAAGTTGTGCTGTTCGCTGTGTCTGCTCAAACTGGCATATAACCACCTAACCAGAGCAGTGTGTATTCAGCAAAGACATGTGGTTATTTACCTGCATATACTTGACAAACACTCTGACATCAGTTACCTTCAGACTTTTATCCTGTCTTTAGCAAAGTTGCATAGACTGTGCCTCAGAATATCTCGAATACGCTCCTGTTTGGTACAGCATGCTTGTACTGTTCCTCTGATTTACTAATACACACCTGCTCTTCTAGCTCCGCTCCTTAGCAGTGCTACACATATACATCTCTCCTTACTTGTGGCTGCATGATTGTTTGTACTACTGTTTCCACTTCACACAGTTTCCCCATCCACAACTTGTCTCAAACTTTGCACACTGATCTGAGCTTCTGTGAATGACCTATTTCAGCCTGCCAGCTCCTGGTGCGTTGGCCCACCGGAAAAATGCCCAGTATGCCAGATTGCCAGTCCAGCCTTGGATGTAGCACCCTCTCCTTCTCACTCTCCATAGTTGGAGTTTGAACTGTTTGAAGGGAGGAGGGGTAGACCACATGCTCTCCTGTGAAGGAAACGAGGGAGAGAGAGAGCACTCCATTCACCACATAAGACCAAATTAGCACAACACAGCAGGTGGTAAAGTAGTTGTTTTATCTTAATTATCTTGTTTTTCATGATTTTGAGGAGCCAGATTTGTAATTGAAACAGAAATTCAATCAACACCTAGCTCTCATTCATACCCGTAAAAAATGAAAACACCAACTACTCTTCAATTTAGGCACATGTACCATGAATGTTTTGGGGGCTGCTAGCTTAGCTGCTGCCAACTTCTGTTCAGCATTTTCTCTCTTCACTTCCCAACCTTAAGTGACTAAAACAGCTAAGTTAAATCAAGCTGTTAAAAACCAAGATACACAAGAGACACAACTTGTAACAGCTAGGATGTGGTCTGTTGTAAATATTGTAAGGTTTAATAGCTGTGGGTTCGCCGGCTGTTGTTGCATTTCTTCCCACTGTCGTTTACGACTAAATCAGTGTAATTCTATTTGAAAAATGTCTGAAGTTCATCACTGGCTACATTTCATCATGATTTAGTAGCAGGGTTTCTGTGGATGTTTTATCACCAAGCTCTGCAGCACATTTATTCAGTTACAGCTCCCAGTCAGAAATCTTTGAAAAGCTTAGGGGGATGTTCCAGATATATCAAACACAGTCAGTGTGAGCCAGAGGACAGCTGGGCCCTCTCCTCTCCTGCACGGTTTGTTTTGGGATGAGGCATGTCATTGATCTGTCTGTCAGAGAGTCTCCCTGCATCGGTCAACCTAAATAAATAACCGGGACGCTCCCACAGCGGAGGAGCTGCTCCTGAGCCGCTGCTCCTCTCATATCAGATTCTCCTTCTTCTTCCTTAAAATAGAAGTCGCCTTGGCCTGACATCCTGGTTGCGCTGGCAGCAAAAGCAGGTGCTTTTAGTGAGGCGTGAGAACACGAGGCTGAGTCCATAAGGGGCCCGTCCTTATGTAAAGGAATATGTACACAGGCCCTGGCGTTCAGACTGACAGCTACACTCCAAGAATAGATTTACGGCGGTGAGAGCCGTCTGGGCTTGAGTTAAAGCCCGTGAGAGATGAGGCGCATGTTCATTACAGGCTAAAATAGTTTTTGTTTTATCACCATGATGCACACGCACACTTGTTACATCATACCAGGCTTTTAGTGTGTGCCTGACAGCAGCAGAGTCCCAAACACACACTCCAGCCATGACGTCACACACATCCAAGTCTTTATGAATGACTGCCTCTCAAGGAACAGACACGTTCTGTTATAGTTTGTGTGAGTGTTTGTGTGAGCACTGGACTCATCCTCGTGTAACCCGAGCTCTAACGCCACTCACACACTATCTGCAGTCACACCATGGTAGAGGTGCCAGAGATGCAGTCAGGCGTCTGTCAGAACATGGAGTCACGCACATGATAACAGGACAATCAGTGATGTTACATGACCGCGACCGTCCCAGCCTCCGCACACTGAGTTCACAGCGTACTTTCAAACTGCACTCAATCAGATGTCAGTTTTATCTTAGTGTACTGATTTATAACATCAAACCTGCAATAAGTAAAATGGTGAGAAACAATGAGAGGTTTCATGAAGTGAGATGAACTTCAGATACCCAACATAAGGATCGTATACTAAAGTGGGAAAAAGAGGGTGCTGCCAACTGCTCTCATCATGATGTGCAAAAAATAAAATAATTACGTCATGACTGAAAAGAAACTCTTTCCTTTTTCAATCAGGAAATAATAACCAATGTACAGACTGTGATGGCATCATACCTGGCAGCTATCTTGGTGACTAAAATAAATCAACACACAGTGCCAAGCAAAATGACAACACAACTTCATCAGCCAGTTAACACATGATTGTCCAGTCACTTGAAAGTATGCTCATAGTGTGGCAACAGTCCACCAGACAGCCATAGTGTGTATGTTTCAGTGCACTTAATATGATATATTATGTTGAATACAAACTTGAAGAGAGCCAGAGCAAAAGCTGAAGCATATATACTTAAGTTTATGAATCTCCCAACCCTGTGAAGCTCTGACATGCAGACAGCAGAGGAGCAGGAGACAGATATTTTAACTACACCAAAACATGATCAAAATTCAGCTCTGATTTTCCTTTAATAACATAAATACTATTTATGCATATGGTAAAAAAAACAATTACCAAACACATGACATAAAGACCTCAGAGAATTACTTGCCAAAAAGATAATTTACCTACAGTTAGCACCTGGCAGCTAGGTTACAATAGTTTTGGATTTTTCATTATAGTTTAGTTTTATTTCATTTGGACTTTATTTCCCCACTCATTTTTTCTCTATTCTTCTGTGTTTGCTGTGCTGATCCTTTGTTGTTAACATTGCAAAAATAAAAAAAAATATTAAGGGCCTGTGTCCACCAATGGCATTTTTGTGCCGGCAGTGCCAATTTTCAACAGAAAACAAACCACCGTTCTTAGCACTCAGCCTCCTAAATACAATAACAAAAAACCCTCCAAGGGAGCACCAGTTTGGTGTAGTTATGAAATTGCAAACTCTGTTGTCATAGGCAACAGTGCAAAAAGCAGGAAGCCCAGGTTCAGCACCAACCTGTGCTCCTTTTTTAGCATGTCATACCCAACTCTCTCTTCTAGTTTTCTCTCTACCAACTGACCTGTCCTCTCAATAAAGGCACTGAAGCTCAGAATTAAACCATAAACACGAACACTCCCAGAATCTGGATGTTTTGTTGCTGCGCTCTCAGCACTCGAAATTTAAATAGTTCAACTATAGGAACGTAGCCATCTATCGGTGTAACTCTTCATGCATTGACTTATCTGTATTATGAGGGAGTCAGACTTCTGACTTCTACTTTGTCAACAACAGTGGCAGAGGTCATTTGGAAGAGAAACTACCAACACTTGTTTTTCAGAGTAAAATTTGCATGTTGAGAGCTGTTGCTAATGCTACCGACAAATTTCTGTCAATTATTTTTACATTTTCTCTGGCAAATGCCAGTGGACACAGGCCCTTTAGCTGCCAAATATTTTCCCCAGTATAACCAAATCCAGGTCAAAGCGCTAAATAACAGAGCCTCATTAATCTGGGAGATTTGAAAGAAGTACTGGTTTTATCAAGATAATTCTCTTCAATTAGATTTTTTTGGGGGTTAGTCTTTGGGACACACTGATTTTTGGAGACACACTTATATGAAGATGCACATAACTAAAGAAAGTAAATCACAAGAGGAGCATTCACATTATTTTACATGATTTATCCCAATGCTGCAGTGGACTGCCATCTGCCCAGCTGCAATGCGCTGCTACATTTAAATGCAAGGATTGTAAAATATAAAGTCAGAGAGCACCAATCTAAGAAAACTACACACTATTTCTGAATCAACAAGAACTGAACTGAATCAACATTAAATGTTCTGTTGAAAAAGTTCGAACAATTTCAGAAAACATACACAATTATGCTCATATCTGGTGCCCGATATAGTCTGAATAAATTGGTCAGCTGATATAAACAGACAATATACTCTGGGCAGAAAAAGTGAAGGAGTTTAAAGAAAGAGAACAATCAAATGTGGACCAACAGTGTACGTATTAGAAACCTGAAGCCCTGCTGGTTTGTGAGGCCCTTCCACTGATATTTAACCGTGGATTCAACCTGACTCTTGAGTCACAATACGCCAAAAATTTACAACCACACTCCCCCACTCTCCCTCTCTCTAGACTGCTTCTGTGTTGTTCTGGCAGAGGACCAGACTGAGTAAATTTCACTGGAACTGAAACCCAGTCAGTGCACGGTGTTGGAGCAAAGTAAAGCCTCAGGGGGAGTCTGCTGCTGGCCAACTTGTTGCTCAGTGCCCAAATAATGCTGCTCATCTTTAGAAACATGTTGGCTCAACAGCTGTGATTTAGAGACTAGAATCTATACAGAAGAAACAGAGTCTGGCCATCTTTTTTGGGTTTGGTTTTTGCCCATAAATGTTTGTTTTTACATGTACTCACTCATAAAGCAGTGGTTTAAAATCTCTACATGTATGGCGGTCGTCACACTGATTATGTTCATTGTGTTGCCTCTGTTTTCAGACTCAACGGCAAAGGGAATTTGACTCTGTCCTTTCTTTAAACAGGTGTCTAGGTCCATTTTTCTCAAAAAGGTTCAAATGCATAACAACAACTGAAGACAGGAATGACCCCCTGAAAAAAAATTACCATATAGGTGGGAGATAAAAAAAAAACTCACGTGAAATCCTCTTACAGGCATAGCTTTGATGCTGACTCTGTTGTGTAACAGCAATACATAGATATCAGGGTCACTTGAAAATGTGCTTTTGTAAAAACACTCCAACATGTGACTCAAAAGGAGCACTCAATCATGGGTGCAGCTGGATGAAAATCATGCACCAGCGCAGAGATCACGACCTGTGCTTTTGTCTGCATACATCTGCAGACCAGCCACTGTAGCAGCAAAACACCCTGAGACTGGAACTGCCTTTGTCCCTGAGCTTCATTCAAAACAGATGTGGCCGAGCAGCATCCACTCCAACATGTGCTGCTGCTCCTGCTGCTGCTGCTGCTGCATTTCACTCCATCTCTGCGGGTTATATGCGGCATATGTGGATCTGCAGTGCATGAAAACAGTGTGCTTTTGTAATTATGCACCCCAAACAAGCACACTGGGTCTATAAACTGTGGGCACTGAGTGGCCAAAGCATGCCTGGGGCGGGTAGTGCTGATGAAGGGGGGGGGCATAGGTGGGGGCAGGGTCCCCCCCAGCCATCCTCAGACTGCAGAAATACAACACAAAGGAGTTTAATCCATATGCATTCACAACAAAGGGCTCTGACTCGGTATCAGAAATTCCCAGGACTGAGGAAGGGGCAGGGACGTGACTGCCGGAGAAAGCCCCCCTTTGACGGGGACGCACAGCCAAACACACCGCGAGGAAATAAGCCCCAGAAAGCAGAAGGTGCGAGCCCCACAAGCTGATGCGATCACGTTATGTTATTTTACAAGTCTGTTAGATATCCTACACGAAAAATCTATGTTTTAAATTGTGACTAAATGCCACTTGGAGACATTTTTGTGACATTTTACAGCTGCTTCGTGCTTGGACAAAAGCACTGCAGGTTCACAAACCCTCCGATCTGCAACAGCGTGCATAGCAACAAAGTAACTCCGGCAGAAGCCAATAGCCTGGCGCTGACCACACCAGCAGAAACCCTCACACAAACATGAAACATACTCACCTTGAAATACTCTGCAGCTGCCTATCCGAGCCCCGTGAAAACCGTGGAGGTAGTTAGCGAGAACTTTTCCCACCTAATTCAGTGTCGGCGGCTCCGACTGAGTCCGCAGCAGACCTCCAGTCAAGTCGGTCTGTTCGCAATCCCCCGCCTCTCTGCACAACGTCAAGGGACCATTGGAAACAGATACTACATCCGGACTTGACTTTCAAAGTAAAGTTCATTTAAATGATAATTAAATTTATTCAGGGTTATTTTTAGCAGCTAAAAATGCATTTAAAATGTATTAAAAATTGAAATATAGGCATATTACTTTTATTTCACACTCTTAACTAATGCTGCCTAGGAATAAGCTATTGTTATAAAAAGATAAGCAGTACTTAGTCTTAATCTACAGACATTTTTTTATCGGTGTATAGTTATGTGTTTTTTGTTCTGTTTGTTTTTTAATCACAGAGTTGGTCCTTTGTCATTGTTTAGGGTCTAAACTTAAATCCAAGTAGGCCTGTTGCTCTGTTGTAAACCTATTTGTTACATATGACACTTTAGTCAATTAATTAGTCAGTTAATCTTGAATTTTTTGTCTTAGACTCCCAAACTGATATAATCTTAACAGGACTATGTCATTAGAGTTTTGTTTACCTCTAAACCATGAGAGTTGCCTATACTAAATACTCAGCTTTGCACAGTCAGCATGCACAAGAAGCTCATTCAGCGTAAGAACTGAATATTTATCTCCTGCAGACTTTTGCATTCAAATTAAAAAAATAAGGATAAAAGGAATAAGAATAAGAATAACTTTATTGATACCCAAAGGGAAATTCAATTGTCTGTCATCATTTGTCAAGTCTCTAAAAGTCATCTACTACTTACAGAAGAGTTGTAAAGTCTGATGGCTGTGGGTACAAAAGATTTTCTGTTCCTCACATTTACCTCAAATCCTCTGTGACTTCTCATTTCTCACATATTGAGATGAAAAGCGTAAAAAAAAAGTTCGGTTTAGATGCTGTAAACGTGAAACAAAATATGGACGCTTTTAATTTTCTCGTGCTTGCAGTGGTTTGTTTTATTTTGAAGGCATGTTTGACTGAGATCCGGTTCTTGGCTGTGCGCGTCTTCAGAGCTTGGCGCAGTTGTGGTCTTTAACTCGGCAGACGCTGGTCTGTCGCTCCCACCCCGCCCGTCTGTCAGCCCTCATAGACGGCGACCAGAGCCCTGAGGCCGGCCCGCCCCCTCCAGGTTCGACACCTCTCTGTCCGGTGCTTCCCAAACTAAGGTCCGCGGGCATCCTGCAGTCCTGTAAGAAGTTCCTGGAGGTCCCTGTAATATTTGGAATACTTTTCAAATAGCTTCTTTATAGAAATCTCCATTCAAATAAAGAATTTTCCTAACCTCTGGATTTTCTTTGTCATACTCCCTACATTATACTGAAATCCCTTAATAAGCTCATTAAAAATTGTATGGTAAACAAAGATGCCCCCCTCCCCGCTCAGCCAGGCTGTATCTGGCAATCACAGCAGGGAGTTTCACCATGCAGGCAGGATCATGAATGATTTAGAGCTAGGATGATCCGGGCACACAGAAAATCTTCATTGGAGAGCAGACAGACTACAGAGGGACTGAAAAACGCCTGCAGCAATAATACTCCCTGTTTGCATTATTTTAGAATAATGTATGAACTTCTCCACACTGCTGTAATCGCATCACTTGTCATTCTGTATTTGCATATTTGTGTTAAAGCACACCCTGTTGGTGTAAGGAGGGAAGTGACAGAAGGAAGCGTTGATGATTTCAGTTATTTGTGTGGTTACGTTTAAACCCTGTGATGAGCATGTTTCAAGTTTTGATAAAACCTCATTATTTATACGTTTTTGATAGGGCTGTGCAGACAACTTTTTTTATTTTATTAAAGGTCCTGGACATGCTGAGGTAGAATTTTCTTTCTTTTTTTTCTTTTTTTTATTAATTTTTAGGGAGGGGTTTGACACAAAGAAAGGGCCAAAGGAGGTCCACAGTTTCCGCACATGGGCAACACAACACAAAGCTCCAATGAGGAACTTTTGGTTTGTGTGATTTTGGTGCCCCTTATGGAGAAAGCAACTTTTGTTTATATTGCCTTCTACTATCCTTGGTTGTAACTTTTGACAAAAAACTCTTCCTGTTGACTTTTGACACTCAAATGAAAAATTTATTGTGAACATTTGATCCAAAGATTGTAAAAAACTGTCTGACACATACCCTCTTACACCAATTTCGGGCATTAAAAACTAAAATCTGAAAACCTGATGGTCTTGTTTGCTTTTAGAAACCCTAAAAATGCCGCAGTGTGAATTTCAGTCTATTTCATAGATATCAAAAACTCCTCATAGGAGTTTTAACCTCTGGACCAAGACAATACATTCTGCTTTCTTTTAACTGCCAGAATCACCCACTTTGAATGTTAGCTGTTTGAAACAGGGGCACTGTTAGGAATTTTGAGCCTGATGAAAGAATATGACATTAAGCTCAATCATGTCACCACTGAAAATGCTATACTATTTCAATACATACTGAATATACTGAATTATTGTACAAATTGAAACGGATGAGCATTTGACCATCTCACTGTCTTTAAGTTTATTTCTATTCTGTTAGGGGCAGCTCCTTCAGGTTTATAATATCATTATATGGAATAGTTTTTCCCATCAGGATGCACTACTAAGTGGCTAAGTGTGATAAAAACTAATTTTGAACTGAGAATGTTATTCATCATGGGATATTGATGACCGGAAATACACCTCTCCTACATTCTTGAGTAAAAGTTTCATATCAGTGTAAAAAAAAAACATGCTGCCTTTGTCTTACTGTAAACTTATCCCTGTTTGTGACCTGAAATTGATCATAAAAAACACTTTTGTCATTGACTCACACAACAGCATCATTTTTCAACCAAGCAGCAAAACTAGGCAGAACAGCGTCTGCATGTGACTTCTCCTGCCATGATTTGCTGTGAATTATCCGGAAGATTTGCTGCTGTTCTCACATGAGCTCACCCAGACTCAAGAGTGCGAAATAAATTTGGGGTGAAGTCGGGGTGAAAAACTCAGATGTTTCTGCTCACACATACAGATCACCCAGAGGGTCTATGTTTTAGGACTCATCCTAACTTTTCTCCACTGGATGGTCTGGTTGTGCCTCTGGTTGAAAATGCAAAGTGAGGCTATTTCTTCAGCGTGCCGTCAATCATATGGTCTTACATTTAACCCCCCTGCAGCAGTTTCAGGTACTAAGAATTCGAGCAACACTGTCTTTAAAGGGTCATGTTTGCTTTAGTAGATCTTAAAGAGGCATCTGTACCAATTTAAGTTTGTTTCACTGAAGTTATTACAAGTTTGTTTATGTGCTCCTTCGGTAAATAAGAGAAAAAGCAGTCTGACAAATAAATGAGCCACAGTTGAGTTTCCAATTAAAATTTATTATCTCTAGAATAAAAACTTTCACTTCAAAATCTGTCAACATAACAGACATCGGACGACCCATTATCTCTAAGAGAGTAAAAGTAACGTCAAGCTTGAAAATCATTTCAAAGGGAGATTGCTGAAAATCTTTCACATTCAAAGGCTCTGACTTTATATGAATCTCAATCCTTTGTGAGCTTTTACTTCATTTTTTAGGCTGAAAATTAAGACATTTCATGAGTTTAGAGTGAGTCAGGAGTAATAACAAGGTAAGAATAAGACTCATAGACTCTCTGATGGATTATCATCATTCTTCTCCAAAAGTAAAGTCAACTACATCCAGCTCACTTGGAAATACTAAAATATAATGACTGTTTCACCTTTTAAGTAAACATATCTTCAATTACCTAGCTGGTATAAATAAGGAATAAATATCAATTTTATCGATCTAATCCCTGTGATTTTGTTGCCCTGGGCCTAAGACAAACTTCTGTTTTCTTGCTTCATAATCATTGGGAAGCCGAGGAGTCAGTGTGCTTTTAAGGTCATTGATCGGTAAAGTGACTTAGAGCCAGTTTTAAACAATAATAGAACAGAGCACACTTGCCCTCACTCTTCATATTCCAAATCTAAATGTTATCTCTTTCCGCCCTGCTTCATCTTAAACCACCTTAGTGGGGTTAAATAAAAGAAAGAGAAGAGTATCATACAGACTATCACAAAAATGTCTCCTTAAGCTGCTGGTAACTTCAGTTTCTGGCTTTGTGGTTTCATTCTGAGAGGCAACAACGTGAGTTGGTTTCTTGTAAATCTAAGGCTTGAAGGACCAGATTTCTATACACTATATACAAACTTTGATGGTGTTTTGAAGTGTGAAGCTGTGGTTTCTGGTAAAAGTTCAATACTACGAACTGAAAATGTGTAAAGGATGTTGGTTTTGGCTTCTCATTTGGGTGACTGCCGTCTGTCTTCAGCTGCTGTAGGAAAAAACAGAGAAGAGAATGAGGGAAACGGTAACTCTTCTTTCATTAACACGTCTTCATTTGGATGTCTTACTAAGGGATACAGTACATGAGAAATAAAGTATACAATAGAAATATACAATAATAAAAACATCCAAAATACCCTATCTGAAATTCTAACATGCTGTCTGAGTCTCTATGGCACTGGCTCCCAGTCCAGGGTCCAAGCCACCTCCAAGGCAGCCAAACTAACTAAAATCACCCTTGCTGAATAGTTTACATAGTTGTGCCTGTTAAAAAATGTATAAATAATACACTCCCTCCTCATCTTTAATGGTAAAGCATCAAAATGTATGCCTCTTTTAACTTTTTCACCATACAAAAGGAGGGCTTCAGGGCAAAAGGGTCAGGAGCCATGGCTCCATGCCAAGATTGTGAATAATATTACATAATATATATGAATAATATTGATGGAAGAATTTTTAGTGTGTGATTAGGGTAAAAAATACAACCCCAACTCCTTTTCAGGAGCAGAACACACAAATATACTATAATTACGATGATGAAGTAAATATAAACAAACTAAATTTAAACACCACAAATTAGCAGTGATATCCTGTGTGCCAGAAGTAAAGTGATTTTAAATCACAGAGCCTATGTGATTTACGTCTACCTGTGACAAAGGCTAAAAAAGAGTGCGTTTCCTGTCTTCTTACCTCTCGTTGCCTCCTTCCTTGATGTTGTTCTGGATGAGGCTGGATCTGATGAAGCCGGGGATCAGAGGAGCTCCAGGCAGCTGGCCTGGTCTGATGGGTTTGGCTGGATTCAAAACAAAGGAAGAAAACACAAGTTTAATCAGAGTAAAGTCACAGGGGTAATCTTTTATCTTGGCTGCAGATAGAGTTTTTTTCTGCTCTTAAGTGTTGAACATGGAGATTGATATGACTTTCAAGGCCTGTGTTTTCAACTCCTAGCCAGAGTGGACTGCATTTAGCCCAGACACTGATTTCTCATTTCTAACTCTGTTTGCCTAGTTCAGCACATAAAGACTGGAAACAAAGAGAGGGAATTGGCCTGGTTCTGTCCAAAATTAAGAAATACATGAGCATATGGGCTTAATTTTGGCTGCATTCACTTGAGTTCAGGAAAACATCTCACTTCAAGATATCACTCACTAGAATTAACAAGTGAATCAGTCAGAATAAGTAAGAAGAATCTGCTGATGGAGTAAGAAGAAAATCCTGTCCTATATGCTACTTAACCCCTGATCCAGGTTCATTACTAACTGCATAGACACAGGAGTGAAATCCATACTTGCATGTAACTGCAGAGCATTTCTGAGGTTGATAGTCTTGTGTGAGATGAGGTTTTAATATGCGTATCCACCCACCTATCTGTGCAGAGGCTCTCCTGCCCATGTTTTTGGGCTTGACGGTGTCCTTAATGCGCTCCATCTCCTGCTGGTAGCGTTTTTGATCTCTGGCTGCGTTCTCTTTGGCCTCCTTCAGAGCTGCTTCGAGGGCTTTGACCCGCTCAGCGGTGGCCCGCAGACGTCTCTCCATTTTAGGAATCTCACTGCGAAGGTCAGCATTGTCCCGTAGCAGCTAGATACGAGTCGACACGAGATTTAAAGAATGAGGGGAGAGGGAGAAAACAGAGTGTGTAGCCTTCAGAATAAATCAGGGAATAGTAACTTGTTCTTATTTTACCTGTTTGTGGACTTGTGTGAGCTGCTCCAGGTTGTTCTCCAGGAAGCTGATCTTCTGTTTTTGAGCAGCACTGCCATCTGTGTCCTCTGAGTCTATCTTAGCATTCTAACCAAGAACAAAAGACACTTTATTCAACCTCTGATGTAGAGCATCATTTCTGTTGTTCAATCAGGTGATCCATGACAGATTTTGGGTGAGAACAACTCCTCAACATGTCATCTCTCTTGCAGGAGAGGAAGCATGCTTTTCTCTTTGTGTATCTTTTCCAGCCTCAGCCTGAGGGCTGCAGAGGAGCGGCACACTGACGGCCTGGATCCCTAATTTCCAGCTGCTACCTTTGAAGATTCAGATGGCCTACTTACTGCAGAGACTAACTGTTGTGTTCCCTGGATTCATTAAAATTTCATCTCGGTGCAAATTAAACAGAGTGCAGACGGTGCAGGAGAGAAATATGGATCTGTTTGTCTCATTTCAGGTAAATGTTAAAGCCTATGCAACACAAGCTCATGTGATGTTACTCCACAGGATATTACACACCAATCCACATCACAGGGTGGTGATGGTAAACTATCATGTACAGCCTGAACAGTGCCAGGATTTTTACCTTTTTGACTCGGGTGGACAGGTCTTGGACGAAGAGCCTCCTCAGGTTGTGGAGTGTCTGAAGCTCTCTGGCCTGTGTGAAGACCAAGACAACAACTCAGAGTCAAAATCCCTTTATGGAGATGTGTGAGTCAACAGCATGACAAAAATCTATGTAATTCAGTCCACTTTAAGACATTTTCCTGGATTGTTATCAACTGTATTCGAGCATACAAGAGGACTTGTTGCGTAACTGTTTCCACACACCAAGCGCAAGTAAAATCATTCACGCAAATGAATTACATGTTAGGTCTATGCGCAAATGACATGAATTGGGCGTGAGCTGAAAATGTGTCACGTTGAGCGGATATTCACATCGCGATAACTAAACAGCACAAAGGTTGCCGGGTAACGTATGAAAACAGATGGTTGTTCACTGATATCTAAAATGGAGAACAAACTGATCATGTCGGTGTGTGAGTGCCCCGAATTAAATGATGCATCTTCTTTCAATTACGGAAACCGGGTTAAAAAGGAGCTCGTCTGGAGGAAAGTAAGTGAGGAGGTCGGATTACCTGGTAAATTGTAAAAAAAACCCTTTGTCTATTACTTGATCCCGCCGGTTAAGTTGGCAGGGATTACCGTTGAAGTTACCATTGATGTGCTCATGAAGCCAGTAAATACTATTCATTCACCAGTCTAGATTTGTGCGAATCAAGCAAGTAGATGATTTTACTTGCAGTGGTGTGAACGCCCCATAAGTGTCCATTTGTACTTGATTGTACACTGAAAAATCAGGGTTACTGAAGTTGAAAGGTAAATGGTGAATGGTAAATGCATGTGGAGCAAAATGTACTGATATCATATTTCTAAATTCACTTAAAAACTCTTTTTCTCAGTTTGGGTGAATTTAATGAGACACGCATTAACTGACCACTGTCTCCTCCAGTCCCTTCAGGTCCTGTCTGGCCTGCTCCTGTCTGTCCTGCTGCACCCTGCACAGAGTAAAACAAATGACTCCAAATAAATTCAATACAATAAAAAAAACAGGCTGTAGCAGACTATTATTACACAGAGGCATTACGTGAGCTCCTGCAGCTGGCGGCTCTTCTCCTGGTCTGCAGCCTTCAGCTTCTCGTGCTCCACCCTCAGCCTCTCCTGCTCCAACATGACCTTCTGGTTCAGACTAAACACACGTCAGGAAGTGAATCAGTACAGGACAAATGGTTCCATTAAGAGGATAAGAAGTGTTGGCTGATGTTGTGTCTTACTCCTGGAGCTCTGTGATGAGTTTCTCTTTGGTATCCAGCTCGTCTCTCAGGCTGCTGATCTGTCTCTGATGGGCCTCTCTGTGAGACAGGATCTGCTTCTCCACGGCGTCCTGAAGACAAAAAAACATACAGCTCAAGACAGAGAGTACAAGACAGGGCAAACTTGTAAGAGATGGTAACTTACTTTGACTTCAGTGGCAGATTGGATCTCATCCTTCTTGTCCATGGTGCTGACTTTCTCTGAAAAGAGAAAAAATGCAAATCTGACTCTTAGGCCTGAATGTTTTTATTTGTGTGTGTTTAAGGTGGCTCTGTCAGGCTGAGTTTAGTTTCAGTGACCAGATGCTGGGGTTTATTTGGTATTAACCTGCTTTTCACCTTGGGGTTCTAAGTTTTGAAGAATTTCTGATCAATATTTGACTTTTTCATTCACATTTAAGTTCAAACATTCAATTTTTGTCACTGTTAGTATCCTTAACACAAGATGAAAAAAACAGCAGCACATACACGAAGTCGTCTTCTCCATAACTTTGCTTATGGCATTTTCTTCCCATTCCCATAACGCTGTCAAAGCCCACACTGTTCTGCCATTTTTGGTTGTTTTCTTCAATTTGCTTGAAGTCACTGTCTTTTTTCTGCTTTTTGCTGGAACCTTCAGTTTCGAGCACTACCAGTGCTATTGGAAACTGATGTATTTGCCACACCTCAAACAGGAAGGGGTAAAACTTTAACCTTCATAAATGCACTTGATAAAACTTTATTTACTTTACTCCTTTGCACAGATGTATTTGATATGAGATATATGATCTGGTTTTCCCTGGCATTGCTCTTGCAATTCATGATTAGATCCTATTGTTATGGGGTTTTGACCAATCAGAATCAAGTATTTGGTAAAACTAGGTCAGAAGTTGAGGAATGCATACATTTTTGAAATATTTTATTATTTTATATTTCATTAATTTTCAATTCCACTATTAATCTGCTGTTCATCAAGTGTAGTTATCAGACTAATTATTTTGGAGAAAAAAATAGACCATGGGCATCTTGGCTTCTATTCATCACATATACCGTTTTTTTTCATGATGTCCAACCCCATTCATTTTTACCAACAGAACAAAAAACATAGAAATTAACATAGAAATACGTCTTTACCTTGTGTGCACACCTGCATGTATAAAATCAGCATGATGTGGGAATGTGCAGTCCTTGCTGCAAACTCAAGACCGTCCCTGAAAATGTGCAAACCATCCTCCAAACTTTCACCAACTATGCAAAGATCAGTAACCCTTTAAAACTTACTGAACAATGTTTTAAATGCAGGAGACTCAATCACTGAGTGTTTAATCAAATGTTTTATCAAAAGGTGTAAAATGGTTGCAGGCAATTTATCAATATCTAATAATAATGTGCAGTGCTATTAAGTGTATAATTTATTTTTAATAAAGATCACTGTGTGGTGCGGGGAGAGCAAGCAGCTACTTCATCCACCACTGTCATGTTTTTATCACTTCCATGCATTTATTGTGTTAATGAGCAGGAAGGTGGGTCCAATTATCAAATACCCTCATAATTAGTCAAAACACGGACCAAGCTGACCATGAATAAAACCAACCGATTAACGATGTATTCACAGCTCAAACTTTTGTCCAGTAATAACATGGAGAAGGATTAATGTTGGATGGAGGTTCTCGTGCTGCAGCAACGTGCTGTTATTTCCTGATTGCTGCTGTATTTGTGGTTCTGCTGTATCATGAAACAAACGAAATGGGCTCTTTTACCTCCTCATCATTGCTGTATCAAACCTTCATTTCCCCTGCCTCTCTGTTGCTGCATTTTCATTCATATGGGGCTTTGCATGAACCACCTTCAGATGAATGTGGGCATAAAGAAGGTGAGAAAAGAGGCTGATCCATATGAGCATGTTCCCAGGTGGATCAAGATTTATATAGGGAACAATATGTTAAAGTATGTGCTCGACAGTTTCATATATCTGGATTGTTTTTTGTGCATGCCATTGTTGAGTTTTTGCACCAGGGTCCCCTGTAATTGAAACGATGCAGTCATGTTGCTCTCGGCTATAAAAGGGGCAAAAGGTAGGTGCAGCTCAAAATCAATTGTCTTCTGCTCTTGTTCAAAGAGGTGCATTAATAATGAGGAGTGTACAACATGCGTGTGTATGATGGTGCAGCCCCCTAAAGGTTCCATAGTTTGGGGGATTAAAAATCTCAACCAAGAATAACTCTTATTTAAAATGATCTCCATCTGAGGGTTGATGCTGCAGAGGAGGATGTGTTTACCTTGAGCTTTGACCCTGACTATTTCTTCATTGAGAGAGTCCACATTCTCCTCAAGCTGTCGTTTCTTCTGCTCCAAATTCTGCAGGGACTCTGTCAGGGACTTGATCTTAGCTTCATACTGCACAACAACAGGAGAAGGAATTTTTAAAAATGTGATTCAGACCCACAAAAAAACTCAGACAGTTCTTTTAAAGCTCTGAACAAACTGTGTCAGACATGCAGAGGGACCTGCCAGCTCATTAAGCCGCTGTTTGATTGATAACTGCATGTTCTGTCAGTTTAATTATCTGCCACATTTGTCTCCATGGTGACAGTATCCGTGATGGCAGAAGCTGTGGCGGTGCTAAGCAGCAGTTACCTGGGAGATGCGGAGCTGGCAGGCTGTCAGCTCCATCTCCGTCTGCTCCATCTTCTGGCTGCTTTCAGCCCGGGTGCTCTCCAGCTGTTTGCTGCGCTTCACCAGCGACTTCACCTCCGACTTCATCTTACTGATGTAAAGGCGAGCCACAGTGAACTCTTCGTCAATGAGACCGCTGCTTTCTTGTTGCTGACAGATCAGAAAAAATAGTCATTAGGTGTAGAAAAAAAAGTGCCCCATGTTTTTGGCATCCTATTGCAACAATAAAAACTGAAATATCTTTGACCAGCCACAGCAGCTCAATTTAAAGGAAGTTAAGTCTGCAGAAACATTCCTTTCTGTCAATCAACTTAGACATGCCCCAAATGACACCAAATGCATACACATATGTTTTGGCTTTTAATTAATTTAAATTAGACAAGTTATCAAAAATATTTCTTTTATTTTTCCTGAGCTTTCATCTTTGTGCAGCAGTTGCAAAGTTGCCAAATGTGCTCTACCTCACTTTTTTGGATCTGTCTGTCCAAGAATGCATAACTTCTGTCTTCTTTCATTTCAACAGTGTATACAAGTCTTTGGCCCTAAACCATAGACTGGATATACTATGGACAACTTGGTTCCGCCTTCCACCATTACATGAATTTGAAGCCGGATTTTTCTCAGTATTTTTTTCCTCCACTTCCTGGAACCACCACTTGCGCAGTAGCATTTTACGCTTTCGGCGGGAGAGTCACCGAGAGTTGCTGTGATGACGCTCGGCTCTAACAGTGTATCTCCTGGGTGAGCTACGCTATCTTCGTACGCCCATAGGCTGTATCAAGTCTTAATCATAGAAAACATGAACCCCCTAAAAACGGAGCTGCACAGAAAAAAAGAGGACTTCAGCACAAACCAGTCTTACTGTAACTACATGTCAACATTGCAAACAGGCGGAGAAAAAATTATATTCTGTATTATAAATTTCTAAAGTTTGTCCACGGCTCCATAAGGATTGCTGGAGGAGGCGGGATATATGACCTATACTGCGGCCCGTCACCAGAGGGTGCTGTTCTCGGGGTGACTTCACCCAGCAAGGAAGCAGACGGCATCTATTCTATATACAGTCTAGGACATAAACTCCAGACCTGCTCTATTTGTGTACTCAGTAACTAGAAGAATCTAGATTACAATGCTCTGACAGTGCTAGAGTATGGTTAGGCTGTTTAAACTGTGAAATTTTGATACCTGAATAAGGGAGCTGATACAGTATAAATTATAAGGCAATTTGTCTGACAGGTGATACCTCATAAGTGCGGTGTACAAGAGCAAAAATAGCACTCCAACATACAAGACATATTGAAGGTCTACAGTTCTGAAGCGTGGGATGTGCCTGCACAAGATAAGTTAAATTTCCACTTCACTGCTGTTAGGGGAATCGACATAAACAAAGGAACCTCGTATGTTTGCACAACAGACACTTGACCTTTCTTTTTGGAGAGGAGTGCAGTTTAAAATAGATCAAACAGGATCTGAACTCTAAAGCTCGAAATACACCAAAGACTAAAATGAAAGTGTTTTCAACCTGCTGTTAGATTCAGAGATGCACAGATGCACGATTTTTTAAGAAAGATGAAGTTTTTAAATGAAAACTGAAGCGATACCTCTGTTAATCAGCTGACTGACAGAAAACATATCTGAGCACAAGGTTTCTTCCATCCATCGATTTTTGAAAGAAATCTAAAGTTTCAATAGAGTTTTTTAATGAGAGGTTTCCAGCTGTGCAGTTAGTGGGAGTGTGTGATATTTAATATCTAAGATAATATATTAATTGCTGTTTTCTATATGCAAAATGACAGTACTGAGTATGTCACTCACTTATTCAAAACACAATCTGAAAGTCTGCACAAATTCAGTGAAAAAAATAGAACAAGCTACTGCACATGTGCACTGAAAACACATACAGAGCTCATGCACAACAAAAGCTGAGCAAGTATAGCTGCTGCCATGACTGCAGTTAAATATGAGTGAGCGAACAGCACCAGGGGACAAAACACAACTTTCTATCTGCATTGACTTTGGCGCCCCCTGTGGACAAAGTAATGGCTCATACAGATGATTTTGCCTCATCTCTGACAAAGGCTCCTTCTTGTTGATTTCAGTTCAGCCTGTTTCATAATCCAGAAACTCCTCATAGGGGCTTTATTGAATTAAATCTGTTTTCCTAAATCAGTAGTTTTTGTGAATGTCATTAACAACATCTGATATAATCTTAGAGGACAGCTATGCAAAAGTTTTTCAATTTTTTTTTTTTTTTAGTTTGGTCTCTTTTGAGTATTTTCACATATTTGTAACATTTTACCCAAATTATTGTCAATTTTCATGACCAGCAAATTACCCAATCATATCACAAAGTAATTCTCTGTTGATATAGCACATCCTTACTGAGCATCTCATCATCATTACCCACTGCTGCTTCAGACTGATGCTGGTAAAAGAGAATATTTCTCATTTGACAAATTTCCCTCTCTTTCAATCTTATCGGAAAGTGAGGAAAACCAGCAGGTGAAGGATGCTGGCAAACAAACAAGTGATTTCACTCCATAGTTGCAAAAACAAACTTTTCTTAAATCCTAAACACCAATTCAACAGTAAGCGAGACAAAATAAAGTTAGGGGACAATTTTGACACTAATCAACTGAAAATGCTGAATTTTCTGGGTCTCGCTTTCAGATTGTGTAGCTTTTCGCGATTTCATACCGTTGCAAATTGAATATATCTGTGATTTTAACTTGCTTTTTGTCAAGACCAGCATTTGCACAAAGTCACCTGCAGAAGTGTAAGACATTTATGACAAACTTCATAGACTTTATAGCCATTTCCTGCAAACGTGGGATGGAAAATGGTAAGGCACAGATCATAAATTCCAAAACTTTGTCAACTTAATGAATGTGCAAATTAAACTAAAAGAAAAATGGTCTGGTAATTGAAATGATTGCATGCTGTCGCCCACATAAATTCTTGGTTAATGTGAGCAAAGTATAGCCTTCACACTTGGTGATGATGAATGGGTTATAAATGAGCAGGACTAAAGGGCATTAAATGTTCCATTTCAGGGACTCAGTGGAACAAAGGGGATAAATTTGCAGCATGTGTTCTAGTGAACACGTGTACTACAGGCAGAAGGGGATGAAATAGAGAGAGTGTGTCATTATGTTTCAACGGGCCATGTTTCTCTGTCAGATTGTTTCTGGAGTTCACCTTTATGTCGTTGCTTCCCACAGCAATGCCAATCTCAGCCAGGTCTTTGAGTAATGACGACATCATCTCAGTGACTCTCTTCCTCTGGTGGAGAGTCATCTCCTTCAGCTTCTGGAGCTCAGAGTCAATCGAAGCTAAAGAGCTCTGGTTGACGATGAGAATATATAAACGTTTTGAACATCTTTTGAAACTCCAGATAATACGCAATCAGTGTCAGATTTGTGATTAAGACATACAGATTTCTGGTTGAGCTCCTCACTCAGAGCCTCAAACTCTCTCGCTTTGTCCTCCACCTCCTGACTCTTCTGGTCATAGTTGACAGCCAGCTCCTCCAGGGCCTGCAGCACCTCCTTCACCTCCTCTTTGGAAGCTTCGTTCTCTGCCAGCAGCCGGTTCAGCTCAGTCTGCAGTGTGTCGTGATCTCGGCGGGAGGAGGATAAGAGCTGTGGGTGAGAGCAGCAACAAAGAGGTGAAATCAGAAACTCTTCTCAGGATCTGCACACTAAATTCCTGTTCGGCTAATGTGTTCAATCTGCGAGGCTGCACTGCTGCCCGCTGAGGGTGAGTTACAGTCTGACCTCTCCTGCAGGGAGACTAATGGTCTGCTATCTGCTGTCAGAATGGGCTCATGCTAACAGGAACGGCTGGAGGGAAAAGACAGCGTGGGGGAATTTGGGAGAGAGGGGGAGGAGAGGGAACGGTAAGAGGGGAGCTGGGTCACCTCCTCCTGGTCCAACATCTGTTGTTTCAGTGTCTCCACCAACTGAGACTGCTGGTTGATCTCTTCATCCTGCAGGAAGGACAGGACAGAGGAAGAAAAAAGAGATATAACTCACCACCTGCTTATTTCTACAGCAACCTCAAGTAATATTGACATAGCAGCCAATCATGCCACCTGCTGACAAGAAAAAGTATTACAGCCGAGCATCAGATCCAAAACTGGGGTAATAAACAATGCGTGGACAATTGCTATGAATGTAATCCACAAATTATTACTTATTGGGAAATTAAAAAAATAACGTGTACTAAAAAAAACATTTAAAATGTTACAATTTAACATTGGTCATGCGATCCCAAAGCTAAAATAGTTTGGACACTGAACGTAATGTAATTGACCTCCAAGAGTTTTTTTTTCTTTTTAATTTTTATTTATTTTTTTACATTTACTTATTTTTTTTGTTGTTTTTATCGAGCACCAAATTAAAATGAAGATGACACAAAACAATGTTGTTTTTTATGTTTTGTTTTTTTCAGTTTTAATGTGTTATTTTAAATAGAGGATTAAATGATTCGCAGACCACAAGAATCTGTTTTCCAACACTGTGTTTCAACTTGTTTTGGTGTTGGGGTGTACATCAGGTGGTGAGATTATATCTTTATTTAAAAGTACACACTAATAGTCAGAGGGTTATTAGAAAAAGTGACAACATACATACAGAGGCACTAAAAATAGGTAGAAAATTAAGAAATTTTGTCGCGAAGTTGTGTTCAGTGACTAAAAAGGAACATTTTCTAAGTTCGGGTCCTTGTAGAAGATCAGTCTATTACGTTATTAGAATAGTTATCACAGCTGATGATGTGCTTTAGGACAGGATGATTTCTTAGTAATCCCTGTGGGGCATGCTCTTTCTAAGTAATGTTGTAAGCTCATTGTTAAATAATTATGCAGTCATCATATGTTATCTAACTTCCAACGTGATCAGTCTCTGAAGTTTTTAAAATATACTTCGAAAATAACTTTAAGAGCAAAGAGACAAAAACAGTTGAATGGAGCATTTCTGTTGTTTGAAAAGAAAAGAGGGGAATACAAACATGCACACACAGGCATTTTAAGTGACATTAAAGATGAGGTTTATTATAATCATTTTCAGGCTTTATCGTGTCTTTCTGATACCTCTGTGTCTGATTTACATGATTAACAGTTTAAAAAAACCTCTACATTTATCTTAAGTTGATGTCTTTGAAACTATTTTTTTTCAGTCACTGTACCTGTCTTTTTATTATTCCAAAAATTGACATTTAACTTTCTAGACCAATCAAAAAGCACTGATATCAACACTCCACTGTGTCGATACACTGTTAAAAGCTTATCTGTTGCATGTACCCCAGCATGTTCCTAAAAAAAAAGAGACTTTCCTGAGAGTCACTGTCAGTGTATCATGCACGTGTTCTCACCTTGTCGTCCAGCTCCTTGTAGAGTTTGCCCATTTCTGCTCCATACTGCTCTTTACCTACTTCTGTAATGATGACTCCAGGTAGTGTGCTGAGTGCAGGTTGCGGTGTTGCCTTATCATTATTAAGAGCAGTGTCCAGGGCCTGCACCTCTGCTGTGGCCTTCTCTTTATCAAACTGCTCCTCGGCTGGGACGCTCTCTCCTGTAGGGGGCAGCAAAATGGACATCATTCTTGTTCTCTGCTAGTGTTTACGAGGTCTCCATCCCCTCCTCCTCTGTATTTCCCTAAATCACTTATTTTTAAGATTTTTAAGGCTATTTTCAGGTACAATTACAGTTTTGTACTTCTTGAGTGGCTGTAAAATGGGCTGGATTGGGTACAAAGTGTGTCTACAAAAAGTGACTTTTTGCCAATGGTTTTTGATCAGGTCAAAAGTGAGCAAAAACTGAAACTCATGTTAGTTTTGTAGTAAAAGCAGGCTTTGACTACATTAAAAGGGTCACTATCTAAATCAAAACACTAGAAGTTCATGATCCTTTTTGAGTATCTTTTGGTCTCGAGCTTTAAAGGCACTTAACAGTCCCACAAAAATGGTTTTCAACCCGATGTCACCACCGCAACATTTCACATGAGGAGCATAGTGAGTAACATATGACCAATGGCAAACATGCACAAGTCTGCCACAAGCAGATCCACATCATGTTTCATACACTCAAAGCAAACTATAAGAGAGAGATGACAAAGTTTAACTCATACATAGACATAAACTGATCCATTGTGAGATATAAGAATTGTTTTATCACTTTGGCATCAATAGTGCACAACAGATCTGACATCACTCTTGTTTATTCCCTGAAACTAATTTGTTGCTGTAAATTATTCTTGTGGTTTGTGTGCTAGTTAAAGATGTTTGAGCTGCAGATCTGTCAATATCAAAGGGAGCAGTGTGGAGAAAATGAAACTGATTTCAAACATAATTTACAGTGATAAGTATTCAGTGAGTAAGTCAACTTCAAGGCTCTGGTGTGAGCTTATTTTTAGCCTCTGTAAAAGTATGAAGTCAGGAAAGCACATCCAAAAACTGTCTCTAAAGCTCCTATGAGGAACTTTCTGTTAGGGTCAGTTTTGCCAGTTTTGAAAATCTTTTACTTCTGTTATGGTTTTGTTCTGCAACAACCAGAAAAGAGGTACAAAGTGGTGTTTCTGAAAAAGTTACCTAAAACTGGCATTGGGAGGATATAATAAGGCTCACTTGGTGCTGTTACAGGTTTCACTGGTGATTTTGTTCAAATCTTTAAGTCCTAAAAAGTTGTTAAACTGTTAAATCACTATTTTCGCTTATACACTCTGTTGGCCTCTTGTTGTGGCTGCTTCTGGTTAAAGAGACTAATCCTACAATAACAAAACAGTTACTCTTTGCAAGAATCAGTTTGAAATGTTGCAATACACCTTCGAATACTTATTAATTTATAGTCTTAAACAAGAACTTTTACTTTCACCTTTTGTTTGCATTTGTTCACATTCAACTGTTTATAGACCTTATTGGTGCAACCCCATGTTTTGTCCCTTTGAGTCACTTTGACACTATAAAATGCACAAATAATGCGAAGATTCAAAAATATTATAAATTACTTTTTGAAGGAATCCTTTGAAAATGTTTCATTCCTCAAATCTTCAAACGTTAGTATTAAAGTATGAAGAGCACATTAAAGTGCACTTTTTAACTCTGTAACTACACCAGTGATTCTCATAGCACTGCTGACATGTAAACAAAGGGCTCTTTCTTTAAGTGGATCCTTTTCAATCCAAAAATAGAACCAGTGTGTGATTCATCTCTAACAAACCAAGACTGGGACACTTCAGAGCATGACTGTGTGATATAACGTTTAAAAGGTTTCTTTTTTTCTGCTCTTTATGTCGTTTATACCAAATACACAATCCTGTTAAGTTACATTGTCAGATAGATTAGCAAGTATATCACTTTTGCTTATTTTAGGACGTTTTTTTTCTGTGCTGGTCCAAACGTCCTCATCAGTTCTTGATCTTTATACGAAATAAAGAGGCAGTTTTGTTTTAGTGACCATGACCAAGTCAGACTGTAGTAAATGTATTATTCACTGTAAAGAAAGTGAGACGCATTTCTCACCGCTTCTCCAGCGGTTGATCTCAGCCTCTAGCAAGGTGATGGTGTTTTTCAGCGTCTTGTTCTTCTCTTTTTCCTTCTCCCACTTTTTCTTCCACTGCTCAGCGGTCAGCTCCACATTCAGGGTCACATTGTTCTTGATGGTCTTTGCCCTGGTGAGAAAGGTGAGGGGAGACGATAGGAGCTTTCTGTTTTAAAGTCAACAAGATCACTCACTGATCTGTTTTTCTGTAGTAACACAAACTAGCTGCAGTTACAGTCTCACTTTCTCCTCAGATTTTGGCCTTTTTTCTTTAAAAAGCTTTCTCAAACATTGAAAACGGTCAGTGATAAAAAATAATAATAATAATAAAAAAAGGCTGTTTTAAATATTGTAATAATTCCACTTTTGAGAATTTTGTAGCTGACATATACAAGATGGGCATGTGTCTACAGTAGGGGGTGATGATATTTGATGTAATGACTTTAATTCATTAAGAAAAACAATACAATGATAATGTGTGTTTGCTAAGTGAAGAACAGTCAGCAGGTGGTTAGCTTACTATAGAAAAATAAGAATAACATTCGTAAGAAATTTGGACCAGATTTCATAAAGCAACTTAGCGGTCTATCCTCCTGTTTAAAGACTTTTTGACCAAGCCTTAGAGTTTGATGGTGCAGTCACATGTACATGATCCTGACTGAACAAATGCCACAGCATGTGTTTTACCTAGTCTGCACTTACTTTAGGAAAGTACGATGGAGCATGAGGGCAACATTAAGGAATAATAAAGTTACAACTTTAAGGATAGAGTCATAAATATTACACTAATAAAGTCATTGTGTTGTGTTATTTTGCAGTATTATTGCCAAGTGTTACAACCATGAGAGAAAAATATGGATCAGGATGGGTCTGACCTTTAAAGATGGAATTCACTCTAATCAAGGGAAAAACTCTAAAAGTAGAGTCTAGAACAGCTCCTTTTGTTAACTGTCCTGAGATAATATTTGGGGTAAGTAGATGGGTGGGTGGGTGGATGGATGGATGGATGGATGGTTGATTGAGTGATTGACTGGTCGGTTGGTTAGTTGACTGGTTGGTTGGTAAGTTGGTTGATTGATTGATTGATTGATCGATGGATCGATTAATCGATTGACTGGCTGACTGGCTGACCGACTGGTTGGGTGGTTGGTTGGTTGATAAGTTGTTTGGTTTTCTTAGTTGTATGATGCACTGCTACCATTCAAACCAGACTACAGTGCTTGGCATGCATAACAGTTACTATTTACATTGTTGATAGTCAGTAATCTGGGTACCATTAGACTAAATACTTTCAAAGTACTTTTTTTCATCTTATTGTCAACAGGTTAATATGACAGACTCACATACTGCAGAGGGGGATCTACATCCCCATGCATGTAAACACTTTGACTGGCCAGGCATTCTGCACACGCTTCACAGTTTACATGCCAGGCTTTGGTCTGAAAGTCTAACAATATTAACACATGCAAGAAACAGCATCCATTGCACCAAAATAAAATCAGGGAAGGGGAGACCAAGAGCTTTGAAGGTTTTCTATTTTTTTCTCCATTCAACAGTTGACCAGTTCCATTTTGGTGATGCATTGAGACGTAAAAAAAGAATTACATATGATGGATTACTCAATATGTTATCTATTTATGGATCCCTGGTGTTTTGTTATCTTATATCTATCTGTGAGCTTGTGCGTTTTTGTACCTCTGTCCAAACAGCAGTGTGGACCTGGTCTCAGCGTCATTAAAGGAAGAAGGTGAACAGCAGATGACCATGGTGGTTCGACAGTTTCCTCCCAGAGAGTCCTGCAGGATCCTGGTCATCTTACTGTCTCTGTAGGGTACATAGCTCTGCAAGAAGATACCTATACTGAGACCATTTGTTATTTAATATTAATGTAGTTACTACAAAGAAAATAGTGACTGACTATCTAAAGAGTTTCATGTGAAGAGATCATACTAACATCTTAAAGAAATCTTTACCTAAGGAATATTGCAGAGGAATCTTAATCATTAACTTTCCATCACATTCTCCTTCATTAACACCTCAATAAACTACAATTAAAATGATGGGAGAACATAATTCAACCAGAAATGTGTTTGTCTCACCGAGCCCTCTGCCAGAGCTGAAATGACATTTCCCAGGGCAGAGAGGGACTTGTTGATCATCTTGGCTTCATCCAGCACAGTGCCCTCTGCTCCTGTTTTACCCACCTTAAAAGCACACAAACACAAAACAGTTCTCATGACAAAACTAGAAATATTAACATTATCACTCTGCACTGTTGTCCTCATAGGAAACCACACAGAGAATCCTACAGTAAAAATAGATGAGGAGGAGGTGTGAGGTTTAGTGAATAACAGGGAGATTAATAAAAGATGATTGACAGAGTATGTCAGAGGATTTACTTCAGCTTAGAGCCAGTTTTTGCTTATTAACATCTCCTCATGACTGACAGACAGATTACAGTGCTGTCCCCTGCTGAGATGGAGCAGCAGCAGCAGCAGTGTGTCATTAAGGTTTCATTAAATAAACCCAGTCACTGCAGGCCATAAACTGTGTAATAGGAGCAACAGAAATGAGACTAAGAGGACCGTCCACATATGCAAGCTGTCAGTCAAAGTATGAAAGGTTACAAGGTCTAATAAAACTCTTTCGCCTTACAACTGTTTGGTCTCAGCTTTAAATGAATGGTTTGGAGTGAAAGCTAGATTAGTAAAGTGAGGAGAAAGATTGATATAGAGGAGGAGTTTGGAAACATGGAAACGTACTTTTTCACTTCCAGCCAGATCGACGAGGTAGAGCTTCCCGGTAAGTTTCTGCTCAGTCTGAGAGTTTTCTTGCTTGATGTTGATGAGGAAGATGCTGTGACTCCTGGAGCTGTGTTCATTCATGTCTGACACACAGAAACACAGTTTAAATGAAACCACTCACCTGTAATGGCATAAATGAACTTAAAAACTGATCAGCCTGGTCATGACATTCCATCTTTCACCTTTTTTTATATAACCATTGCTTCTGTTGAAAATACCCGAAGTTTCACTTAAATAAAACCCATGCCTATTGCTGCGAAGCCTCTCACATGCAGATTGTCTATAGAGTCATGCTCCTTGTTGAGTTTACACTTTCTTATTTATGTCTGTAGCAAACAAGCCTCCTTACATGAGGCTCACTTGACATGAAAACATTTTCCTCTCTAACATTGTTGTGTTGTCCTGTAGATGTGAGCGCATTTTGAAGTGCATTTCCTCCATCCCTTCTTTCCACTAGTTCCTCCTCAGCTTTAGAAACTCTTAAATCTATTGATACTTCTAAAAGTTTTATAGTCTAAGAACTCTCTTAGGGGCTAAAAGACTTTGTGAATAACTTACTGAATAACTAACAAAGATTTAGTCTTCACTTTGAGGGGAAATTCCGGGAAAACTTCATGCTTTTTAGACCTTACTTACAGTACTTATATATGGCCGCTGGACTTAGATTGAAGATGTGAAGGCAGTGTATATACTCATATAGGAAACATCCAGTTATATCAAAATTCAAACAAAGTTGAAAAAAGCTCTGAATGAATCAGTCAAGCTTTTCATTCTCTTGTTTTCATGGCCCGCAGACAAACACTATTGTTTGATCTTTAAATGATTTCACTGTGTTTCTTATGTGATGTACCTATTTTTCCCTCTCTTTTTTTCTCTTTTTTTCTCTTTCTATGGTTAAAGAAAATAGACAGTGTGTTGGGTGATGGGAGTCTCGGTATAGTCAGGAGACTGTGTGAGGTTGAACCCATGAGGAGCAGCACCACCGGAGGCACTTGTGAACTCACTTGTGACAGCCACGCTTCTGCTGTTTTTGCCTTCATCTATGGCTTCCATGACCTCTTCGGGACTGCACACGAAGCGCTCGGTACACCCCTGAGGACACATGCACACAAGAAAATACTGTGTTACACCCCCCTGCAGCAGGAGGGACTCACAGAGAGACAATTATTTTCAGAGGGGGCCATGACATACTGATTCTAGCAGGCTGGTACACTCACAGGGAAAGGTATTGAGAGGGAGAATGAGCAGATTACTTCATTTTGGTCTTATTTTTAACATCTCTCTTCATTCTTTTATTTCATAATTATAGTCCAGAACGATATGAAGGGTAAAAAAATAAGAGTCCGTGCATTTTTAAAGTCTGTACTGAGAGGTTCATGTGGACTGTGCTCTCAACACATCCTGCAGTCATCATACTCTCTTGAGTCATTCATGGATGTGCTATAAATGCCGTGGACAAACTGGTGACTGTGTATTTATGCAATTTAATCAAGTGTACATCATTGTACATCATAAAATATCTCACCTTGACATAGGGGACCCTGTTCTTGTCCTCATGTACCGACAGATTGGTCTTTGTTACTGCAGAGGAGACCGAAAATAATATCATGTCTAAATTGCTTGCATTGGGGCGTGAAAATAAAGCAGCATGAAAGTGGGAAACATACCGTCCAACAAGTCCTTGATTTTATCCAGATAGACCTCAAAGTACGACACCTGTAAAGGAAAGTGATCATGTAAGACTCAGCCAACAACACAACAAGTATTTAGTGATATACAAAACCAGCAGAGTGCCTAACACACACTTTAATATGAAACTCCAGGTTCTCATCCATGGAATAAATATAGTTGAAGATGTCTTGAACGATTCTGGGAGTGATTCCCATCATGTCTGGGTCGTGGAGTTTCCCCTGCGGAAGACAAATGTGTGAAAAAGCAACAATAAAACAACAAAATTTGTGTTAGTACCTTTTAACATCTGCATCAAACACAGTAGATAAGTCTTTACATTACCTCCATGGTGTGTGTTTTCCCAGAGGATGTCTGCCCATATGCAAAGATTGTACCGTTGTAGCCCTCCAGGACATCTGCACACACCAACACAAAGTCATAAAACACTCAGTATTGGGACTCCCAGCCCTATTTTAACGATCCAAAGCATATCATGCAAAGTGAATTAAGGTGAGTCTGACCAAGTTTTGCTGGTTAAGCAGCACACAGTCTGGGTGCTAAGTGAGGCTCAGGGATCAAAGAGATTAGATCAGGTTCCTTAGTTATTCACTAGTGTGGTTTTGTATTACATGGTTCATCCCAATCATGCTCCCATCTCTTTCAGAGACATTAACAGACACATTTCACACAACTGGTTTCACCCTGAATTTCACTGGGCTCTGGTTGGCATAATTAACCTTTCATGTCCCGTTGTGCCTCTTAAAACATCCATGGGTTACTCTGAGGTGGTATGTATGCTAGTGACCTCTTTCATTTTTCTGGGAAATGATGGTTTTCATGATATTTAGGGCAAACACGGAGCAAATAAAAAAAAAAATCTGTTTTTCTTATTGATTTTAAATCATTTTACGTCTTTATGATTTGAAATTGTTTTGTCTTTTTGATTTGAAATCATTTTAATCTCTCCTTTTAGAATTTTTGTTATGTATTTCCTTGCATCTGTAAAGCACTTTGAATTGCCTTGTGTATGAATGGTGCTATACAAATAAACTTGCCTTGTCTTGCCTTGAAGTTATGCAGATTCATGATTGGCGTTTTATCTCCTAAATCTTTCCTCTGAACAACAAAAGGTAACTTTACATATTGACAGACATATCACTACGTACATTTATGCATGAGGAAGTTTTGGACCCGTACAGTGTTGAGATAAAGCAAGTGTGATAGGAGACAGCATGAGGGTGTCCTTGTCTTCTGGTTTCCAGATATCTGCCCTGTACTGTATTATGATGTGTGGAGATGAGGGAAAAAATACTGTCCCTTTTAAACCCTCAGCAAAAACACAGGTGTCTCATCATGAGTGAGAGCACTGCTGTGCATCTCCGGATGGATGTGAGAAGCAGAGAATGCAGACTGTAAACTCTTATGACTGTATTTCTCAGTAAACTAAACTCTACAGAGCATGAAAGCAAGGACGACAAAGGTTTTTCGTTTGTCAAAAGTTTACTGCTTTGAGCTGGGTTTATGACAGGGCCCTTCTCATTTATTCTGCTTTACATCTTACCTCTGACAATCTTCTGCGCCACAGCATTGTAGAATTGCTCTTGAGTTGTATTGGACTGGAACACGCGATCAAAGTAGTACGGTTTACCCTGTGCAGAAGTGATCAGAGTCAGTGACAGTAGCATGCGTGAAGTAGCACTTTTAACACAATAAAGAGTTGTAATATTTTCAGTCTTATTACCTTGTGAGTAAAGCCTAGTTATGGGTATCAGAGCAGAAAAGAGTCGTGCCTGTTAAGCTTCCTTTATTTTTGCACATTCATGTTTTGTTTCGTGTCATGTCTTTCATGTTTTATTTTGTAGTTCACCTGTTTCTGTCTTCTAGATTTGTTCCCGCCTGGTCTGTCCTTCGCCTGTCTTAGCACACCTGATGCCTGACTGTCTCTCCCCACCTGTTTCCCATCATCCTCATTACCTCTTGTATTAAACCTCATGTCTTACTGTCTCGTCGCCAGTTTGTCACACTCTTCAGTCTTCCAATATTCCAGTTTTCATAGTCATAGTCATGTTATGTTTGGATCCTTGCTCGTTTTTTGCATCAGCCCTTTTTTGGATAGCTCTGCCAACTTGCTGGTGTGGTGGTTTGCCTTTGTGTCCACACATTCTGAGCCCTGTTTCATGACAAATAGGGCTGTTTCCTTACTGACTGCTTATCCTTTTGGTTAAAGCACGTCTCTAGTTTTTATTTGAAAAGCTAGCACAGGTAGGTAAGAAGCTAGAACAAGACCAACAAATGCTTAAAGCATCATACAGCTGGATATTATGGGGATGGATATTAGCTGCTGCTACTTCATACAAAGTAAGTCACTCTCTTATGGTGAGGATTTTTGCTAAGTTAATTAAACCAATTTACAAAAGACGTTACAAACTAAAACGGGCATCTCCTTGTCAAAAGCAGCAGAAACTGGATATTACTAAATGTCAGATTATGGAGGACTAGTATTAGTGCAAAAGTTCCCCCAAAACTTGTCCATCATGCTTGTTTCTGCTCATGCCAAACAAGACACAACAAATCACAATGAATATGCTGATATTACATCTTAAAACTGAGGAATGTTGATGATGCTGAGTCATAGTCACGGAGCAAAATGACACTCGCCTCCTTGAAGCTGTAAAACAGTCACGTTAAATATGATTTTTCCCTCGAGCTTGGAAAAGTGCATTTTAATCGCACACTCGGGCCTCTTAATTTACTTGTATCCATGACAACTGAGCAGACTTTGTCAGCTGGAAGGCTGGAAACAGATATCACATGGACCTTGAGAGATTTTTTTTTTTCTCAAAATAAAACCACCATTGACTGAGAACTTCTACTGTGGAGTCTGTGTGACTGTGTATATATCTGATTATTTCTATTAATTCTATTTTAGTTTTGTAGTATAATGTGCTTCTGCACTTTTAACTGAGTGACAGAGGGTTCAAATCAGTTTAATGTCACTGTCTTCTGATGCACTCTGGTCTTTTCTTGTCAAAATAATAATGCCCTTGTTTGTGTTTCTGTATAAAAATATTGGTAGAAAAAGAAAGGCCTGTTTTTGATATGATCTACACCAAACAGAGTAGTGCTGAAGAACATGCACACAAACCTGATCACTGGTTGGTCAGAGGCTGAGAGTTTGTCTGTGCCTATTTTAAATCTTTCACTCTTCTTTAAACTGATGTTATATCAAATGTTTGACGCAACTCTGAAAATAGCATCAAAGACGGTAATAAGCACTCACAGAAAGATTTAATTGATCAATTAACACTGATAAGAGATAGTTATGTGGAAAAAGTAGCATATTAACGATTGTTGACTTACAACTAGGGCTGTTCATTACTAATACTAACAAAAATAGAATAAGTACAATACATTAAACATGAATCATATCTCATTAGTAACTGTAAGAAAGATTGTCAGCTATAAAAATCTTACACTGAGAATCTGTCACTGAGCATACTGAGGATGGTTTAAAAGCTGATGAGAACATGAACTTACATAATGATTGTTGTAATTCCTAGATAATAAATCCATAAACTCAAAGTAATAGTTAGTTTTTTAATAGTTAGTTTTAAGTCATCTTCAGCAAAAAATGAAGGTCACATGATGAATCATAGTCCAGTCAGGAGTAAAATGGGACACACTGCATAGTACGCTTTAAGGCCTGACTCTGGCTGGTGTGGTGAGACCACTGTGACCTGCCAGCCAGGAGAGACATGCAGAAATATCCACTTTAATTTCAATATATAGAAACCTCTAATTTATACAACCAAAATGGGGTATCGAAAGGCCAAGCTTAAGCTTTGGAAACAGTGGTTGACAAATCCATTAGCAATGAAATCCATCACTTACACTGACAAAAACTTGAGTTTACTGTTTAAACACAGTTAACAGCCACTGCCTTACCTTACATGTTAAAAATGCAGTTTTTTTTTAATATTTGATGATACAAAACCACAAGTGTATGCCTACCCATGACCATGAAGGAGCTTAACAATGCCTCTGTACTTGAACCAAACTATCAGTGATACCTGTTGTCAGGTATTTAGCATTCAGTAACTAGGAAGATATGTTTTGTCAGCTAAAGGTAAACTTATTGCTGGCATGGCATGCTAACATGTTAGCATCCTATCAATGTCACGATCCGGCCTTGAAGCTCAAGCATGTAAAAGTTGGCAATACTATCTAGGTTGACGAAGTGCAATGAAGCTGCTGAAGTAGAAGTGCAACTGTAATAACAGAAATTTGTTTTAAATAGTCAAATTTTAGCTTTATACTGGTTCGAAATAAATATATGTGCTGCTTTTGAGCTGTTTTAAATCACACGGCAGTCTTGAGAAACGGAGAATTATAATGAGCCAACATGTCTGCTGAAAAGTCTGTGCGTAAAAACGCAGTAGTGGACCAGCTGGAGGGCCAGATGAGCTTCATTACGCGCGGTTTTTTTTATACAGTTTATTGTACAGTATCTGCTCGGGACACTGTGAGGTGAGAAAAAAATTGACTTGTAACAACCTGTTTTGTCACCAATATGTTGTGACAGTTTTTTTTCCATCTCCAATTTGGTTGAAGAGGAAATTTTGCTTGTGTTATCCAAGAGCTAGAAAGCAAAAACTGAAAGATAAACCCTCGAAGTGGTGTTGATTTCAGGAAATTTCTAGCTGTGGTGTGGTTGAAAGTGGAAGAAGTTGCGCGCTGAATACACTTTATCTTGAATTAAGAAACAAACTCACCGCAATCGCCACACAGTCCTCTCCTTGAAACTTGGGGATGTACTTGTCTCCACGGGCCACCTCCGCCCTGTTCAGCGGCCTAAACCGGCACACCACCTTGATCGTGGTCTCCGCGGGGTCCGCCATCTCCGCCGCTGTGGGTGGATGGAGCGCTCCGTCCTCCCGTTACAGTCAGAGAGAGACAGAGAGCAAAGCAGCAGGGAGCCAAGGGGGAGGGCGCGCCCCTGACAGAGAGGTTTCAGCTGACTGGAAACTGTGTGGATGTGGTCCTAAAACATGCTTACTGCAAAGGAAGTACCAACCATTTCAAAGACAACGATTACCCCACTGTGACTGCTGTAAAACCAAACTAAATGTCCAACAAATTGCCTTAATAACAAAGTTACAGCCCGATTCAAAGTTGGTGACTAATTGGCTCCAAAGAGTTTATTGATTAGCACTTGCATGTCTCATAATTAAGGGCATTAAAACGTCTCATTAAAGAAAAATCTTTTTTTTTTTAAAGATGAAAACCACAGAAATTTACAGTTTGGTCCAAGTAAAAAGTAAAAATCATGCTGTGATCCGGGCGGGGCTTAACATCTGTTTAAAGCACGTGTCGTGGGAACAGAATTGTCACATGGGGTTATTTGGGGAACAGTGTGATTGCGCATTTGTCACTCTATGGGTTTGTTTTGCCTGGGACGGTCATGGTCAGCTTGATTGTAAAGTGGATTATCTTGACTGTTGTATTTCTAGAGCTGGTTTAGTAGGCAATTTAATGCAGTGCGAATCAAATAATGTATATGTGTGTGTGTGTGTAAATTAAAGCATGTAGTTTGACTTGGTGTTTGTGTAGGGACTCAATGAGTTTCAAAAACTATGATGCATTTACTGTCTGCTGCAGAAAAGGCCTGGTACTGGAGAAAAAACCTGTGAAACCATGTCTGCCTTTACACTTTTTTCGTGGGTCTGCATTTCTGTAAAATCCCCTTTTTTTCATGCACACTTGACAGATACATAACTAATGGATGAATGAAAACAAACCTCAGGGTTTCGTTAAAATTACGCTCATATTAATGAGACTGATTATCATAAATGTGTCTGGTCAAATACCGTTTGCGACAATATGTTTTAAGTTGCAGCTCAGAGCCTGATGCCTTTCACTCCTGTGAGTGGAGTCACCAAAAGCTCTCTGTTGCAGTCTGTGGCGCCCCTGTGTGGATGTATAATAACCAGAATCACCAGGGTCAGGACCGGGATCTCTTGAGCTTTTCAAAGCAGCAGTAGCGTCACTATTGTTTACTTTAGAAATGGTGTAAACTAACTTAAAGGTTGTCTAAAAACAAAATACTGATAGAGATAAGCTTTATTGATCCTTATAATAGGTAGTTATATTCTGCTCAAACATTTGATCCATGCTTCTGCTGAGCCAGTTCAGTAACTTAACATCAAATTGTTAGTTTAACCTGCAAGTTGTCATGTACACACATAGCCATTTTACAAACTCATGTCGTCATAATACCTACATGGAATTTCAGGGTATAGGACCAAGATGATGGCCCAGGTGGGCCCTGCTAACACCACACATAATCCTGTGTTTAACCCATGTGGAGTTGTCATGGGGAACAATCCAAACAAGACAATCCCACATACACCCCAATTTACAAATACATGTGGGACCCACTTTTAAGCCCAATCAGGACCCACATGGGCCCCACATACCAATGTTGGCTGGGGTATTCCTCGAATTTCTTTGACATTTTTCTTACCCTTACTTATAATACAATCTTATTTTGTCTATAGCTGTACTTAATACTTATCAATATTACGTTAATACTCTGTCCTTATGTTGACTGTTTCTTATAAGAAGGGCCCCTTGCTGAAACTTCATGGAGTTTTCATTGACTTCTCCAGCACAGTTTTATCACTACATTTGTTGGTTGTTTATAGCAGAACTTACCTCACAATTAAGTTATGGAAAATAAATATTTAAATTCACTTATCCCAGCAGCTTATGAAAACTTCAACCTCAACTTTATTATTATTATCCTGTGGGAAATTTGGTGACAAGCGTAATCAGGTGTAAAAATAGAAAAAAGGAATGGATGCAAAGAACTGCTTTGCATGGTAATAGGGAAATATGATAAAATGCAGTAACTTTACTTGTAATCCCGTTCATGAAAAATAATTACCAAGTGCAAAAATTTAAATAGTGCCATTTGGCTAAATTGATGCATATACAGAAATAACAGCAATACCATTACTATGAAAAAAGACAAAATCTATATGAATGACCTTAGAAAACAGAACAGCTACTGTGCTATTTCAGTGATAAATGCATAATACTAAGATTAATTATAGTTTTGGAGGATATTTCTCTTACATATCAACATGAGATGCTTTGGGAGTTTAGTGAAGCTATTTGCATTTTCTCCATCAGTTTATCTGATCTATTTTTCATTAGTCCCACATCAGCTTTCAATTTGATTGATCAAAGGTGTGTTTCACTTCATGTACGCTGTAAATAATTAATACCTGTCAACAAGAGTGCAAGTAGGAAAAAATGTAGCCTGAGGGGAACAAAATGCAGCAGGCTAATCTTGGATACAGCTGCTACAACAGCCAGCAGGGGGCAGCAGAAGCTTTCAATTGCTGCATGCAGCCAAAGACAGGCCGAGGAGCTATACCTACTACATGTCCTGAAGGAATAGCAGACCTACTTCAAGAACATGAAACATGAACTGATCCTCAGGTTTTTATATTTCATTGAATGCTTTCTAAATGCTTGTAGTTAGCCACAGGTCCATTACATGCTATCAGTTGTGATAGAAATCCAGCAAAAAATGACCAAAGATATCAAATACAAGCACACAACTAGAATCATTATGGATGTACATGTTTTTAATCCATACAAACTGCAGCGTTAGATACATACTGAAGCACACACACTCACAAAATCAGTCATCCTTCCAACGCACATCTAGACATGTTCAACTCATGCTGAGCACTGCAGGGAGATGAGGCAGTCAAATAAAGAGGCAAGACAAACAGTCAAAAAGAGACAAAGTGGGTGGGGCATCTTCAAGCTGGAGCATTTTTTACTTACCAAGAATTTAGAGCCATTTTTAAACTGTGACAAACTAACCCATTGATGACACAGTGTCCTTAACAGGCAGAAAATATAGATTATTCCCACTGTTGGTACAGTCTTCAGATTAAGACCATTAAAAAGAAGATACAGCATGTACAGGGGTCCATGCATATACATTATACACTCAGGACAGTAAGTCACAGCGTGTGAGTTATTTTCTGAACATGTGAGGAAAGAGAGAAATTTAGCACTGGAAAACAGCAGAGGAAAGGGAATCGCAGCCTGTGTCCTGAGAGAATATTCAATAAAATATTAGAAACGTGATGAAACATTTTAGAGGAAAGAGAAGGGACAATATAAAGAAAGTAAAGAGAAAAGAAGAAGGGATGGAGTGACAAGAGGAAAAGAGCCAAGGTGGAAGAAGATGAATGAAGAATATTTGGAGAGACATGAAGGGAGGGACTGAGTAGAAACCGAGAGATGAATGAGGGAAGGCTAAAATCAGATTTGATCAAAGAAATGGGACCAGTAAAAAAGACAGAGCCATGTCGAGACCCGCTCCTGAAATTAAGACAACAATCTGGACATTTTTAGGCCCTCTGTCTCGAAATATTCCCAGATTATCAAGGTCATCTGTGTCAGATTAAGGCAGTGGTTCTCAAGTCCAGTCCTCAAACCCCCACTGTCCTGCATGTTTTGGATGTTTCCCTGCTCCAACACACCTGATTCAAATGATCAATTCGTTATTAAGCCATTACAGAGCTTGATAACGAGCTGATCATTTGAATCAGGTGTGTTGGAGCAGGGAAACATCCAAAACATGCAGGACAGTGGGGGTTTGAGGACTGGATTTGAGAACCACTGGATTAAGGGGTTATGAGCAAGTGGGGAGGCAAGACATTGAGCGCACTTGAAAAACCCAACAAGATGGCTGACAACCTTGAGTACTGTGATATGTCACTTCTCTGGGTAAAGAAAAAATATCTTTTGCTGTTCTGTATTATTATTCTTTTTAAAATTTATTTAACCTGTATTAAACCAGGTAAAATCCCATTGAGATCATGATCTCATTTACAAGGGCGACCTGGCCAAGAGGTCAGCAGCACACGTCATAATAATCTGTTGGGTTATTTTTCTGATTCAGAACCTATATATAATGAGATAACTCCATATCAATGTGAGTATTTAAGGAGAATGTGATTAAAGCTGACAGAAATTGTACATTTTCTGCTTTTTGGACAAGTATGTTCAGTTGTATTTTCTGCCAAACTTGCATAATTAAGTAGTAAAGTAGGGCCACCTCAGCTTCAGGACACACCTCTGATGAGGTAAAAAAATAGAGACAAGGAATCAAGAAGAAGAAGAGGTGAAAGAAAAGAAAAGAAAAGAAAAGAAGGACTGTTTTGAAAAGAAGAAGCACCTGTGAGCTTTTTCTCCAGGCTTTAACCTGACTCACAATAAAAAGAAAAAAAGATGGAAGAAGACAGAGAAACAGTTGTCAAGAGTTACCTCGAAGAAAGTGTGAAATGCTGGACTAATAAAGAGGAGATGAAAACTGTAACCTGACTGTAAAATCTCCTCTGAATGGTTCACTCTCACACCAGTCTGAGAGAAAGAAAGGCAGAGAGACAGAGGGGGATGTGTGAAGAAAGAGAGGTGTTGAGGGCCGGGGTTAGTGTGTTACTGAGTGAGCCAAAATGAAAGAAAAATAAAGAGAGAGGAAAAAAAAGACCTAGTTTTGGCAACGTGGCTTCCTGTTGCTGGGTAACGGTCTCAGAGGGCAGAAAAAGCTCTTCTTTGAGGATATCAAAATGAGCAATTTTCACCCCAACCCCTCCTCGTCCTCCTCCTCCTCCTCTTCTTCTTCCCTCTGCACCCCCATCTCCACCTCCACCCTGCTCTCTCTCTATTTCTTTTTCTCTTAGTCTTTCCTCAGCAGTTTGTGAATGCTGCCAAAGCCAGAACAAGCAATTCATGGTCTGGTCTGTCTGCAAACAAACAGGGCAGAACAACAAAAAGGAACGGGGAATGTCAAAATATCGATAAGGGGGTCGTTAAAGCATGTTTGAGATGTTGAAATCACATCATCTTTATATTGAGCATGAATCAGCATATATTTCAAGGAAAACACAAAAAGTCATATAAAAGAAGATTTTATGCTGTGGACTAATTTTGAAAATATCAAAAAATCAGCTCATTATAATTCTACTCATCACAAATTCAGAGCTTCAGATCTTTCCTCATATGATTCACACTGATGCTCAGACCTTTGCTTTTGCTTTGCTCAGAATAAATTGGGATAAGCTATGAAAAAAAAAAAAAGGTTGTGGCCCTGCAATTCTTTCTGTCAGCCTTGTGTCGACTAAAACAGACCGACTACATGAAAATGAAGATCAGCTGCAGCTCCAAAGTGTGCTCTAAATGAAATGAAAAGTCTTGTTGCCTCCTTTTGTGCATAATTTCAATCAGATGCTAATGACACATTTGAATGCAGCTAGCTGTATCTTCATGGATGAGGTGTAGACATGGTTAAACTTGCAGATAGCATCGCTGCACAAACTGAGAGTAAATCCGTGCCTCTGACAGGGGCTGCTTAAGCTCCTTTTATGAGTCACTGCTGCTTCTTTTACATCTTTTCACCTCTGGGGCTCTAAATATAGTTAATTTAATCCCAGCATGAGGCCCAGGCTGATTCTGACCTGCTGGTTTAGAGGATCCTCACACACACACACACAAGCTTTTTACAGATTCCAGTAATTAACAGCAAAGTGTAAAGTATAAGAAAACAGGGAGAAAAAAGAGGCGATAAATATATTTCAAATCCAATTTCATTCAAGTTAATTTCTTCCAAACACTTTCTTGACATGTTGCAGCTTCTTTGGGCAGGATGGTCAAATGATGAACACACTAGTCTGAGTTTATTATTTTTACAAGCATGTGATGAAGTATAGGAGCATAATTGATGCAACAAGTACACAAGGAAGGGACTTTAATCATGGCTGCATCTCTGCACAACTTAATGGAGATTCACAAGGTGGAAACTGTTTTTTTTTCTACTTATTTCCTCTTTTAGAAGTTTCCTGGAAACAACCTGGCAAGTTGATGTTTACAACCCATAAAGTTATAGTCCAAGACAGCAGTTGGTACACAAACCATAATAACCAAGCATGATCACTGACTTTTTAAACATAAAACTGAGCGTAGATAAATGTTACACTTTCCAAGTTTAATTAATATTAAGCTTTTTGAGTGCTAAAGTCACATGATGCTTTCCAGGCTATTAAAAAAACTTGAAAAAGACAGTTTTTCCTAAAACAAAGGCATGAAACGGATCCTATTTTTGAAGCTTTTACCCTGTAGTTTCTCCGTGTACTCCTGTAAATCATGATTGTAAAAAGACTAAGGGAATAAACCATTCTTGCGGTAAATGGACTGTGTTTATAAATGTAGGAATATCAGTATGTTGCTATCCATTCGCTTGAGTCTCAGTTTATGAACCAGTGCACTCATTTATCATAACACAAACACCCTGACTGTCTCGTCTCAAGATTCTCTATCAGTTCTACAAGGTAATATTTAGACTCAACAGCCAAGGTTATTCCAGCAGAGTCATAAATGAGGCTGTAATCAAGTTTGTTTGCAAGTCTGATTAGAAATGGCAGAAACCTTGAGTAGATCACACACAGAGGTTGTGGTTATGAATCCTGGTTATTTCTGTTTTCAATGCTGTGTCTGCTTTGTGCCATGTGACTTAGAGCTATATATATATTCAAGTTTAAACCATGACAAACACTCTGGCCTTCACAAATATATAGGTCTAACTTAAACCTGGCATTAATATATAGAGGAAAAAACAATGACCTGTTTGATAAGACAGAGGTTTAAGGCCACAATTAGGATTGTTTTTTGAGATTTTGAGGATAAAGTTGTAAATCTATAAGAACAAATTCATTAGAATTTTTTAATTATGACAAAGATCTGGTATCTATATGCAAAATATTAGCAGGGCTTGGAAGGCAATATTTTTAATAGCTGTCAGTTTAATAGCTGAGGGCAAACAACAGTAAGAAAAGGGTGTACAGGCTGTTTGCCTTTCTTCAGGGTAGGCTTGGTCATTGAGTCTAGCTATGGTTATAGCTGGACAACTCAGTCCACTCACCCATGGAGTGAATCTGTTGCTTTTGTGACACGTTATTATTGGGCCGTCAAAACAAGAAAGAGGCTACTAGTTAAATGTCAAATGATAAAAACACACCAAGACACTCCACGTTTTGTCACTTTGGCAAAGGCAGCAGACAGCTCACCATAAACTACTACGACTTTATCACCACTCAATTCTCATGACATGATGACTTTATTTTCCTTATATTATGACTTTATTTTTGTAACAGTATAACTATGATTTAAACCTAACTCTACAACCTGATTTTCATACCACTTTATTCTCCTGAGAAAATTACCTAAATCAAAAAAATTTATATTTAAAAATGAATTTCAAACCTTTTAAAATAAGTTCTACACCTTAATTATTTTTCTTTAATTGTGGCTCTTATACTTCACAATCTAGGTTTGTTGGTCAGACAAAAAGAAATGAAATTAATTCAGAATCATTTATTTTTAAAGTCTGGTTTTAGCCAGATTAACAAAATAAATTGTTGATTTTAACTACATGAAAACATTCTGAGTTTATTGTGCAACTAGTTTAAAATCCTAATATGAATTTGTAGTCCTGACAAGCTCCAAGACTAGGTATTCAATTATTATTGAGTCTTGTGAAGGTAATCTTGAAAAGGCGCTCCAGAATCTTCTCTTTAGTTAAGGTGTTTGGCCCTTCAAAATAACACACAGGCTTACTACAGTCTAAAATTATGAGCTTTTACAACTTTATTCTTGTAAATTTATGACTTTAGCCTCAACATCTCAATTGTTTTCTTCTAAGGTGGCTCTTATACTCTGTGATTCTAGTGAAGGTGCTGTCTCTATTTCAATCAAGACCATAAAAACAATCAGAGGAAAAGAGGGGAAAGTCTATGTGCAGGTTTGATAAGGCGCTTTATACACATGGAGCAATAATATAACTGGACTTATCTGTAGAAGTGATAGCTTATCAGTGTTGAACTTAGCTTATTCAGGCATAGTCAGCAGGAGTTATTATAAAATGTTTAAGTTCATTGTAGACTCTTGAGTGGACTGTCATGTGTCCTGACCTCAGAAAACCGTGATGGGACAGTTTAAATCAAAGCATTTCAGACATGACTTTATGGGTTATGACCATAGACTGTATATAGAATGGACGCTGTCTGCCTCCTCGCTCGGTGAAGCCTCCATTAGAAAAGCACCCTCTGGTGACGGGCTGCAGTATAGGTCATAAATCCCGCCTCCTCCAGCATTCCATATGGAGCTGTGGTCAATTTTTAGAAATTTATAACACAGAATATAATCAGCATATACATTTTTCTCCCCCCCTTGATTGTGATGTTGACATGTAGTTACTGTCAGACTGGTTTGTGCTCAAGTCCTCTTTTTTCTGTACAGCTCTATTTTTAAAAGTTATTAGGGGGTTCATGTTTTCTGTGATTGACACTTGATACAGCCCATAGGTGTACAAAGATTGCTCACCCGGGGGGGTACACTGTTTGAGCCAAGCGTCATCACAGCAACTCTCTTGTCAAATGCGTACAATGCTACTGCGCAAGTGGTAGTTCGAGGGAGGGAGGTAATCCCGGAAATATCGAGCGCAATTCGTCTTCAAGTTCGTATAAAGGCAGAGCCAAGCTGTCCATAGTATATACAGTCTATTACATGTTACAAGTGAATTTTTTATATCAGGATTTGCACAATGACACTAAAGTTATCTTCAGCAGTGATTTGTGATGCATCTGAAAAGCAAACATAAAGCTTTTTTTTTCTTTTGTCATAACAGTGTTTAAACCAGAGTATTTTGGTCATTAATTCATAAAACTACAGGAAGCTTCATGCTCCAAGGCCTCATTCTGCTGTAAATCTCCCAAACACACTGCAGCTCAGTCCACAAAACTCCGACAAGCAAACACAAAGAATCGTAATAAATACATTAACACTCATTGTTGCACTTCCTTGGTTCTTACAAATAAAAAGCATACAGTACTTGTTTATTTCTTTAGACAAACGCATATTGTTGTTTTGTAATATTTTCATATGTACATTTTCAGTAGTCGTTACATAGATAGTATTTCAGCACAGTTGAAGAAGAACTTGAAACCACAGAGGGGAACAGAGATGCATAAAAAAAATCAATGTTTTGGCTTGTAGGTCAGTGCTGATCTTTCATCTTTAAGTCATCTGTTTTATGCAAATACTTTTTGATGGTTTGTTTCAGTTTTCGGTGGTTACTAACCGCTACAACACGGATTTACTGCAACTGATGAATGAGAGGTAAAGGTAGAATAACACTGTAAGACTTTTGTGAGCACACACATCTTTGAATCACTCTAAAGATCATCAGGAACCAGATTTCTGCTGTTAAGCTTGAGTCAAATCCTCTGTGAATTTGTCAACAGTTAAAAATGCACTTTTTTTTCCAGCACAAGTAGCAGAAGATCATTATATGTGTTTATTTGATTATAAAAAAAAAAAAATTGGAGTCTTCAAGAAAACCATGACCTGGATGAATGAGAATCTACGTGGACATGTTTATAAAAATGCCATTTTATATTGGGGATGTGTTCATTCAGTCAACCAAAAGTCATCACCTTTGCTTGTCAGCATCTGAATTACTGGTTGGTTGAATGAAATAGTAACAGTTTTATGTTCCTGAAATGCTGGTCTAACCTCTCTTTAACCCTCATGTTAATGTCTACTGTCATGATGTAATGCTCTATATCTTAATGTAAACAAGCCCAGGTAAGAGATTGCAAGACTACAAGACTGGTTAACTTGGCATATACCCCACTGGGTGATCTGTAAGCAGCACAGGTACAGGGATGTCAGCCTGCAAGGAGGACTGAAGGCTCTGCTAATGTAAGCCAAACACCAAACAATCTGACCCTGTTAACCAGCAAACTATAAGACTGTGTTGAGTTATTTTAAATAAACTGTGACCAAGTCAGAAACCACCAGTCCCTTTGGAGCATCCCTCTTTTCCCCATTGGGGTCACATTTTCCATAAAAATGTAAATGCAGGTCAACAATCAGCTGACGTAAACTGGACTTACCCATACTGTTATTGAAGAGTGGTGATATAACTCTCTTTGGGTGTATCAATACTAGTGACACTTCCAAAATTAAGCATACATGTTTGACCTGTTGTCATTAAAACATATTGATCGGTGCAGCTTTAAAGGTTTACATCTTCAATAAGGTGGATCAATACCTGGAGATGTAGTACCATGTTATTGACTTTGGTCTTTTTGGTGGGGTTAAGAGACACTGAGGAAAACAAAGAACAACATCAGCATCAATGTCTTAAATACAAACTAAAATACGCACAAGTATATTCACCTGTCTGCACTGCAAATCTCAGTCTGCATCTGTGTGTCCAGACTTGAACTCATATGTGGCGAGTATTGGAGAGCCTGCATTCAAGTCTGCATCTTAGAGAAGCTCTGTGAAGCACGTTTGATGCTCAGTCACACTGATTTGATAAAACCTTCACATTCCTCACCTTAAACCTTCAAACCAGCTTACTAAAAGACTATAAATATCCACTCTTAAGGCTTGATATGGACAATAGAATGAGTCTTTTTTTGTTTTCAGCTGTACTTCATGAGTAGAGATGGGAAATGATATGATTTTATACAAGCAAGCACTATCATCAGCTTCTCAATCTGATATTTATATTCTAGGATTCTCTTATTAATTCCTGTGGATTTATCTGTAGCAAAATGTAGGCCTGCGCAGATTCTCTGAATCAACAACACAAATTTTTGAGATTTGTTACTTTTACTACTCTGCCGAGTTGGGAAAGCCTTGCTTCTGATTGGGCTGATAAAGGTCACCTGATCATAGATACAGCCTCTGATTAGTGAACAGACCACAACAAAGATGGCAGGGTCACATTAGCATAGTCAGAGTACGGCACAAGTCACACTTTATCACTAAAATAAATGTTAAAAACATCATAGATTACTTTTTTTAAGGGATTGGATCTAGACAGTCTTTGAAAATGTATTGATCTTTTTCAGGGAGAGAAAAAAAAGCCCCACAGAGAAAGTTTATTGATGGTAAACAATCGATTTCATGGGTCGAGTGGAGTTCAAAGCCAGTGTGTATGTCACACTGTGCTGTTTTTAGGGCTGATACTGTAAGTCCAACAATATTTATATAAGACAGCACTTTGGTCTGTTCCAGTCTTCTGTCCACACTGATCACTCCCTTGGTTGACGGCCTCTCATGATTCATCATGAGATTGTTTTGCAAGGCATGCAGAACGAAGTGGAGGCCTCAATAAGGAAACCCTTACAGTACAGGCAGATGACACCAGTGGCTCACATTAATTTGAACTGGTTCTGACCTGGACCAGTTTTCATTTCCCATCCCTATTCATGATACTAGAATAAAAACAATCACTGCAGCTGACATTGAGCAAGCAAACTGTCACACAGGCTACTGTTTCTGCATAAAGGCATACCCTATCCTGTTCTCACCCTCCCCTCCTGGCTGGAAGAGCTCAGTATTTCTTTTACCACAGCTTGATATATTGCATACATAAACCAGAAGGTTTTCCCCTCTGAGGAGCCCCAGCTAAAGCCAAACTATTGATTTTTTTCTCTCTCTCTTTTGTTTCAAAAATACAGAGAAAGCATACTGACCAGACAAAACTGGAGCTATCAAGCACACTTATTTCTTTGAACATTCACTTGATAAAACTTACAGATTATAGCAACAATACAGCGGCACAGTTTCATTTGAGAGGACTGTCGTTCTTCCGCGTCTGTCCTCATTTGGACCCACAGTGTAAGGTGTCATCTTCCAGACCACGTTATATTAAAGAGAAGCAGATATGAGGGGGCGCGATACCTTTACGGTCAAGCAGAAAACAGTAGCTTCAGCTCCTCCTCTGCCTCTGTTGGCCGACTGAATCTTTTGTTTGGATGAATCAATTTAATTTACAAGTGCATCAACGTGAAAGGAATCAAGTCTTCAGGAAAGGCTTCCTTATAAATAAAGATTAGGTTATTGATCACATTGCTTTTTTTCCACTGAAAGCAGGGTTTCAGGAAGCCTCTGTATCATAGTGGTGTAACCTCTTTGTAACAGCAACAATACAGGTTTGATAGCTCTAAAATGAACCTGTGATAATTTAAGAGCTGAATACAGCAGCTGCATAAATAAAGATCCAACAGTACCAAAGCTGTTCCAGTGCCAGCTCCAGTTTTTATTGTAGCACAGGCAGGTCGATGAGGTCAGATAAGCTCAAGGCTAACAGTAAAGCGACATCCTGCTCCGCCGCATGGCCTCGCTGATTAAATAAGCCGGGCTGATTTCGGGTTCTTCCGTCATCACTACAATGTTCTGCCACTCTCCACCCTGGTTGGACTTCTTGATGGTATCCACCACACAAAGAGCGTAAAGACAATCCTCAAAGGTAGCAGCCATCGTCAGCGGCCTCCCATCCCACGTCCGCCTGTCGTCCTGGTCATGAAAGGCCTGCCGCACAGCCTGGATCATACGAATCGTCCCAGTCAGATAGGGGGAAGGAATGTCACTGAAGGCTTTCTCTGGTAGGGAAGCCTTCTCCAGAGGTGTGGTGTCTTTGAGCAGGAGTTCAGGACCTCCTCCACTTCCTCCACCCCCGCTGTTCTTCTGTCCATACAAGTCAGTCCCCACTACTGTTAACCTCCCAACAGTCCCCACAACGATCACCTCCTGACGAAATTCTCCGGGTACGTTAAAGTTGAGTGTGACGGTGCAGCAGGCACCTCCTTCCAGCACCATCTGGAAGGTGCAGAAGTCGTCACTGGTGATCTGACGGATGCCTCGGATGTGGTCTGTTTGCTTGACGAAGGTCTTGAGAAAGCCGTGGACTTTGACTGCACGCTGTCCTGTCAGAAACGTGAGCAGGTCAATGATGTAGCTGCCCACCGAATGGAGACCACCGCCTCCCATCAGGTCGTCACAGCTCCAGTTGTACTTCTTCCCGAGCAGACTTCCACTATGGACCTGAGGGACAAAGAAGAGAAATGACAGTTTTGGTGTAAATGGGCTCTTTCTCTCTTTTTTGCCATGAAAGAACCAATTCGGATGGTATCTGGGATCAAGTCTTAAAGGCATATTCCAGCGTAAATTTAAGTTACGGTCAAACACACTGTAACATCGAGTTAGACACCCCCTCGAGAGATGAATGTTGCCGACTGCTTACTTCTCTAGATATACCAATTTCAGCAACAACCACATGGTAGCAATACAAAGCAGTCTACATCTGTGTCTACATGTGAGTGTGTGGGGCTCCTGCTGTTTATAAGCTGTGCCTCTTATGGTATGACCTCCAATACAGCACTACTGAAAAATTAGTACATATGAGAGGCCACAGCCCAAATGCAACTCTCTCCATTTTCTCCTTCAAAGAACTGCCAAACTGCACCACAAGAGATGCCATCTGTCATTTCTGCTTATGTACATTGCTGCAGCCATAAACCAGAGCTGTTCTAGGTAGTGGCATGTGGCCACAGCTTAGACAGTTCATTTGATCAATTACAAATTTACATGCACCCCTGTTACATAAATAACTACAGTAGCATTGGCTGAACAGTGGTATTTTGGTGACTTATTTTGATTTTTACATGCATATTCAGTAGGGGTGGGAGAAAAAATATAGTATCGCCAATTTTTTTCGGGTGATTTATTGTATTGTCTCATTTGCCAAGTATCGATTTTTCAAATTAATTGCTAATGGGAAGTCAAATCAATGATAATGGAAAAAATAAAAATGAACTGCTTGTCTAGTGAGGTTGGCAGAAGCGACATCATAGAGCTGGAGAAGATTAGTGCAAAAAATAAGGTTTGCAAGATGTCCTACATGAAATTAAAATACAGCATAAATAAGACAAGCATAAAGGAAAGCCAAATGCCAAATTATCTTAACAAAAATTGGATAAATCACATTATATTGTCTCACAATATTCACTGTATTGCAAAATGTCAAAAATCGCAATAATATCGTATTGTGGCCCAAGTATCGTGATAATATTGTATCATGGGGCCACTAGTGATCCCCACCCCTAATATTTAGGTACTTACAAAGTTGACTTCTATTGAATTAAGGTATTTCCTGTCAGTTACACATCCAACAAAAGGCCAAACGCTTTAGAGAAAGTTTATTTACTTTAAATATGTCATTAGGGTTGATTTACGAATTTGCAGCCATGCATTGTGGGGAAATAAGTTATATTGCAAACAGCCACACATCATAGTGGCGTTTAAAATAGCTGTCATTCACCATTGCAAAACGTGATGTTGAACTGATTATTAGCACTTGCAATACATGAAGTGCGGGTTTGAGTGTTTAGCTGTGGTGAAGTGATTGTGCTCAGTTTCCACTGTTTTTTTCAGTGTTTTCTTGCATTTAGACTCACTACAAGTCAGAAACTTATTTGACTTAAATGCCAAATAACTGCCTAAAAACTTGAACTAAATCCCAGATTCAATGCCAGCTCTGTCACAGGTCAAACTGTCACAATACATCTTTAAGTCAAAATAGAAAGAAAACATTTATGAAACCTTTCATGACAAGATATTATCATTTCAGGTTATGCCATACCTGGGCCTCACACACCAGAAGCTCTCCGATGTACCCCTCTTCCAACAATTCTTTCATTCTCACGAAGGCCGGCAAGAAACGCAGCACATTTCCCATAATGCTCAGCAGCTTAGGGTAGTACTGGGCTGCTGACATCATCTTAAAGGCATCCAGGGGCGTTGCTGTCCGGTCGCAGATGACGTTCTTTCCAATACCTTATAAAAGAGAGGAGAGACAGATGGGAGTCAGCCAAGTGAGCTGTACTGTTTTCCTGCAGATTTCACGGCTTTCCACAATGGTACCAATGTAAAGATGAAAGGAGGACATAGGAAACCAGAGAGAGGAATAATGTAGTCCGCCTTAGCAACACTTGCAGACATAATTTCCTCTTCAGCATGAAAACATCCCCTGAAGAAACAATGCAAAATGTGGCAACTCCCAGAGAAGCTGACTCAAGATTTCCTAAACCTTCTGTGCTTTTTCTCTCATGCTTGTGGTTGCCTGCAAAGACATATCGTGTTTAGTGTTATGCACAGTTTTAAGCTGTTGAAGAACATGCCTCTGTGTGACTCTTTTTAAATGAGGAGTTAGAAAATATTGTACAGACAAAATATGCAGTTCTGCTTTTAAAATAATGTGATAAATGCAAATATTCAAACCTATTCCAGGAACAAAATATGGGTTCTTTCAGGCAATTAATCTTGGCACGCATACAAGATGTTGCAGTAACATATATACAGTTCAATATACAGTAAGACTCAGCTTTACTGCTGGTAAAAAGGACCTGATGGAAAGTTAATAGATGAAGAGCACAGAGGGAAGCAGGACTAGAGACAGAGCCAGCAGACACAGTAGGAAACCTAATTAAAATCACGTCCAGCACGATAAAAGCTCCACTGGTGCCAGAAACACCCAAACACAACAGTGATTGAAGCCTGGACCGTGAAGTGAAGAGAGACAGAAAAACAGACAGTCAGTCTTTCTACAGCTTATTTCTCTGAAAACCATCCACTTTTAAAGAGTGTGAGCCCACTCCATCAGAGATTTTTAAAGAATTAAAACTTTTAAAAAATGGGATTGCTGGTATAACAAAAATTACAGTTTGGCACATTTATTAAGTTTACAATTTCAAAAGTGAGAAAAAACTTACTAATAGCATCTACAACATTGAGGGTATTGCTAATATTACTCACAGTTTATCTGCATGCACAAAACTCTAGATTTGTGGTCAATGGCTAATCAGCCACCAGTAAAGGAAAGACAATAAGAGGAGGTAAATGGTGCAGAAACTAGTGAGGGATGTGTAAACGCACAAGGCACTGAGCTACCAAATTGAAGAAAACAGACACAAAGCAACCAGAAATCCAAACTCAGTGTAAGCCTGGTGGTGTTACAGGACAGAGAGATGAAAACACCAGTAGAAAATTCAAAGAGGTACCTTCTGCTGCCTGTTCAGAATGATGATGGTAAAATGCTCATATTTTGACTAAGATGAAAAAATGAAAATGATGTTCAGACTTAAATACCTCTAAAAATTTTAGTTTAATTTTAATTTGACCTATGAATAAAAATACTGTTGCCATTAAAGCACCGCCAACCACTAAATCTGTGAGACTCCTTTTTTTTTTAACTTTGCTTTGCACGGGGGTCTTGTGTCACTTAGTTAGGTTTCCTCTTGCCCTAAAGGCCTTCCCTTTACATTATCCTTTGTGTACAGGGTCCAACATATCAAAATGAAAACAAAAACATCCCAGTTTAAATGTACACTGAATGTTTAACTAGTTTGCTGCATTATCTTGACTTCAGAAAGTACTCTCCCTCAGAGATATTGTCTGACTCTGAATGACTATTCACTGTACATGAAATATTTACTACTGATTCATACAACCCCACTTTAAAACATGGAAACAATCCCTTTAAGTTTACATGACGTTTGCAATCAAAACCTGAAGTTTCTTAAAGCAGGGGTGCAAGATTGGTCAATGCAGACTTTAAAAAAATCAATGCCGATTTAAATGTCAGTTATTAGTTAGTGGTGCCAATGCATGTCTTCATGCTGTGCAAGGACAAAGCTGTCCTGGATTGAGACATCCTTCATCCATGTTTTCATGCTGAGAGTGACACAAGCGAAGCAGTAACAGATCAACAAACCAGAAACATGGTGGCAGCAAATGCAACACCAAAGTGTCCGAAAACCAGAAGTACAATTAAGGTTTCATAACCGAGTTAGTCCTTTATTGTTTCAGTGTTTAATGATATATTTAAAGGATTAAAATAGTTGCTAAACTTACAGCCTGTTACAGCGAAAGCCTTTGTGAGGTTTGACTTCTGGCTTTAAATCATCAGTTTTGAGTATTCTCTGCCACGTCTCAATCAAAGTTCATCATCGATAAATAATGGACACCTTCAGCAAATCAATATCTAGTACAGGCAGCAATGTGTCCATTCATATTCAAAAGCTAACCTCCATATGAGCTGTAATGTGTTTTTATGAGAGGGGAAGTTTGAGGGTAATGACTAATGGGTTGGTCATAATAACATCTCCAACCATAAGCTGCAGATCACACCAGATCCATCCAGCTATAGATGCAAAACCCTCAATATAAATGATTTAAGCAAGAATGGCTTTTATGACTTTTGAATGACACTTTTATGTGCAAGATGTTTTTTCTTTGTGATGTTACATAATCGTATAATTTTAGTCACAAAGCATCAGAGTAAGTAGAGGGATATAATGTGGCTTAACCTCCCGTCTGTGTGAGGTTGTGACAAAGTCAGAGGGATTTATTTTGATTGACGTTACATCTACATACTCTGTAATCCCCACTGAGGTCACACATGGCAACAAGGAGCAGTCCGCACAGTAAACGGGCATCCCTCCACTCTCACACTCCTCGAAGCCCCTGGCGTGTGAAAAGCAGCGTGCTGCTACACTTGCAATCCTGGCTTCAGGCGGTGGGTGGAGGGGCTGTTTTGGAAGTGAAACTTCCCATGCTAATCTGCCATTAGCTTCAATCAGCCACAGCCAGGAAATTAATCCTTTTGACCCAGATCTGAGGAGCGCCATGGGAGCCCCTACCCACCACCCGACCAACCCCTGCAGACACACAAAGCCAAGCCACAACAGTTCGCCCCCCATCCCTGTTTTTTGGCAGAAACAGACACAGACAGATAATGGGACCAAGAACTGTACTGTGTAAAACCCCTCTAGGTAAATGCTTTACACTCTCGACTGAGTTTTTGGCCCAGTATCTTCACAGAACAATAGCTTGGTGAGCTAAAGAAGCCAAAAGGCAGATTTAGCTTTCTCACAGATATTCTCTTCATGATTTGGCCAAAATGTACAAAACTTCTCCTCTGAGTCCATCATCTAAGTTTTAAACTTACACCTACTTCAGCCAGGGATGACTACACTAAAGGCTTCTGCTTCTGCAGTGTCATTATAACACTTGACGGTTCTGACCGCTCACCACAGGATCTGAGAGTGACCTTCACAAAAAGCAGGTTCACTACAGCTCAATAGTGACCTTTAGCTCCTCACATTCAAATCCGTGAGGGTGGAGGCAGGCTTACAGAGCTCACTGACTCATCACAGCTCACAGACTCCCTCAGACACACAGAGGATGGACCGTGCTGGCCCGTGTCCAGCAGATTATTGATGCACCTGAGCAGGAGGTAAAATCCCACCTGGTACAGCAGAAGGCCGGCAGCTGGAGTAAAAATGCACTTGAACCTGGATCACAGCAAAAACTCATAACAAGCTTCTTGGTGAACAATAAAAAACAAAGCTAAAGGACCTTTAGTGAGTAGCCCTGTCCATTTTCAATTGCAATTTTTTATTCATTGACAACTTCTCCAAACTTTACTTTAATCAAAAGTTTTTTTCTATCATCTCTCAAAACGAAACCACTGAAAATGACGTAGTGCATATGCCAAGCCAGTAAGTGGTGCTGTAACGCTGCCCAGAAAATGCACAAAAGACAGAAGAAGAGTACAGAGCATGCATTTAAAGGCCTGGAAACCAGAGACACTATAGAGAGGAAAAATCGATTTGCCGATTTCAATTTTTTCAACATCGTCATAATCAAATCATCCAATTACGATTGAAAATCGATTACGTGTGCAGCCCTACTACCTCCATGTTTATACACATCTGAGCGAGTAAAAGCCACCACTCTGATACCAAACTCTGCAGGTTTGAAGTGTTAACAGATACAGTTATACAGTAAGAGCCTGACACCAGGGACTAGGGTTTTCTGATCTCTGTGATAGCTGAGCAAAGAGACTCAAAGATACAGTCCCTGACCCTGTGGGGTTACTTTAATGGAGCAGGATAGAAAACATTCAGCAAAGCAGCTCAGCCCCCTGACATTAATAATTGATGGGTAAGAGATATCTCACCAAAAGACTTTGAAGATGGAAAGTTGGACCCTGCAGATAAGAGGTCCTATAATTGTTATGTAAGAATAACTGCAGAATAAAAAGAATCAAACAAATCATTTTAGAAGTTTGTATAGTTTGGTAAAAGAAGACAGACTGTATTATGGAAATTTAACATTAAATAACTCTATAGACATTTTCCAACAACAGCTTGTTTTCCAACAAGCATCCCTCTGCAGCAGCGCATGACAACAGCCTGCCCTCCTTCAGGTGCCTCCAGGTGTCTTTGACATGCAGAAAACTGACAACCTGTCAGAGCCAATCATCTCACCTCACAGACTGAAATCACATCCTGTCGTCTCTCAAACCTCAGGACTAAAAATCTTTAAACAAATCCAGCTGAGAGGGGCTAACTCAGTCCTGGACTGTCACTATCATGAGGCTTTCTTTTCTGAGCAGGTGAAATAAAACAAACACGAGGCAGCGGGAGAAGAACAACATCTCATGTCACATTAATACTGTGTGATAATTTCCCTCACACATTCAGCTCATGGATTCTACTGAGGGGAAAATCAAATTCCATTATCCTATTAAAGAGAGAGAGAGGAGGAAGAGGCGATAATAGGGGCGTTAAGACTGATGGAATGGAACAAATGACTCCTAACTGTGTCATGTGAAGAAGCGCTGTAACATCATCACAGCTTTAAATATTAGCCATGGACAGCAAAGAAAACAGCTTCTTTTGTTTGTGCAGTGAGGTCAGAAATGTCAAGAGGAAGAGGTTTGGATCTTGTGAAAAAACAGGTTAAAAGAAGAGACAAATATATGAGTAGCCCTTTAATGCCTGACACCATAAATTATGGCCAGAAAATTCAAATTTTTTAAAGCAGAAATGTTTATTTCACTTACTACTTAAAAACCCCAAAAATCTAAATATCCTAAAAATTTTACAACTATGTTTATTTATCTCATTTGATACATTAGATGTTTTTAGAAACTGATGAACTACAAAAAGACATTTTTATCATTTATCAGACTGTATTTAGGTGTTTTTTTTTTTTAGTAATTTGTTGATCATATTGATTTGGTAGAAGTATATACAAGTATAAATCAAATATGATACAAAAGCAATAGAGGTTTAACTTTGTAAAAATTCACATTTAGATGCTTAATGATCAATTAACTATGTCTCTGTTAATATTGAAGCTTCACTAAGGTGAGACCATTTTTGTCATTAATGCAATGATTTTATTAACCTTTGGTTGATCAGTACTAGTTTTTAGATGGCCAATGCCGATAATGATGACAAAAGAGCAGGTCAGTTGGTGTACCACACTACTTCCCTATTATCATAAAGAGGTTTCAATTCTTATTTGTGCATTTTTTCACTCAAGTCTGCTGAAGTGTCGCTTCACCTACTTCCTGAAAGGAAACCAGTTTCTTAGATGTACTGATACTGAGACTTCACAGCATCTTAAACATGACCAACATAAAAACTGAAGGACATCTGCTTCTTACTTGGAAAATGTGTTACAGTATTAATTTCTGAACTGACGCTGGTATATACACACTTGGTAACAGAAATAAAGTTTGTTATTAGTCATCACTTTTCCACTCACATTTGTTAGAGTAAGACTTGCCTTTAGGGCCTTGAGAGGACACGTGGGTCCATTTTTGACTATTATCTTTCAGAGACAGCAGCAGCAGGAAGAACAGGTAACACTTCTTTTTCAAAAAACACACCAGGAAGGGAACAAAGAGACAAGAAGGGCAAGAAATGTGCAGAGACAAAGGCAAGGAGAGAGAGAGAGCGAGAGAGAGAGAGAGAGCAGCTGCGCAAAGACGAGTGAAGGCCAACTCTCCCCAGTCCTACAGTTCTCGGCTCACTGCCACACACATCATCTGTGCCTCTCTGCACGGGAGCGATCTCTGAGGAGCAAGGTGAAAATTCAAGTGTGTGTGGCAGAGAGACCACCAGTATTGCATGACATGTTGTGCATTCACACCTTCAGAAAGAGGAGCAGTGGTAGAGTCAATGCAGAAAGGTCAGATTCAATGTGAGAGCAAAGATACTGTGTGTAACATGTTATCATTTCTCTTTGTGTATGTTGTTCAAGCAGGATGGAAAACTTTACGCATTGCACTTTTTTTTTCACATTCTCTAATGTTCAAAAATATTCAACTTTTACTATTTAATTTTTTTCTTTGTCTTTTTGACAATCAACACATAAATGTCCATTTCTGCAAAAATAAGACTGCACTCTCATGCTACAATCAGGGGAAATCCATCCTTAGTGTTGCACAACAGCTGGAAATCTGCAAAGAGGAAAACCAGGTGGATTAAGGAGGATGCTGAACGCTTCATCGTGACAGCCTACACAATAGGACCTGCACTTAAGAGATGCCTGAAATAGAAAAGCCAGGGGAACCGGTCTGGAGAGATAGCCATCTGCTACTCCTGCAGAGCGAGGGGTCATGAGGAGGAGACATGTCAGGGAGGAGCTTTTTACATTCCTGTATGATGATGACACTGATGTGAAGAGCTCCTGTAAAAATATCTGACATGATCTGCATGTGATCATTGAATATTATCATGTTGTGTTCAAGTGCATCTTGAAATTTTGAGTCTCAAAGCACCTCAGACCTGGGGCTGAAATTCAGAATCACATTACCAAATAGTGTATTCGTACTTTAGTCTTTGTTTCAAGAAGTTTTCTAGTGCACATTGATGCTGATTTGAGTCCGTGAAGATGCAAAGTTTTATGCTTCTGAAGGTTTTGAAGTTCATTTTAAAACTTCAGATTCTATAAACCAAAATGCAGTTTGACCACAGTCATTTAGACATGCTGAGTTGATGTTGTTGCCTTTTGTATTCACAATATGATCAGTGTATTTGGAATACAGAATGGGGGAAGTTTATAGAAGACATTTTCACAGATTTGGAATGAAAGATTTACTCAAAGAGGAACTGTGATCAGCTCCTGAATCTGGACTTTCCCTCAGCTCTCCGTAGCTTGAACATCTTTGATGGTTTTGGTTTTGAATTCAGGGCCTGTAAATTGAACATTAAAGTTCAGTCTCACTGCTCTATGCACCTCTTTTTAAGAAGTTGTCTTTAATCACTGTACAATACCTGCTGTGCACCCACCTGCAGACAAAAATAGGCATTAGCTGGCACTTTCAGAGGCCAAAAGTAACTTTTTTTTTCAAATGTAAAAATCTAATTAACTGTATACAGCTTGTTTCACTACTTTGCCGATCCTTTTGTGTTCTCTAATCATTCTTGAATATTTGACGGCTCGATTACTTTCATAGAATTTGAAAATTTACAGGCACTAGTCATAAGGATAAGACCTCATTGAAGAGACGGGCACCATTATGGCCTAATGACAATGTTTATGTTGTACAGATAAATTACATGGCCAATACATGAGCAGAAAGAGTGCAATCTACTTCTGACAGTTTGCACGTGGTCCTGAGAGTGTTGCTGATTTAGTTGCATGCAGTTCATCATTCCCTTTCAAAGTGCTTTTAGTGCTTTGTAGATGACTTTATGCACAGCTGCACCTTGAATGGAATATTCTCAATGTGATCTTAAAGAAATTAAAGCTCCTGTAAGGAACCTTCAGTTCGAGTCATTTTTGGTGCCCCCTATGGACAAACCAGTCTTTGTTGACGGATGATTCAGGACTTTTTAATAACTGACAGTTCAAGTTTTGTTGTTATTCCAAGAACAATGTTGAGAGCTCCTTGAGCGCATGAGAAGCTGATGTTTCAAAATAAAAGCACAATTTACAATGCAGGGTATAAAGCAACCCAATCACATGAAAAATGATAAAGGATTACTTTATGAGTGGATGTCTTCTCCACTGGGCTGGTGATAAATCATAAGTCTGAACATCATTAATTAAGGGATCATGATGCGTGAGTTAATTGCTTGTACGTACTAGTAAATTTTATAAAGTGATGTGTTGCTAATCTCTTGTTTTGCCTTTCCACACCTCAGATAAATGTGTTTTATTTTGAAGTCATCACAATAATCTTATTACTGTGATATGAGTAGACATGCATGGATCTCAGCTGTTGGATTGTCTGCTTCAGAAAACAGTCTGTGGCTCCTGGGCCAGTATGCACGTGTGTGTTTGTTTGTGTACGCTTGTATGTTTGTGAGTATTATGCATAGTTTTGAACTGCACAGCTCTGCAACCAGACAAAGGGGATGCTAGTGGGACCAGTACGCTCTACAACTGAGCACTGGGAGAGTAATTAGCTTATTCTGTTTAGCCTGTGGAGATGGAAGATCTCCTAGATACACACACACACACAAACACTCACACACACTCAAACGAATATGAACAAACACATAGTAAAGATGCAATGTACTCAGCACTGCTCTGTGTCATCTGCTTGACAGAAAAACTGAATGGTGCTCAGGTGTTCTCGTGAATTGATGTACAGAATGTCTAAAAAATGAAATAATATCCTGATTATAGTGTTGAAATGGCTTTAGACTTGGATATAAATCAAGTTTATGATGTTGTACATGTAAAATAAAGCTCTTGTACGCATTACTTTTAGTACAGAGGAGCAGACGCTTGAGGGGAGACAGGCCTGGCTCATCTTTCTGCTGATTATCCCAAATTAAATTTAGCTTAAAGCAGTTACAAAGAGAGGAGGGGCAAACAGAGAAGCAAACATGGAAGCTATACATTCTCATCTGAGTATACCGCTCCTCCTGGATGTAAATCAGGGAAAACAAGCTTCCTGCTGACTAATTTGCCCTTATTGTGTGCCTGGCATACATTCCCAGACTGAAATTAGCATGTAAATGGAAACCTTGACGGTGGTGATGGATGAACATGGACATGTTTGCCTTTCTCCTGCCGCTGAAGCGAAAGCTGAACCATGACCCCCTGCTGTTACACAGGAACTCACAGTCAATGTAAAGATCCAGTTTGTGAGCTATTTAATGAAGTTATGAAGCAGGAAGTTGGTCTGCTGAGATGCAGTGAATATACAAGATGCATGTTTATTAAAAGTAGGCTGTGTCACATAGATCCCGTGGCCATACAACAATTTCTGGTGTTAAAAATAAAGCAAATGTGGAAGTGTAAAATGCTGCAGTTCTTCAAGTGTCCACTTGAGGCTGGCTCAAAATGTCAAGAAAATCCCATTAGCACTTACGTTAAAAAGGTGATTTTTTTGCAGCAAAATCAGACGTATACTACCTGGTTCAGAAAACAATTTTAGGGTAGAAAATGACTCCATTGGCCCTGTTTCGACATTTTAAAGGGTTGAAATAGGTCTGGGCGATATGGCCTCAAATCAATATCACGATATATTGATCAGTTCACCTCGATAACGGTAAATGGACGATAACTACTCCACAAGACGCCCACCCCCTCCCACATTCACTTCGTCTACTTCAGCCGCCGCTCCAGCCGCTACAACTTTTGAACCGTCCTCCATCTCCTCACCTGTCTTTCCCTCTTTGTTACGGACTGGGTGGAGTCACATCTCTGACATAGGACAGCGTCATAAGACCATAGCCTACCTACACACATCTAAAACCAAATTTTATTTATTATTATTTTTTGACACCCAATATACTGATATGGGCAAAATGATGTCTGCAATTGTCGTAAATTTTGGCATTGGTAAATTTTCGGTTTATCGCCCAGCCCTAGAGTGTAATTACACATAAATCTGCACAATTAGGGGCTGGGTTGATGGACAGGTGAGTGTGTCTTAGTCATTTACCAGGAGCCTGAAAAACATTTTCACTCTTTAGTCAGGCTGAGTCAGCATTACCAACACTGGTGCCTGCCATGGCAAAGGCTCGGGATGTCTCTCCAGAAACTCATGAGTGGCATCACTGAGATTACAACAATCTTATCTACAGTTAGGTGCAAGTTGGTAGCAATGCACAGAGGCTGCTCCAGCAAGCTATCTTTATTCAGAAACTCTGCAGAGCTGCTCAGTGTATAAGCTTCTACATTAATTAAAAAGTCAGTCATAACTTTGTCATACATAACCCACAAATATGCAGCTAAACAATGCAGACCAATAAATGAGGAATAAGGTAAAACACTCATATTTAAAATCCCAGTAATTGTTGTGATAATTGCAAAAATTAAGCTATATTTTACCTTTATTGTCCAGCTCAACAAGAATGAAATATTTCCATTTAGCACAATGGCAGGTAAGATCAAATAAACCTACAGGTTTCAAGGTCTGTACTGTCTGTGCAGCAGCTTCAGGTCCATTAGTGCACATCAAAACTATGAATGATGACCAGCATTAGTCTCATTCTGCGGGCTTACCTTTTCAGCTAATGCCCTAGAGTTGTGAGGAGTTTAGCCTTCTTGAATGTGTTAAAGTGCTGCCATTAACCTCTGCACTAGAGTGGTTTGCCGGCTTCTATGGAGATGAACATTAACCAGCGGGGTGTCTTCTGACCATGAGGTTCCTAATGCATGCACTAAAAGCACATGTTGATGACATGCATGCATTTAAGTGCTGCTTCTTCAGCACAACACACTGTGAGGACCATCAGAGGCTCTGTGAGGACCATCAGAGGCTCTGTTAACACTTCAAACCTGCAGAGTTTGGTATCAGAGTGGTGGCTTTTACTCGCTCAGATGTGTATAAACATGGAGGTAGTAGGGCTGCACACGTAATCGATTTTCAATCGTAATTGGATGATTTGATTATGACGATGTTGAAAAAATTGAAATCGGCAAATCGATTTTTCCTCTCTATAGTGTCTCTGGTTTCCAGGCCTTTAAATGCATGCTCTGTACTCTTCTTCTGTCTTTTGTGCATTTTCTGGGCAGCGTTACAGCACCACTTACTGGCTTGGCATATGCACTACGTCATTTTCAGTGGTTTCGTTTTGAGAGATGATAGAAAAAAACTTTTGATTAAAGTAAAGTTTGGAGAAGTTGTCAATGAATAAAAAATTGCAATTGAAAATGGACAGGGCTACTCACTAAAGGTCCTTTAGCTTTGTTTTTTATTGTTCACCAAGAAGCTTGTTATGAGTTTTTGCTGTGATCCAGGTTCAAGTGCATTTTTACTCCAGCTGCCGGCCTTCTGCTGTACCAGGTGGGATTTTACCTCCTGCTCAGGTGCATCAATAATCTGCTGGACACAGGCCAGCACGGTCCATCCTCTGTGTGTCTAAGGGAGTCTGTGAGCTGTGATGAGTCAGTGAGATCTGTAAGCCTTCCTCCACCCTCACAGATTTGAATGTGAGGAGCTAAAGGTCACCATTGAGCCGTAGTGAACCTGCTTTTTGTGAAGGTCACTCTCAGATCCTGTGGTGAGTGGTCAGAACCGTCAAGTGCTATAATGACACTGCAGCAGCAGAAGCCTTTAGTGAAGTCATCCCTGGCTGAAGTAGGTGTAAGTTTAAAACTTAGATGATAGACCTCATTGAAGAGACGGGCACCATTATGGCCTAATGACAATGTTTATGTTGTACAGATAAATTACATGGCCAATACATGAGCAGAAAGAGTGCAATCTACTTCTGACAGTTTGCACGTGGTCCTGAGAGTGTTGCTGATTTAGTTGCATGCAGTTCATCATTCCCTTTCAAAGTGCTTTTAGTGCTTTGTAGATGACTTTATGCACAGCTGCACCTTGAATGGAATATTCTCAATGTGATCTTAAAGAAATTAAAGCTCCTGTAAGGAACCTTCAGTTCGAGTCATTTTTGGTTCCCCCTATGGACAAACCAGTCTTTGTTGACGGATGATTCAGGACTTTTTAATAACTGACAGTTCAAGTTTTGTTGTTATTCCAAGAACAATGTTGAGAGCTCCTTGAGCGCATGAGAAGCTGATGTTTCAAAATAAAAGCACAATTTACAATGCAGGGTATAAAGCAACCCAATCACATGAAAAATGATAAAGGATTACTTTATGAGTGGATGTCTTCTCCACTGGGCTGGTGATAAATCATAAGTCTGAACATCATTAATTAAGGGATCACGATGCGTGAGTTAATTGCTTGTACGTACTAGTAAATTTTATAAAGTGATGTGTTGCTAATCTCTTGTTTTGCCTTTCCACACCTCAGATAAATGTGTTTTATTTTGAAGTCATCACAATAATCTTATTACTGTGATATGAGTAGACATGCATGGATCTCAGCTGTTGGATTGTCTGCTTCAGAAAACAGTCTGTGGCTCCTGGGCCAGTATGCACGTGTGTGTTTGTTTGTGTACGCTTGTATGTTTGTGAGTATTATGCATAGTTTTGAACTGCACAGCTCTGCAACCAGACAAAGGGGATGCTAGTGGGACCAGTACGCTCTACAACTGAGCACTGGGAGAGTAATTAGCTTATTCTGTTTAGCCTGTGGAGATGGAAGATCTCCTAGATACACACACACACACAAACACTCACACACACTCAAACGAATATGAACAAAGACATAGTAAAGATGCAATGTACTCAGCACTGCTCTGTGTCATCTGCTTGACAGAAAAACTGAATAGTGCTCAGGTGTTCTCATGAATTGATGTACAGAATGTCTAAAAAATGAAATAATATCCTGATTATAGTGTTGAAATGGCTTTAGACTTGGATATAAATCAAGTTTATGATGTGGTACATGTAAAATAAAGCTCTTGTACACATTACTTTTAGTACAGAGGAGCAGACGCTTGAGGGGAGACAGGCCTGGCTCATCTTTCTGCTGATTATCCCAAATTAAATTTAGCTTAAAGCAGTTACAAAGAGATGAGGGGCAAACAGAGAAGCAAACATGGAAGCTATACATTCTCATCTGAGTATACCGCTCCTCCTGGATGTAAATCAGGGAAAACAAGCTTCCTGCTGACTAATTTGCCCTTATTGTGTGCCTGGCATACATTCCCAGACTGAAATTAGCATGTAAATGGAAACCTTGACGGTGGTGATGGATGAACATGGACATGTTTGCCTTTCTCCTGCCGCTGAAGCGAAAGCTGAACCACGACCCCCTGCTGTTACACCAGAACTCACAGTCAATGTAAAGATCCAGTTTGTGAGCTATTTAATGAAGTTATGAAGCAGGAAGTTGGTCTGCTGAGATGCAGTGAATATACAAGATGCATGTTTATTAAAAGTAGGCTGTGTCACATAGATCCCGTGGCCATACATTAATTTCTGGTGTTGAAAATAAAGCAAATGTGGAAGTGTAAAATGCTGCAGTTCTTCAAGTGTCCACTTGAGGCTGGCTCAAAATGTCAAGAAAATCCCATTAGCACTTACGTTAAAAAGGTGATTTTTTTGCAGCAAAATCAGACGTATACTACCTGGTTCAGAAAACAATTTTAGGGTAGAAAATGACTCCATTGGCCCTGTTTCGACATTTTAAAGGGTTGAAATAGGTCTGGGCGATATGGCCTCAAATCAATATCACGATATATTGATCAGTTCACCTCGATAACGGTAAATGGACGATAACTACTCCACAAGACGCCCACCCCCTCCCACATTCACTTCGTCTACTTCAGCCGCCGCTCCAGCCGCTACAACTTCTGAACCGTCCTCCATCTCCTCACCTGTCTTTCCCTCTTTGTTACGGACTGGGTGGAGTCACATCTCTGACATAGGACAGCGTCATAAGACCATAGCCTACATACACACATCTAAAACCAAATTTTATTTATTATTATTTTTTGACACCCAATATACTGATATGGGCAAAATGATGTCTGCAATTGTCGTAAATTTTGGTATTGGTAAATTTTTGGTTTATCGACCAGCCCTAGAGTGTAATTACACATAAATCTGCACAATTAGGGGCTGGGTTGATGGACAGGTGAGTGTGTCTTAGTCATTTACCAGGAGCCTGAAAAACATTTTCACTCTTTAGTCAGGCTGAGTCAGCATTACCAACACTGGTGCCTGCCATGGCAAAGGCTCGGGATGTCTCTACAGAAACTCATGAGTGGCATCACTGAGATTACAACAATCTTATCTACAGTTAGGTGCAAGTTGGTAGCAATGCACAGAGGCTGCTCCAGCAAGCTATCTTTATTCAGAAACTCTGCAGAGCTGCTCAGTGTATAAGCTTCTACATTAATTAAAAAGTCAGTCATAACTTTGTCATACATAACCCACAAATATGCAGCTAAACAATGCAGACCAATAAATGAGGAATAAGGTATAACACTCATATTTAAAATCCCAGTAATTGTTGTGATAATTGCAAAAAATAAGCTATATTTTACCTTTATTGTCCAGCTCAACAAGAATGAAATATTTCCATTTAGCACAATGGCAGGTAAGATCAAATAAACCTACAGGTTTCAAGGTCTGTACTGTCTGTGCAGCAGCTTCAGGTCCATTAGTGCACATCAAAACTATGAATGATGACCAGCATTAGTCTCATTTTGCGGGCTTACCTTTTCAGCTAATGCCCTGGAGTTGTGAGGAGTTTAGCCTTCTTGAATGTGTTAAAGTGCTGCCATTAACCTCTGCACTAGAGTGGTTTGTCGGCTTCTATGGAGATGAACATTAACCAGCGGGGTGTCTTCTGACCATGAGGTTCCTAATGCATGCACTAAAAGCACATGTTGATGGCATGCATGCATTTAAGTGCTGCTTCTTCAGCACAACACACTGTGAGGACCATCAGAAGCTCTGAAATATTCATGCTACACTTAAATGGAAATTTGCACATCAAGTTTAACTCTATCAAAAAGAGATTTCAAGATTGGTATGAGGAAAAGGAGGACAAGCTACAGCTTTGTTTTTTTTAAATGATCATGTTATATAGAGTTAAGACCCAGGACTTTTATTAGATTTGGGCAACTTGTAATTTTTTATTTGATTTTTGATCTTAATCCTCTGCAAATCAAGAAACTCTGCAAATACATTGGGTATTTGCAGAGTCACAGAGGTCACATGATAATGGGAATTAGAGTCTCATGATTTTGGAAAATTTTCACCACACCCTTTTATGCCCTTTTTTTCTGCCAGATTATGGAGGCAAAATCTGAAAACAAGACAGAAGAAATACACAGCTATAAGTCACACAGTGCCTAACTTTTTCTACAGCATATCCACTTCTATATGGGACAATATGAAACTGTGCTTATCTAACCTAACACAGTAAAAGCATATTTTAACAGCATAATGAACTACAGTGGACTACAACAGAGAGCCTGAACATCATCATCTCAATAGTTCTGTGTCTAAAGCAGACTTTTCTAATCTGCTGAAAAATGTGCACAATTGTGGAGCTCAGTTTTTTAATCACAAAGCCTCCAGAGCAGATAAGGAGGCAGAAGGATCAGTGTGTGTAAGTAAAGCAGAGGGAGAGAGTGAGTACAAAAAGCAAAGCTGACATGAGCAAATTATTTACAGCACCACAATAGAGCTGTCACGTTTTGTCCAAAATATAAACCTTCATTTAAACTCTTGGGTCAAACTATAATAAGCTGTTCAAACTCATCGTAACGCAGTAAACCTGTGCATCAGGCTGCCTAGAGTAGCCTGCCATATGACCCAGTAGAGGGCGCTCTTACTGTAACCTGACCAATCCATCTACCCTTGACTTGAAGCAGAGAAAAACACTTCCTATAGCTGACACTGACCTACTGAGGCTCTTTCCACACACCTAATGCTTTAGGGTAAATGTGAGTGTCTCAGTGGGGGATCAGACCTCCACCTGCACACACTGTGGTCCTCCAGGGTCTAATTAAGTACAGAGCTGAACTACTACCCCTCCTTTCTTATCACCCTGACACACATGTGCACAAAGCACCCTAATCAGCACACTTCCCCTCACAGCTCGGCCACACACACAACAGAGATTAAAAAACATGACAGGCAAAGGAGCGAGCTGTCTCCCTCAGACCTTTCAGCTTACATCCGCGTTTTATCATCACTGCCTTTGTCAGGTAAAGGTCGATCTGAAAAGACTGTCCACACGCACTTCATGCTTTTGTTCTTCTGATTGCCACTTAAAGGTGATTCAAAGGGCAGCTAAGCTCATTCACATAAATTGGGAATTGGACTCATGCCATCTTCACTTTAAGCATCTCAAGTTATAAATAAGAACAACAGGATAAACGTCAGCACATTTGAAGCTGCTTCAGAGAGGGAGAAATCTAAAGACCCTGGTTGTGTTTGAACGACCACAAGACTGCTCTCATGGCAATGAAAGCTGCAGTGAACAACACCTACTGAGACTGCCTGCAGTCTTCAATAATGTATGGGTAAGTGATTCTTTGTTCCATAGTAACAGTGCAGTGACTGCTCCTAATGATCTGGTGACAGAGTTTGGCCTTGGTGAGTTACAGTCAAAGACGTGGTGAAGGAAAGGTGTCAGAATAAGACGACAAAGTTAAACACCTGGTACAATCATAGAAATATATTTTCAATTTTGTTTAACCCTGATGTTTCTAATCTTTTTTCAACTGTTATTATCTCAGATGGTTGACCAGAAACCCAAAAGTCCCCCAAGGCAATTATTATACCAAACCAAATTTTTTCAGTCACAAAAATTAGTCACTTAAATTCAGCAGTGTTGTTTCTCTTTTTTTTCTCAAGTTTTTTTTGGTTTTGACTTTAAAAAGGCATAACCTCTGTATCCTCTCATAGACTGCTAAGCAAGTGACACCCTGTTTTTTTATATTTTTTAGTGTTATTCAATTTATTTATTTTTTTTCTCAAATTCAAACATTCATTTATTTAATTACATGTAACTGTGCTGTAAAAAGCTTTGAGGCTCCAGAGCTGACCTCTCACACTCTACAACAAGACAAAAAAAAAACCAAAGAGGTCAAAGATATTTGCAAAAAATTCTGAACACACAAAACAATTAAGGGTTGACTGATATTAGATATTTTGTCGGGCCAACATAGATACTGATATGATGCTGATACGAATATTAAGACCAACAAAGAATATATGGAATCCATGAAGAGTGAAAATTAGAAACTTTCTGTCAAAATTCAGATTATCAAAAACTGTAGGACAAAAGTCAGCTGAAATATCTTTAAAAAAGTTAAATAAAATCGGAAACATGCAACATCATATCAACAGTTAACCAGCTTCACTTACAACTCATTTCTGTTGCACCATCCATTGATGTTATGCCAATCAGACAGTGTTATGGCCGAGGGCTCATGTAGCTGCTCTGATTGGAGTGGAGATGTTGACAGTAAAAATCACAGTCATGATAAAAATGAAAAACTGGAGCAAACTGCACAGAGATGGTCTGTGATGAAGTTCATTGGGATACTGACGTAGCCTCAGCTGTATAGAAAATATGGATGGTTGTGTGTGGTCATTGTGAACTCACTTGTTTTCCATACTTGCATATATTACATTCAAAATATTGACATGCCCTGGCTTATAGCTGATAGCCTGCCTTTTTCCACATAAAACTCATGATCCATGTCCCTATAAGGGGTTAAGCTGCAGATTGAATACCAGGATTCACGTTAACTGTACTTTTAAATGTAACTGGTCAACTGTTTACTCCTGTTCATTATGTAGAGAGTCTCACGTTTGATAAAACAAGTATTAAAAACATTGAAAGAAAATTTCGCCGTGGTTTTGATTCCAAATGTTTCCGATTTTCATAGTTGATGCACATCAGCTCCTAGTTTCTGTTACAAGTCTTATGGATTACTAATGGTCAGTATTAGTGTCTGCATCTGTATCAGCCCTGAAAAGCTATTCCAGATCATCAGTATAATGTTTTTTCACTACAAGATGTTTTTCATTCATAAATGATGCTCTCATTTAGAGTGAGATAGACCAAAAAGCAGAGTTTGCTTTGGGGGGAGGGTTTACCTGGGACTCCCAAATCATTGAGCAGTCTGTCATCCAGTATCCAAGTGTTGCACCTCTTTCCCACATACAGTCTCTTTTGACTCAAAAAATAAATAAATAAATAAATAAAAATAAAATAAAACAAAAGAACAATTGATAGGAGCAGAGATGTTTTAAACTTAAGGCTCAAAATAGTAGAAACCACATCCACTCATACCCATATTATAATATGAACCCTGTGTTTTTGACAGACCTAGTACTGTCAGGAAAAATCCTTTTCCAAACATGATTGAAGCTTGACCTCTCTTTTATTGCTGCTTGTGTTCAAGCCATGAAGGGTACCTTTGTGTGGATGCGGCCGCAGAGGAGCAAAAGAAGGAGATGATGGGATGAAGCTCTGAATGCTAATGAGCCACAAAGAGCTAATAGTTACTGACCACTTAACACCACATACACACAGCTGCCAGCACTAACACACATCTACACGCTGCTCTCGTGACTTACAGCACGTGATCATTATTCAGTTGACTCCTAAGCTTATTAGCTCCTTACAATGAGCTGACAGAGAGGTTCAGACAAATCCAGGAGCACATAGTTACAAATGAAGGCCGGGATGTTCAGGGTGCTCAGACGGTCATCAAGAACTAACAAGGAACAGCAGAGAGACACACACACAGGAGGTGGAATAAAAGACAGCAAGTGTTCATTGATAACTATGAAAGGAGAACGGCGGCAAAGTGACCTCAGGCACTAATTTAATCTAAAGAGACAAAATCTGATAGTTTACATGGTAATTAGGCAGTTTGTAATAATTTATGCTATCATTAAGAAGACAAAGGCGTACTTTATTGATCGCTGAGAGGAAATTCATTTAAGCTAACCTGTCCCCAAACACCCTGAGGCCCTGAGTCTCGCTTAAGGGCACCAAAGGTATAATCTGGCAACTCTTAAGCCATCGATCCAAGCTCCCATAATGTTGCCCATACCAGGACTTGAACTGGTGACCCACAAGTTTTAATAATAACCCTATTCTGTGGTGCATGCTTTTTTTATTTTTATTTTTTTTTATGTTTTCTGCATCCTGGAAAATTAGTGGTTTGTGCATGCCTGTCATTGCCAGGGTTGCCAGATCTTGTGACACATATCCCACCTAGAGGTTGAGGAGTGCTCCTTTGATTAGTATCATGTTGAAATAGAGAGACAATCGGGAGAATTTTCAAATTAAGCACAAGTTAAAGTGAGAGAGACCCCTGCTCAAATCAAATTGAGATGTTGATAATGTTAATGATCCATAATGTTAATAAAATAAAAGTGTCTCAAAGCAAATTAGATGGAGATTTTGAGGCCAAAAAGAGTTGATCCTGATGAAGAACATGCTTTTTTTCTCTCTTTATCTTTACTTAAAAGTTATTCACTTGCTAAACCCTCTAAAGAAGTCCAACAGCTGTCTAAATTCCCAAATGTTTTAATGAATGCAAACAAAAATGAATGTAAGGGAAAAATGAGATGAGTTTTCCACGCCCTAAAAACACAAGAAAATCTGTGATCCAGGGAGGCTCCTCTTCATCTTAGTGTCCGAGCCGCTCTGAAGGAGGGACAAATGAACTAACTTTCTACTTCTTTTATTAGGAATAAAATGAGGAGGAGGAGGAGGAGGAGAGGAGAAAACTCACTGATGCTTGATTGAGTCTGGACTGTTGCCATGGTGATGACACCCCCCTGACAACCCTTGCTTTCTGAATGAGGTCAAGAGGAGGAGAAGATAGAGAGGAATGGATGACTGACTGAACAGAAAGTCCTCAAACTAAAGACTGAAGGTCTCTGGCTGTCATGGTTGTTTTCAAACCGGTACATTACATTTCTTTATCATCATGTTTATTTGGTGAAATGTAGGGCTGCATATGTCATATGTTAGCATGTTAAAAAGTTATTTGGTTCATTTTATTTAAGAGCTAAAACTAGTGGTCAACAACAGTTTGCGTATTACAGCCTGTTTTAATTTCTTGATGCCTAAATCCTAAAAGCCTTTACTCTAAAACAGTTACAAAGAGCTGACTGAATTGGCTGGTGGTTGTCTCATACACATTCATACACACCCTTCTGACAGTAATATGACATATAAATGTCAAATGTATTTTCTTTGAGGTCACTGATATCACAGCTGAGGGGAAACAGACTTTCCTGTCTCTATAAACAGTCTCTGATGGAAAACCTCAGCCTGTTAACAATGTGACACTGAGACACAGAGCAGTGTGGAGCTGAATCACTAACATGAGACCTAACAGTGAGGTTATATAAATCAACCAAGATGACCTCCTCTGTCTGCGGACACAGCACTGTGCTTTGAGACAGCTGATAAACCACCTTTCATACCTTCCTTTGCCCATTAGTTCCTGCTACAGTTGGATTTTTCTCGCTGTCTCCTGGCTGTTACGCAGAATATAACTCACTCTGGCTCACTGTCAGCAGACAGGAAGACAATGTTGCATTCATGCGCTGCTCCTCTGGGGAGTGAGATAACATAGGTGGAAAATGCAAAGCACGTGCAATGACTGTGCAGCAAATAAACAAACAAAAAGCTACACGGAGACAGACTAGACTAGAAGACAATACGTGGTTTCTCAGCAGATATCTGACAAGAATACTTCTCCAAAACTGCTAAAAACAAAACTATTAATAGACTGTTTTTGTTTGAGTCTCTTCTGCTCCAATTTTAGTGAATAAAAGTCTATTCTGGGATTCAGATGACCTGTTACAGTCACTGAAAAATACACAGTACCACGTTTTTTATCCTGAGAAATACAGAGGTGTAGTTTCCAGTGAGCATTTGAATAACAGATATGACACACTGACTTCGACTGTGTGCAAAATGGTGCATTTGCATGCTTCCATGTTGATCTAACCGCAGTGTTTCCATGCCACATGAGCTCAGCTGCATTTCTAGGCACACAGGATGTATTATTCATGCAATGTTTATTTATGAAGAGACATTTTGATTAATACACTCACAACTATATCATGCAAATTTCTGCTGCCTGTGGCAATATATAGAGAGTGTGCAGATGCAGCTTGACTGACCTTTCATTTCACAGGCATATATTTTTTTCTCACTGAGGATTGCAGTACGCCTTCAAAGAAGTGAAATAAGGATGTGGTTAGTCTAAGGTGAAGCAGAGAGTCTGTTAGTCGCCATAAAAACAGCTGATACCTAGTATGAGTGGAGACAGTTTTAGATTCTGCTACATACTTTGACCTTTTCATTTTGTTTTATTTATTTGCTTCATACCTCAGCACAGTGTCTGTCTTTAGTTGCCAGGTAGGGATCTGAACTTTTGTTCTCTGTCAGTGAGGGAAAGATGGCACAACACCTTGCAGCAAAACTATGATTGCAAGACTGCAGGAAGCTGTGCACAGTCACTGCACCAGCCTGTTGGTGCATGAAAAAGTCCATTAATGTTATGACAGAAATAAATGTGATTTCAAACTTGTACAAACACCAGAGTTCTTCATTCATGCACAATGTGCCGAGGGTGAATTTTTTATACTACTCTAATTTGAATAAGGTGAAGGGTCATGGCATTCATAATAAGGGACAGGGGCTGTTGCTATTGACCATAACAGTCTTTTTGAATGATGAAATACTGCCGACATGGTAAAAAGAAGCACAAGATAGTACAATGACCTAGGGCTAGGTGATAAACCGAAAATTTACAGATACCGAAATTTACGACAATAAACAACATCATTTTGCCCTTCTTGAAATATTCTGTGTCAAAAAAATAAATAAATAAAAGTTGGTTTTGGATGTTTGTAGGTAGGCCCTTTAAGATGCTGTCCTATGTCAGTGACATGACTCCACCCCATCCAGTCCGTAACAAAGAGGGAAAGACAGGTGAGCAGATGGAGGACGGTTCAAAAGTTGGAGTGGCTGGAGCGGCGGCTAGTAGACAAAGTTAATGTGGGAGGGGGTGAGCAGCTTGCGGAGTAGTTATCGTCCATTTATCGTTATTGAGGTGAACTGATCAATATATTGTGATATTGATTTGAGGTCATATCACCCAGCCCTACAATGACCTTACAAGTGTTCCTTTATTTTGGGCGCTACATGTGAGGAAAAAGAGGATAGACAGACGCAGCTGCTAGCGAGCTAGCCATAGCAGCCCTCTAAGAGATACAGACATTGACTCATGTCAGAGTTTTTACGACTCAGGTGACTGATTAATCTAACTTTCATACTTTTCACTGTTCCTTTAGCTGTTTTCAACTCCTCTTTTTCACGTGCCAATCTCATTTATAATGCTTCATCAGACTTCAGTAGGTTGCATCATTATGTTTAGTATAGTCAATGCTTCTTAACTACCTCAGCTAACAATAGGCTCCAGCTCAGTAAACGCTGCACTGATCTACAACAAATACTTACTATGAATCGAATGACTGCCTGTTAGGTTAACACAGTCACTGAAAGCTCCTGCAAGGTCATGTTTTCAAATTTAACCTCCATTGATGTGTTGTTGTCTGCTTCTGGCTCCCATGCCCTCTAATAAACCAAAGGCAGACAGAAACATCTCAGACTCACAGGAGCAGGAGACCAGTGGAGAGCTAAATGGAGATTCATTATTGATCTTTCAAGTTGGCTGAAAATCTGTTCTTTGTGTATAAAAAAGCTCTTACAGTTTTTCCAAGCTCTTTAAGGTTTACCCAAACAAATCTGTTGGATTGGATCAGTGGATGTCAGTTCGATTAAATTTAACCACCCATTTTTACAGGGGGATGCACCTGCTCCAAAGCTGTTTCTGTTCCTGATGATAACCTTTTTTGGTTTGATGACAGGCACTGACTCATTGGTAAACTGCAGGAATATACTTAGCTCCATTAAACAGAGTGTCTGAGTCATGCATGAAAACAAGCTGGGCACACGTGTGGCCAAAATAAGATGGATGGAAGGAGGTGTGAGCCACTCAGGAGGAGAACATGACACCAAAATGATTTAGAGATGGAAATATAAAGAGATCAATGTTTCTTATTTTCATCTCTAAACCTGAAAAGAGATTAGGGTCCAGGTCTGATACAGCTGGGCTCTAAGAGACAGATAATGGCCACTTCTCTGCTGTTCACATAAGCAGGAAGTGATCAAGAAGAATTCTGTGTTACACGAGCACATTGTTTCTCCTTAAGACATGCACAACAGGAAGCGAGACACACTTGGCTGCGGTTTACCCAAATATCACTTCCTGTTGCAGCTTTGGCTGAAAACCTGTATGACAGCCTTATCTGCAGTTTTAAATGTCACGTATGAAGTCTGAAATGTTACTATTACATGGCTGTGATATGTGATAGGTCATTACATAGAAATAGTTCATAGTAAGGGTCTGTTATTTCTCAGAGGAGGATGGTTGCTATGGAGAACAGACTGTTGCTGGGCCAATCACAGACTCTGAGGGACAATCTGTGGAAGAGGAAAATTTAAGGATTGCTATGTAAAAAACACAATAAATAAAAAGGGTACCTAAATCTGACATGTCGAGAAGAAGAGATTCAAATACTGCTTTGTCCACAGGGGGCGCCTAAACTTACACAAACTGAAAGTTCCTCGCAGGACCTTTAATCACCAAAATAATCAAAAGATTACTCAACTGATAACTGCAGTCCTAGTTTGAAACCATATGACAGACCATGAGCTAAATGATTTCTTTCAAACTATTCATGCAGTACCGTTAACCTTGTCACATCCACACTAATTTCCGCTCACATACATGAGACACTGGTCCAAAAACACACTGTAGTAACAGTGTCAGAGCCTTCAGAGGCCCTGACAGACAGCAGCATGGCCCTCCTGCTCTCAGATCAGCAGCTGCCTCTTGTCCTCAGTCCCTAATGGCCAATTAAGAAACACAGACAGGCCTATTCCTGAACACTGGCACATAAAGGACATCTGCGCAAGCCTATAATGGAGCAGCCTCACCTGGGGAATACGCAGGAAGAGCTGTGGACAGACAATAAAGGGAGAGATAAAGTTCAGGACGCAGTGCACCAGAGGGAGAAACACATTAGAGAAAATGACGGGACGTGTGCGGCTAGAGAGGAAAACACAGAACACACACAAAGTAAGCCCTTTCCACCTCAGAATATTTGACTGGTGAGGTGGTGAAAACACACCCTGTCTGTCTGTCTGTCTGCGCTGAGTGAGCTAACTGTGACATGCCAAAACAAAGATACCTGCGTAATCAGCTGAAATGACTTGAGAAATATTTCATCTTGCTCAAACACATTAAGGATATGAGTTAATGCAGCTGCAGGTCAAAACAAGATGTAATAGCTGCTCTGAGGCAAAGCTAACCAAAATCAAAACTGAAATATTGATCTGGAACATCTGTCTCTTTTAAAGGCAATAAATCATGAATAGAAATGGAGATGATTTGGTATTTTGGCCACATGTGCAGCCCACAGGAAAATTAATGAGCTGGAAATGGGCGTGCTGTTTAGTTAGGGTCCCAGGTGGGTAACATCCATGCATTACACACCCAGTATGGAGCCCATCAGCCAATAGAGGCCTCCATGGAAACTGGAAAGGTCCTCCATAGATGGGCTCCACTACACCCCAGGTGCAAACCACTTGGGGTACACATGGCCGGATATTGTGCACAAATGCTACTTTGGTTATGTGTGTTATTATTTAGTTAATGTTTAAAAGTTTCAGATTAGTTTTTCATCATTTCTTTGTCACTTTATTAAGGATGTTTGAATGTAATTTATTAAAAAAAGACCTTTGATATAACAGTATTTTTCTGCAGAACTTTTGGCATTGTTCATTTATTGAAGGTGTTTGATTATTTAAAAAAAAAAGGAAAATCTGTAGAGTAATAGTTATCTTTTAACAGATCACTTTGCAATTTCACCTAACTTTGTTTGGATTTAATAATTTAGGTAAAGTCTGTAAAATAACAGTATTTTTCTACAGAACTTTTTGCAATTCATTTTACAAGAGGAGTTTTATCATAATAGTGTAAAAAAAATCTGTAAAAATAGTTTTATTTTTCAGCAGATACCTCACTGAAATCTTTTATAAGTTTTTGTATGTTACATGAATTAGACTTTTTAGCCTTGATTTTACAGTAATTGTTGGGTAGCCACTGCTGCCAGTCATTTTAAATGGCTCCCATAGATTGGCTGCAGTGTAAGTCATAAAGCCCACCCCCTCATGTTAAATGACATGATTGAAACATTAAAGGAATGTCTAATAATGTCTTTAAAACACTGTTTCTGTTGTTACTTTTCATTTTCATCATTGCTGATTTATTCATTGGTGTTTTTTGACTTTTTTTGTTTAAAGTTTAATTTATTGGTTTTTTTGCTGCTTTATATAACTGAACAGTATGAGATAGAAACTGAGACAGAGAGGGGGATGACACATGGGAAAGGGGCCACAGGTTGGAATCTAAACCTGGCTTACCTGCTTGAGGACTTTCTGTGCACAAGGTGTGCAACTTAACCGCTTGGTGAAACTGGTGTCCCCAGGAGGTAAAGTTTCAGTTTGTTGTCTGATGGTATAAAGAGGTGTGTCGACTGCTCTGTTTACAAATATGGCCAAAAGGGAGGTGCTGTGAGCACGGGATTGTGGACATCATCGTGAGATTTTTTTTCTGGTAGTTTGATGGTGCGAGTTTGCTCCTGTTTGGTGGTACTTTGGAAGTTTTACAATGCAGTGTTGTAGCATCCACTACGTTGTTGCTGTTTTGTTTACCCGTTGCGTTCCGTCACTGTTTTGCACATGCAACACTCAGCAGGAACAGCAAGGATGCAAATTGTCTCACCTAAGTTGTTTATTTACCAGTTTACCTGTTGACTCCTGGTTGCTGTTTCACACGTGCCACTGTCTGCAAAGATAGTAAGGATGTAAGATGCCTCACTGTGCAGCAATTCAGCCCTGGGAAAACTGTATTATGTCTGCGCAGCAAATCAAAACATGAGCAATGTCTTAAAAGACGAACTTTCCACATTTGAATGACTAATTTTCTTGTTATATTTTTGTATTTTTGACTTTTTATTCACAAATCAGTCCATTCCGACTATCAATGTAATTCTGTGTTCACTGAAAGAAGATACACACATTTTCTGTGGCTTTAATTGGCATTTATGCAGGAAAGACTACAATCACAGAAAACTAAATAGACGCTCAGTCTTCATTTGTAACATGCTCAGATTAGAGTGAGGTCATTGTGAGGTTTTCAAACTATTGTTATCTGTTTCACAGTGACACATTATTCCAAACAAAACAAGAGATTGTCTCAGAGCTTGATTTTAGAGTTACACCAACATATGAGTCAACAACACCTCTTTAAAAGATTAGTGCTCATCCCTGCAGTCCCGCCCAGATGATTATGGAGCAGTGGAGTGTGGTGCACAAACACCTTACCAAGAGTCTAGGGAGAGTGTCTGAAAACACTATCTGATAGGGTATGATGACATAAAATTAAACTAGATGTGGTAAATAAATGCAGGTTTAGAAGTTTAGGGGATAACTTGATTGTATCTAGAAACAAATCTTGTGTATCCCCTGTGAATTTTCAGGCTCCTTTGTTGCATCAAAGTTTAAGTCTGGCTGCGAATCCTTCATGCATATCATCCTCTTTTTTTTAGCCTCCACTCTCCTTGTCCTCTCTGTTTCATGCACAAAAATTTAACTAAAACAGCCCTCTTCATGTGACTGGTTAACTCAAACTCACAAAGTCGACATTCCTCTGCTCAAATTTAATCAGAGAGATAAAAAATTTCATGACGAATCTCCAATCTAATAAAGCAGAATTATTCTTCACTGAGATCCTGTGACGATCCTGTCGTTTAGATTTATAGGGAGAAGTCTGTATGAAAAGCTTGCCCTCTCTCTTGCCCCCTGGATTTAATACCACAATGTGATCCCTCATCCAAAGCCTGCACCCCAAGTTCACAGTCACACAACAGTCCCTCATGGGTCCATGTCAGTGAAAAGCATCACTTTGAAGGGGCGTGGACGGGGAGGTCTCCTACTTTCTCGTGCTTTCTCCAGGAATGCTCACTTGTCAGCACAGCATGGCGGCGGGCTGAAAGAGCCTCCCCCACCCCTCCATTCATCTGATGCACAAAGGCAATTTCACAGGAAGACAAGCTTTCTCTCTGCCATTCTTCCTCTCTGCTCCTCATCTTCTCTCCATCCTTTCCTCTCCTTCTCGCACACTCATTCACACACACGCTCCCAGGCTGTCATTAGCATACTAATAGACGTGCAGCAGAACATGAATGTGGACAAGTGGGAAACTCCTGGAGGAAAAAAAAAAAACAGGCACAGACACAGAGAGGAGAAGTCCTGGGAATGGCAGAGCTCCTCTCTGTCTGCTTTCTCCAGGCTGACTCTGTCTGAGGAGCTCGTTCATTTGTCTGAACCAAACCTACTCAGAAACAGAGCTCGAGCCGAAGGCACCAAAGTGTCAGACTGATGAATGGGAGGAAGTCAAACTAGAGAAAATGGAGTTGATGCAGCTTTTCTCTCCCGGTCTGAAAAGTCCTGTCAGGCCTGGCTACATGAAGCTGGGCTAATTAGGATTTAATTGAAGCTAATTTTAGGGTTTGTGCAAATGTACCTGGCAAAGGCTGATTGAGTGTGCTTGATTTGAGAATAAGAACTGTGTCTGACTCAAAAAATGTAACGGTCACAACGGCATGAAAGCCCTGCAGTGCCTTACTGCAAAAACTGATGATTGGAAACCAAGTGTTTGTATTTGTTCTTTAAAAAAGACACACAATATTTTTTTTATTTTCTGCTTTCTGTGTTTGTAATTATTAGTACAAAAAAAGAAAAATGTGTTTTATTGATTTTTCTGCTATAAAATGCTTGTAGACAGCAAACTTCTCTTAGTTACATCATCTCGGCATTGTACTGAAGAAATAAATATGAAAAGGGTCAGAGTTTACAACTTGTTGGTTTGCAGAGTTGTACCCCTACTGGGACTGCCAGAAATAGAAGGACTTCCCCATCATGTTTTAGTGTAACCTCAGAGTGAATGTTACGTAGTCACCACCACTAATCTAAACTTGCACCATGAAGTAAAAACAGCAAACAAGTATTTTGCTGCCTTGGTTCCATTGAAAATTACACAAGATTTCCTCCTCTATCTGCTCCTACTGAAAGTTCAATTCACCAAACATACTGCATGAACAATATTCAAGTGCAAAATGTAAACTTAAGTATAGGGCTGTCCCAATACGATAATGATATCAGATATTGGTCTGATATCAGCCAAAAACAAATATTGGATTATATCGGCCTGCATCTAAAATCTCCCATATTAGCACTCTGATACAAGCAGTCTATTCCAGACTCCACTCCGGGACCTCTAGCTAGCATCACCCAGATTCAGCATGCAGAGCCCGGGATATCACAACAACAGTGTGTACTAAGATACAAACAAAGTAGAAAGGAGTAGGAGTGATGTTGGCTGTGTGGCAGTATTTTTGTTAAAGTCCGAAAAAGACGTTGCAGCTGAGTGCAAAACTTGTTAAGCACAAGTTTGTGCCAATATCGGATCAATATCGGTATCGGCTGATATTGAGGGCTACAATATTGGTATTGTATCGGAAGTAAAAAAGTTGTATCGGGACGCCCATACTTAAGTAAACACCCACAGTGATTCAATACAAACTTTAGACATCTATCTTACTCTACTTGAATAGAGGCTAATCAGCCAGGCCTGCTAGTGCCCACTTTCTGATGCTGAGATGTAATGATATGTTGGATCTCAATGTCATTGACTGTAAAGGGACAGAGGCTGTTTTCAACTGATACAGTGCAAGCATGATGTGTGCTTTAGAAAGTGGATAGAAAGCTGCTGCAAACAGAGAGTCAGTGAAGGCCTCACTCTATCACCTGTTTTGCATACAGTGAGGGGAATTTGTCTGAGTGGTTCATTTCCATCATACTACATTCAAAATAAACAGTGAAACGTACTGCTGAAAGAGCAAAAAGTAAAAAAATAAAAATAAAAAAAAACGCAATCAGTTCAATTTTTTTTACATGTGAACCTTTTTTAACAGCATTGTCTCACAGTCCTCCACCTGCAGGTGTACTGTCCCTTTAAAAAAGAGTTGAGTGGGCTGCCATTGAGCTCATCACTGGTCGGAAGTGCAGTTGCATAAGAGCATCAGTGGTGGGAACATGTATTTATGATGACACCCGCCTGCCCTTTGCAGCAGGTTATAATTAGCTCTGTGCCATTGGGTGGCCCTTCAGAGCAGGTGTCTGAAAGATCATGAGGATGAACCATCGCAGCTGCCTGATAGATAAATAAAAACAAACAGACCGTGTATGCTGCTGACTGTCAACCAGCATGGATCATCTGGATGATTAGACCGTTTTTTTTAATCACCAGGGTTTTATATGCATTCGGATTGAAAGGTTTACTGAACAAAAGCTGTGTCACTCTTTCATTTACTCGTGTATTCGTTCAGACAGTGTGTAGTTTTATGCTGCCAGAGACAGTCTAACCTTTGCTGCAGTGTGACAGCTCATTACAGGATGCTTTAATTAAGGTGATGATAAAGTGTCATAACCTCATTTAAAGTTTCATGATGGTCCATTTCTTGAGAAAAAACTGCACTGATAATGTCGCGCTATTAATCAACCTCACGGCATTTGACATCTTAATCCATTTTCTCAGCTTCTTGTCTATTCAGTCCTGACACTGCTTTCATTACAGTCAAGATATGATCTTGAGTGAAATAACCCAGAGAGGAGCCAGGTAAGCTAAGGGGAATTCAATTATTTACAGCCAGTGGCAAGAAATTCTCCCTGAATGTACTACAGATGTACAATAGCTCTGAGTTAGTTAGATGTATTTTTTTTTTTTTTCAACAGATATTGGAAAGTGAACCAACACAGAGATTAGGCCCAAGGCTACAGTATCTCTGCTGTGCAAAACCTCTTTAACCAGTCAGTCTGCACTAAAACACGCCTCAAACTCCTATCTGATATCATGAGAGAACCATGGCTTATGACCTATACCACTGCCAGTCAGTAGGGGGAGCTCTGAATGTTTCGGCTTCACAGGGTGGTGTCCGTTCCCAAAAAAGTTTAAATACCTCACAGAGTTGTTAGGATTTGCAGTGTGACACTTGGATTTAAAGTTAAAACAGCAGCTGTTTTAAACACTTACCTGTGTGTTAATTTAGGTATTAAATGTGTGAATATGCAAGTATGAGGATGTGTCACCTCAAACAGAGACATAAACTCAGCAAAAACCATGATTGTTCACGATTAAAGAGGAACAAACAACCAGCCATATTAGTTGGAGGATTTCTGAGGCAGCAAATAATACAGAGGGTTTGGGTAATTCCCCAATCTGCTCATCTACTTCGCTCCAGAATATTATTGGCCTGTGATATGTGAGGTACTATTCTTAGACGGCACAGTGTGGTCCAGTCTGCAGAGATGAGGAAGCGATTGGCTGTGCTGCAGGGAGCCTGCAATGATATCTGATCTGATTTATTTTAGATGAACTTTATAAAGGTTGAGGAAGCCCTTCAGTGACTGTTAGATGTCAGTGTTTATCTGGGTTAGACACATAAATCTGTTGTACTGAAATACCTTACTCTTGAAGGAGTTTAATGCAGAAAATCCACTTGATTTTAACTAAAACAGGGTCATTCCTGTGGTGCTGTTTGACCTTCTCATCCTCCTTGTGTTGATAATGCATCTCTACTTTACGTAACTCCAGAATTTATTTAATTTCCCGCCTCATACATCATGGGACAAAGTGATGACAGGGACTTTACACAATCATCATGAGGTGTCGTCCTAACAGCTATAAAAAGATTCACTTCCATGCCTGTTTCTCATCACTGTGTAGGTCACACCGAGCTCAGTTGAAGGACTCCTCTCCCACCACTTCCTTCTTCTACCGCCAAAACAAAAGTGCACAAAGGGACACAAAGTCCACCTGAAACTCCTCATAGTGTTGAGTTTCAGTTCAGCTCTCAGATTCCCTCTCAGCATGGGGAACAAACACACACAGACTGCAGACCTGACACCAAACAGTAAGAGCAAGTTTAAAAAGTGAGGCCAAAAAAGAGATAAAGCATGAGTCAATGAGTTCATGAGCAGTTTGTTTAAAATAGTAGTCCTTCCATAAACATTTGCTACTTCTCATCAACTGAATGTTTTTAATTTTAGAAGTATATAGAAGTGACTTGGCAGACTTTCTGATGTAAATTTCACATTTTTTAAAACATTAAATCCACTTTTTAAAAATTATTCTAAAAATTATCGGGGTAGTAATTCGAACTTTCCAAACATTCATGGTTAGGTTCATTTTCTTTTATTCTAGTGTTTAACATAAACTGTTTTTTCTTTTTTTAAATTTTGTTTGCACCATCTTATTCTGTATTTTCACCACAAATATTAGAAGGAAAAAACAACCACTAGTGCATTAACTTTTTTGAGCTAAGGACTTATTCCAGGGTTCCTTTCAAACTTAATGTGTAATGTACTGTGAAAGTGGAAAGTCATGGTCGCAAATGTTTGCTGAATTTTGATAGTTGATCCCTATGTATTTTGCAGTTTTGTTAAATTTATATCAACAATGTAAAAAAAATTCTTGTCAGTGTCTACATTGGAGAATCAAATAAATAACACTTTACAAACTTGTGAGTTTGTATTTTGACAATACTGACTGGCAAAAAAGAGAAGTGAGCATCATGTTGTGCCTATATACATTAGATTCTTTTATTTAATTGACACGAGAAACTGTAAGAAGGAGAAGAAAAGGAAGGGTGCTGGCAGCTGGTAAGAAGTAATACACTGTAATACACTGGTCCATGAAGTACCAGACCTGAGTCTACCACCATGTTGGCAGTCAGCTATCATCCATTTAAAAAAACATGCAGTTAACTTTATGAGTTCAATTTTATCTATAAATCTGAGGCGATTCTCAAACTCTGTAATAGTGATCTTCAGCTTTTGAGGTGGTGTTGCCTTCTGACATCAGTCTGATTAGCTGCTCCAAAGTGCGGCTAATATCGAAAGTGCTTTAGGGACATTACCACTCAGTTTGACACAAGGATATGCATATCACGTTTGATTTTTGAATGAGATGTCTTTGAGTTTAAAGTGAAAAATGGCAGTCAAGACGCACAGAGAGTGTCTTATTTACTATTACAGCAGCAAAAAGAGGCAGGAAAACAATGCAGCAGCTCAACCATGGTGTCCCAAAAGGACAAAATAGCACACAACCTAAAAGATAACCTGTTAATTTTGGACCTGATAAAACGTGTTAACACTAACAGACTTCATACATGTGTTTTACTTTTCTTCCTGCCCATTTACTCGTCCTCTTTCTAGGGATTAAAGGTGGAGACTTGGTTTGATACCTGAGCACCTTTTCACACCCACTTAAGCTAAGCCCAAAACACAAACAACATTGTAATCCTATAGATTTGTAAACTGGGGCACCAGTCCTCTTATTTCACATTGTTAAGACAAAATAATCAGACAGCTATACTCCTCAAACAGACAGACACCGAGAGTCACAGGAAACATTAACACTGAGATAAGAGGAATAGGTGATATTAAAACATCAACTATTTTAAGCTCTAATAAATGCACCAGACAGTCTGAACTCTCTAGGCTGAGGTATATTAGACGTGCTGATGTGTTCAAATGGATCTAAAAAAGAAACAAACCAAAGAAGCTCCAGTCTCCTCTGGCTAAAGAAAAACTCTCACAAGCTAAAAAAGCTCCAGGCAGCTCACAGGAGTCTGTCTGAAAGTAGAGTTTGTGTTTGTGTTAGTGTGTTTGTGTGTGTGAGCAGACAGTCTGAGTTTCCCTCCACTGCCTCAGAGAAAGTCAGAGTGACATCAGACGCCTGAGGAATGCCACAGTAACAGGAAAGAGAAAGCAGAGGAGGAGAGGAGTGAAAGAAAAGAAGGAGGGATGCGGCTGAACGAGACTGACTGGTTTTTCTGTCATGATGGAGGAGACGAGCCTGCTTGGGTTCAACCTAAACCACACTAGCAGCATCTGACTGACTCTGAGCAGATTTTTCATTTCCTCTTTCCCAATGTATTTTCCAGTTTAGTTTGTGTCTTTATTTCATATTTAGCATCTCTTATTAGTTTATTTATGACTATTTTAGGGATACGTTGTTCTTTTGGTTTATTTGATTCTCTTTTAGCCTTCAGGTCCATTTTTATACATTTATAACAGCCTTTTTCCCTACACCTCTTCTGCCTCATTTTTTTAATCTCTTTCTGGCCTTTTCACTCTCAGGATACTAGAAAGTTCTTGTGTCTTACAACTCTTTCAAAACATTTTAACACATTTTAGTAACTTGGTATGTCTGTTTTTGCTGTTTTGCATCATGTTGAAGTAACTTGACCTCTTTTAAGTCATATGATTTTCAATATCTTTTGATTCACCCTCACACCTTTTTGTCCTTGTTGTTGTTTGTCGTGATGCTTAACATCCTTTAAGTAGTTGACATCTCTTATAGCAGTTTGACACACAACTTTTTCTTTTGTCTTCAAAGTTATGACTTTTGAAAAAAGTCACTTCAATCTATTATTTTCATTTAATCTTTTTTAAGCCACATAAACTCTCTTCTTTTTTTCCCCTAAAACCAAAAGTAGGCTGACATTTTTGTTACTTTAAATTTCTTTTCATTATTTGGCAGCCCTTTCTAGCTATTTGACATAGTTTTCGAGGGTTTTAATAGATATTTTAGATCTGTTTTAAGTCTCTTTTTCTGGTTTTATAACTTTTTCAAGTTATTTAAAACAGTCATTTATGTTATATATTTCATGTCTTTTACATTATTTCATTTGTTTTAAGTCTTTTTTAAAAACTTATATATTACCTTGCATTTGTTTTGTGCATATCTGAGGTTCATTTTTAATGTATTCACACCAAATGTAATTGTTTCTGAGTAAACTAAAAACAGTTTTGGTCCAACAGGTGTCTTGTAAAGTAACCTGACATTAATAGATTCTCCTCTGCCGAGTAGAAATCATTCTGGCCTGGAGGCAGATATTAGACTCATTTGAACTCACACTAGGATATAAAATACCAGGTACAAACCGTCAAATGTCCTCAAAGCCAAAGTTCACATTCCTCTGCAGCAGTAGTCGATCACACTTATCAACTTAGAGCTCATGAGCTCAGCAGTCAGCAGCAGATTACAATCAGCTCACACACCCTGACAGAAGAGGAAGTCCGATCTGTGTTCTCACACAGTTGAACGCTCAGTGACCACACACACACACACACACACACACACACGTACACACATACAATGGTTGCGTAAGACTTCAGGGAGATGTCATTCATTAAAGTGATGCAATACACTGAAATGTTGGCTGACGTCGAGCTAGGATATTCCCAGTGGTCAATTCAGCTGATACTAGTATTGATTCACTGAATTTCAAAACTTCACCACCCTGTCTGTGCTCTTGGACAACTTAACCTTGTGATAGTGTGACTAAGGTTTGGGACACATACAGAAATACAATCAGTAATTTTATAGCAGTACTGCTCTAAAGCTGAAAAAGAGATAGTTGTACCTTTCCTAACCTGGCAACCACACTTGGAAAATATTAACTCTTTATTTACTTATGTAGAAATGCGACTCAGGTTTGGATCTTCTTTTCATTTTATGCTGTTTCACTGAATTTCAGCTGTGAGTCCTGACAAAAACACATTGAGATTAAATTGTTTTATTTTAACTGTGACAGAGGGACTATTCCTTCAGTCAAATTTGCAAACATCTTGTCTCATGCCATAAGTTTTGTTTGAATAGATCATCCCTGACACTATCATTCAAACCACACTCGTCATATTTTGTTGTGGATTACATTCATCAGAGTTTTCCACAAAATGACAGCAAGCGTGAGGAACTCAGAGGATATTCAAATGCTGAACTGCATCAGCTACTGTTTTATATAAACAAGCAATGCTCTCTCAGTCTACTATTGAACCTGGGTTTCATAGTCATGCCCTCATACTGTTTTGATGCACCCACATGGAGGTAAGGTCACGAGACGCAGAGTAACATCAAAATATTAGAGCAATTTATTAAACACAGCCAAACACAAGATTAAAGAGCATGGCTATCATCACCAGCTTTCAGTCCATCTCCAAGATTTATGTCCTCATGCCTGTCCTGGTTTAACACTGCTTCAAGTTCAACCAATTATATATATGCCAGTTTAACCAGATACAGCCTCCTTTATCACTGTTTTCTAGATCAAAATACTACCAAACTGCTGGTTCATACGAGATGCCATTTGTCCTGTAAGTCTGATGAGTACAGAACTGTAGCATTGTGGCAGCAGCATTAAACCAGAGCTGAAGCCCTGAAAACATGAACAAACTCTGACCATGCAGTCTCCCCCAATCTTGAGAAAAGAAGTTAATGCAGAAAACTGCAGTTCCTCAAGTGTCCACAAGAGCCTGGTTGCAAGCCCATTTTAGCAGTTTACACTCAAAAGGAGGTCTGTTTTTCTCAAGATATCAACATCAAGAGTTTCGCATGGTTAACGCAGCTGACTTGATTGACAGATAAGCACATTACAGCTGTTAGCAAAGAGGCTAAGGCCCACCTCGACTTTACGTCTTTCAGGGTTCTTGTTAGGTGGACAGACAGTTAAGCTGGGTCATCATCTCCAATATGGCAGTCACCATCAGAACACTTCAAAACACCACTCCAGAAACCATCTGGTGAGGTCACTAAGTCTGTGTCCATATTTTACACAGACCACAGTGAGCACACAGTGTCTCTCTTTCAAACATGTACAAAACATGAGGGACTGATCACCAGTTGGCAGCTGATGGTGTTGTTTTGTTGCTAAAAAAAGTAAAAGAACTAAATCAAATGTGATAAAAACATACTACATGTATTGGCTTGATACTGCATTCACAAGCAGCATCCAGACTTCACAGTACAGCACCGTAACAGTCATCTTAGTTTTTGACCTTTCATAACCAAACTCTACTACTCTACTCTACTTTACGATTGAGATATTTCATCCATTTTAGGATATATTAGCAGAAATATTTGGATGCTCTGGTTTGGTCCACATATCAGACCTGGGTCAACAGAATTTCCAAACACTGTGTTGTGTTTGTCCAACAGAACTGGACCCAGACTCAGCTGTGTGAGTGCGGCTGGGGAAGAGATCTGGGAGGGAAGGAACAGGCTGCACTCACACAATGAGGCTGTGAGGAAACCAGCCAGGAGGAAAGACGGGGAAAGAATGGCTACTGACAAGTTAACAGCGACTGGTGTGCAGGTTGAGTCAAGTTCACTGGGACACGATGAGTGAGTCTGGCTCAGGATCAGCTGGCTTGTGCTTGAACCTTCCACACAGGCCTACATTTAAGATGATTCACAACCGGCACAAATAAAGCGAGTATATATTGACATTAGTTTCAACATTGCCATAACAGAATACTGCAGGTCAAGCATGTCCCTCTTGTTAGCTCTCTCTGCTTCCTCGCTGCAGTAAAGCTGGTGAACAAATAAGGTTTCAGTGTGAGAATGAATGCAGCCACAGACGCTTTATCTTCACTTCTGGGTACCAAAGCGGTAACTCCTTTACACAGGCTGCTTTATGCACTTTCTGTAACCTTTATGATATGTGATCAGGTCAGCCAGGTCATCCAAGATACTGTATGAAAAGTCTGATTATAAAGAAAAGCTCCACAAAAGTATCACATTTTTGGCGTTAAGATAACACCTGTGAAATTCATATCAGCAAGTTATGAGACTTGGACCATGTAAGTCTGTCTGCACACACACACACACACACACACACACACACACACACACACACACCTGCAGCTGGTGCTAATGCAGGCTCTCCTGTTGCTGTCAGGTCACTCTGCTCTCCTGAGGTGTGACGAGCGACCTGATGTGTATTGACAAGAGAAGCATCATACCCTCTGCCACGCTCATGAAACTGAGACACACAGTTGGTCATCCATTAGTGTACTGAATCACAGTGTCAGTTTTACAGTAATAGAGAGGATGACTGATGTAACAAGCTGCCATGAGAGTCTTAACAATATACAAGCCTATTATGGATATATACAGTATGTATAAATGTGACTGATTCAAATCTACATTTAATCTTTTGACTTGACTAGCAGAGTCAAACTAACCCATTATTATAGATACTCTCAGCCCAGTCTGCCATGAATACAGCTGAGCAGACAGTGGTCTGAGCCTCAACTGGATGTCAATGTACACTCACCGGCCACTTTATTAGGTACACCTGTCCAACTGCTCGTTAACACTTAATTTCTAATCAGCCAATCACATGGCGGCAACTTAGTGCATTTAGGCATGTAGACATGGTCAAGACAATCTCCTGCAGTTCAAACCGAGCATCAGTATGGGGAAGAAAGGTGATTTGAGTGACTTTGAACGTGGCATGGTTGTTGGTGCCAGAAGGGCTGGTCTGAGTATTTCAGAAACTGCTGATCTACTGGGATTTTCACGCACAACCATCTCTAGGGTTTACAGAGAATGGTCCGAAAAAGAAAAAATATCCAGTGAGCGGCAGTTCTGTGGGCGGAAATGCCTTGTTGATGCCAGAGGTCAGAGGAGAATGGCCAGACTGGTTCGAGCTGATAGAAAGGCAACAGTGACTCAAATAACCACCCGTTACAACCAAGGTAGGCAGAAGAGCATCTCTGAACGCACAGTACGTCGAACTTTGAGGCAGATGGGCTACAGCAGCAGAAGACCACGCCGGGTGCCACTCCTTTCAGCTAAGAACTGGAAACTGAGGCTACAATTTGCACAAGCTCATCGAAATTGGACAATAGAAGATTGGAAAAACGTTGCCTGGTCTGATGAGTCTCGATTTCTGCTGCGACATTCGGATGGTAGGGTCAGAATTTGGCGTCAACAACATGAAAGCATGGATCCATCCTGCCTTGTATCAACGGTTCAGGCTGGTGGTGGTGGTGTCATGGTGTGGGGAATATTTTCTTGGCACTCTTTGGGCCCCTTGGTACCAATTGAGCATCGTTGCAACGCCACAGCCTACCTGAGTATTGTTGCTGACCATGTCCATCCCTTTATGACCACAATGTACCCAACTTCTGATGGCTACTTTCAGCAGGATAATGCGCCATGTCATAAAGCTGGAATCATCTCAGACTGGTTTCTTGAACATGACAATGAGTTCACTGTACTCAAATGGCCTCCACAGTCACCAGATCTCAATCCAATAGAGCATCTTTGGGATGTGGTGGAACGGGAGATTCGCATCATGGATGTGCAGCCAACAAATCTGCGGCATGGTGTGATGCCATCATGTCAATATGGACCAAGCTCTCTGAGGAATGCTTCCAGCACCTTGTTGAATCTATGCCACGAAGAATTGAGGCAGTTCTGAAGGCAAAAGGGGGTCCAACCCGTTACTAGCATGGTGTACCTAATAAAGTGGCCGGTGAGTGTATTATATCATACTTTAGAGATGGATGCACAAGAAAGCAACTAAGTACCTGGGGCCTCATTTATAAAACCTGGCGTAGGATCCATACTAAAAGTGTACGTAAGTTGAAAAGCTGAAAAGTGCGTAGGCAAAAAAAAAATCTGATTTATAAAACCCCGCCTACGCACACCTGCACGCACTTTCCCTTTATAAATCACAGACCAGCTGGAAAGTTGCTCAGCAGGGATTTGATTCTTCCCCGCCCTCTCCACACCCAAAATTCACCATGTATGGTCATGCAAATTACCTCATGAATGTGATTTGCATCTAGATAAGCCTGGTGGATCCACGGCATTTCACGCTTAACCATGGCATCAGCAAGTCGTAGAAAAAGAAACTTTTCAGAGATCGAGGTGGAGGTTCTTGTAAATGAGGTGGCGGCGAGACGGGAGACCTTATTCGGCGGCCACTCGACCTTATAAACGCCGTTGCCGTGGTGGCAATTGCGGCTGGCACTGAGCGCAGCGTTGCCGAAACAGTGTTGTTTTCGTCATATTTCGTCAAATATTTTCGTCGACACCAGCGTCAAAAGGAAATATTTTCATCAACGAGAACAACACTGGTTGTTTTTGTTGACGGAAATATTTCCCTTTTCTTCCACGACGAAGACGTAACGTTGACGAGCTAAACATAAGTCGGAGATGACTAAAATGTGACGAGACGAAAGTGCGTTTACGTTGATGGGACGAGACGAATAGAGTTGCAAAACTCAGTCAGTTAAACGCTAAACATACAGGTGCAGCTTCAGTCCGCTCTGACAGCTCTCATCAGCCTGCTGTGCTCCTCCAACACACAGACACACACGCACGCGCGCGCGCAAACACGTGGAGTTTTGTTTTCGTTGACGATGACGTAGACGAAAACAAAACTGTGCCGAAATCAAGAAGAAGTGGTCTGATCTAAAGGTGGAGGCAAAGAAAAAAGTGGCTTTGCACCATCAGAGCGTGGCGGCGACAGGTGAGAATAAAAAAAAACATGCACGTGTGACACTCGTGCATGTGTTCAAAAAAAAAACGCTCCGTTATCCACCGCTGCTTATGTGGTGAAAGTTCGTAAACCAAAAAGATTTAGTCATATTAATCTTAAAACAAATGCATGTAAATGGAATTTGTTTTTTTGCACATTTGTAAATTCAAATTGGCAAACTATCTACACCGCCACAGTGGGGTCTGTGCTTTCTGCGAGCATCACTGCCTGGTACGGCAGCTGCAGCTCTCAGGACAGAAAGGCTGCATCGAGTCATCCGTTGTGCTGAACGCATCACCCGGACTATTCTCACCTTGCTCCAATTGTCTCCAAAAAGTGCGTAAGCAAGGTGTGGAGTTTGCTTAAAGTTGCGCACATTCCTACACTAGTTTTTCTTTTATAAATCCCAACTCTTGCTTAAGAAGTGGCGTACGCAATTTCTAACCAGGTTTTGTGCGTAAGCAAGCTTTATAAATGAGGCCCCTGGACTTTATTTTAACAGTGGAAGAATCACTGCACAACAGCAATGGAACAAAATAAAATAAACTGTCAATCTGACATGTTTGTATAACTGTCATACTGCTGGTGCCAAACATTATAATCTAAACATCCAAACAAACCTTTAGTTTGACTCCCCAACATAAGTACTTGATGACTTTTTTAATGTACTATGTCGTATCTTTTGTATTGTATTGAACTTGTTAAAGTTAAAAAAATCCAAGTCATATCTACTAGGGCTGGGCGATAAACTGAAAATTAACTGATACCGAAATTTACGACAATAACTGATGTTACTTTGCCCATATTGGTATATTCGGTGTGAAAAAAATGAATGAATAAAAGTTGGTTTTGGATGTGTGTAGGTAGGCTATGGTCTCATTAAGACGCTGTCCTACATCAGAGACGTGACTCCACAAAGAGGGAAAGACAGGTGAGGAGATGGAGGATGGTTCAAAGGTTGTAGTGGCTGGAGCGGCAGCTGAAGAAGACAAAGTTAATGTGGGAGGGGGTGAGCAGCTTGTGGAGTAGTTATTGTCTATTTGTCGTTATCGAGGTAAGCTGCTCAATTTATCGTGATCTTAATTTGAGGCCATATCGCCCAGCCCTAATATCGACCACATCTAAAAAAAAAAATCATGTTTTCAGGCTTTAGAGAATAGTGAACACATGTCCAACTAGACCAGAATCTCTGCACCTGGATTGTGTCAATTCCTCCACGCATTTCCTGATGTGAAATACATTTTTTAAGTGATCTATGAATGAGCACTATAAACTTTACCCGAGACAGCACTTGAAAGATGTCTCAGTGGACTCTGTTGTGTCTGATACACATCTTATTGGATGTTTAATCTATTTCCCCGGATATCAGCCGTTAGTTCTTCCAGTGTTCGACATCTTTAGATCCATTTGTTTCTCAGTCACAAACCTGACCCATTAGAGCTCACTGCCAGCTGAGCCCTGCTGCCAAACTGTGGGGTAAATAAAGCCTGTGTGTGGAGAGTAACGGCTCAGTAGTGCTTGCCACCATTCTTTCTTTCACAGCGATCTCCAAAATAAGCTGCACTGCTCCAGATTCAAACTAGAACAACCTCTCTTTGTAGGTCTGCTTTCAGGCCTCTTCTTCTAGGCTTCTGTGTGCTGTCAGTTTCACTGACGCAGGTTAAGTTCAGGGTTTGACCCAGGATGCTGGTTCAGGGGTGATTCCTGTTTACTAAGACCGAAACCACATGCAAATAAGCTGAAGTTTTTTTTTTTTACGCCCCAGATATAGATGACTTAACAAGACAATACTTACAATGGCTGTAGCCTTCAGGCCCTACATTGCAAACAGACATGACTCTGTAATCGAATTCACTGCATTGGCTTTTAACCAGTTCTAAAAACTACTGTCTGTGAATAGTTTGTCGCTGTAGATGCAGATGCAGATGCAGGTTGAAACATAACTTCACATGATCCAGAGAGGCCAGCAACTTCTCTGGGCCCTAGCCAATACAAGATGAACTGAGGCAAGGTAGAAAACTGTCCTGAGATCTGAAAAATCTAATTTGACATTCTTTTTGGAAATCATGGACATCCCAGAAGAAAGGATTCACTGTGTTATCAGCACATAGTTCAAAAGCCAGCATCCCTGATGTGCAAGTGCCAAATGCATTTGTAGCTTCAACATCTGGAAGAGCTCCATTACTGCTAAATGTAATGCAGCCAATGAGTTTTAGGGGTGTATATTCTGCAAACCTGACCATAGCTTTTTCAGGGAAGACCTTGCTCAGTACAGCAGGAAGATACCAAACCTCTTTGTGCACACATAACAACAGCATTGCTATGTAGTAGAAGAGTCCAGGTGCTAAACTGCCATAGGTGCATCATGATATCAAACTGTTAAGCAGCTGAAATCCCATGTAAGGCAAGAATATAAACTTTCACTTTCAAAACCCAGACCCCAAACCCATTTTTAAGTCAATTGAGGCTTTACATGATTAGCAAATTATCAAGGTCTGCTTTACACGGAGTCCCAACTCTTATGGGAGTGGGTTTGTACGACGTCTGTTCCCAGAAACAAACTCAATCTTTAATCATGAGCATCCCAGCTTGGATTCGGACTCAAATAAATCAGTTTGATCAATGGCAGGAAGATGCTGCTCCCAACACCGGATCCAAAGCCACACCTATGACTTCAGTGTGGGACAACAAACCGACAAACCACGTGAAGGCATCAGTAGCCCAGTGTCTTGTGTGTCAGCTCGCCACCCAGCATCGACCCACCCTGCAGGGCCGCAGCATCCCTCGATCTCAGCAGTAGTAGCAGCAGCAGCAGGACTTACCCAGTGTTTTGACTGCGATCTGGCGCGTCAGAGGCGGCGGCAGGTTGATGCAGACCAGATCCACATCCTGGTGCAGCAGCACGTCGTCGATCCGGTTGGTGTAAAACGGCACATTCATCTCCTTGGCCAGCTCCTCCGCCTCTTCCTGCGTCCGGCCCCACAGTGCTTTGACGGCGAAGCCCTCATTCTTCAGCAGCGGGATGATCACCCGGGCGGTCAGGCTGGTGCCGAACACGCCGACCCCAGGAAGCATGGCTCGGGTTTAGTAGTCTGATCTGATTCTCTGTTTGTGTGTGTTTTAAAGGTCCGGATGAAGCCCGAGCTGCTGCAGCTGCTGCGGCGGCTGCAGCTGAACGGGAGGGAAGCGGCGGCTGGGACCGTCAGGTTGGCCATCCACCTGCAGCCAAACACCGCCCGTGCTCCATTTCCCAGGCGCTCCGGCTGTACGACCGGGCATTCAATGTCGTAATTCCCCGCTTTCAATGACCTTTAGCACTGGGCAAACGAGCCAGTCCTCCTTAGTGCTAAAACGAGGGAATCAAATGCACCATTCCGGTCTCTACCTCGTCCCCGTCTGACAGCGAGCAGCGCACAGACTGCGCCAAGCAATGAAGGGCATGTCTCCTCCTCCTCCTCCTCCTTCTCAGGTTGAATGTTCCTCCTCCAGCAGGAGCGTCCTCTCACACAAAAGCAGTAGAAGAGAGCCGGAGAGGAGATTTAAGTGCCGGCATGCTGACAGAAACACCGCGGACCTCTGTGTGCTCCCCGGAGGATCCGCAGCAGCAGCAGCAGCAGCAGCAGCAGCAGCGCTATTATGCTGGAGGCAATTCAGACATGCGCAGTCAAGCCAGAGACAGAACAAGGAAGCGCTACTAGTCAGTGAATTTTCAAAATAAAAGCTTTGAAATGATTTCTAATCAAGGCATGACGACAAATTTATCAACATAGATTAAAAAATAAAATAAAATGAAAATGAAAATAAATAAAAAAATAATTTCACTTTTAATTTGACTTATTGAGACCTCGTGATGTGTAAAGTAGAGCTAAAGCAAAGGGAGGCGTGTCCCGTACGTACCAGACAGGTGTGTCTCTAAAACACATATGACAAAAAAAAAAAAAAAAAAAAAAAAAAAAGTCTGGCCATTATTTCAAATGGTCATAAGTTTTGACTATTATAGTGATATCTTAAAATTCTGTCCTGTTCCTGTATTATCTATTTATAGTATTAATGATGATTCATCTTTAATATTTACCTAAACGCATCCTGATAGCCTAAAAAAGGATTTAAAATAAACTAATGTGGTTGTGGAGAAGTAATAAGACTAAGCATAATCCATCTTTCATAATACTGACCAATACCCAGAAATAGTGGAGGACTGTTTATCGCACCTTTATTTTGGTAATTGATTTGAGAGTGGTCCCGGTCTTTTCCTGTCTTTCTCTGTTTAACTTTATGAAGCTGTTAAATCCTCTCCCTCCAGTTTAACCCTTCAGCTCCTAAGCAGTGTAGAGCAGCGTGTTTCTGCGAGGGGAGGAGACTGAGGAGTGTGATGGAGTCATTATCCAACAATAAACTGATACACGATGCTCTATGAGAGGAGGAGTCCCTGTCACCTGCTGAACTTCATATCTGTCAGCATTCATAAAATATACTGAAAGTCATACAGATGTATGTACATGTTATTCACAAGCAATCATGACCATTAGTAACAAGACTGACCATTTAAATAAAGACATTTTTTTCCACATATGATACTGATAAATGAAATAATAAATGATACATTTGACTGTCAAAAGTTGAAAAGATGATATTTTGTCAGAATTTACACAAAAGTTCCTGACAGGGGCTGTAATACATTTACTTTACATGTGTTTTTATTTTTCCAGTATATTTTTCGCAATAACGCAGATGTTTTTACATTGACTCACTCTCCATCTTTAAATCCTGTCTCAAAAACCATTATTTCAGGCAGGCCTACTCAGACTAGCATTTGATGTTCTGCTGCAGAGTCCAGACTTACAACTTTTTTATTTAATACTTTGTTGTGTTGATGTGTTTTTGTTTTTTTTTTAAATCGATTTTACTATTCTACTGATGTCTTTAAATTGCTCTGTGAGATGTCCTTGAGTGCCCTGAAAGGCGCCCACAAATAAAATGTATTATTATTATTATTATTATTATTGTTGTTGTCGTTGTTGTTGTTGTTGTTGTTGTTATTATTATCATTATTATTATTATTATTATTATTATTATCATACACCCTATAGTATCACTTTAAAGAACTTAAAAGACTGCACAGGTACGTATCTAAGTCCCCATAACAGCACAAAGCTGCTGCCAACAGCAACATTTACAAAAGGAAAGACTTGACCCTTCTTTGAAAATAATCCACAATTGAAAACAATAAGAAAACATAGAATTTGCACAGAGTTATGCTGCAGTGTCTCATTTTTTTTCTTTCTAGCAGCTCCTTCCTTCACATAAAACATCCCGAATAATCACCTCTCACTCATCAGGACCTTTGCTTATCTCGAGACGATAAATCAAGAACTTTATGATGGATGAAAAAAGCTGAACATCACAGCAGGAATCAATACCGACACTATTATTCAGTGTAGAGCTCAGTCAATCCAGTATTTGTGTGTCATCATCTGCTGTGAATCGATCAGAATATTTCATAGTAGTGCTGATAAATCATAGTCATACACACATGTGTAAGCAGTTTCAGTACATGTCAGGTCAGGCTGTGAACGTACCGCCTCACTTATCGATTAGGTCAACAATGCAGAGGGCAAACAAGACAGACAGAACTTTGGACTGACAGATTGTGCAGAGAAAGTGGTGCAAGGCAAAGGCTGCACAAGGTCAAAGGTCAGTCAAACCAAAGCTCAAGGTTGCATTTGTCGATATGAAAGTGTGGCTGTGCATTTCACTCCAATCAAATGTAAAAGCCGCTGTAGGATTTGGTGGAATTTGGTCCATGTAACTTCCCCCAGAAAGCATTTGTAACTAATCTCACTTGTGGCAGCTGTTTGCTTTAAAAAGGAGTTAAACTTTTGTCTGCACAGTGCATGATAACTGTATATTCAGCAATGTTCACAGAGTTGCAGAGGTGAACTCCTTATCCTGCAGACATGAAACCCATCATGCTCCGACACAGGCCCTCTCTCCCCTGTCATGGTCACGCTCTAATTGAATCAGATGTTCATACAATTTGTTTGTTTGTGTGAGGCAAAGCATGTGACCAGTCAGGGTCAGGCCCATTAGCGCTGGATAGCTGATTGTCCACTTAGATAGGAAAGGAGGGTAGATGGGTTAGTTAAGGAAGGTCACACCGCCCACAGCAGAGTAACATCCTGCAGCAGAGACACACAGAGGTGACAAAGGGCTAAAACTGGCCAGTGAATGCATCACTGTGGACACACAGGTGGGACTTTATTTCTGGAGTTTTTCTGATGTAAAAAAAAAAAAATGCATCCATGCTTGATTTGTTTCAGATAGGACTCTTAATTGGTGTCTGCACTTTGGAGCGGCAGCATGGAGTGAAACAGATGGAAAGGTGAGGCTGCCCTCTAGTGGGTTAATTTGATGATGGCCTGCTAATGGTGCAGATCTAAAGGAATAATCACCAGAAATTTCCTAGCTTTATTGAGCACTGAATGACAGCATGCTCTTTCTCTGACTTGCCAAAATATCTTAAATATTTTTAATACTTATGCAACAAAGATGGCAACTCACACATGTTCTGTGGTTGTTCAGAGAGGATAGGCGCAGAGTGAATATTCATGATTTTCTGTATTAGAGTGAGAGTAGTGGTCGAGTTTTTCAATCACGCTGATTAAGAGAGCATGTTGGTTAGGGATATCATAGAGTTCCTTTCATTTGTATTTTCTTCTGTATCCCACAAAATAACAAACAGAAATAAAATTGTCAAACTCTTGAGAGGATTTTGTAAAATGAATGTAAACAAGAAAACATTTATCTCAGTAATATATGACCATGAGGGACTTTTAGGTTTCTGATAAGTCATCCATATTTAGAAGAACTTTTTCTGCTTCAATTGTTCCAGCTCACATTATTGACCTCAGCTTCATTATTATGAATGCTATCACAGCTATGCTCAGTCTATCATTATTAATATGCTGTTTCTATCCATCTCACCATCAAAACTTTGCAACATAGTGATTATTTGACACCCCTTACCTTAGACACCCTGCTCCATCTACACACTGTGCACACATACTACCAAGGCTTATGCTGTTTATACAGACAGCTCTCCAGCCTCTACTGAACCCAGTACTTGTGCTGCAGCAGCAGAAAGTTTGCTGACACACCCCTGCCACGTTTTTCCTCTCCTAAATGTGTTTCACTTACATGCGTGAAGACAGGACTCAATCTTGTCCCATCTGAATGTTGTGTTGGGTCTTTGTAAATATCTTGAAGAGTATTATCTTGACCAGCTCTTTTGTAAAGCATCTCAGGATAAAGAAAAAATGTAGGCTACAAGGTCAATATTAGGATTTGAATAAAGAAAAAAAAAGTACATGTCCAGTCTATTACTCTGTCTAAAATCTCATTTTAATGGTTATTTTAGCAATTGAAATTTTTGAGATGTTGAACAAAAATATAAACGCAAAACTGTTTTTGCTCCCAGTTTTCATGAGCTGAACTCAAAGATCTTAGACTTTTCCTATGTACACTAAAGACCTATTTCTGTCAAATATTGTTGAAAAATTTGTCAAAATCTGTGTTAGTGAACAATTTTTCTTTGCTGAGATAATCCATCCACCTCACAGGTGTGGAATATCAAGATGCTGATTAGACAGCATGATTATTGCACAGGTGTACCTTAAACTGGCCAATCTAGAAGGTTTTATAGTGGCCAGTTTAAGGCACACCTGTGCAATAATCATGCTGTCTAATCAGCATCTTGATATGCCACACCTGTGATCATCTCAGCAGAGGAGAAGTGTTCACTAACACAGATAAAGGCTGTGTCCGAAATGAATCATTCAATCCCTAACCCCTAACCCCCATATGGGGTTTCACTATATAGATGTAGTGAGCTCAATTACTGGAGGTTTTGGACATTACATGGCAAGACGCAATGCATGACGGGATGCTCACCACCGGTGAATGACCATCGGATGGTCACTACATTTTGCAATGCTCTATGGGAAATTCTGAGTCGCCTATATGGGGCATTGGAATTGATCACTCAGGTTTCGGACACCCCTCAAAGTGGTGCAAACCCCCATACAGTCACCTATATAGAGGTTGGGGATCCATTTCAGACACAGCCTTAGACAAATTCGTCAGCAGTATTTGAGAGAAATAGGTCTTTTGTGTGCACAGAAAGGTCTATGATCTTTGAGTTCAGCTCATGAAAATTGGGAGCAAAAACAAAAGCGTTGCGTTTATATCTTTGTTGAGTGTAGACAGGTTTCAGATCACGGCTAATATTTTTGTCAGCTATTCTAAACTGCATTATTCTTTAATTATTATTGTTATAATCATTACATTATTATTTAACACCGGCCAGTAACTCTTCTTGATGAGATACTCTGTCAGTGGGGATGAAAAAACTAATTTTCATTTCACAATAATGACAGTGACACTGGCCTTATGAAGACTGATGCTGTATGATACCCATTATTTCACAATACCATTGATCAGCCAAGTAATTGAAAATAAGGGTTTTGAAATCATCCTGTAACCTCTTGAAAAGGTCTCAGCCCCGAGAGGTGGACCTCCTGTTTTCCTCCCACACTAAGTGAACAGTTTGGTCTGATTATTGGAATTGTTTGGCATGAACATGAAATGGTTCAAAGACAGTCAGAGATTGTTAACTCAGGTACAGCTCAAAAATGTTAAAGTTATGAAAAAATTGACACAATTAGGAGGGTTGTAAACTTTTCAGAATTCTCCATTTTTTTTTAAGCTGTACCTCTACTAAACTATTGTGGTTTTCCTGAACAGGTGGACTGGCTCTGGACTAGAATCAGGACACAAACATGTTTGGGTTTATTTCAGCACTTTTAATAATTACTCAGAGAGGCACAAATACAATTTACAGGGCTACCGTCTTCTATATGTGCGCCCAAAAGTGACTTTCTATTCCAGCCTGTGAGGCCCGCCAGCTGAGGCGGACAACAGCAGAAACACTTCACACACAACACAGCATCACCTCTGAGCGGTATGCAGATCCACACACACATATTCACACACACAAACAAACATGTTCTGCTGGTCCTCTCACCTGGCAGAGGCGACTCTACACAGTCTTTAAAGAGAAATGTGATTGAACAAGCTTTTATTTCTTCAGCCGAGCCTCAGTGACTCCTTGAGGTAGATAACTTTCTCCAGTCACTCAAACATTAGAGATGTTAAACACACTGCTGACAATCCTATTTACCTCCACAAACATCTTTTTTTCTTTTTATTCAGTTTATGTGTTTGGAAATTCATGTATTCATTGTTTTCTTTTTTGAGCTGCTACTGCTATTTAGCACAGGAACCAAATTTAAAACAAAAAAACTTTAATATTTTATCTTTATAAGTTTAAACTTTGTAAAACTAGGCATTTTAAAATGAATTTCTTCTTTATTTAAACAGAATTACGCTTTTTCTTTGGTGGCTAAGTTATAAAACTGAATAATTGACATAGTAATTGACAGAAGTATTGAAACCACTTCTTTTTGACCCTGATTTCGTCACTCTAGTCATGCACTGAGTCCAGGGTAGCACAGTCTCCTGAGGGGTTTTCAGTCCTGTGTGTCGTTCATAATGTGTTTCAGATGGGTTGGTACAAAAACACAAAAACCTGACAGGTGCTGTTCTCACACATACCGCCTCTCTCTGCATCCTTGCATAAAAATCACACTGAGATTTAACACTTAAAGTAACAAAGGATCAATTATAATGTAACAAATACTACACAGACCATAACTACAGAGTAACATAGGCATACATCAACAACTGAACAAACACAACAAAACACAGATGCATTAACTGATGATCAGAAAGTCTCATTCTCCAGCAGAAAAATTGGACTTTCTGATTGACAAAATACTGCACAGCTAATCTGAAAAGAAACTGTGGAGGTACACAAGAAAAAAGGGGGGCGTGTCCTTCTTCTCCCTTACACAGAAGTCTTTCTGTTTGCAGCATTTAGCCCATGTTGGATGGTTTGAAATGCCCACGAAATTGCACTGGTTTTATTTAGATATTCATATCTAGTATTGGAAATCATTCCCACAAGGTGAAGTGCCCCATCTTTAAAACTAAAACAATAATGTGCTTTTGATTCTGAGGATTTTACAGATTACAGATTGTCACTCTAAAAAGCAGGAGCGACATTATGACCATGTCTTAAAATGCTTTACCGATACTTCCACAGTTTCTTTGAGTTTGGCACTTTTTCTCCTACACATGCTTGGTACATTTACTCCGTCTGGGACTCAAAGTCTAAAGATCCTATCAGCTAAAATCTTATAAAAGCAACGTTGAAACATGAGTGTTCAAGAGTTTGAGATAACTCACTGTCTGCACCTTTTTTTCTCATGAGCTCATTTATCAGTTACTTTTTTCACTTCTGTAGAAGAAAGTAGTGGATTGGTCGGGAGACAGTGTTTCTGTAGGCGATAAAACAAAGAAGTAAGTGCTGAAAAATTTGTAGTGCAAAGTCAACAGTGCTGTTACTATGTCCAAATGGGGAGAATTACTCTACTATAAATGTCGACTTGTGCTTTTCAAAGTATACTTTCTTAGACGCCAACAGTTCTGGTAGCATAGATTTCATGTGCGGATCAAATGTGTCATAATTAACCCACAAAACGCCGTCAAACAGCGCCTGGATTTGAAAAGTCTATTCCTAAATGAGCACAACTTCACACACCATAAATATGTACACATGTGCATTAAACAGCTTTTTTCCTGTACAGCTAGACTGTTAGCTATGGCTATGTTTCCTATGAAAACATCAGAGTTCTCTGACATGAGAAATGTAGACCGACAATATTCAGTATGTATCAGTACCCGGTTTCTGAAATGTTCCCACCAACATAGAGGAAGGTTATCAAACATCTGGTGCAGCTTCTTCCCTGCTGGTCCTTCACTAAATCGTTACAAAGGCGAATAACCACAAAACATTTGAACTACTAACTCTGGTGTATGAGGACTTTTGAATGTCACATGAACTAACTAACCAGAATTATTTGGCAGCTTCTATACAAACTGTCTGCTTTCTGTAATCTGGACTAAAACAGTTGAGTAAAAACGGTGATCCAGACCATAAAGATCCCAGCCTGTGTGTGAAAATTCCACCTGTGCTGTCAGAGTAACCTGTCCTCTCTGCGCATGTTTCTCTCAGGTCCAGAGTCGAGTATGTCAAACATGAAATGACTAGGAGGTTTAACTCAACAGCACACGTTCACTTCTTTGCGTAACATTACACAGTGAGCTTTAGAGACGTGACAACATCGACACACGAGGGAAAGAAAATGAAATGTAACAGAAGAGAACATTTGTAAATGAACAATATAAAGTGTCTCTATGCTCTAGTCTCCATGTGCAGGAGTACGGTGGCCCAGCGTGGACACATACTGCGCTCGTACTCTCAGCCAGTCAACTCATTCAATGCTAACCGTTTCCTTCATCCTGAGGTCCTTCAAGACCATCTGTCAATCACAAGTGGTCCCGCCTTCTGACAACCCCCGCCCTTCATAAAAAAACCCAGGAGCAGGCTTCTTTTCAGGAAAAAAAATGCCCGGTGACCAGTATCCATGGCAACAGTCCATGAGTGCAAGGTGGGGCGTGAAAGTTTTTTTTTGTTTGTTTAAGAATAAATGGTGATGACTTCACGTCCACCGCCTCGCACCAGCAGGACCCGATTCAGGCCCTCGAGGAGGACCTCCAGGAACTCCATATCTGAGAGGAAGAAGTCAAGGTGGAAAAATGAACACAGAGACGTGCAGACATCAAACCAGCACACTCCTGGTGCAATACTCCTCTCATTTATATATATATATAAGTAGATACGGGCAGATAAAAGCTGAAAAAGTTCATTGTATATATGTGCAGATACTGATCATTCAACCAACATTTAAGCCTGCTATCATGATCTATTTATCATGCAAATGCAATAACAGGTTACACATACAAACAAGCTTTTTCACATTGGCTGTATTGAGGTATTCTGAAGTGTTGCAAAGAGTCCCCAAAGTCAAAATTTGCAATGCTTGTGAAAGACAAATGATTCAACAAAGAGGAGCAAAACAACATTTCATTCATGCTACTAAATAAGTTCTGCCTCTCAAGAGTTCAGCATCTTCCATTTTATCCTCGAGAAATAAAGCAGAAACCACTCAAAGGTAAAGGAGCTTATCAAGACAATCACTTCAGTCATTTTTTCTGATAATCAGTCTGTTAATGTGGTGGTAGATGTGGATTGTCATAGGTTAACGATGTAGTAGGACTGGCATCAGTATCTGCAAACTGAAAGAGAAAGGTTGCAAGTTTTTCAAGTCACTATTTAAAATCTGCCCAAGAAAAGAGCCTGTAAATCAGAGCAAAGAATCAGATAAAAAGCCTCACACAATAGTCACTTAAAAGTTCAACTATCCGTCTCTGAGGGTTTATTAACAACATTTCCTTTTGTTTCATGTTGTTTTAGATCCAGTTCTAAAGTGTCCCTGAAAGTCACTAAAAGGATACAGTTTTCGTCTCCTCCTCTGTTCTTGGGTGGTCCAGGCATGTTGAGCAGAACCAGGTGAGCTCCCTGCGACTTGTTCACAACCACCTCGTTCAGCTTGACAGCTGTGTGCATCCGACGAACATTAGACTGGTTCCTAGTTAGATAAAAAGGTCAGAGTGAGAAAGTGCAACATGAATAACCAGACTTTATTAAACAAAGGCCTGAATTTCTAAAGCAAAAGAACCTGAAACTAATATTCTACTGGCAGATTTTTTTTAATATTTTTTCTTTAAACGCAGATAATATCTCTATGATCATTTAAGTTTTATCCAGATTTTGAATGACATTAAAAAAAGAACAGTTTTAAAACTGTATTTAAAAATAACTAGAAAACTTACAGAAAACTTTTAACCTGTTTATCTAAAGAACTGTTTTTATTACAATTAAAGAAATAAAAACAGCATAACAATAGCAAATATCAATATTCATTAATACTGTTTGTCATGATCAAAAATATCATTTTACAAAGTACAGATGCAAATATAAAATAAACAGGCACGGTACAGAGACTAAAGCAGATGAATTCAAAATAAAGAGGCAGCATTTTAAGATAAAATTGACATGCAGTTTCTGGCTCTAAAATACAACGAGACTTGAATTATTACTCTAAAGTTTATCATATTGAAATGCACATGCTGTAGTCTCTTAAACCTTATTTTTGAGGCTGGACGACAGTGTTTTTGTTTTTAAGAAAATATCAAAAATCATCCTTTCTCTCATTTCTCTTTGAATGTTGCCTCTTTATCTTCACCTTCATAACATCAGATCACAAAGCAGCAAAGCACATGACATCAACTGCAAAAGCCAAAAAAATATATATAATTTATAATTGATCAAAATTATGCTTTCCATTCAACTGAACATGGAAAACTTCTATCTTTTGAATTTTAAAGTTTTTCTCTTTTTAAAAGCTGAATGGAAAGCAAAGTTGCTGATGCAAATTAACCTCATCAATTTATTTTATCATTTCCAAATGAAAGCCAACATGCTTTTCAATACATACAGACATATTAAGTCCATGCACATTAGAACACACAAACAAGGGCATGCAAAAACGCACACACACATACACATACAGGTACGAGCTGGAGGACACTGAACAGAGCTACAGTCACCACAGCAGCAGCACACACACACACACACATACATATACAGCCTAAGGCAAAGAGAATGCGACTTACAGAGACTCCCACTCTCTAGAAGGAGGAAAATGGGACAGAACAACAGAAACAGGCTTAGATGCTTTCTACTGCAGCTCTCCAGCTCAATCCACCACACTGCATGCTTCCAACTGTCCCAATCAGCTCGTCCCCACACCCAAAAATGGAGCTGTTTGAAGAGAGGCTTGGCAAAAAGTAGCCTCCATTTCTTCCTGTCCTGTGAGAGTTGATTTACAGCACCTGGTTCCAACTGTTAACTTCAAGAACCAATTTAGTGGACCGGGACACACTGAATAAACCAATCAAAATGGACAGTATTGGATGAGAAGGTGTTAGTCTAAACAGTAAAATGGTGCGCATGTGTTCTGCGTGGCCTGGCCATGCACTAAGACTGAAATGGCTGGAAGTGCACACACATGCGCACACACACCAAATGCAGCCTGAATGCACACACCATGCAGATATTTGTCCCATTTCACCCTACCAGCCTCATTACAACTACAACTACTACTTCTACTCAGGCTGTCCTCTTGGACTGAGGCTTTGGCACCATCCTGAAGTATTTGTCATTACTCTATGCGCTGTGGTTTACTCTTCAGATCCTTTTTAGACTTTAATCATCTTAAAAACTGGTTAAGAGCATTTCAAAATGGTGCAAATGTCTCTTTTAAGGCACATGCAAAAACAGAATGTATTGTTTCACCATCATCCTTACAGTAATTCTCAGTATCATGTACTGGCACTCTTCAAATATGGAAATGGATGATTTCTTTTTTTCCCATTATGGGGTCTAAATGGCTAATATATGAACAAAAGATGGAATGGATTCATCAGATTGCTTCAGCCAGCAGCTGCAAACAGGCTGCTGTAACAACTGCAACATTTTTTATTGAGGTCCCCTTTGAGTATATGGGGATGCAACCCAAGGGATTACACTTTAATAAGTTTAAATTGAAGTTCAAATGCACCCTCTCAAAATTATGTTATATTATAATTTTATATTATAAGACACTATACTTGCTGCATGTACTACACGATAAACACTGCTATAATGTGTTATGAATGCTTAGTGTCACTCATAAGGATTGTTATCATGCCTCAATAATACATTTATAAGGGTTTATAAATGTGTTTATGATGTATTATAAGAGCTGGGCTCATATAAAGTGCTATTAAAGTTTCACTGATGTGTTTCATTGGTGTGTTTTGTTTTATGCAATTCTTGCCTGCTGGTTCCTTTCTATCACCCTGAGCCGTGTATAAAGAGCCAGGCAGAGTTAGTCTCAGGCTTAGACAAGGGCACACTTTAAGATGTGATTACTGAGACACACCAGTTTTTTTTGTTTTTGTTTTTGTATTTTTGGTTAGGTAGCTTGTGCATTCACTTAGATTTTGTTTTTATTCATCTGCATCAATAAAACAGTTTCCTGAACTACAACTTAAAATCCTTATTTTGTTTCATTGTTTATCTAAACCACACTATTTGTCCTTTTCAGTTCACTTTGCCCTGTGTTGTACCAAAATCTTACTCTTTTTCACATTAAGTATCTTTTGCCTTAAGGCTAACAACAACTGGTTTATGTTGCTTCCCTTTTCCCTGTTAGCTGGGACATTAACAAAAATAACTGTTCTTTATTGCCATGATTATTTTAGAGCTTAATACTTTCATTTGGAGGTTAGGACAGTGGATAGAGAAGTGACCTGAGAAGATAAGGGACTATAGCCTCAGTATATGTTTTAACCTCTGATATGTGAAGTCTGTCTGTAACACTAAAACAGCACATCAATTGGATGTTCTTGTATCTTGCACCGTTGTCCAAAAAGATGCAATGGCAGCGATCAGAGCCTGTCACATGGCTGCAGGCAGAAGCAATCGACTGACACTCTAGAGTTATACTAACACGTTTGGTCCTAACAGTGATTCAGCATGTGTATGTGTAAAAATAGCCCCCAGATTTAAAACAACAACAAAAATCTCCTTTATGTTATCAACCAACACTGCTAACTTTCAACTCTCCTTTTCACAGTTATTGATAAAGTTTGTTTTTGAACGTGTACTTACGGTTTCATATTGAACAAGTCACGTGCAGCCACGTTGGCGTTGCACTCGCGGTTACGGTTACGCTCCGTGAAGAGCTTGTCCTTGGTCCAGGTCATGTGAACCCTATCGGGCCCAGTTTCAGCTTTGTCGTTTACTGCGTGAGACGCTGTGTTTCTGTCATGGATGAGCTGGGCCTATAGGGGAGAGAAGGCAAGATGAAGCAGAGTAAACTGGACAGGAGAGCAGATTTAAAGGAGAAATGGATGGGGAAGAAAATACTCAGGAGAAAGGAGTTTGATATAATGACACAAAGACAAAGAAAAAATGTACTAAGAGCGAGAAATACAACGAAAAATGAAGAGGTGTGGAGCCAGGAGAGGAAGGGAAAAAAGGAGAATAAATGTTGCTAAAAATGAGGTTTTTGTTGTCTGGAATGAGAGATGATGCACAAGGGAACCAAGTTGACAGAAGTTGTTAAAAAGAACCTCGAGAATGATGGGAATCATACACAACTGATCCCCTATTACAACCACATATAGACACACTAGAAAGGCTCAAAGTCCCGACAGCAGTCTAAACACAACATATACCGATGATAGACAAGTACAGAGCAGTGATTTGGAAAATGAACCAGGCTGGATGCAAGACAGGAAAGTGATCAAATCCAGTTGATGACATCTAAATGCAGAAATTTTCTAACTTACAAAGTAAATTTATTCACTTGGGATGCAGAGATAATGTACAACAAGAACAGCACGACAGAAATGGATAGGAATCTGTGAATAAAACCTGAATTTCTTCCCTTCTGTTCCATTATCTGTGCTAAAAAGTGCTTTATCAACAGCTTTTAACCACAGGTGATAAAGAAAAACAATACATTATGGGTTTATTATCATCTGTCATCATAAAGATAAAGATTATGGTCTCAAGGTCTATTGGTACTGGTCATATCTGATAAATAACACGCCCCAATAAAGCAGCATGCTGGACAGGAAATCTGTTAAACTAGTTCAATTTAGGATTTTGAGGACACCCTCACTATATGCTGTATACTGGAGTTACAGATATGGGTGGTAGAAGAATAACAGATGGAGTGGTGATAATTGTGATCAAGCTAAAACAAATATAGAGAGTACAGTACTGTCAAGTCAGAATAGTGAGAATACTTAACACCTGAGTGAAAACGTGCACGTTAAGTATCCCTTGAGTCTGCAGCCTTGGTTGCAGCCCTGAAAAGCTCAGAGAATAGACTGAAAATTTGGAGACTTAAAATAATGCATCCTGTGCACAGTGGCCTAGCCGCATGTTGGCATTAGCATTCAGCTAAAGCAGAAGATCAGAGCTTGCGGTTCAAACATGTTAAACGCTTTCAAAGCTGTTCATTCAGAGTATTAGTGCATCATTCAAATGCCAGGACAACTTGCAGCTTCCCGAGACAATACTGTTCGCTCTAATCGCTCTCACTTTTTTGGGGGGAGTGGGGGGTGAGGTGGGATCATGGAGGTAACGGGGAGTCTGGCAGGGTGTGGCTGGCTGGTATTCACAAAGCGGCTCTGACAGTAAGTAGTAGTAGTGGTCATAAGGTCAGTCTGGACTTGTGGTTAACTCTTCAGATGAAGGAGATGGACAATATCTAAAATCATCTCTCTCTCTGGTTTATTTGGTCAGAACCTCTCAGTCCTTACCAAGCAGAAGAACTGACTTATACTTCTGGGTTGATAAAGATTGCACGATGGTGCATATGGCATGTTGACTTCTGAGATTGCACATGATTTTATAGACATGTTAAACCAGCTATGAGTCAAGAATAAACTGGATTTGTAACATGAAATTAGTGCAGATTGACAGGGGCACTTGTTTTTCAGTACAAACAAACGTCAGTGCTGACAACTTCTGTTAAAATCACTGAAACTGAAATGTTTCTACTTCAACACCAACCCCGGAGAATGGTTGCACCTCTCCTTACAAACAAAAAGTCACATTTCTTCAAGTCCAGCTCTTTTTAATCCTGATAATAACAGTTGAAGTGAGTCAAACTGCAGCCAGAGGTCCAGCTTTGTGAAGACAGGCCTGTGAGTCTAACATTAAGGGACAGTGGTTCGACATCTTTGACTACCTCGTCCTCCCGATTGTCCCCCAGCTGTGAGGACTGCCGGCTGAGGTTGGTGCCTTGGGCAGCGTCCTGGTTCTTCCTTCGGATCGAGCTACGTGACTCATCAGTGATACTCTGAATCTGAGCCGTGTTGGTGGCCCAAAGAGTTGGTGGCAGATGAACAAGGAAAGGGGCCAATGGTCATTTAACTAAGAGTTTGTATTTGTAGAGTAGTAAAAGTAAAACTTGTTTTATGTTCTGTAAAAACAGACGTGTCAGCTTTCAAACTTCTTGGATTAACACTCAACGGAGGCAAATTGAACACAATTTTCACTCACATAAACGCTATCATTGAGGATGCTATCATGCTAGCTGTATTAGTATCTTCTCCATGACATGCTGTGAGACTGAAGCATTCCCTTAAATGGATTAAGAATCTGTCCTCACAGAAAACCAGACTGTTCCAGCAGCCTCGTGTTCAAGGAGACAACATGTACATTACCTCTCTCTCTCTTTCAGTCCTGGAAAGCTGCATCTGTTTCAGCATCTGTGACCTCTGCTCCATCACCAGGGTCTTCTCATAGGTGAAGGCTGAGATATCATTATCATGCTGCATGGATAAAGACAGAAACATACTTATCAGAAAGATTTGGAGAGACAGATTTCTTCCTAGTGGTAAATTGAAGCAAATTAGATACGATCACAGAATTTCTGACACATCCTCACCATCTCTACTACTTCCACTTCTGCATCCAGACGCAGGTGGTAAAGGAACATCTGGAGATCTTTCTTCATCTGGATGCTGTTGTCATCCATCTGGGCCACAGTGAAGATGCGCATCTTACACTTCCTCCACACCTGGATGACAGAAATCACATTTATCACACAGAGAGATTAAAAGAAAATCAAAGTAGACTATTGATCAGGTGTAGAGGCATGATTTCTTGTATTTTTCTGAAATTAAGAAAAGTGTTTGTATGATAATTTACTCTGAATAAAAGTCTGATTGTGAGTTATTTTCCAAGATATCCAGAGTAGAGAGTTTGGACTCTGGTTGTTAATGAATGAATCTGATAGTGTGTGGTGAACCTTCTTGATCACAGGATTTTTATTCACACATCTTAAGAACAAAAAGGTTAAATTCATAACTATTACTCATGCATACGGAAGCGCATTGCATTCATTAAAAAAAATAAATAAATAAATAAAAAAGCTCTTTTTTTCAGACTATTTTTCTCTGTTCTTCAGACTAATTTTTTCCCTGTTTTTTAGAGCAATTTTTTTTCTTCTCTGTTTTTCTATATTTATTTTTCAGAATGATTGTTTTTCCTATTCTCTGGGATCATGATCATTTAAAAACAAATGCTCTTATCCCCCTCTGCTCGATTTATTGCAGGCAAACATGGCCCACTTGTTTAGTTTAATCAAGTTTTAGTTTCTTTTGGGTTTGAGACACTGGAAGATCCTCTTTTCCTTAAGTCAGATAGATTGAATTGTCATAAATTTGTCTACTTTGCCCAGGCACCTCAGGATTTGCATTCCCTACGTTTAACTAATAACATGCTTCACTCTCATTGACCCCGTAGTCAAAATTATCTAGGAACTGGAGAATCGGCTGATTTGGAGCAGCCATGGGGGTTAACGTTATCTGATTGTATGAGATTCCCACAGGATTTTGAAGTATCTTGCTTAGTCAGGAAAATAAACAAAAAAATAGTACGAAAAACAGAAAAAGGAAAAAAAAACAGTACGAAAAACATGAGAAAAAATAGTCAGAAAAACAGAAAGAAGAAAAAAAAATTACTCAAAAAAATCAGTTTCCCCTTATTTATTTATTTTTTTTGTAAGTGAATGCAATGTACAATATGTTGTTTTTTGACTTTGGTGTTTTAAATGCACAGCTCAGATTTACGATTATATTTATATCAGAGGAGGTAACACTGACTGCCTAATGCTGACTAGAAACTCTGGTTTTGTGAAGCAAAATGATGTTGCTGTAACAGGACAAAGAAGGAGTTAAAGGAGTATTTTAGCTTTATATACATGTCTGTAATGGTTATTAGTGGTTTTATGAAACACTTTTAATCTGACAAAGCACCTTTGCATTGCTACTTTCAAATAGAGTCCACTTTTCATAGATTTCCGAGCTTGCTGGGGGCAAAATGAAACACATTTAGTACCTTGAGGCCCTGAGGTTTACATCTGCTGCTGTAAACAACAAACGTCTGACCCACACATACAAACCTTGTGTTGTCGCAGAAGGAAGGGCAGCAGCATCAGCATGCCTCCATCGTGAACCACCCACCACACATCGATGGTTCCCTCACCGAGGCGGTCCTGATTGGTGGGGAAACTGTCCACATTCTTCGCCACAAGCAAAGCATGATGGGTAGCTGTGGTCTCCCGCACCGTCTCTGAAGGGAAAACAGAGAGAGGGAGAGAGAGAGAGAGTGCTTCAACATTATAGCCTATTACTTAAGACTTCTGTGTGGGAGACTCTGAGGTATCAGTGCATCAGGGAAAATAAGGTCAACAAATTGTTTAAATATGCAGCATTATATAATCTAACACTGATTCCTATGCATTTCTATAAATATGCTTTCATTCATATTTGCGTCATACTGTCCCCACTCTGTACCTATGAAATTCTTCCATGACTGTGGGTCATTGGACTGCCTCCAGGTCCCAGGCCAGGCCATCAGGACAGTGTTGTGCTTCATTCCTCCCAGCCCTGCAGACTGGATGAGGTGGGAAAAGCCATCCCTGAGGTTTGAAGACACCACGACATGGCAGAAGCCTTTTGTTCGCTCTGCTGACATGGAGGACTTGATGTTCTGGATGGAGAAAAACAGAAAAAACATGAAGCATGAAGATGAATATCCATGACACAGCGGTTAATACTGAGAAAAAAGGGCAAGATCTCCTTCTTTCTCCATGATGCTGATCTTTGACACAACATAACCCGTTTCTTCAACCGACATCCTGCACTCTCTTCAGTAACAGATCAGTACGAAGAGTCCAAACAATCCCCATGAATCCATCAGTCTGTGTAATCTGGAATTTATTCTCTGCACATGATTGACTTTGCAGAAAAAAGTAATCCCATGATTAAAAATGCTTTTGAGGACAGAGTGAAATCAGGCTGAATGCAGGAAGAATTTAATGACTTGCACAGTTTGACCAGCAGATGGCAGACTCAAACAAAAATTCATGACAGTACATCCAAGGTGACATGGGAGATTTGCATGTGGGGCAGAGGTGAAAACAAACCCAGAAGCCTGTTTGATTTCAGCTTCATTAAATGAGATTAAATAAAGAGTATCACACATGGGGTGGGATAAGACAGGTGGCATTTTCTGAGCAGCTGTGACCCTTCAATCAGGGTTTTGATTTTAAGCAGGCCTGTACATAGATTTTGTAGACCAACTGTAGGTGTGTGCTCTTCACTTTACCTGCTCGGCCCTCTTCGCCTCTGCATCTTTGGTGAGATATGTCCCCTCAAGAACATTCCCCACTATCGTCAGGCCTTTCCCTGCTTTCAGCTGAGTGGTGAAAGACAACAGACGAGGGTGTTTGACCCCTTGATCTGAGTCCACGTTCAGGAGCACCAAAACCTGGGGCCTGGGTAAATAAACAGAGAGAGTACATTAGGAACAAAATAAAGGTCGGCTGGACAAGAGGGACAACTTTATCTTTATCTCTTAGTCTGTTTGAGTACAGATACTCTAGTTTTTAAAGATGTTCATGGACAGAATAAATGTATGCGGTTTGAATATGTGCCTGATTTATTATTTATTACTTCTTTTATCACTGACATAATAAAACTGTTCTGACAATTTAACAAGAGGATTTTGCTTAGAGAGGGGTTTCTTTTTATTCATTACAAGGACAAGGTAAGAAAAGAAAGGAAAATGGTAATTGGACTTTTTGAACACTGTCTGGAGACTCAATTATTTGTGTTGATAGTTTTTTTAATCTGAGCAAATTTTTTTATAGACCCAAAGACAAAAACACCAAAAAACTAGTTACTTTTAAGTGCAGACCAATACGGGTTGTCAGAGGCAATACTGACTGTTTGTTCACATGACTGCTAACTGACATTAAGAACCAATATGCATTGACAATAACAATAAGCACAACAGTTTACTAATCATACTGAAAGTACAGATGGTCAGGTTGTATTTTTGGAAATTGGGTCAGAGTGGTCCAAGAAAACAGACCCAGCAGGGCTTGACACTAACTTTAGAACTTTAAGGGCACAATGAAAATTGATCAAATAATGTTTGTCTTATTGGTTGACGTAAGTACTGTTATTTGAAATCAATTTAGGTCTTTCTGTCACATGACATGGAAGCTATTAAATGAAAACAGCCTTTTTTGAGAACATCAAATGGTAATTTATTGCCCTCATTCGACACCCAATGTTGCAGAGTAGATTTAACCACACTGCTGTTGCTATTCCCGGTTATGGAAAGTAGGAAGTCACCGGTAGATCCGTAGTGAATGTCTGTCGAATATCCAACCTAAAACTAACTTCACTGCAGTATTTACATGAAAAAACACTTGTTGCCTCAGCTGATTTTTTTATGCGCACATGCCCCTAAATCCGTTTTACAATTAGCACGCATCTTTTTTTAGTCACAAATTCGAGTGAAATGGTCACACTATCGAGCCCTGCCCAGACAATAAGACAAATCACCAGTGGACCCAAATAAAGCACTTTTGAGTGAATTTATTTCATTAGTTGTCTATAAATTAGAAGGCTGACACAGGTTATTGCACAAATACCTAATATCTAAGTTGATAATCGGGAAATGCCAATAATCTGTCTACCCTTTAGTTACAACTGCACTGTGGTAAAATTTGCTGTCAGAGCCCAGCAGAAGTAAAAAAAAAAAAAAAAACAAGGTTATTCAACAGTCAAATTTTGATCCGGTGGATTTGTAGTAAAATATAATAGACGTATTACAGGTCAAATAAAGTAAAACTCTAGCAGCAAATTCAGAAGTTTTTATTCTTCCAATCAAGACCCCAAAGTGTAAAAAACAACAGACCTCAGGTCTAAAAAAGCAGAAATTTCCTTTCAACTCAAACCTACAGTCCTAAACTGATTTACAGCAGGCAGTCAGAAAAGAGATATCCTCTGTGGGAACTGTCTGGATAACTAGAAGCATGAAGTCCATGACATAAACATCCACACTGAACATGCTGAACAAACGAGTGAACAGGACAGGCAGTCAGAAAGGTCAGCGTGCCTCTGTACACTATGAAGGCTTGTCAACCTTTTCTGTCAGATTAGGTCGAGGACCAAGAGATTAAGCAAATGTCTATTCTTGTCTGTCTTTTGTCCTCCGCAGCAGGGACATCACCTGTAACTACAAAAACTCTCACATGCACACGGACAAATGACATGAACCGTACTGTACCTCCAGTTCTTTGTGTGTGGTGGAGCCTCCTCCAGACGAATCAGGGCGTAGCGGGCTGCATTAAGAGACAGACCTCGGATGCCATCTCCCCACTCCTTCTCTGCCCTGATATCAAAAGATTATGACAATGATGTAACCAGTATCAAGCAAAAATACTGCCAATGAAAAAATGACAAGATTTTAACAACAGTTTTCACACCAGTCTTCTGTCATTCAAAGAATTTACTGTCTGTGATGTTGATTCAGTCTGCTAACATTATGTATTTAAGAACAGCTGATGCTCAGAAAATTAAGTGGGAAAACGATATAATGATTCTCTCTGATTTATAAAAATACATGGATGTGGCCACTGATGACCCTCTGGCATCACTCAAACACTGTTTGGTAGGAGACAACAAACTCCTTAAAATTAAATGAGCACAGTTCCTAACCCAGTTCATAACTTGAGGGGCATACCCCAAACCTTTGCAATTATGTCCACTGTTCTCATCTACTTTTACTTCTAATCTAAAATACTGCAAATAGTGTTTCATTCCTAAGTCAAAGATTCAAATATTTGAGTTACTCAACAGCGGTAAGATTTTAATCTGTTGAATTTGGTTCTGTTGGGACTCAAAAAGAACAAGTTTGTCTGGAGTCACCAACTAAAGAAAATGTTCGGTATCTAAATGCACAGGAGCTATCTGCAGCCTGTTAAAAAAAAACAAAAAAAACACTGATATCAATGTCAAAACCACCTCTGACAAGACAAACAGTCATTCATAAGTTAGGATTTCATAGTGGTCACAGGGGTGGCCAATCAGATTTCCAGATTTCATGGGATAAACAGACATCAATGCACTCTGGGACAACTTTGAAGGTGTTATTATAAACAGGTGACAGACTATAATTGAAAACAGTTTAAAAAATATCATGCAGAAGTGTTCAACAATCATATCTACCACAAAAAGATGCAGTCTACACCTAAGTTTGCATGTTTTGCAAGCAGCTAAAGAAACACTAAACAGTCTCAGAATGAAGATGACAAGTTCATTATTTTATGGCGGTGCGTTATTATCCTCTGAACATACAATTTTTTATAACGTCAAACATCACCAGAGGGGCACCATGTTTTTCTCTTGCAAGATCATTTTATATTTCAAGCCCCACAGTCTTTCCTGGCAGGACATGATACATGACGTCATTTAAGATGATGTGGATAATCCTAAAATACATGCTCACTAATCCAACAATGAACTGGGGGTTCCTAAATCCAAGGTTGTTTTTTTATTTATTTACAGCAGCTCAGATAACACATTTGACTGCAAACTACTTTCAAAGCTGCAGCTGCAACTCTGTACAATGTGAACTGTTTACATTTCTGGAGGGCTAATTCTCTAACATAGCTGAAGTCCTTTGGTTCAGTTCTTTTCCTGTCAAAGTTTCCAAGCTCACACTTGGCCATTAAAAATGATTTTTGCACAGGAGAAGATGGAATTTACTTCACATAAAGTCCCTCTTACCCTCTGTATTCAATGTATTTGTAGATGCAGCTGGCGATGGCCATGGCCACGATGGCGTAATACCAGGAGGAGATGAACATGAGCGCAAGACACAAGCTCATCCCCAAAAAGGACAGAGCCCTGTAGGAGGAAACACACAGTTTAAAAACCCATCCTCTTATGTAAGAACTGTTTTAGGTCTTTCTGCACACTCATGGAAACATGGAAATGAAATGAAAACTGGTCTAAGAGGACAGCCCAGAGGCTTACAAGTCAAATAAAATAATGACATCCACTGCTAACAATAGTGTTGTCCTTTTTTGTCCTCAGCTTTCATCATGGCAGTAATCTCAGTAAAGGTCATCATCACACAAACCAAACTGAACAGGTGTGTGTGTGTGTGTGTGTGTGTGTTGTGTGGTGTTTTAAGGGGTTTTCTGGCCTTAGTCACTTGTGGGTCTTAAAAAGGGACAGTTTAACAGTTTATGTTTTGGTTGTGCAGGGGGATGAACTACTCACAACACTTCACAACCCACCAGTGATAGTATTTGAAGCGTGGTCTCCAGTTTGGTGTCCGCAGCAGAGTCTGAACTGCACAGGCCAGGTTGACAAACAAGTAACACATGAGGAAAAACCTAAAAAAAAAGAGAAGTACGGCTCATCCATTATCCAGATCTCCATTTTATGACCTACTGTAAGCAGCTTTAAGAGGGCAAATACTTGCCATATTAAAGACCTAATTTCAAGGAAAAAACACTGCAATAATTTGATCAAATCAGTTACTAACATGGAGAGAATTGGAGCCACGGCATCCAGAGAGGCGATGAGGATGCCGATCTCACAGATCCCAGCAGTCAGCAGCAGAGCCCAGGTTGGTTCTCCATTAGCTTTCCCGTGACCGAACACCTAACGAACAAAAGGAGTGAAAACAACAGCGAACACAGAAACAGTCAAACACAGTCAGTAAAAACAGATTTGACAATGTGTTTTGGCTGTAGATGTCAAACCTGTAAGAAGGGTACGATGCCATCTCGTGCGATGGCCTGCAGGAGTCGAGGGGCGCCAGTTAAACTCTGCAGACCCGCCCCGCAGCAGGAGAAGAATGAGCCAATCACGATAACCCAGGGGGAAGGCCATGATAGAGTACCTATGACAAGGTTCCCCTTCACAGAGTCACCAAATCTGAAATAGAAAAACAATCAGACACTGCAGTGCGACCTCAGAAATCATACTTCATTCCAAGCGGAGTGCACAATACATGGTCATTAGGCTGATTTCCCCCATACAGTAGAAGTTAGATGAAGCCTGATTATCTGATGGTTGATGATAAGTATGAGAGATCAAACACAACTCACCCACTCTCTTCCAGCAGCAGCTTGTTTGTGTGGGAGCCCTGATGAGTCGATCACTGAGTGCAGCAGATCATTTCCATGAAGTAATAATCATTATGATGATCATTTTGCACTGCAGACGTGGTAGTTCTTTTGCCTTAGTGTCTTGGTCTGATTGCATTTCCATGAAGTAATAATCATAAATGTTCTTCTTTGAGCTGTGAAACTCCACTGCACTCTGTGATCGACTCGTCAGGGCTCCCCCACTGCTGGAGGAGTGTGGGTGAGTTGTGTTTAGTCTCTTTGCTAAAGAAACCAGGCAAAGCTAAAAAGATGTTTGGTGGCTAGTACTATGGCTGGGACCCTATATGTACTGTTGATGAAGTTAGGTGCTGTTCTGAGCATTACTTGTGGCTATAGAGTGGCTTTTTGGTTGAGGTTTGCATGTGGAGACGTAGACCACTGTGTATTGCTATCGGTCGTTGCTGAAGTTGGTAAAACTAGAGAAGTAAGCAGTCGGCAACATTCATCTCTCGAGGGGGCGTCTAACTCGGTGTTACGGTGTGTTTGACCATTACTTAAATATACGCCGGAATATCCCTTTAAGGACTTCATAATGTTGTAGGGGTAATCTACTTTCTCTGCAGCAGCTACAGAGAAATAGTAGCTTCCTTGCATCGAATATTAAGTAATATTCCACTTAGTGTTGTATTTTTTTGTGTTTTTCTTTTTTCTTAGTCCTTCATTTTCATTTTTTGCTAATGTTTCTTTCACACTAGATGTTTTTTAAGTCCTTCTCATGGTCCTCTTGGAGTTTGTTTCAGTGTTGGGAAAATATGATGTTGACAGCTTTTCAGAGCAGCGAAAACCAAAGACCTGTAGGTGGTGATTTAAGTGGGCCCATGGGAACTTTAATGAGTTCCCAACATTAAAAGGATTTGTAGCAAGGACCAATTTTATGGGGCCTGTGCAACAGATATGTCACATTGTATAGCACTGAGCAGCTAGCAACATTTGCCCATTCATGGTTTGACATGTTAGTCTCTGAGGTTTTATGAATTTCCAGTTTGGAGAGTCTGGTCTTGGTGAATGAAACTGTTAGTGTGTGATAAGCAGACACACACAGTAGGGTCTCTCATGATTTCAACGCTGGTCAAAATTTTAAGAATCAAGCTCAGTTTCTAAACATAATTGCTCATCACATAATTACTTCCAGTTTACTTTATGATGTTGTAAACTCTAACGACAGATGGTCTGGGTACTTTTATATGAAAAGAAGGTTTCCTAAAATTGACTTGACCTTTTGATTACAGCCTTAACGAATCAACATCATCTCCCATGACTCATAAAAATAAATAAAAAGGTGTTTGAGAGGGCACACTGGTCCATTCATATCACATGATTGCTAAATAGTTGTGAGGGACACAGTTTCGGAGAACACATAAACAGATTCATCTGCTCTTAAAAGATAATACTAACACACAGACAGAGAGAGAAGGGGGATTGTAACATCAATGTTTCAAATAGTTTTCCTTTAGAAAGGCCTCTTTCATAACAAGATTATCTGTTTAGAAAATTTAAAACAACTTTTGTCTGGTATGTGGATGCACGTGCTCTGTTTTGAACTCTTACTTGTCTCGAAGCAGAACTCCTTCAATGCAGGCACCAAAAAGCACCACACAAGTGACGTCTGAAAGCAGTATTGAGGAAAGTAAACTGTATCCATAGAAGGAAGTCTGTCCCCTGTTTAGACACACTGCAGATTAAACCCATAAAACTCTAGGTACTGGCCCTGTTAGGTTGGGCTCTAAACTCTGTTTTACTTTCCGGTCTCAGCTTTGACAAAACTTAAAGGATACAGATGAAAGAGGTGGTAGCGATAGCCAGGATGGTCCCAATGGGGATGGACTTCTGAGCATCCCGCAGGTCACCTGACCGGTTTGAACCTGCCATGATACCTGAAGAGGGCAGAGGAATGAACATTCAACTATGCACTGTAACTTTGAAACGAAAGACTAACTTAAACTATAATAAAAACTTCATGTCTGTGTGTGGGTTGTCTTTGGGTTTAGTCTCACCAGTCACAGATGGGAAGTAGATGCCAACCAGCAGAGTGAAGAAGCTGGTGATGTCGTTGAACACATACGGCATGTAAATGTCCCGGGAACTATCACCTTCTGGGTTAGATGGCAACATCTTAGACTCTACCTTCATACCAAGAGGACCATACTCGGACCACATATTTTCTGCAGGAGACAACAAGGCAGCAGAAACAAAGAAATCAGACTCTTAACACTAAAATGAGGAAAGAGGAGTCAAGATTCTGGTGGCAAAGAATACAGTGGACTGGGGTTGAAAAAGGAGCATTATTACATTAGATGTTCATTCGGCAACCAGGTATGTTGCTGTTCACATTAATGAGTTTTTCCCTCCAGTATAACAACAGCCTGATCCTGGTTAACTTGTTGTTGTTAACTTGAATGGCTATAAATAAAACCAGACTATATTGAGTTAGTGTCCTCTGGGTGTGGTCATGAACAGCAGACTGTGTAAACATAGATGTGGTCTGGTATGGGATATAGAAAACCAGCAAAGACATGAAACTGAGGCTGGAACCCAGTCACCAGTCATTTGCTTAGTTATGTCAAATAATACAGAAATCTTGACTGTAATTTAAACAAAACAGAGCAGTTATAAAGAATATGGCCCTGTTGCAGTTGCCTCAGATAAAAAAAAAGAGAATCAGTGACCAATCATTTTTTATAAGAGGCTGTAAATGTGTTTAAATCTGCTGTTAAGATAGGAATGTAAATACGGGCTCTAATGGGGTTTTATTTTTATTTTGGAGCCAGCCCTGAGTGGACTCGCAAAGAACTTCAGCATTTCTCAACACCAGAGGTTAGAGTCACAGCAACCTTCTTCTTTTGAAAAAAATAATCTAATTATTCTCAGGGAAAAACTAAACTTGTGCAGACTTGGATGATATTTCCTTATTTTAGTTCCTGTAATGCCATGTGATGAGACCAAAGCCCAGAAGAGTAATACGATGAGGCCGCAGCGAAATTGACCAAAGGTCTCCACGGTAATATTTATTTTCAGTGTCCATTTCCCTTTTAAACATCTGTTTGAAAATATGTTGTTTTTTTTCTTTTGTTTGGACCTTTTTGTGCCTCCATCAGAGAGGAAAATGGACAGAGCAGGAAAAAGATGGAAGAGCAACATGCAGGAAAGGAGCCACAGACCAGAACCAGGGAAATCCACCCGAGGCATGACCTCTGTTCTTGGGAAGGATACCTTAAACCAGCTAGTCCAGGGGTGCCCCACATGTGGTATCAACTACTGCTAAGGTGAGTTTGGAAAGATGGAAAATACACAGGCCAAAAAGAAGGGCCAAAATGTGAAGCCTCTGGCCTAAAAACAACCAAAAATAACCTTGAAACTTGTGCGTCAGGAAAAAAAACAGAATTTGAAAACTTTCATAACACTTTTATCTGTTTAAAATTAGATCCACTTGTGATCAGATTACAAAGATTAAGATATGACATAAGAATGAATGGTCAGTAGTTCGTAAGCTGGCGTGGGCAGGTCCAGTGAGGTTAAAGTCAAACAGATCATGGTACAGTTTTTAACATAAGGAGCAGCAGTTTGAATTTATTTGAGTCTAGACAAACATCCTTGAGGAAAAATAAGTTGATCTAGTCATGGAGAAGTTATTGTTAAGAACCTTGGGACGAAGAAAGGAAAGGAAAGGAAAATAAGAGCAAGTAGAGTTGGGGGAGCAGAAGGAGTATGATAGTAACTCAGGAGATAGCACGGCACCTCCATTTGCTCGCCTTCTCATGCTTCACAGTAAAAATGACAGGAATGTACTTTTTCTGATAGCTTGGAGTGAAACTAGTTTGTCATGGCCAACAGTTACATAACATGAGGAATGTTCTGCTTTGGAGCGATATTTGCAGTCCATGACAGTAGGAGATCCCTCAAATGCTATATGAGCCCTATTTTAAGTGTAAATGCTGCCTTGACCAGTAAAAATCACTTCATGTTTTAACAAAAAGAAAAAAATGATGCAAAGTGACCAAAAAGAGAAATTTAGGATGCAAAGTTTCGATGAAATGCTTGTGGGTGTCTTTATTTTTTGGAAAATGTTTTCAAACCTGAAATGACTCCGCTCTTCAGTCCGGGGATGCCCTGTATCAAGGTGACGTTGTTGTTGTCGAAGTAGTCGTTGCATGTGGCGTTGAGCCCGGGTCCATCACAGAACAGCTCCCACAGCTTGGTAGTGACTGTCACATTGTCTATGTCTTCTGTTTTCAAACATTTGTCAAAGTTGTGATTCTGCAGAGTACGATTTCCCAACATGCAAACACTGTGTGAGGAAAAGAGAGAGCAGGAATTAGATCACGTAAATTGGACACTTTAATATTTAAACAGTTATAAGTATTTTTTCCTGGAAAAATGGTGACTTTGTATTGAATGAATTATGGGGACACCTCTGCACAGGGGACTTACGGGAAGTCCGGTGGCTCAAAGATGGTCTTGATGACTCCAGCATAGATGGCGAGGATGGACAGAATGACGCAGGCCAGGAAGACTAGAGCGAGCTTATTGACATATTTCACCCCAACAAAAACTACTATAGCCATCAGTGCTAGGCAGCATGTGCCATAAACGCGCATGTTATTCAGAAGGGCGTCCACTTCATCCTCCTTTTTCTCTGCCACAAAGATGGCTGCTTTAGGCACAATGTAGGTCTGCAAAGGGAAAAAAGGGAGGAGAGTAATGAAAACAAGACCAAGAAAAAAAAAAACTGAATATATGTCAATCCAAAGTTTTAATCTACAACACAGCATTCAGCCAACAAACTGTGATCCACGATATTCAAGATAGCACACAGCATTGACTCACCAGTAGGATCTCTATTGTACCCAGGATGTACATGGAGCCTGCAAAGGTTGTACCCAGGTAGAAGCAGAGACCCACAGCTCCACCAAACTCAGGGCCCAGAGATCTGGAAATCATGTAGTACGAGCCTCCAGCTGCGAAAGAAGGAAACAAAACAGAACAAAGTTTAACAAGGACAGGAAACCAGCTTCTTTCATGTAAGGTTATCTAAAAGTTTATGATTACTTGCAAATTTCTAATGTGACCTTAAAAATATGATCGTCAGGGTTTTTGTCATCCCCCAGGACTCCTAATTGGGGAGCTTCATGGTTATAAATTACCATAAAATTAACAGGATGAGGAGGGAAAGGTGGGTTATATTGAGCACAAATACTCACTTATACTCAAACAACAATATAATTTTAACCTCCAAAACAACTGGATATTATAAGATGACAACTTTGCCTCTGAGGTCTATTCCTCTCAGCCTCTGGTAAAGTCAGCAGATGTCTGGCTGAGGTAAGACTTCTGCAGGTCTTTGTAAACGAGAAACCTGAAGCTGGACTGCCATCCAAAAATGAATATTACATTTCAACCAGGGACTCTTAAAAAACTCTCCTCTCCAAAATGTGTCACTGGTAAACAGTATCTAAGGCTACTAAGTGAAACTGTGATGAATTTGTCAACTTCAATCTTCTCCTTTAGATTCTGCATTAATATCCAGAAATCTAAATTAAGATCTCAACTGAATGGCAACACCCAAGTTGCATCTTTCAGTCCATGAACTTCTATAACCCTTTTCTTTTACCATTAAATCTGAGATATGATTCCTCACTGAAACATCAGATGCAGTCTTAGAGGAAAAAAAGTTTCTAGCTGTTTTCGAGAGTAACAAATTCCACTGCATTTAGCAAAATCTGCAGTGTGCAGTTTCTGTGCAGCTGTGTAGTTTTTTTTTTCTGGTACCATCTGATTATACTATGTGGAATCTGCAATCCTGTTAGTAATTGGTACAGCAGTTGAGCTCAGCTTACAGACACTTTGACAGTTATGAGACACTGACAGACCCCCTGCCAGATGACTCTGCCCGGAGCCCAATCACCCATCTCTGGTCACTCATCTTAAATTGAGGAGTCTTTTCCATCATTGGACAGTATTTACTGGATCGTATACCACTGTTCTCTGTCACTGTTTGATAATAGTTCACTTAAGATGTAACTGCTAAAAAGTGGCACACCCACATCATTGTTTATCTGACCATGCTTTGCATAGACACTTGCTTCTTTGAGCACCGTATTCTGTGTTCACTACTCTATTTTGTACATGAATACTGGCAGCAGAGATGGCCAGACTATGTACTGTGAATATCACAGGACAGGATGGATTGAAATAGCTGTCTTTAAATGGGCACCACAAAGCAAAAGGAAACCTGGGAGGCCCAAAACCACATGGTGTACATTTGTGATATGGAATCTTGAAAATATGAACCTGTCATGAGGAGAGCAAACTCTGTGAAGGACAGAGTGCAATGGATGTTTTCTGTTCTATAGGGAAGAGATCCCCAACCACCGGGCCCAGGACCACTACCGGTCTGTGGATCATTCTTATAATAATAACATTGCTTAAAATTTATTTTTTCTTTTCATCTTATTTTGAAAGACCACCACTTCTGCCATTGCCTTACTTTCAGGCTTGACTCTTCGGCATGTCATTTTCCTGTATCAGCAACACAAACTAGCCCTCACAAAAATGAGCCAGAAACAGAGTTCACTGGAGAGAGAAAGGGGTTGATTCTGCATTATGGTGAGGCGATGTTACAGTGTAATGAAAAGTACCTCTAATATAAAATGCAATTATTGTATTCAGATTATATACTATGTATTTAGTATGTACTGATTGAGGTTTTTGGAACGATTTGGTGCAAAGATGCACCTTTAACAGGTTTAAAAAGTGAGTTGAGGATTATACACCAATGCACAAAGCTGAGGGGGTGGTGCAGGTCACCAAAGGCATGACCACAGGTGGAGTTCAACTACAATACAGATATAGCACAGGATGCAATTGCAGTCTTCATGCAAGAACTTAGTTTAAACATTAATAATACAATAATACAACAAATCTTAAATCCCATTACCAACTCAAACTGAAAGACAGAGTTAGACTCTAGTTAATGTATTCTCTCTTAACAATTCAAGCCTTGTTGCTGCTCATGTATGTGTGTGAAATGAAGTGACTTACCTGGCACAACACCATTAGTTGCAATTGCACTCATGGATATGGCTGTCAGCATGGTCTACAAAGAGAAAACACAGAGGACAACAAAATCAGGAAGAAGTTCACTAATTTTAACTCTGTCAGAGATGTCAGCATGTTAAAGTCAAAGTTTTATTTGAGTCTCATTGTTGTATTTGAAGACAAAGGGGGTTTTGAGACAGCTGTCACCTATTTCAAACCAACTCCTTGACCTTTTTTGTCATCTCACAATTCTTTATATTCAGTAATTTTCCGGATTTTCTGATCAATGGGATACTAACGAGGCTTAATCCAGCATGTAGCCTGTAAATGACTTCTTAACAGCTAATGCTCCAAATCTTACGGATTGGTAATGGATACCAGCTTTTCTGTGAAATCAGTCAGTGTGGTGAAGGATATTTACGTCAGCCTGTTACCTCATAATACCTCTGACAGAGAAGAGAGAAGGGCAGAGATAAGAAGAACAAAGACAAGTTAGAAAGACGGTAAAGTTTAAACTTGCACGGTGGAAGACAAAAAGAAAGCATGACGGTGAGGGAACAGAGAGGACAGTGACAAAAAGAGGGTGTGGGGCAAGGACAAGGACATGACCAAGATACACCATGTGCTCTTTGCCGGGCGTCCGGTTTAAAGTGGCAGACAAGCTGGAGAAAAGCCAATTAGCAGACAGTTTTACTTCCTGCTTCCCCTCAATCCCTAAATAGCTGAACACTCACTCATCTTGACAGCGAATGAGTGTAACAGGAGGCGTGTCCTCACTGTTGAAATCAAATAAAATACAACACAGTTCCAGAGACTGAAAACAGAGATTACAGCATAGCTTTCTTTAAGAAATAAAGCTTTTCTCCTTTATTAGTTAAATTCCCCTCACTGTGTTCGATCACTAAGGTGCTCTGTATGGACGGGATGAAATCCAGTTCTACTCAGAAATCTTAGGATATACTCTCTGTCTTCACACTAAGATTGTAGAGAGAATTACAGCTTGATTATTACCAATTTCACCTCAAATCTGGCAGGATATCTTATGAAGTTAACCCTGCTTTCTTGTAGTGTTGAAAGTAACTGCACCCAATTAGACATATCTTCCTCTTCATGTGCCAAAAATTCATATCAAGTTCGGAAAATTGGAGAGTAATACATAAACATAAACATTAACATAACTGGTATTAGTTGCTATTGCAATCACAACAGCTGGGGTAGATCCAGAATATCCAAAATTTACAACTTAAGTTCTTTCCTATCCTATTTTCCTGAACCCCAGTTGTAAACATCACAGGGTTAAAGAAAGGTTAAAATTAGGAGTTTCTCTAAATTAGGAGTTAGAGAAAGACAATTGCAGTGTTGGGAGAATCCGACTTCTCTTACACTCAGCGGATGTTACTGATGTCACGTGAATCTGTTATGTAAAATCTACAATTTAATGTAGACGGACAACACAAATTTTTGTGTGCTCTTACCATATTGATTCATGCAGAAACATAAAGTGAAAATTCAATAAAAAGTGTGACATTGTTCAGATGTTTTTAGCTCATGAAGCAGAACATCAGATCAGGATAAATCAGCCTCCAGCTGCTGAGATAGTCTGATGAACTGAGGAAACATCTGCAACCTCTGAATATACACCACTCTTAAACGAATAAATGCCTTTAGATACATCATTTACTGCATCCTGTACTGCTGTAAATCCTACAAGCTTCTAAGAGGCTTTATCTTATTTCATCTTGTATTTTTTAATATGAATACTATTATTCAGTTCTGTCTGACAGCTCATAAATAATGTGCACCAAACTGCAAGTAAAAACACTCCAATGGTGTGAAATGAATATATGTAATTAAATTAGGATGGGTGAACAATCTATTTCAAATATAAACATAATAACAAACAGCAGACGTCACACTTTATTTTTGCAGTGGTTCAACTTTAACTGCTCTAATTTTAGTATTGGTAATATAAAGTTGATTGACTGGAGGTTGTAATTTAACAAGAAGTAAGATATTAAAGGTCAATTAAAAGGTATGTCAGGTTAATAATTTCATCCAGCTCACTGCCCTATCTCTCCTTACAAATGTTTGATTCATTAAAAATAGCCAAGTGCTTAAATCCAGTAAATTTGGCTTCAGCCACTAGAAGCTCTATGTTTGAATAAGTCGTTTTCGGGTTTGATTAAGTTGTAACAGCTTTTATTTTGAAAGAGTGAAAGTGGGCTTAAAGCAAAAGCAGTTCGAGTAAATAAAACTTGATCTGAATTGAAGTCAACTGAATTACTTAGCAGTTATTTTTAGGTTTTTCTACTGCTGGGTCTATGACCTTCTAACAGGGGGCTGATGTGGAACCATCAGTGCAAAGTCAGACCTGGTCTCAGCAGCGAAAAATGAACATTCATCTGTTTCACTAAGCTCAGCTTTCTGATTATGTAACAGTGGTGACGCAGTGAAGGGTTAACCCTGTAAAATGCACTTTAATTTGATTGAAATATATGAAATGAAGTCCTTATCTTATAGGCACACTAATATTACAGCTACAGATTGATACTGATAAATAATAACAGACACAATGCTCTGGGTTACATTACATCTGATAATAAAAATGCTTTTTTTCCCTGTATGTAAAAGGGAATAAAAACAACCACTTAGTGAAGTGTGTGTCCTCTCAGTCAAACTTGACCATACTATAGTTACATAATGTGAGTCATGAAATTAGAGCATTTCATTATGTGTCAAATGCATCCAGGTGAGCTGGTACTCGAGGTTTTTGTTTTTACTTTCCCTGATTAAACCAGAGTAATCCACTGTCTGTCGTAAGGTTGTCAAATATAGCCACTGTGTGGGTGTGTATGTCGCTATGTTTCTGACACTTTGCAGATGGAAAGGATTAGCAGTCAAGCGGCCTGAGCACTATTAGGAGCGAGGAGCGTAAGAGAAAGGGAGAGTCAGAGTGGTTAAATATAGGAGGGATCAGTGGCCACTAAGTGAACCTGCTGGTCATTCATTACAGCTGTCAATCAAACATTCACAAGTCTGCTGTTGAAAGTTGAGGCAGCATCTGACCCTGATGTCACCTCAACACTCCAGCATGTGAACTCATCTTCACCCTTATGTGTTAATGTATTCATAATGCATTAAAAGGCTGGATGTGTACATTACAGTCACTCTTACATAATCATGCACGTCACTGCTATAAAGGCGCTACTGGAACTCAGTAAGGGACAAGTGATGTACATATTGACAGTGAGAGAAACTCCATTCCTCTTTTAACGTGCCTACCTTTAAACTAAACTTGACCACTGACTAATTAAAGTGGGACATTTACATGTTACAACTTGTGATGAAAATGTTCCCTCAGCACTTAACATGCTGTGACATGATCTCCATAAGTATTTTTCAATGCATTATATCTCCAGAATCAAAACAAACCAAGCCTGAAGGTTACATAAGGGTACAAATCAGAGTAACAGAAGTATAAAGTGTGTAACAAGTAAAAAAACATGCAAATGAGCAAAAATCAATTCCGGATTTAGCATCAGAAACAAAATACCTCCAAAAACTTAATACATTCAGAGTCTGTCCATTTTTAGTTTATGAGAAATGTTCCTTTTTGAAGTATAGTGCAAGGGGATATCAATTGTTCTGCATCTGCAACTCTGCAACAGAATCCCAAGGCTGATATTGATGTTTTTGCAAGTACAAAACTCCCTGTCTTGAATAGTTTTTCTCTTAAATCAAATTAAATTGAGTACGATTGTGCAACTAATGACTTCTCAAGGCCGCAGGGGAACACCTCTTTTGGCAAAGCACACGGCAGAAATGTGATGTTTTTAACAGAAGTACCATGTGCTGATCTGAAAGAAGAAGTTTTAGCCTTCTGATGCAGAAAGAAAAAAACTCCCTGCTATTTACCTTTTTTATGTCAAGACTGATTCAAACACAAGCAACCATTTTAAAGACTGAGACAAATCAGCAATAACAAGAAGGATTACATGCCAGCAATGAATTATGAGTACTTACACATGAGCAGCACAGGCAGACAATCGCCAGGGACTCCAGGATACCAGCTGTGCCGACTATCCAGGTAAGTCGCAGAAACAGGATGACCCCCAAAATGTTCTGGAGGCAAGGGAGGTAGACACCCATGAAGGTCCCCATCTGTGGGCTCTGTACAAAGGAAGGAGGATGGAGATGGGTGGAGCACACAGGTCAGAAACACAGCAAAGATAATCAGGAAAAAAAAGAGAATCAAAAGCTGTGATGAATATGAAGAATTTTGTGTTGATGCACACAAAATAAATCTTTCCTGTGAAAAAAAGTGACACAATCTTTTTGCGCTTCTTTCTAAAAAACTGCATTCTTTGAGGAAAACTGTGATTTGAAAACTACCTTACCTTCAAGAGGCACATGCTAGGAATAGAGAAACATTGTCTGATAAACACATAAAACTACAAATCAATTATCCTGGTTGACAGAAAGCTAACATGGAAGTCTGATCCCCCTGGTTTAGACGGTAAAGGGGGGATAGGAGTCAGATGCATTATCTACCAGAAATTGCTGCCTATGGATTTGAGTTGACCAAAGTCGTGGGTATAGAAGTATCTTGTGTACACATGGCATGGCGGGTCTTGGCTTGTTTTAATTTTTTTACACTGGAAAAACAAAAACCTTCAAGAATAAAGTGAGGAACCAGAGCAACTCTCCGGCATGAGCTGACCCTTAGAGAAGAGAGAGGCTGCTGGACTGTGAAAGTTACTGTCCTTAATGCATTTATATAATGGATTGTACAGGTTCAAAAGGTCATGTAGGTAAGCAGAGAAACAGCTTCTTATTAATGTATGCTAAGGAGATTAATCTGGTCTAAAGAAAGAGCAGACTCCGCCAGTCGACTCTGTGACAGTACCAATGTAAACTAAGTTGTTTTGAAGTGTTTGTTACTTTTTCTTTGGGACAGTTTTTCCTCCTTCTTGAGTTATTCCACTATTATGTATGTTAACTGTTAATGAAGGTAGTATGATAACATTTGATAGAAAATGTGCCTTGTGTTCCTGTATCATGTAAACAAAAACACACACACACATATGCAGTATGTAAAGCTATTAAGAAGCTAATAAAAAGATACCTAATAAAAAAAATAAACAACACAATTTTATCTGTAAAATATTACAAAAGATTACAAAGTATACAAAAAAGTTCAGCATGGATACAGAACTCAGAAAAAAATGAAGGTGCCAAAGTTTATATACCCCTCCAAAAAAAACTTCTAAATGAAACAAAAGTGCAGCGTTCTGTTGGTCAGAGACCCTGTTATGTAATGACGGTTCAACAGGTTACAACATTATCTTTTGACATGCACCCGTTTAGAACAGAGCTGTGCCGTAACAGGACAGGGCAGCTCCACCTTTATTAGAGATCTTTTATAAAGCAGGTCTCTCAGTTGTACCTTAACAGCTTTCTTCTTCGGCCCCTCGTCATCGTCTGCCTCCTCATGCTCCTGGGCCCCCTGGGTGAGGTTGGTGTAATTCGCCAGTTTGTTGAGGAGTGATGACACCATGGGGTTGCTGTCCATCTCCTCCTACAATAGAGAGATTATTTTTTAACATGCTGAAATACTCATTTAAAGTTGTCAGCTTTTTAATCAATCAGCTACATATACCGATGACTACATAACATCAAGGTGAAAGATATAAAATATTCCCTCTGGATAAACTTAAAGCTATCACTCATATCTTATTGATTAGATGGTAACTCTCATACCGTATTTAGAATTGATGTAAACTGGGGTCTGTCTGTCTGCACCTCACAACCACCAAATGCTACTGTAAGCTGGGTTCAACTGATGTTCATGTTGCAGGCAGAGAGACGATAATAGATTGAGCTATGACGAGCTACACAGATGCAGACAAACTAATAATTGCTGGACACTGGGACAATGGGTCTTCATACGGGGGCAGAGTTAAAACCCTTTTCCTCCAGGAAGCCCCCCACAACATTGGTGCCTTATATGCCAATGTCACTAGTTCAAATTGAGAGAATTACACAGTTATGCAAAATTTAATTTCCACATATAAAAATCTAACTCTGACTTGTCAACAACAAAATGAACAAATCTCCCCAGCAATAAAATGAACAGTGAAATATTTGGTCGCCTACTCAAAGCATTTCAAAGAGTCAGGACAAGTGAAGCTGCAGGGCCTAAATATGGACCAGAGACCGCAGAGCCGCAGGGTCTGCCAGATGGCAGTGAAAAGCACCTGGCAAGAGCTCAGCTGTACGGACTTGACAAGAACACACCAGCTTAAATGGCAACACACTGTTTGATTTTCACATTGTTAATCTCAGGAAAGTATTTTTTTAGTTCCTGTTTGTTTGGTTCCTACCATGGCTAACCCTAACTTAGCAGCTCACTATGCACTGATGAAAGACTACATCTTCGTCACTGGATCAAATTTGAGTTCTATGTTTACATAAAACACAGTTATACTTGTCGTCTCTGGCTCTTAATTTACTATATTAAAAAATGTCCATTTCACGTCTCTCAGTGCAGTAAAACTACTGTTTCTTCGTCTAAAGAGGCATGTTTAACAGAGAAAAAACTGCTAGTAGGTTACCTCAAAAAGGGCCATGTTGGTGCCATCGTAGCTGTTGCCTTTGTCGTTGTCTGTGTTGTTGATAAAGGGACTGTTTTCTTTTGGGACGCCATCACCTGTGGAGACACAGACAGTCAATAATATTGCGTGAGCTCAACAAAGCAAAGAAACTCCACTATCTCTACTGACAGCCATAATTGCATACATTTGTTTATGTATGATTTTAGAGCTCTAATACAAATATCCAATATCAGATATTATTTTCATTCATTTAATGCTGGAGAGAGCAAATTTATCCTTGAGAAAACCTAAAACAGCAAAATATGACATTCTGTACAAGAAAAAATAAAGTGGCACCAGTGTTGTCCTTTGATGATCCAAATGTAAATTACAATGTGTCTTTGAGCTTGCAGGAGTGGATCTGCTATCACATGGGGAGTCTGAACAGGACCTCCTCAAGCTTTCATCAGGTTCAAGATCAATAAAAACACACAAGCAATCAAAAGAGGATCAAGTGCTTTAAAACCAATATGATCGAGAGGAAAAAGTCTGGACTGTACCCAATCCTGATCCATTAAATTGGTGCACAAAGTTCTGTTTGTGACCAGTAAATTTTGCACAAATACAGAAAGCTGTAAAATAAGCTTGTAGTTCCAGTCAACCAATGATTAACCACCATGAAAGTGGAAGTGTTCGGCCCTGAAGCCAGTCTGGGGTTTGTGCTGTGCACTCATGTACATCATGAGTTTCAGATTTTTATTCACTCTTCATTATGAAACATGTTGAGAACCTCCATCATTATCATTAATGATTACAACCTCCATTCTAAATATAACTTAGTTCTATATAGAGCTGGGCGATAAACTGAAGAATTACTGATACCGAAATTTACAACAATAACCAACGTCATTTTGCCCATGTCAAAATATTTAGTGTCAATAAAATAAATAAATAAAAGTTGGTTTTGGATGTGTGTAGGTAAGCTATGGTCTCATATCCCTTTTAAGGCTCTGTCCTACGTCAGGGTCATGACTCCACCCCATCAAGTCTATAAAAAAGAGGGAAAGACAGGTGAGGAGATGGAGGGCGGTTCAAAAGTTGTAGTGGCTGGAGCGGTGCCTGAAGTAGACGAAGTTAATGTGGGAGGGGATGAGCAGCTTGTGGAGTAGTTATCATCCATTTATTGTTATCGTGGTGAACTGCTCAATATATTGTGATATTGATTTGAGGCCATATCGCCCAGCCCTAATACACAATATAACATCTAAAAATAATGTCTTTTACTGCTCCAGTATTGTAGAGAATAGTTTAGTGAAGCCAAACTCAGGGTTTAACTACTGTAAAGATATATGCAATGTGATCCAAATTTTTTTACGCTCACACATGGTACAAAGTACGTGGTGTCCACTTGCTCCACTTCACCGACCACTTCAGAGCTCACACTGCTCTTCTACATCACACACAGAAACCGAGCCATCTTCAGAGGCAACATTCTGGCACCAAACTGTGAACCACTTCATATCTTTACTGCTGAGGCCGCCAGCCCACCCAGAAACACACTGAGCAAATGTTTTGACTGAGCACACAGCTGAGAGAGTGGAGGTTAAGATAGCTGACATGCTACAGTTGAGTCTGAGCACAAGCTAGGAAGAGCTACAGAAAAATGTGCAAATGATCTATGTGAGCGTGAGAGTGCTGCTCTTTTCTCCATTCAATCCAGAATAAAACACGCTTCTCTCAATGAAATCCTTATGCAATGATATCATATTCCTCAGATTAAGAGCTCAAATAAATAGAATAGAAAATCAATTTATTAACATCTAGGTTAAACAGATCTATGATCTAATTCACTTTGATGGCTTTACATAAGTCAAAAATTACTATGATTTCAGGTTTTCTCAAAGCCGTGATTCTGAGAAAGAAGCAGTGATACAGATTTATAGATTTAAGTTTTAAACAGGTTATCATTACTTTTGAGTTAGTTAAACCTGAACCAAACAAGCACAAAGACAAGCATGAAGTCCAAACACAACCCTGCTGTGCTTACTACAGATCTAATACTAATCAATGAAATTTATAAAGGAAATGCCCAGTTTGTCAATAATGTGATGTGTACCATGTGACAGTTAAGAGAATCAACAAAACTTTATCAAGCTCAAAATGCTGCTCATAAATTGTGTCTAAGCTACAACACAGCCGCCATCTGCCACTAGCCAACACTGTAGCTACAAATAATGGCTAAAGCCACACTACGACTTTCCACTACCTGGATGTGAACAGGCAGAGATAACAGCTGGCATCTCATAGTGTGGCACAGTTACGCCTGGTTCACACTGGAAGCGCCGCGCACAGAGTTTCAGATCGGCGCCCATGTTAACCTTTGAGACTGTTCACACAGCTCGCGCGCGGAAGCGCCGCGCGCGGAACGGCTCGCGCTCTGGAGCGCGGCTGCCCCGCTTCTCTCTATTTTCGGCGCGAGCCGCGCGCGCCGTTGTAAAGCTCAGCAGAGCAGATCGGACCAGACAGGAAGTCAGGAAGGAGATGCGAGAGAATCCGGTCAATTTTCAAAATAAAGTAAATTTCAATAAATTAGAAAAGGATTTACGGTGTTGCTTGTCGGTCTATTTTTTTACCGATGAACACACACACACACACACACACACACACACACACACACACACACACACACACACACACACACACAAACACACACACACACGGAGGGAGAGCTGCAGAGATTCAGTGACGTTATTGAGACAAAGGAGGGGGGCTTTATTACGATACAGTCAATAGCCTCGAGCTAACAAGGCTATACATACAACGGAGTCAACAGACTCCCCAATTCATTCGTTGTTTACCCCTATATAATATTTTAAAACAATACTTGAAGATGCTGCCAATATTTTATTTATGTATGACGAAATAAAAACGTAAATGAATATTGATTTACCCATTTTTAAAGCGCTCGTAAGTGGGGAAAACTGAGGGCAGACGGAAACGGCCGAGCACTGCCGGGCTCAGTCGATGTCTGACCGGCGTGTCAGAGCGCAGCAGAAAGCGCTTTCTGTGTGAACAGCCAAGCGCGAGCCGGCGCTGCGCGCGCGCGCGGCGCTTCCGTTCCGCGCGCGGCGCTTCCTGTGTGAACCAGGCGCTTCCTGTGTGAACCAGGCAAGATAGAAGATAAAGTTCTCTGTAAGCTGTGTCTGGTCAAAGTATTCATGCAAATTCCCACTCTAATGGAGCTATGTGAAAGCAGCATGGACATGTGGATGTTAACCTGCTAGCTGAACTAAAAGTTGTGATGCCAGCTCTTTGAACATTACCCACACTCAGTAAACCATTTGACATGACACCCACAGATGTAGTCAGTGTTTAGCTGTGTTCAATACATTCTGACTGTTTTGCAGGAGATTTTATAACTTTAAACTGATCAGTTAGTTTTGAAAATTTCAGTTTTATCGACTTCTTGATTGATTGCTTTGGAAGCGTCTCTAATTCTATGTTAATGTTAATGATGGAGAAATCATAATTTAACATACTGGTTCATCTCCAGTATCGACCGTGAGGAAAGGAAATATAATAGACATGCTCCTATAGGGCGATTGCTCAATAAATGAATTCCAGGCAATAAGACTTTACTATTAAACACATGCAGATGGGATGTGTTACAATACATTGCTTGATCTCTGATCTTCAAATATTAACTTTCTATATGCATTACTGTGTTCATGATCAGGTTTATTACTTTTGTTTGAATAAAAAAACAGAACTTCTAGAAAGTACTTGACATTTAGGGGGACCGTTTTTATCATGTGTGGTTTCAGCTGCCTAAACGTCTTACTTGCTTCTGAAATGTGAGGGTTTGCTGCCCATATCTGTTGTTTTAATGTAGGCAAATAAAGCGTTTGGGTGTTTGTGGGTCAGAAACTGATTGTTTGGTTTCACTCTGGGCTTTTTAAATTTTGAAGAGTATTTCTGTCAATGTGAACCAAAACACTAAATAATAAATATATCAACAAAACATAACTGAGTTGCAGCGTAATAGTTAAAATACACAGCCACTTGCACCACTTTTATTGTTTGCATGTTTTCGAGTCTATTGTTGATCATGACCTTTCATTCATCAGTGGAGCTGTCCACTGTGAACTCTGGCCACTGAGGGGATCATGGGTAACTTTTACTGCTTGATCCAGCTGCAGAGGGAATAAGAGGCTTGCGGCGTGGCTTAGCCCGGTGGTAATCACAGGGAAAGTCACTATGTCCTTGTGCTGTGAAGCTCTTTAAAACACAGTCTGACTGGGATAGAGGACCACATAATAAGAGGGCGCAGTGTTTCTATAAGCTGGGATAACAGGGAATTAATTCCAATATAGAGACTATTGTAGTGGGAGGATGCAGTCAAGAGTGAATATATCCTGTCAGTCATTGTGTAGCTAGGTAGGATGCTACACACTACAGTTAATCATTGTCTTAAATGACACTGGCTAAATCCTCTTTGAGACCCAGGGGCAGGCTAAAACTGGCAGGACTGTTTCCAAATCAGGTGTGGTTGGAGCTTGGAGAAAGTGCCCTCGTCAATCAGGCGGTGAGTAGAATCACTGAGAACAATTAAGGGGTAATGGATTTATTACACCTGCAACAACAAGACCAATATGTTCTGACACTGTGGCTGAAAATTACAACTACTATGAGGTTATAACAATTAAAAAAAATAAAAAATAAAAAAAAAAAGTACTTTTTGAGCCCAATGGTGATTCACTAACCAGCATTTATCAAATTCTCAAAGAGTGGAGGGCAAACTTTTTGTTTTCTATGTAAGTTTTTTTTTGTCTTAATTTAGACACAGAATGGTGAATGTCAGAGAAAACTGAGTAGAAATGGTAAGAGATTTAATGGGGTAAAGGCCAGCAGCAGAAGCTGAACCCAGGCTGTCAGCTTTGAATACTGAAGCCTCTCTACTTCATGAGCCTGATTGAACACCTAAGCTGGACCAGCCACCCAAAAACAAAGCTAGAAATGAACTCCAAATAAGCAGCAAATTTAGAAGAATTACACATTTGAAATCCTCCCCCCAAACAAACATCATTTCGACAGTCTGAAATCCAGAGTATCATCATCATCCCCTTAAGCTAAAAACAAAACAAACAGCAGATGTGTGCCAACAAATTTTGCTCCCACCTCCATTTAATCAAATCCCCCACTGACCTGAAGTTGCACTCACACATCAAAATCCCAAAGTAGGCAAAGGTGCCAGATGCTATGAATCCTCCCAATGGAACCAAAACACTACAAATACTGCAGCCATGGCTAAAGATTGTACACTCAGGAATGACTACATATTCAAAGAGCATCAGGGAGTGTTGCAGGAGATGAAAATGAGGTTTGTCTGCAGATCATCCAGTCAGTCACTAGTAAAAGTAAAAAAAAAACTGTGTGTTTATTGGTGTGTTACAGTGTGCTGCAGTGAACGGTCCTCAGGGACGTGCTCTAGATTCATGTACAGTTACAGTAGAAAATATTATGGCCTAGTTAGCAGATGTAAGTCTTTGTGTACTTCTCACATGTTGGACTAATTCACTCTGTTTCCTGGAAATTCTGTGACAAATTACGACCTATAAATATCTGGGCATCTTCTCATGGGACAACACAAAAGTGCAGGAGGACTGAGTGACCTTCAGTCGAACATCCTTGAATCACCTGCTCAGGTATCCGTACACAGTGACAAAGCAAATCACTCAATGATAAAAGATTCAGTTTAAGCTAGATAGCAGTTTGTATGTTGGGTGAAGGGTTGGTATTTTGGCATTTATATCAGAAAAAGCTTAAAAAAAATGTCTTCAACCAAGTCCAGCTCTGCTCCCCTGGGAAAAAACCAGCACAGCTATGATGACTGATCACAAACTGAAAATAACGAGGGGCTGATCTTTGACATTATTACCCATAGTGCATTGCACAAACTCCTAACATCAGCTTTTCTCATGTTGGTCCAAGAATACTGAAATTGCACGGCACACACTTACTTCTCCATAATAAGCAAATGATGTAAATGTTGGGAAACGTACATCTGGTCCTCAGGGGAGAACCAAAGAGGAGGAGAGAAACATTCGAGATGGAACTGGTCAATGAAGCTCTCAAGGGCATGTTATTTTTAAAGAATGTTCATTGAAAACATAAGTACCCTGTGAGAAATGGTTTTAGAAAAGACACCCACGTGAATAACTGATTCTACACTCAGGCTAAAGATTCTTTCTTCAAATAAACAATACTGTACTGACAATAAAGGAATACTCTGTTATTTTTTTGTGTTCAAACCAAAAGTAAAACAACATTTACCTGTTTAGATAATGATATCTCTTAAAAAGAAATCAAGCAATTTTGCCAACATAATATCTTGATTTTAACAGATTTTCCTGATATTAACTAACATTTTAAGTTCTGTATCCCAGTGCCACTGTAAATCTGGTGCAGTCTGGCTTACTATGTCCCTATGAACGAGGGCTGTCTCGCTACAATCTTTTTACTTCATGATAATCCTGGCCAAAAAAAAAACTGCCTATGATGACTTTGTCATGATATTTACAGAAAAATAACAACCAAGAAAAAAGAGACACTATCAAATCCAACTTGCATCTCCTCAAGATAATTTTAACTGCATGAGCATACACACACTGCAATAAAGGTAAGCCAGCTCACTGGTTACTAAGTTGTCTTCTTCTGTCGCTGCTGCTTCTCCTTTGTCCTCCTATTGTTTTATGACAGTGGCTTCCAGCATAAAGAGCTACTTCAACCTCCTTCATTGAACAATTCAGTTACACTGTGGTGCTAAACTCCTATTTTTTGCACTGTATCTATCACCTTTTTTTGTGATTTGCAAATAGTGGATTGAATGTTTCACGTTAACAACATCATAGAGACTTGGGGAACAAGCAAGAGCTTGAAAACTCCAACTTTTTAAATTTGCATTTATTAATCAGATATTACTTTGTAACGACTAATGCATCCCATATTCTAGCACTGGTTGACTTTAGTGACAATCAGCTACACGCCTATTTGTTTCAAGTTAAATAGTATAAAGTTAACTGTGAAAACTTAACATAATAAGTCAGTTTTGGTCTGAGCACACCCTGAGACCAATGGTTGTAATCATCAGTCACTTTTAGGAAACCACACCTCATTTTTTTTTTTTTTCTACTTTGTTACAGAAAAAAATCAACTGAACCAGGAGCATGTTAGCCTGAAAACCTTGTCAACAGTTTTAGAATCATTCCATTTTTGTTTTGTTGTTGTTTTTTACCTTGAGCCAAATAACCAGCAGACACAAGATGTCAGGAGGCTGAGAATTAGCTGCCAGCTTATTTATAGCCTCTCAGTCAGTATTTAGATCCGGACTACATCTGCATCCTTCATTTACTGAGTTCAAACTACAATGGACAATACTCGCTCTATCTCTCTCTCTCTTCAGTGGCATGTATCCAGTGTTAAGGGGCTGTGGACTGAGCTGTATAATCATGGGAGAGCAAAGTTTAACTGTAAACCAGAACTTTAAATCTTTTTCTCTGCTAGGATAAATTAATCAATTAATTAACAGCAATTTAATTAAACCTTACTTACTAAGAACAGACTGAATACTGAATCCAGCTGACTCAATTTCTCTCAGCAACTTATAAAAAGGGACCCAAGGAGAGGGGTGAGACTGTTTTGTGTAACTGGTGATGGGTGGATGCAACTGTATTCGATGGTGAGAACACGACATGCCCAAGTCTGCGTGTGTGAGTGCTTAGATGTGTGTACGAGTGCTACTAGTACAGGTGGCGTGCAGAACGTCCTTGGGTTAAGCCTCATTAACCCCCTAAAACATGACTTTGCCAGAGGCTTCGTAGAATGAGAGAGGCAAAGACCATGGACAAATTTGTAGAGATTAAACCCTCTGGTAAAACACCCAAACACTTCTTAGAGTGGTGCAACTCTAATGTGTGAAACTGAGACCTGGACTTGGTTTTGCTACTCAAAATAGTCATAAGAGAACACCTTTACCTGCAAACATGGTAAGTTCAGAGTAATTCGATTTTGAGGTTTTGATTGGAGGCTTTATATTTGTAACACTTTCCTTCAGTCAATAAATGAACCTTGGAACCAACATCTTTTCTAACCCATTGTTAATCAACACATGAGCACTTCTTATTGTGCTAAATAGGCACTGTCTGCAAGTGAGATGACAACTTGTTTTTAACACAATAATAGGTAAATAATGTGTCAATAATGATTTTTTTTTAATGAGCCTATTAACTCTTGACAAGCCAAATTAAGAATTTTTTTAGTTTTTGTTCACATTGTGGTTGTCCCTGTGCTCTTCAGCTTGGGTACATATGAAGGGTGATTTACTGAGCAGTCCAGATGTGTGATCCCAGAAGAATACAGAAAAGTCTGTATTGTATTTGTTCAATTGCCAGACTTTTACTCCTGTTGTTTAACTGATAAACAAATAAAGAAACACCTCACTACAAACTAGTTTGACTACCATCATCTGTTAACTTTGACTGCAAAGCACAAAAAAGCAGCAAGGCCACTTCTGGATCAGTACTTAACTGACCTCCCTTTACAAACTCAATTATCCATGAAAGATGCACCGGATATTGAATAAAAATATGCATCAAGTAGTTTGACACAACCTACATATATTAAAGCTTATTTTAATGATAGTAAAAGTATTTTACTCAAGCACTCTACCTTTAATTAACTGTATCATTTGTGCTAGGAAAGGCATGATTTTTTAAACCTAAAAGAGCAAGTTAGGCTTTAAATAAATGCACAAAATAAAATGTCAAAGCTGCAGCTCTGAACAAACTAACTTGCACTGTCTCCTCTATTACACTGCAAGGCAAATGCACAAGAAAACAATTGGATGCAGCCCTATAGTGTTTCCCAGATGTTGACAATGCCTGGATGGGCTGATCACTTATTTTGATATTTGCCATTTTTATTTTTATTTTTTATTAATAAAGAAAATTATAGTGCAGATTCTTATTTGCATCTCATTGTTTGCAGCACGGTACACATGATCTGCTGCAGATGTTTTTAGAGAGGGACAGTATGTCTTTTTTAATGATAAAGGAGCAACATCTCATCATCAACAAGCTTTGTCCACATGATAGGTACCTGTTATGCCTTCATAATATCATGTGAAACATTGTTGAACACGAGGTTGTGTTTTGGGCATCTCAACAAAATGTATTACTGATGACTACTTTCAAAAGATCAGACACTCATAGATGACAGGAAAGATGGAGGCTAGGTGGATAATTCTGGAGTGTTTATAGACAAGGGAAAGGTAAAGGTGTACCTTATTTATGTGATGGGGAAAGTTCATAAACTAAAAAGTTAGTTTTTGAATGTAAAGAAAGATCTTGTGGAGGAGAAAGCACTATGACATAACCTTTACAGAAGATAATGCATTCCAGTATTTTTAATTGTCCTTTCCCAGTAGCCGTCCATTGTCACAGGTATGTCGTCATTCTGTGGGAAACACTGCATGATATTTGTAGTCCTAATAAAATGATTGGATGGTATTATTTCAGGTCTCAGTAAGGTTTGTTTTTCTTTACTATTTTTAAATCAGAACATTTTATTTGTAAGTGATGTTAATTCAAAGAGAATCCCTACCAATGTAGTTGTCTCTCCTGGATTTTGTGATACAATCAATTATAGTGAACTCCAGCAAAAGACGCCCATAGTTTACAAACTCTAAATAAGTAAGCATGGTTCAAACTGTGACAACTTTTGGTCAAAGTCATGGTGTAGCATCAGGACAGAGCTGTTACAAGTGCAGATGGTTGTGAAAATCCTGGCTGCTGACACATGTTTGACCGCCCTTTATGACTGAAGGTTTAAGAGCATCACAGTCAGGGATGTTACATAAGAGAGTGGGATTCCCTGACCCCCGCACAACATCCTGCAAACTGTCTCAAAATAATTCGCCACGACAGATGTCAGTCTGACATTTGACGTCAATAAAGGACTAAATGTCACTTTTTTTTTCACTAATATTTTGCACTATCCGTTTTTTAAGTCCTGTGTGTTTGCGATTACACCGCTAGCCTGCAGGAGACGGACACAAGCTCAGGCTCAAGTCAGCACTCATCAGCACTCTGCTCATTGATTGGTACAGAGCCACCAGCAGGTACAGGTACATTAAGGATGTGCTAATGGTTCGGCTCAGCCTCTCTGGTCACTGTGGTAATAAATGACCATGCATCCTATTTATAACCGTTAAGCTGCACTCGGTGACGACGCTGTAAGCTGCCTAGCACTACCGGAGTTAGCTCATGGCTCACTGTACCAAGAAAAAAAAAAAGAGAAACAGGGAGCAGAAGGGAAAGCGCATGCCAAAAAATCAGTTCTTTTTGCTGAAGGTTAGAGTAAAACGAAACACAGGAGAAGTAAACAAAACAAACTTACACCCTTAATGCACTTTATCCAACAGTCTGACAACAATCAACCAACTCTGCATGCATTTTAGAGCACATTTCTAAACGATAATGATCAGACAGGCAGCCATACTTTTGCCCTGTCACCTTTATGATACAAGGTTTTGGTCAAAGGCATCATGACTTTTAACACTCGCTAACAACAGACCACCACAGAGCTGTTTGCCATAAAGCCATGGCATCACTTCTAAAAGATAAACAAAGATAGGAGACACAACCAGCAAACTCCTCCCACTGACTCGTCTTTGCTAGAACGATTAACTTTGAGAAGAACCATAACACAAGGTAAACTAAATTTAATTCAAGTGCACCAGGTAGCTTGTAAATCACGTAAGCAACCGTCAATTTAGAAAACAAAAATCTAAGAGCATAAAAAAAAAAGAAAAAAAAAAAAGGTACGCCTCTGTTAATGAGCTCCAGGTAAGTGATGCCAGTATTTTAGTTACGAAAAGCTTACCCTTCCGCCGAGAGCCTCTCCTCTGCTCCATCCTGAGGAGTGGGGCAAAAAAAGGGGGTGGAAGGGAGGGGGGTCCTAGTAGTGGTCCCTGAGGAGCTCCAGTAATGGGGGTCCAAAGTATACAGACACAGCCAGTGAGGTGCAGAAGTCAGGAATGCTGCCTGCGCTGCGTGGATAATGTGAGGATCAGCTATTTCTGTGACAGCGTGTGTGTGTGTGTGTGTGTGGGTGTGTGTATGTGTGTGTGTAAAAAAAGTGGCCTGTGACGACGATGTCAGCGACATCAGTCATGCATCACAAAGCACCCTCCCACCCTGCCGCCGTCAACTCTTCATGCACTAAACACACATACACACACACACGTCTCCCTTTCCTCAGTCGTCCTGATCTTCTGATCCCTGCTGGACACTCATGCGCATGCATGTTTGAAAATACACACACACACTTAGACACACAAAGGGGGAGGAGCAAAGTAAGCAGAAAGCAGTAGTAAAACAGACAGCTCCTGCTGTAGGGGTATGGAATAATGAATAGCTTGATGTACACACAGAGGTACAACAAACAAGAGAGATGAGACAGTGAGAGAGCTCATAAGAAGTAAAAGTGTCAAAAGAAATGTACTTCTCTTTAGTCTGGAGGACATTCATCTGCTTTAGGCACAGGGAAAGCAAACATTGTCCATCTGAAGTAAAAGCTGGGCAGTATATCATTTTGAATCAATGAGTGTTTGCAGTTTTGAACTGCAGGTCCTGCCTGAGTGAGTAGTTCCATTTCCAATCTGACCTCCTGACTGACCTCCAGGGTGTTATAGGTAAGGATGGTCAATCAATCGGCAGACCTCAGAGAGCACAAAGCACAGCACCAAAAGGACGGCACATTGAATTATATCTGAGACTATCATTGAAACAATGCAATCCCAGCTATCCTAAAAGAAGTTTTAATGTAAACAAACAAGAAATGTCATTTGGATAATGATAAAACCTACACAGAAAGCTAAAAGTCCTTTTTTAAAAATTTATCATCAATTCCCAAGAGGTCATCAAAGTAAATGTTTGGCCTCAGGTTTTGTCCAACGCATGAATTTATCAATTTTTCTATGCACACAGAAGCTCCTGTTTTCTCTGACATGCAAGCTGCTATTTAGTGTATGCACACGGGCTGTTACAGTCAACACACTAACCATGATGTGATGAAGGTCCGAATAAAAAAAAAAAATGGATTCCTCATATTTTGTCGGCGCACCAAAATAAAAACATCACTGCGTTTTTGAATGGTGCATTTTATGGTATAAGACTCCCAGCAGTTCAGTCGCCAATCAAAAGTAAAATGCACTGAATCAAACTCATAGAAAATACTAAGGAATTACTCTGCCTGTGAGCTGCCATTTATGAGTTAACAACAGAGGTGCTGCTAATCCAACTGATGACCGCAGGTAACCATATCACCAAAAGCTGACAGGGCACCGTTTGGAGTGTGTGAATCACCACAGACCTCTAGGATCTAAAAGACATCCTCAGGTCAGCACGCTGTGACCTGTTATATGCCCTCAGTTGTGGAGAATGAATGAATGAATGAATGCTTTTTGCTTCACAGAAAAAAAATGCAATATCCTGACTTAACACACAAGACAACAAGAGTATTAGTTATAGGCATTAAGGATCAAACCTGTATAAAAAAACAAAACAAAACAAATAAAATAAAATCAATAAAAACTGGAACGCCTGTAAAATAGTCATGCTGTCATTAAGCAGGGATCACTTGACATCACTGAATCATTGAAATTAACTGCACACTATATTCACACTACAATGGTTTATCTGAGACGCATTTTGTAAAGTCAGTCTGTCAAAACTTGGCTCCTGCATTGCTTTGTAAACAGCAAGGACACTTGAAAGAAATACAAAGATTTAGAGGGTTTTCTTCAAAATGGACAAAGATCTTCAAATTTATTTTTAAGGCTTAGCCTGATATGTAACAATGACCCAACATGTAACAATGACCTGATATGTAACAATGACCCAATATGTAACATTGACCCAATACGTAACAATGACCTGAAATGTAATTTTTTAAAAATGAGCAATGAGCTGTATGCTATCTACACATCACATTGACATGTGCCGCCATGATTTATCCATGAAGGCAGCACACAAACTGAAAGTTCCTTTAATTTATTGTAAAAATTTCAAGTGTATAAATACTCTTATTTTGTATAAACTTATTGAGTAAATGAACGAAAAGCTATGTATGTCACAATTTCTAAATTTAAAGGTTCCTTGTTATGTTGTTGTTTATATCAAACACTCAAGTTGAGTTTAAGAACAACTTTTGTATCCTCTTAAAAAAATGGTTACATGTATCATACAGACAGACCTGACAGACGCATTCCCAGTCTTGCCCCAGTCTTTACCTTAAGGTCTGAACCTCTACCGTCTACCTTTGTCTTGGCTCTTGGTAATCTGTCCGTCTACAAGCATGTGAAGTGGGCACTAATCACTTAACCAGATCAAGCTAATCCTGAACTTTTTATAAAACACACAGGAGCTCGCTCTCGGCTGCAGTCTTCTGTCCGTCCACTGGTTTGTGGTTAGTCAGGTGAGCTGCCTTCGAAAGAGGCAAACTGGCAGGTGTTCAGAAGAGACAGGTAAAGTGTGGCTCGGGAGCCGCCTATGTGTGAAGTCTGTCATCACTGGGCTGCAGTAGTAATCACGACTCACTGTGGAGATAAACTTTTTTGAGAATATCGAGAGCATCCAGAGGGAAACACAAAAAACTTTACATTTAATCTGTTGAAAAACATGCTGAATTAAAACCTTGTAATGTTCACTCAGCTTTCAGCCGCCATGTTAAGACACAACTGAACATCAGCCGTCATCATCATTAGATTGACAGATGTGTCAAGGCAGAGCTTAAAGGGGGGCTATCAAATCACACGGTAAGAAGGATTTAGGAGTATCAAGCCCCACTTGGTTTGATGTCAGATGGATACTGTTAGAGTTATCTTGTGTGTGTATATGTGTGTGTGCACAAGTGTCTGTGTGTTGCACTTTATTATGTCCTAAGCCTTTAAACCCTTCAGGTAAACAACACTGATGGTTATGCAACACACAGAGTATGGGCAGGGGAGGCAGAGGACACAGAGAGAGGAGGGGGGTATATTGACAGTGTGTAGTAGTGTCCATAAAGGTTTGAAGGTTTATAAGGTACAAAACATCAATCCTATAAAATAAGGCAAACTGTTTCTTCATTGATTCCACATCAGTTGTGTAAATCTAAAAGAAAGGTGCTAATGTGAAAAATGCTCAAGTGTTTCAGAAAAAAGGAGAGATTATGGTTGATCCTGGACTGGTGGGATCAATGTTACTTAGTGCCGCTTACTACCGAGTCCTTATGCCCATATGTAAACACTTACCATGAGATGGGTTAGAAAAGAGTACATTAATAAATGCTGCACAGAATGAGTTCCTGTTCATAAAAGAGGCTTCACAAGCATGACTGAATCTTCACCAAGAAAGCTTTCCTGTTTTCAAGCAGAAAGGGACATTCAAAAAACACCTTTACAGGACAAGACAAAAAAATGTTACCAGGCAAGAACAGACAACAAGCTATTGTATGTAATGTCTATGAGTCCTCCACAAGATCAACAACTAGAATACTATTGAGTATATAATTGAGGCTCTTGAAATAAACCTGTTTCACAAAGTGAAGTCAGATTACTCTTCATTTCCTCATCAGTTATTATGATACCTGTTTCAGAAAAGTAGGTGGCCTCAAGGTCTCATGATTTGGCTCATTAGTTCCCACCTGTCATTTGTTTAAAGGAGACTGATGTGGGGTGAGGCGGTGAATGACCACAAAACTGTAGCCACAAAACCAGGATTGCCTGTGGGACACTAAACAAAGTGACTATATGTGACTAACAGTAAGATTGTTGTTTTGATTATGACGGGTGTATGATAATTTTCCCAAAAATACAATAATTTTAAGTCTCTGGTATGATAATTCTCTATTTCCCATCTGGCAACAGTGGTATTTCTTGACCCATTACTGGCTTTGTATTGGGTGGCATCAAAGGAGAAGTGAAACTTACAGTATCTGACATGCATATGTTCCTTTAATATCAAAAGTTAAATGTCTTTAGCAGTAAAAGAGTATCTGAGCCCTTCTATTTGTTTCTAAATGTTGACCTCAATGTAAAGTTCAAATCAGCCACAGTCATGTGAGGACAACAATGAAATCATGTGACATCCCAAAGGAAGGCAAAGCTACTTTCTGATGACCTAAGGCAGTTGGCACAGCAGCCGCACAGACACATGCACCAACACACACACAAACACACACACACAGATAAGTAAGTCATCCTTTCTCCAGATGGTGTCACTATTTTACAGTTTGATGGCAACACTGCACACACAAATACAGACAAATCCCTGTTTGTCATGCTCAAACTTTCTATATCTGAGATGTGATTGACGTGAAATATTTGAGGATTTCATCTCCAATAAAAGCAGAGCCCTCTCTAACCCTTCAATAATAAGTCACAAGGTCTCGGGTGAAAATTTAGAGGGATATGATAGGCTCTCAGAGCCAGATGTTGGATGCTTTACCAGATGTTCATGGTATTACCAACATCTGGTCAAGGGAATACGAGTAACCCTGTTAAATACAGGAGATAGGGAAAGGTATTCATTACCAGAGAAGAAAAAGGGTAATTCAGGTAACCTTGTCATTTAAAAAAAAAAAAAAACTGTTCCTTAACAGCAACTTCTTCCTCTGAAAATCTTCTCTCTTAAAAGCTAACCAGTGCAGATTGCCCAAGTGTAGTCCAAGTTGCACTGGTTAGCATTTTTAGCACAATCCATAAACTAGTGTGATCTCCTCATGCTCTCTGGTCCTGGCTTTCTGTAAGCAGCCATTAATACGCTCAGTAGGTGATTAGAGAGAGAGAGATGTCCTTGCATTTGTCCCTTCTTTTAACACACCGGTTGGGGTGTGATACCCATAAATAAATCTGTATTTTAAAAAATAGCTTTTCTGAGATTGTTGTTTACATAATTTTGTGTTGCAGTTTCATGTTGGAGTGATTTTGTGTTATTCCAGTATCAGATCATTTCAGTACATTATGACATCCACATCAAGCCTCCACACACCTTGTAACAACAAGCAAAAAAATGAAAAGTTATGTTTGAAAATAAGAATCTTTTCATTATTGGCTTTTGCACAATTTACAGTTTAATGTTGGCTCTGAATTATTTGCATTTCATTAAATTACATTTTCTATCAACAATTGACATAGCGCTCTTACTCTTAGGGAGTAGTAATTGATGACTGTGATTTCACAGTGTGGTTTTGCACAAGGATCAACCATTTGACTTGATTTCTCCTCTATTTTACAGCTTCTTGTGTCGGTAGTTTGATTAATTTAAGTCGTTACTCATTATTAGCTTAAAGAGATATTCCGGCGTAAATTTAAGCAGATCATTTCCTTGAAGTAATAACCATCATTATAATTATTTTGCACTGCAGACGCAGTAGTTCTTCTGCCTTAGCACCTCGGTCTGATTGCATTTCCATGAAGTAACAATCATAAATGTTCTTCCTTGAGCTGTGAAACTCCACTGTACTGAGATCGACTCGTCAGGGCTCCCCCCAAAAACAGGCGGCTGCTGGAGGAGAGTGGGTGAGTTGTGTTTGGTCTCTTTGCTACAGAAACCAGGCAAAGCTAAAAGGTGTTTGGTGGCTAGTGCTACGGCTAGGACCCTATATGTACTGTTGATGAAGATAGGTGCTGTTCTGAGCATTATTTGTGGCTATAGAGTGGCTATTTGTTTGAGGTTTGCACGTGGAGACATAGACCACTGTGCAGTCATGACTAAAGTTGGTACAACTAGAGAAGCAAGCAGTCGGCAACATTCATCTCTCGAGGGGGTGTCTAACTCCGTGTTACAGTATGTTTGACCAGAACTTAAATTTAGGCCGGAATATCCCTTTAAGTCTTGTCATCAACTTTATCACCATTGTTATAAAGAGTGCCAAAACTAGGCCAGGAAATGACTTGTGGTCAGAGGTTGGTAGTACACAATTTAGTAGTGTCAGCATTTTCTTTTTACATTTGGCAACTCATGACAGTAACTTTCATGCTACTAAATAGAATAACTTTAACCAACAAATGAGATTGCAACAAGTCTGAAAAGAAAAAGCCTTCCCTCTAAAGTGTAAGATTTAATGTTGTTCTAAAATATAGAAGTTGTTGCAAATCAGTGAGTGGTCCTCACCTCCTTAAAATCGCTTCCAAAAAACCCATTAGGAAGTGAAGGAGTGTGCTGTTTTGCCTACAGCAGTGTCACCATTCATTTGATAATGGAAATGTGGGCACGTCAATATCATTGACTCAACACTTAGCTGAGGAGAGTACTACTAACAGCTAATAGCTATTGTTTCTGACCACATCCAAGGGTGTGGACATTAAATAGCCATAAAACAGTAGCCTCATCCTAACCAGACTTTTACCAAAGAGCTGTGTTAATCCCGGTAATTGGTTTGTTTGTGATCGTAACAGGAACGTCACTCCATGTCAAAACCACACTGAGTGGATTTGGAGTGGGGTTTTATTGTGCAATAGTCTTAAAAGTGAAGTTCAAGAGCAAGATAAGGAGAATTTCTTCATATGTGGAAATGTTAAAGCTCAGTGTTATGTTATGATCATTTTTAGAAAGACAAGAAAACTGGAGGAATGTACTATGTCTGTTAAGTCTTTGACAATAAACAAAAGGTACATGAACCCTGATGGCCTTACGCAGATATAAGTAAGAGACTGATGCTAAAAAAAGAGGAAGCCATAGAGTGGTGGGTGTGTGTATCTCAGATAACATATTGAGGACAACGAATCAATGAGGAGGAGCACACTGAACAGAAAACAGGAAGCAGCAGCTGTCAGGCAAGAAAGGAGTCTAACTTCTTTAGTCAGGAGGTATGAAAACTTATCTTTCCCCAACAGCTCAGAACGGTTCTCAACCTTTCAGCTTTATAATCCATTCTTCATGTAAAAATACAAAATATATGCATATATATATATATACATACATACATACATACATACATATATACACATACATGCATATATAAATACATGTATATATTTAAAAATATATATACATATACAAATATACATATATATATATACACATATATATATTTACAAATATATATACATATACACTCACCGGCCACTTTATTAGGTACACCATGCTAGTAACGGGTTGGACCCCCTTTTGCCTTCAGAACTGCCTCAATTCTTCGTGGCATAGATTCAACAAGGTGCTGGAAGCATTCCTCAGAGAGCTTGGTCCATATTGACATGATGGCATCACACAGTTGCCGCAGATTTGTCGGCTGCACATCCATGATGCGAATCTCCCGTTCCACCACATCCCAAAGATGCTCTATTGGATTGAGATCTGGTGACTGTGGAGGCCATTTGAGTACAGTGAACTCATTGTCATGTTCAAGAAACCAGTCTGAGATGATTCCAGCTTTATGGCATGGCGCATTATCCTGCTGAAAGTAGCCATCAGACGTTGGGTACATTGTGGTCATAAAGGGATGGACATGGTCAGCAACAATACTCAGGTAGGCTGTGGCGTTGCAACGATGCTCAATTGGTACCAAGGGGCCCAAAGAGTGCCAAGAAAATATTCCCCACACCATGACACCACCACCACCAGCCTGAACCGTTGATACAAGGCAGGATGGATCCATGCTTTCATGTTGTTGACGCCAAATTCTGACCCTACCATCCGAATGTCGCAGCAGAAATCAAGACTCATCAGACCAGGCAACGTTTTTCCAATCTTCTATTGTCCAATTTCGATGAGCTTGTGCAAATTGTAGCCTCAGTTTCCTGTTCTTAGCTGAAAGGAGTGGCACCCGGTGTGGTCTTCTGCTGCTGTAGCCCATCTGCCTCAAAGTTCGACGTACTGTGCGTTCAGAGATGCTCTTCTGCCTACCTTGGTTGTAACGGGTGGTTATTTGAGTCACTGTTGCCTTTCTATCAGCTCGAACCAGTCTGGCCATTCTCCTCTGACCTCTGGCATCAACAAGGCATTTCCGCCCACAGAACTGCCGCTCACTGGATATTTTTTCTTTTTCGGACCATTCTCTGTAAACCCTAGAGATGGTTGTGCGTGAAAATCCCAGTAGATCAGCAGTTTCTGAAATACTCAGACCAGCCCTTCTGGCACCAACAACCATGCCACGTTCAAAGTCACTCAAATCACCTTTCTTCCCCATACTGATGCTCGGTTTGAACTGCAGGAGATTGTCTTGACCATGTCTACATGCCTAAATGCACTAAGTTGCCGCCATGTGATTGGCTGATTAGAAATTAAGTGTTAACGAGCAGTTGGACAGGTGTACCTAATAAAGTGGCCGGTGAGTGTATATGTATGTATATATATACATACATATACATATATACATATATGTATATATGTCTATATATACATACATATATATACATATATACATATATGTATACATAAATATATACATACATATACATACATATACATACATACATACATACATACATACATATATACATAAATATGTATGTATGAAGACTGCTGTTGCTAGCTCTGCTGGTAGTAGCCTCATCAGGCAAACCATTAGGTATCATATACTCTGACTCTGTGACCCTGTCTTTGGCCTGGTTCAATACAATTACTCAGTTTTGAGACGAGTTGGCTAATTCAAATGTCTGTTTTGGTGACTGGGAAATGAAGCCCCTAGAAACACTGATAATAGTATGAGGTAGTGCTGGGCGATAAAACAATAACAATATATATCATAATAATTTAATTTCCCTCGATATCAATATAAAACATAGTTGATATGCTTTTTCGATAGTCGGCATTAAAAAGAAGAAAAGTGCGTACTCCAGGCTTTAGCTGGGTTTAGAGCGGCGAGGTGTATGGTGTGTGTTCCCGCTAAAAGACACAGATACAGATGTCCAGTTTAGTGGTGGACTTATTTGACTGTGGTTCTGCTGATAAAGATACACAGCAACTATTAGTACAGCTCACACCATACATAACATGAACATAGAGTAGCATGAGATAGCCGTATTCACGGTAAACAATACATTCGCACAATATAGCATCCAACTTGGACAGTGAAACATCATAAAACTCACTTCTGGCATTTACACACAATAAACCTGGGATGTGAAGGTGAATATTGGGTAAAAACAGGTAAGAGGAAATTTACGAACTTTAGTAGTAGCTTATTGTATTGCAAAAGACATGCCACCAATAAGCACTGTTAAATTTCATTTTTTATATTGTGATATATTGATATTGACTGATATAAAAAAATATATTGTGATAAACTTTTTCCCATATTGCCCAGCTCTAGTATGAGGTAAATAACCAAAGGGCTGGTCTTTGTAAACAAGTGTTTATCAGTATTCAGTAATATTACGTAATGTTCCAGTCCTTCAATCACTCCCTGCATTCCAACTCTAACTTCGCTCACTTTGCCCTCTCCAAACACCTGCCCAGTTCAACACAATCCTGCACTGTGACAGTCAGAGAACATAAGACAAACACAGGCAAAGGAAATCATGATATATGTTACATTTTCGAGAGTTACATAGGGACTTTATTTAATGTTTCCATGACTCTAGTGTTATAATGATGCTGAATAAGCATGCCTGATTGGTTTGCTGTGTAGCAGCTGGAATAGAAAAAATCAGAAATGAAGCCAAGACAAACACACTAAGAGTTGAGTAACACTGCAGAGTCAGGACACATGTTCTAAAGCTGAGATTTCTAACTACTCTGAGAGGTTTATGAGGACCAGAACCAGGTCTGTACCTGTGTTTATAAGAACTCTTATACCTCTAAATTCTGTGAAACAACCAGACAGAAAGCAGCATTACATTTACTGTAAGTAGTGTTATCTCAAAGACAGGAAGATCCAATGTGCTTAGGACACATTAAAATGTTCTAGTTGAAACAGAATTATGTAGAGGCCTGATCACAGGTCATTATGTTCCCACACTGAAAAAGCACTCTTCGAATCATCTGGGTCTTTTAAAAAACTCCCTGTTGCACAATCTTAATTTTAATCATGACAGGCTAATGGAAAACAGAGGAGGAGTCTGCATGAGGATTTTGTGGAAAGTTTGAGAGACAAGACAAATATTCAAAGAGGGACTGAGTTAAAAAAAATTATCAGAGGTGGTTAAACTAACTTTAAAGTTTTTAAACTAGGAAGAAAAAAAATATATCATAATCATCCTGTGACTAAAAACGATATATGTCCTTCCATTTAGTCACAAATGAGCCTATGCTTCACCTTCAAAACGTCATGTCAGAGTGACAGTGCAGAGGTACCAGAACTGGCATGAAACCAACCCCATATGCGAGAAGTAGTGATGCACGATATGAAAAATTTCAACCGATACCGATAACCGATAATTTTCTTCTTCTCATGGCCGATACCGATACCGATAACCGATAAATTCATATTTTTACGTTTATTATAATCTTCATATAATCTGCAGTTTGTGCAGGATGCAGCGATTGAAAACTGATATTTTTGTTGCTCTGGCCTATCTAGAACAACAAACAAAAGTTTTTGGCTCTTCAAATGTGGTCATTTGCTATAAATAACAATAACAGAGCAAAAAGCAGAACTTCATTTGATCCCCTGAACTGTTCAACAGAACTGTAAACTGTAAAGGAGCTATTATGAGACGTTAGGCTTAGCATGCTGACCGGACTAACATCTGACGTCCATATGTCTGTGGTAAAACTCACGTGCAGTCCGTTCTTGTCGATCAGGTTGTGAATGTATGTGGCGACAATATCATAGAGTGCAGGAAGGGACACATCCGAGAAGAAGCGGCGGCTTGGGAGAGTGTAGCGTGGCTCCAAGTGTGCTAATAACTTACGAAAACCCGGGTTCTCAACGATGGAAAAAGGCTGGTCGTCGACCGCTATGAACTCCATCACTTTGTCGTTAATGGCTTTAACCTTTTCGCTGTCTCTTGAGAAGCTTTTGCAGTTTTTAAACGCCTGCTGAATGGGGACATCGATCCTCCGTAGTGTTGTTGTCTTAGCTTTAGTACCGCTAGCAGCTTCGGCGGCTGTCTCATATTCTTTTACTACCGCTTCGCCGCGATGGCGACTTTTCAGATGAGCTATCAGATTCGTTGTGTTAAAACTTGACGTCTTCTTTCCTCCTCTCGGAATCCTCGCTGAACAGGTTTTGCATATAGCAATGCTGTTGTCATCTTTCTTCTGTCATCTTGTCATCACTGAGAGAAACGACCATGCTGGTGAAGACATTTTATTATCTGTCAGGTAGTGACGGGGTCAGGCTTGGGACCTGCGAGTAAGGCGCGATAGATGACTTAACCAGCGCGTCTCGGACGGGCGGCTACTCCGCCTGCAAACGTTACTCGTAATTTCATTAATATATCGGATCTTTCTATCGGAAAAATGCACCTATCGGACCGATAAAAAATGACGTAATTTCTCCCCAAATCGGCCGATATTTTATCGGTCCGATAAATATCGTGCATCCCTAGCGAGAAGTTTAATATTCTTTTTATGTTTCACTGAAAAATTTAACATTAAGTAAAATACACAGTTTAATACAGTTAAAAATGTCAGTCTCTAATTCCTTATCTCTCTTTTCAGGTCAAATGTAAAGGGAATACATGATCAGATGACTGACCTGTTTAAATAATATGAAATAAGATACCTCAGTCATAATATTAACAAGTGTGGAATTTTTGATAGACAGGTAGGTGTCAGTCTGATTTCTTTGTCAGGTGAGATGTTCATCGGCAAACCAGCAACGTACGTGCAAGCAGCCCGCTACATTCAACAAGATCGTTCAGTTTTCATAGTTGACTGATACACCACAGCTCTGGTCAGACACCACCAAAAACAGACTGATACATCAGCTACAGACATCGACTTTATAATTTGATAGGTTAGGTTTACCCCTAATTATGCTCCAGATGCATCCACTGTTGATGACATGATCAAATATGACTGTGAAATGGTGAAGGGAGACATTATGGTGGCCACACCTACTGTAAGCAAAAACTCTTTGATTTACTTTAATCCAGTTTAAGACTGCTATCACACTTTTAACGACAGCTTCCCGAAACCGCAGAACGAATGTAAGAATGAATGAGCTGTATTTGTGCAGAATGTGGAAAACTGTCTTTGGCTTCACAGTAAAATCACAAGATAACCTGATTCCACAAATAAGAAAAACTTTCACAACAAGACATTAAAAGAGCGCTTGGAGTCACCCCAATCCATATGATTCACAAATAAAGATAACAACGCTTAAAGTCCTAATTGGAATGTAAATAACAGGATAAAAGTAGTAAATATGTGTAATTTATAAACAGCTAGGAGTAAAAAACAACATTGTCTATTAAAATATATGAAGTAACATGGGCAGTGTGCAAAACATAAGCGCTTAGAGAGTTAACTGAGGGAGGAGGAGAAACAAGCAGCCACAAACAGACTGGAGCTTTAACTGAAACCAGCCCAGAGAGGGGAATAAACAGGAAACACATGTCTGGGACAGATGGGCATTTGCTTCAATCACCTGCTTTGTTTCAGTCCAGACTACAGTGAAATAAAACAGGGTTTTTAGTCTTTGCATATAATTTCTTCAGCATTTGAAATACTGGTGTATCACAAAGCAGTACTTTTACATCGAAAGTCACGAGCCATACCCAACATGTGTCATCTATTCACTGTGCTATTCACAAGCTTGTCCACAAAACTGTGAAGTGAAATATACAAAGACTTATGTTACAGATCTATAAAACACTGCTCTTTTATTCCTTCAGATGTCTAAGCACGATAATGCAGACTACTGCTGACACACCATCTCACTCCACCCGCTCCCAAGGAGAGAAACTCATCCGTCTCGTCCGTAACACAATGTTCTGTGAACAACATGCCTTCACTAACAGGACAGAAAAAGACACGAAAGATCTCAACAATAAGAGTTGTGTGAGTGAACTTATATTATTTCAACCTTTGTTTTGGCAGCTTTGCTGGTATGGCTGGTACACACAGCACATGGGTGTTACTTTTTACACAGCTGTCTGGTCAAGCTCCTCATTGTATGTTTTATTGTTATATTACCTGCTGTTATGTTACTAAAAAACTTGTAGCTGTCAACCATCATGTCAGATGATTATAGATGGAGCTGCCTAGAGTTTTAGTAACACAAGCTCATACCAGCTTTTGTTTGCAATGGAGTCATCAGTGAAATGGAAATACCATAGACTTTACTATGGACAACTTGGTTCTGCCTTCCGTCGTTAGAAAAATTTGAAGCCAAACTGCTCTCAGTATTTCCGGGATTTTATTCACTTCCTGAAACCAACATTGCGCAGTAGCGTTGCACCCACTTCACCACTTGCACAGAAGTATTGTGCGCATATGGCGGGAGAGTTGCTGTGACTCTCGCCGGCTCAAACAGCATATCCCCCTGGTGACCTACGCAATCTTTGTACGCCCATAGGCTGTATCAAGTGTCAGTCATAGAGAACCCCTAATGACTTTTAAAAATGGAGCTGTACAGAAAAAAGAGGACTTCAGAACAAACCAGTCTTACAGTAACTACAAGTTATTGTAAGACTGCAACATCGCAAGTGGGGGGAGAAAAACTTATATTCGGTGTAATTACTTTCTTAAAGTTTGTCCACAGCTCCATAAGCTTCGCTGGAGGAGGTGAGATTTATGATTGCATAAATATACTGCAGCCCGTCACCAGAGGGTGCTGTTCTCATGGTGGCTTCACCTAGCGAGGAGGCAGATGGTGTCCATTCTATATACAGTCTAACCAGCAGTGGCTTTACCCCACAGCCAAAAAAACAAGTCCAGGAATTATGCTAACATCTATGTATCTGCTCATTTATCATGTATCTCATAAAATAAAGATCAGCATTAAAAGTCTTACATAAGTATGACGATGTCTTATTTTGAAGTACCTTTACAATCAAATACTGAAGGGGATGTGTTATAAGTAACAAAAAAAAAAAAATTGAATACACAAACACCATCAACTTAAGACAATAAACTACAGTTTTGGTTACTGATACGGGGGGACTGAGCAGTCCCAGATGATGGTGCGATTATATCTGACTGATCAGAAGGGTATAAAAAGAATACATTTAAAAATTAACCAATAAATCTGAAATGATCTAAGAACTTCATCTTCATTATGGAGAAATCAGAAAAGGGAACAGGAACACAGCCCACAACCAGGGAGGGTGTTCTGGACAAAGGGAGTCCTGAGTGAGTGAGATAACTGGAGAACATTACATTACAGCATGGGGGTGGGGTCTCACCTCCCCCCACTCAGCCAACAGGAAGCAAGCCAGCAGGATAATCAATAACAGTGACTGCTATTTGACTCTGTCCTCCTTCACAACATGCTCATGAGCCAGCTGTACTTACACTATCGAGGACCCTCCCTTATGATCCGTCAGCCATTTTCACTTCCCAGTCCAGCCATTTGGTTTGATTTATATACAGAGTACACATCATGTTCTCACTGTATCAACAAAATGTACCCACATTTCACAGTCTAAACCCTCGTTCCTGTCTACTGGACTTAAATCCATTGCAAATATGAAAGATATAACATAAACTCCACCTTAAAATGGCTATCAATCCAAAGAAAACTTCAGCCTGAGGTCTTGATGCTTCTGCGGGCACAGTCGCTTATCACCACAGATCCAGCACAAGGCCTTTGTAACATATCATCCCATGTTTTCTTCCTATTGTTTCACCCCAGCCATTGTCAGAGACAAATGGTTGCATGTGCACAAACATCCACCGGTTGAACCCAGAGCACACAGCAGAATGATATCCTGCATAACCATCAGGATAACATTCCTTTCTCTCTCTCTCCCAGAGTCAGTAAAAATCATACCCAGCATGCGGCCTAATTGCGGCTCCAAAGCAGAAATTTACAGCCATGTGAAGTGCTGTAAAAGCAGCACCTTCACTAACTACACTCTGGCACAATCTGGAGTGGTAGAGGAGTTAGTTAAATATGCACTTTATGACTTCTCCATCAGAAAAAAAGGAGTTTCAGGAGTTTTAAAATACTGCCCTGCCTTTTAGTTTGCTGACAAATCGGTTAGGTTTACAGAGATTCGCTGTGAAATAGAACTTTGGTAATAAAAAAAGTGCTCAGGTCATGGAGCAAACACGAGACAACTGTTATCAAGTCAACTCAGCTGACCTCCAACCAACCGTTAGCTCAATAGAAACTAAACTATCAGTATTAACAGAGTACAGTATTACTTCAGATTCATCATTTAGAGATATTTGGTAAATCTCAAGAATAAAGCAGCAAGAAGAGTCATTAACCATCATGGACTTTGACCCAGCACTCCAAAAGACAATAGGCCAGTTTTATTTTTCACCTTATACCAATCATCACTGTTTAGGTACAGTACCAGAATTGTCTAAATTGTGAGTTAACTTGCACTTATGTAAGCGTCCAGAGGTATGTTAGTCTTAAATGAAATGTGGTCTATCACCAAAGTGGCGTGTTGCTATCCTGTGGAAATAGACAGCATCTGCATTTTTAACCAAAAGAAAGCTAGTCATAAATCTGATATCCATGGTTCAGGTCCTTTCTGTTATATTAGCATTAGCAAGACAGTAGGATAGCACAAGGCTTATCACACACATTCCTTTGCTTTTTACACACACACAGAGAAATAATATCACATCTCTGTTGTTGTATTTTTCCTGTCTCCTCCACACACAATGATAAAGTATGGGGCAGATATCAGGATGCCAGAAGATGAGCTATCTCCTTACACACCTCATCTCTGCATGGGCCAAATACTTTCATAAAGTTAATACTGCTGCGTGAGAGTGTGCACGTCTCAGTCATTTGATAAGTTATTTTCATTTCTGCTGTTTTAGTGAATATGGAGAAATGCACTGACATAACTGTAACTTAACTCCTGTGTGTCTTTTCTGCACTTTTAAAAGCACAGTAGAAGGAGTAGAGTTAAATATGCCAGCTCGAGACCAATCTATTCAAAGAGGCTAAAGTCTGCTGTGTAAATAGTAACACCCCTGCCTGCAGGTGCCTCAGACTGTCAAAGGGACTGAGAACAGACACACTCATTTGATTTTTTTACATCCTTTGAAAAATAGAGAGACTTTATCCGACCTATATATTTCAACCCCTGCACACACCTAGCACCAGATTGTGCTCTGCTTAACTTGCAAGAAGCTGTTGGACATGTCCTACAGGGCTGAAATGATTCCTTGAGTACCTTGATTACAAAAAATGATTGTCATTTTCTCTGTCTCAAGTACTCGTTTATAAGCTTGAATCATCACTGTTTCGCACGGATTATTATCAAAGTGACACAACGCGCTTGCGTCACCACAGTAGAAGGAGGAGTAAGCAATTTAGTTTTGCGGAGCAGAAAAAAATTAATGATAAGAGGGGCTTTTCTTCTGCAGAGCTCTAGTAGCTCATTAGGAATTCACCTCTGAGTCGTAGGCGGAGACAGCGCTGCTCTGCACACTCCTTTTCATGCAGGCTTGCAGCCTAAAATTGTTGGTGTAGTAGAAGTGGCAGGTAACATAGGAGCTATTCAACTCTTGGACACTAATGTCTTTAGGGACATGATGAAAGTTAATATCATAATTAGTTTTCTAACAAGCATTGTAATCCACTAACGCACACGCTTATTCCACGATAACTGCACTTTAACTAAAAAAAATTATGTTTTATCCGATTACTTGATTAATCGATGGAATATTCTGTAGAATACTAGATTACTAAAATATTAGATAGCTGCAGCCCTAATGTCCTATTTCACTTCTCTTCAATGTCTTAAATTGTTTGTGTTGTGTTGTGTTGTGTTGGACCTGGAACCAAATTCCTGCCAAGGCACTCTGTAAACCATGAGTTATCATGTTACCAAAAATGAAAGCTCAGAGGGTGTCATGTCTGAGGTTGCATGTCAATGGTAATCAACACAGAGAGATGTTAAGAGGTGCAAGTGCAAGAGTGGCCTAATTAGAGAGCTAGTGTTGGTCTTTGATTTGTTGCAACAATGCTTGGATACCAGGCAATACAATGAATGAAAAACCTAAAAATATCACTGAAAATAAACAACAAAAAATCAACAATACTGTAAGGCAGGCAGGAGCTTAGTCATGTGATGTACTCCATAAGACTTTAAAATAGATAGAGGAAGTAAAAGGAAACAGGAAAATGATTCATGGTGAAGGACAAATGCTGTCATGGAACAAATTTCAGGTTAAACTCCCCTGAGTGGTGGTGGTATGTGACAAAAACCGTCATCATATACAGTTACTGGAAAATGAACCGCCCTGCCCTAAAATTTACTGTGTTCCCTACATATTATCCACCCACAAGCTCAATCTATAAACAGGTTCTCTGAAAAATAAAGGCAACACTCACCAAAGCGACAAAGACAAATTATAATCTTGCTCTGGACACTGTAAGCAAAACCTGGAACTTTCCAAAAAACAACTTTTTTTAATCTTCTCTCTCAACAGGCAAGATGTATTTCTTTGAAATCTTACAAAGAAATCCAACACCTGTGAAGTTACATAATCTTCAAATCTACACATCTGAAAAAAAAACTGTTTACTCGGAGCAGCATGACACGTCTCTTAACCGTTATTCAACCACCTAACCCTGCCAAAATATCACATTTGATCCCACCTGTGGCGTCTTCGTCTTCTTCTTTCAGGACATTGTTGTCATCCACATCTTCTCCCTCAGCCCTTCTTTTTGCCTTTCTTTCGTTGTCCTTCACTGGGACCACGGTGAAGTTGGTGGGCATTTTTACACCATGTGCTTCCTCTCAGTGTCTCTTGTTTGTCCCACTCTTATCTTTTCCTCCCGTCTCCTCCCTCTCCCGCTCTCTCTCTCTCCCTGTTCTGCTTCTCCTCTCTCTCTCTCAGCCTCTGTCCAACAGCTGTCACTCCTTTCCTTCTTCCTTACTCCTCTTCTCAGTTGTTTATTTATTTAGTCCAGACTTTCTGTTCTCTTGTACTTGACTCCACGAGGCAGATGTTTACTCTAACTCCTTATTCTTTCTTCCTACCGTTAAGATTCTCCTGTACACCCATGTGACCCCAACCCCCGTATCCAAATAAGGAACAGCACGGCTGCCCCGCCCATTGGGGGGCAGAACACACAAACACACACTTTCAGAAAACATTACATGCATTTCTGCTCTAGAGTGTGTGTGAGGGCATAGATGAGGCTCTTTTTGTGTCTGAGAGAAAATCATCTGTCCAGGAATGTCGTCCTGTCTCACACGCAACAAAAGCCGGCACTGTGCGCCTTTGTTCCACGAGAGGAGGAAGTCCAGGGCTGCTCCACTGAGGAGGGTTTGCACACACACACTCACTCTCACACAGAGACAGGCACATATGCATTTTCTCACTTCCTATCCAGTGTCATTTGATCCTATGTGCTTGGTCAGAGGGGGCAAGGCAGATTTAAAGACATATAGACACAGGCTCATAAAGAGTAAGCAAATATAGGCAAATAAATCTTACAAAGTGGACTGTATCTTATATACTCTCAGAGAGTTGGATGGGAAACCAAGAGAGGTGCTGCATAAGAAGGAAAGAGAATCAATACAAGTGTCAACTTCATGCTCATGTCTCCTCAGAGCAAAACTGAAAATAAGAGTTGCACCGTGAGAGAAAATGTGATTCCAAGCAGAACTTAAGAAATATATCACAGGGGCAAGATCAGCAACTATCAGCTTTATCATAGATATACGCATCTGTTTGAACTTCAGGAACATCTGCAAATATGGAAACTTTCTAACTACACTTAAAAGTCAGAGGTAGAACAGAAAGGGTGTTTTCACACACTGGAGCACTGTGGTTTCACACTTTGCAAGACCTTCCGCTGAGTCTGTAGCGCATACAGCAGGCCTGGCTCACTTGACAAGTTGTAACTCAAAAAATATACATATACCTGTGCTAATGGGCTGAAAAAAAAAAAGAGAATTACACAAAGCACATGTAAAGGGTTAAATGCACCACAAACTGAACTACATGCCAAATAGTGTAACTATGCACGGATGTTTGCAACACCAGGTTCATTTTGAGTCACATTTGCCTCTTTCTATGCATATGAGCTTCACTGAAAATGCACTTGAGTTTATCACGCTATACCGTGCAGTTAGATTGAAATCCAAAAGTAATTGAATTGCAGCATTTGAGAGTGTTGTCAAGCTCAATCTTCCTAGCAATCATGAAACTAATTCCTCCTCTGCATGACAAATAAATGACAATATATTAGTACATAATGCATGTTTATATTATTTTTGTGTAAAAAGAATCAAGAGTTAATTCAGTCAGGAGCTGTCCGTGGCCCAATCTCTGCAAATTTCACAAAGCCGCATAATTTTATGGGAATATTTGCACTTAAATATTAAGGCAATACGCTTTGCAAATCAGACCTTGAGGCTGAAGTCTATTCCTAGTGGATCCCCCAAAAAAATTTGTCCAAGAGAGCAGGGTCATCTTTGCAAAATGGGTGCTGGATCTGTTGTAAACTGATTCACAGTCAATAGAGTTAAAAAAATTCCCCGGATCAGTCACAAAGTCTGTTTATTTTTGGCTTGTTAAACAGTCTCCGAGTCTTAAAATAGCCTGGTTTTAGTCTTAAGACAAACAGATTTTGTGTGCAGAGGGAAAATACAAAAACAACCAAAGGAAACAATGAGGATATCGCTGTTTTTTTCCCCCCTTTGTCTTTTCTTTTAATCCCTATGTGGTCTGGGCAGACTGCTTCACAATCACAGAGAGCAGAGCTCAAAGTCAAGTCCATCTGCAGACATAATGGCTGATCCGAACACCAGTCATTTCCTCAGAGTAAGAGTACACAGGGAATGATAGAAAGCATTAGACCTCATCCTGACTAACAGACACTCCTGTGTGATGGGAAATGGCAGACCAACACTGCTTTAGAGTAAGAAGGCCACTGCAGAGAATGCCGATGGGCTGCTCTTTATTATACTGCAGCTCTGGAGACTCATTTAGCTGCTTCACATTTGGAGACCCACCCAGAACATGTTCCCCTCTCACTTTTTAGTTACCCAACATAAAGAGTCACACGGTCAGCAGAAGGGTGGTGCCTGCAGGAAATAGGAAGGGGAGGGAGTGCAGCGGGAGGCGAGGGAGTCCAAGAGAGAGACAGGCAGGCAGACAGAGTGACCGGCTTACAGGAAAGCATCGCCCTTTTTTTTCTTGCATTGCAACTTATGCAATTTCCAGAATTCCTCCCTGATGACTGAACCAGAGACAGAAAATTCCATGTGGTTTAGAGAGTGTAATGCCCTACAGAGGTATTCAGGGCATGATGTCAGACACTCCTTGATAAAACATCAAAATATTTCAGTTAGTTAAACGGCTGAATTCTCCGTAAACAGGCTAAGCCACAATGACTTGTTTGATGCCGCGATAAATAAAATTACATATCTTTTCCCAATCCACGACTGCTCATATTTTCATCTCTCAGGCTCTCATCTCCTGACCCACTCACATGAAAATAACTGACTCTCAATTGATGTTACCAAAATAAGCTTGCTGTTAGTATTTCGAGGAACAAACTTAGTTCCCCCTCTGATTTACATCATTCCAATTAAAGATTTCACTACACAAAATCTAATCTAACACAATCTGGTGTTTATTTATATATGTAGTTGCATGTGATAGGAGAAGCGCTGTGTAACAGTTAGATGAGGCAATCCCTTCTCCAAAGCTTAAAAATTAACAGAGCCACTTACACCCTCAAAAATAACAAAAATACGAAAAACAAAACAGAATAACACATATTAAAAAGGGGGATGTACAATTGTATTAGCCTAACATCATTTTAAGTGTAAAAAGGCTCAAGATGTAATCTTCATACTAAAATTTTGACAATATTTATGTCTTTTAAGGTGACACATTTGTGTTGTGCAAACACAGGACATCTTGTCAATGAATATCTTGCCAAGGAACGTCTCGTTACCACCAGCAACATCTGGAACAGCCTCTACTTCAGTCATCCAACAACACTTTTAAAATGGAGAAGTGACCACCCAAGAGAAAAGGAGCTCGACTAAAAAACATCTTATCATTGCTCTTGATAACTATCCTCTTCCTGTATTCCCCTTTATGCTAAATGGTGGTTCTTGTGGCTTTGGGGCTTGTGCAATAGCATCATCATGTGCTTATCTAATTAGTTTTTTTCTTTCCATGCTGTCCTCTTGTGCAGTAGAGGTAATGTTCCATATGAGCAGCTTGTTTGATGTGGTGGCCTTGCAATGTGTTGCCTTCACATATAGCTTATTGCTCATTTTTAACATTGTTTTATTCATTTGTTTTATTTATTGGTAGGACAAAGGATGCTGATGAGGAAGTGCAATGCAAAAGTCAGGATAAATTTCCCCAAGGGGAGGATTAAACAACATCGTCTTGTGTCGTGTGGTATCGTATCATGTCCTATAGTGTTGTATCTTTTCTTATCGTATCTTATCCTGTCGTATCTTACCATGTTGTATCCTATCATATTCTATTGTGTCATATTGTACTGCATCGTATATTAACGTGTCAAATCGTGTCGTATCTTATTGTGAATTATTGAATCGTATCGTATCTTACCGTGTCATATTGTGTTGTATTGTATAGTATCATGTTGTATTGTATCGTATCATATCTTACTGTGTTAAAGCGTGTCTTATTGCATTGTATCGTTTCTTGCCGTGTCATATCATGTCATGTTGTATCGTATCTTACCGTGTCAAATCATGTCACATTGTATTGTATCGTATCTGGCGTATCTTATCATGTCGTGTTGTATACTATTGTATTGCATCGTATTTCAGTGTAGTGGGAGATGGTGGGCTTCTTCTTACTAATGATGTGCTTGGATGGTTATTAGTGTCACTACTGGTCAAATGAGCAAATTGGACTGCAATGTACCCATCTGTAAATGAAATGACTGAAACTGTAGTAAGTTTGGGCCTTTTCATTTGAACTGTTTGTAGTAGGGATGCAATGTATTGTATATTGCCTGGGGTGACGTCTTGATTTTTATTTTTACAATGTGAAAAATTTCGATTACAAGTATGACACTTATTAAGTAAAAAACAGCGAAAACATCCCTTGAAATTGAATACAATGAATACAACCGAGCCTTGTAACAGACTGCTGCACATGTGCATCGAGAACACATGCAGCATTCACTCATTACAACTAGCAAGGTTAGCAGCGCTGCCTCCATGTCTAAAGTTAAAAAACGAGAGAATAAACAGCGCCGGGGGACCAAACACAAACAACGTCAGCCTTGAAATCAACATCTATGGATGTAATTATCAGCACTCACATGACTTCAGCTTTGAAATGTTGCTTAAAAGATGTCAATCTGAAGAGTTCTGTCTGTGCCAGGAAGAACTTGTCCAATCTTATGTGAATTAACCATTGCACAGGGGATGAACAACATGTAAAGCTTTGGGAGTCAGTAGATGGACATAACTAACAAGCAGAGGGACCAGCAAAATCTAATAAATCTAAATCTAAACTTGCATTTGATCCCAATATTTGCTCCGGCAGTTTTACTGTATTTGTGATTGCATTTAGTTTAACAACACAGTTTTAAAAATATAAGAACCTGTTTTTCTCAAGCTTTTTTTTTTTACCAAGTATAATTAAGAGCATCCCATAAACTACAAGGGGACAAGTCTTAGAAGAATTCAGTCAGATTCTGGAAAGTTAAATCAGATTTATCAAATGTTCTGTTAAATATTTCTGCATGAAAGAAAACTAGAATCTAAACTGTCAGACTCTTGCCTTATCAGTGCAGTTCTTTTTGTTTTAATGCAGAGTTGCGGTTGTGCAAAAATGTAAAGTATCTCAGTGTAAAATGGTCAAATATACACTTACAGTGTCATCAGTAAGGTTTCTACTAAGGTATTTCAGCATGCCTTCAACCTGATATAGAGATGACTGTTCAGGTTTCAATCAAAGATTGTACTTCCAGTAAGTGTTTGGTCGCAAATATCACACTATCACTAAAGACTTTCAAATCAAATATTTAGTAAGTGGAGTGGCTAATATACTGTTTGAAATAGCTCGTGAGTGCTCAGAAAGTATTGTGATATTTCCAAGGTAACAAAGAGGGCACTTATCTACTCAGCGAATGAGCAGTGATATAACTGGTTTCCACTGATTAAGAGACCAGACAGTCGGGCTGCTTCTCAGGGACAGTCTGTGCATCCAGGCCAGCAGGACAATGTCCCTTTCATGAGAGCGTTCACATCATTACACAGTGGGGACTGAAAATCAGACTGGCATGTTGTGACACTGAAGATATCACACTGTTTTTCATTGTGTCATGTCTGATGCAATATCTCATAACACACATGAGAAAGAGGGGCATGACAGTATCTATGACATAACCATTTTACAGACTGAAATGCTGCTGTGAAAGAGTCAAAGCAAAGGAACACAAACTATTAACAATATGAAGAAAAAAGCTTTGTCCAACAATGACGTCAAAACTATATCAAAGTCCTAAACTTTCTCAAATGTTGAGACAAATTTTAGAAAGAGTGCATCAGTATTAGCAAAGGTAATAATTCCTCTACGGACTGTTAGCCGTCTTTCTGCAAGGTTATAAAAAGAGAAAGAAAGGAAGACCAACAATGGAGCAGGCAAGCCAGTAACAAGGCATTTCCCTGTTTTCCACTTCAACATTTCTATGGGTCACCAGAGCAAACCAGCTCTCAAACCCTGTGTCTTATCAGCAAGTGAGCACAAAACCATTGTGACAAATCCAGTCTGGACAGAGTGAAAGCAGTCCTTGTGTCTGTGCAGTGGCTTGTGTCTCTCCAGAGTCCCCCCTAAGTTTACTGTCAGTCAACTTTTCTGTTTTCTGTGGGGTGCTGGAGAGAGCACACCACTTGTTTGCTGAGAATGCTCAATTCGTTTAACATCACAATTAAGAGGAGCTGAGACAAAACACATTCAAATAAGATTTAAAAACCTGCATTCTTCAGAATATTAAGACAGGACTAACCCAAGACAGCCAGGGGTGATCCACCATCCACTTTGAAGACATGAAGATACTATGGTTACACGTTTGGCATAATTGGGTATTAACTAGGGCCCCACTGATATGGATTTTTGGGGGCCAATGCTGATTACTAGGGGTGAAAAAAATCTGACTACCGATTAATCAGCTAATTGTCAGCTGATTAAATTTTATATTAAATTATAAAAAATATATATTTATACTGGAGATATCTACAGTATAAATATATATTTAGGGGGGAGGGGGGATACTTACACCGGTCTGCGCCACTCACCAAAATACCAAATTGTGCTTGGGAACGCCTTGACGGTGCGGCAGACCTGACTTACGCCGCACCTGCACCAAGTCTCTGGCGAGGCACGAAAATAGAGCCCCAGTTGTCAAGTAACTGTTACTGGTGAAATAAGAGTTTTCTTCTTCTTGCATCTTTCTGGACATGGACTGTGTTGAAATTAGGAAAGTTTTCCCCTAATTTTAGCCAATGTCCTGGCTAAAACAAAATTTAAATAAAACAAATGAAAGAGGTTAAATTTCTCTAATGTTTAAAAATCAAAGGCAGAGAAAATTCATTTATTGTGTTGTCTCTATAAGAAAAATACCAGAAGCTGTTTTTTCAGTCACTAAATCAATAAATCAATCACAAAAACTGAGATCAAACACAAATGGATCAGTCTCAGGGGGCCATGGCTGATTGATCAGTCTTTTCTGTGTCAGCTGGATCATACCAGTAAAAACATTAAAGCCCCATGTTTGGGCACACTGGTGGACAAGGGGGCTTTAACATCCCCATTTCCTTTATAAACAGCAGCACTGAAAAACAGGGGCATGAGAAAATGTTGTGCACACATTATGATTCAATCCTGCTGGTTTGCTTTTCAGCCCCGAAGTTCAGAGGATCTAGTGAGCTGAACTTTTTTTCACAGGCTCAGGTTTCTTATCTAAAAGTGGAAGTATTGATTGAGTCTGTGGGGGAAGAGGGGAGGAGATTAAATTTGCTGCAGATACACAGAGTACAGCCCAAGGACACAAATCACTGCAGTGAAAGAGTTTGGTAGTAAATGAATGTTCTGGTAAACTCAAAGCAACAAAACATGATTTCACTGTAGATTGGTAATAGAAAAAAACAATTAGGTATGGGTCCAAGGTGATAAAAATCATAATTAATCTGTAGTTTCTTCACTCATTGTTATCAAATTTCATTTAGTTTTGCACGATAAAAATAAAGCATAACTTAAAACTATCTGTACATTTACATAATAGCTAGTTTGCACTGCAGGAGGGATACTGTCCCTGATTACAACATAACTCATCTGTTCTGCTGAGGGGTCTTTCATACTGCAATAACTGACAGTGCCCTCTGGTGGTATAGGGAAGAAGTACATGTTTGGTTATCATAAACTTCACCATCTATAAAGCCATTAAAGCATAAAAGCTGCATATTTCGTCCTGGTAACTCATGATGGAGCAAATTAAAATGCCGTGGTCTGTCATGTGAGTTTGTGTTGTGACTTCTCTCACGGGGTAATTATCCTTTCTATCACTTCCTCTTGCAGTGAGAGTTTTTTTTTCTTTTTTTATACAGGGATCAGGGGTTGAGAAAAAGGGAACTCTGTCTTTACTTTGCTGTAATAAAATCCAGTAGGAGCTGCTGCAGCATAAGCAACAATGTTGGCACATAATAACTGATCATTTGCTTCTCTCCAAAATCTCTGGGGTCAGGCTGACAGACATAGAATTTTCTGGCAAATTTCCTCTTTATAGTATAATTGAAAATAGAACAGAAAAAGACAGCCATGAAAAGTCACAATGGTTCATTAACTTCATACTGATGTCTCTAAACAAAGGTTAAGTGGGTCTGCCTGAGTTTATCACCCTCAGTTAGATGTCATTTAATTACAACTGTTTGAAGCTGGAATTTTCAAGCTGATGAGAAATAGGCTAAATCTCTAAACAGACATACAGCAACATTAACATATCTATCACAGTTGCTGTTTGCAGTTTGAGGAGACATGACAAAAAGCTCTAAATTTGCCAAAAAGCTTCCTTTAACTTGACATTTCTTCTCCTCTCAGGTAGCACACAGTCAAGCCCTAATAATGATACTCTGATGCCCCCATTTGATCATATGAGGAAACACACCAGTTTCACCTCCTTACTGACAAGGACAAACTCCACTACAAGAAGATAGAGGGAAATTAAAAAGGGAAAAAAGGCAAGGCTTTTAATTTCTTTTATCAAATGAGTATTTCCCAAACAACACTGTACATAATTGTATTGATATTGTGTAATAGTGTAAATAATACTGTCATGGTTTGATCTTGATAAAGAGATGACCTCTCCTCTTCAAGATTAAATCTAATAATCACATCTCTAGGATCAAATCTTTTCATGTACAGGACTTGTATTTGAAAATAACAATGGTTAAAAACACACTGAATCAAACTGGATATGCTGTTTCCAAAACCCTCTGAGTAAAGTTGTTATCAACATCTTTGAGATTAAAGTGGAACTTTTAGATCAAATTAAAAAATTATAAATAATCACACTGGCCTGTGATACCTACCAAAAAGTCAAAAAGTCGAAATTTTAAAAAGTCCAAATTTTGACTTTATCTATGTCGACTACTTAAATCTCAAAATTTCTACTTAAATCTCAAGATTTAAATGTTTTTAAATCTAAAATTTTTGACATTATTTACAACATTTTGTAATCCTGACATTTTGACTTTAATCTTCAATCTTGAATCTCGAAGTTTTGACTTTAATCTCAAAATTTCAACTTTAATCTCCTTGATGTATTTTTTTTCCCTTCATGTGGCCCGAATCCTCTTTCTTAGATGCTTGTATTTTTATGCTACCATAAAACATTGTTTGTTATCAGGCCATCCATCTAGGATACAAACAGTCACATGAAGCCTCTGCAACAATCTCCAAAGTTTTCAGTTGGATGGCAGCTCTGGTCATGGGCAGACCTCTAATCTATTTTTCAGTGATGTACTCACACAAACTCTCCCATTAATCTCTTGGAAGATTTTCAGACTGTAGGACATTACTCAGATCTTTTCAAAGCTGTCATCTTCAGTCTTAAAACTGTGACACCATATTTTTCTCAGCTGTCTCAACGTTTCTCTTGCCTTGATAACCCTTCAACAAAATGAGCATCATGACTGCCTCAGTCGACAAATCACTTGTCCTGTTTTTTTAGCCACTGTTTTCAAGATAATTCTTCATCTTTTCTGGGGCATTAGTTGTAAGTGACTGCACAATACAGCCCACACAGTACCATCCTATTAATTCTTTTGTATTAATTTTGTTCCATAATTAAATCAACCTTAAGCACTAAAAAAAAGATGTTGTCACAGTTGAAGAAGCCTGTGTATAATGTGCAAACTAGCAAATGGAAATGTGATATTTTACAAGGACGGGCTTCTTAAAGGGAACAACACCAGCTGACAGATTCAGACTTTCCTCATATCTAATATGTAGGAAAATGGTGACTAAGATTTTTGCTTCCTTCCTGAAACATTCCCATGACTTCCCTTCCCATCTTATCCAGGTGGTGCATGCGTGTCTGCAGTGACACATGAAGTTCCAATCAGCTATTCAAAATTATGCCGAACCACAAAAACAAAAAACTTTCCATGTGGTTGATGGAAGTTTTGAATTTTCTACACACATGAACAGCCACACCTCAATCATCTCAGGTAACAGCACACTCTCCTGCTGGTAATCCATTTATCTCTGTACTTGACACAGCAGGCTCAGGTGACGCTGTCATTTTTTTACTGTTGTTGAAAGTAAAACTACCTTTCTAACCCCACACCAGCAAATTCTGCATGTGCTTAGTGTTCAAACTTAAACTCAACACTCACTTAAGTTTGCCTAGAAGAATTTTGAAAAGTTGTGGAGCTGGACAAGTAAAAATTGGTTCTAAGGATGCCCCGATCCGATATTTGGATCGGATATCGGCCCAGATGTTGACAAATTAACTGGATTGGATATCTGATGAATGACGCCGATCCAGCGCTCCGATCCAGTCTTTTTTTTTCCTTTTAATTAATATCATACACAGCAATTCTGTTCACTCTTTATTCTATGTCTCTCTATTCTTTAGCACACAGCAAAAAGAAGTAAGACTTCTATGTAAACATTTGGTGCTAATGTGTAATGTTTTATTTGTTAATAAATAATATTAAGTACATTTATATCTGTGTTAATTTGTTACCTTTTTTTTAACTAGGCTAATGTCAAGCCTGAGGCCATCACTCACAGGGCAAGGTATATAGTTCATTCATTCAACAGAGGTATTGGATCGGTATCGGATATCGGCCGATATGCTCAGCCCGGGTATCGGTATCGGATTGGATCGGAAAAAATGGATCGGTGCATCTCTAATCAGTACATGTATTAGCCCAAGAAAAAGTAGACAAAAAAATGACAAAAGTCATTTGGGAACTTTCCCCAACTTTTGACTACAGACACACAAAATATGCAAACCATGCCAAACCACACTGACCACTGACCACAGCTTGTGAAGCTGCTATGGAGTTTGTTTTCCTGTTTGACACCTAACAGCTGACCAAAAGACAAACGGGATGAGGATGAAAAAAGTACAGTGTTTTCTTTCCTCTCTCTTGGATTGCCAGGTTGACAATATTCTCATTCTTATTCTTACTGTTATTAGCAGGTTTAAAACAGAAGCTGACTCTGGTGATGAGTCAGCTCAGTCCTCAAAGACACCACAGATGACTGAGGGTTTGAGTGATCAGTTTCATTTCTAGCCTTTGACCGTACCCTGGTAACAGGGGCGGGGTTGTGGAGGTTATCCTTGGGCCCTTCATTCAGAATAGGCAGAACATGATACTCACATGTCTCCCTACACATTTCTGATACCCGATACCCACCAACACCATCACCAAGGAACTCCGACTGTACCCAGCTGTAATCTCTCTATGCATTAACCTGAGGCATGTATGTGAACAAGTGAACTACAAAATCATGAATTTCCACATCCAACGGAAGCTTAGCATTATTGACAGTAAGAGAACAGCATTGCTTTGCAGCTCGTGTAACTTGGGTTTTTTTATCAATAGTTTAAAAGTATCCATCACAATTTACTCTTAAAATCTGTCATGATGGTTTCACTATGGTCCTTGTTACTACCACCACCCCACCCCACCCTTGTTTGACTTTATTCTGTCCTATAATAGTCATTGCAATAGCCAGACAACAAGACTAAAATGACTCACAGCACATTTCCCTACTAAACTTTGAGCATACTGCTGAGCAACAGCTGGAAAACCCCATGACTACCAGCACTAAGTGTAGAGAATCTCCCTGGGGAAAAAGATGACGTGTTGTTTTTTTCCCACGTCTGTTCAGCGTCTGATCAGCTGAAGTGGCTTTGAGCTGCTGGGAAAGTGCGACTGTTATCAAGGTTATCATGTGCATTGTGAGTCTGAATTAGCAGCACATTTAGTACAGAGCAAAAGAAGAGAAGAACAGGACTGCAGGTTGATTAAAGTACTGCTCACATATCTATCTATATATTTACATCAATATATATCTCACTTTTCTTATTTATCGATCTATTATCAACATACAAGACCCAACAAGTTTAAATCTGAATTTTTTTTAAAACTGGGGGACTGCAGCCTCTGTGGACTGGGTGTCTGCTCTACCAGCTAAACCCCACGATGGCTCCTTTTGGAATAGCTGAGGTGATGAATGTTGTGCAGCAAAGATAAGAGCAAGACAAAAAAAAAAGAGAGAAAAAAAAAAAACAGTCTCACATCAAAGTTGATGGAAAACTGGGGAAGGAAAAGGTGGGGGACAAAGACCACTGAAACTGTCATATTGAGATTCAACACTCACTCCAGCTTTTAGGAAACTGTCCATAAAAGGAATACACTGCTCAGAACGTAACATATCTCTGCAGACACAGTGTTAGTGAATGGGGCCTAAGTGTGCCTTTGAAGGTATTTACAGCCTGACAAGTGACAGAGTATGACCAGTCATGTTTAAATCTGGTTGAAAACTATTTCACAACCAGATTTTACAATCAGCATTGTAGCAGCTGTGGCACTGAGATTTTTCAAACACAGTTAATATTCACCCATTGCTACTTTGTCCTAAATGGCTGCGGTGACAGGCTAACACCTGTCAGAGTTGAGAATATGTCTAATTTTTGCTGTTGCTCTCTTCTCCTGTTGCTAAAAATGAGATGGATATACCATATCTACAATGTGACATCAGCATTTATGGAGGTAAGCCCTAATAAGGCAACAGTACAGTAGTCTCTATTTTCTCTGATTCAAAAGTTGCAGCAACGATACATTGCAAAACATTAACATGGTAGGAACCTGTGCAGATAACATGCAGTAATATAATACCAGGTTGCAAGGATTTATCATGTACACAGAAATATAACTGACCAGACATTGAAAATATTGTTTCCAATGATGTGATCAAAACTGAGATACAGGACACTAAAGTCCAAATAAATGCCCTTAATATATTTTAAAGTTTGCAACAACAACTGAGAGTCACGGATAAGTTCACTTTGGGCATTTCAGACAAAACATATCATTCTGTCCTCTGAGAATTTTTATTTTTTAATTTGACATTTTTGAGGACAAAGGAATCACATTAAGATAAGTATTTAAAATAACAGATGATGTGGTGAATGAGCCTCACTAAAGTTCTTGGGTGTCAGACAGAGAAACATTGTCATCATAGGGCAGCTGTCCTTCATAGCAACAAGCTTTATCCCCCTCTTTAAAGAACAGCACATGAAGAAATGCTCAAGGTGATCAACTAGAAACATTATATCTTCGCACGAGGCTGTTGCTGACATTATGCACAAACAATGCACATGCTCTACCTCAGCGAGATCGAAAATGACAAGGTCAACTTATCAGCCAAGCTGAAGGATTAATCACATCGCAACCATGACAACAAATTCCTGTTAAAATGGTCTTGCTACAACCTTATTTATGGTAAAGCTGATGTGTACAAAAAGGTGCTCCCTCCTGTCTATCAACATCAAGGTTATTTCAAAAGTATGATTACGCTGGAGGTCACAAGGGTGCTAAGTGTCACACTACTGCTTTAGCTGACTTAAACTGTTGACCTTTAGAGGTAATTGACCAATTTTGAAAATTACGCAATAAAAAAGACTACTTCATGGATTTGCCTAAGTGTGTGTGTGTGTGTGTGTGTGTATGTGTGTGTTTGTGTACACTTCCCAAAAGAGGAGGAAAGTTCTTGTGAAACCCCTTCTGTCTCAGCAAGGAGACACACCCCTTCTCCTGAGTGTTGCGTGTAAATAAGGAGCAACTGGAACAAACACCCCACGCAGCACTGGCATGGGAGGCAGCGCACTGGGAGGCCACACAGGAGGAGCAGCAGCAGCAGATATAGTCAACACCAAAGCACAGTTGGTGTCCATGTGCCGACTGCTGGGCTCCAAATAAAGCAGAGGGCAGCACATGATAGCTCAAGGTGCATGCCTTTAAAACGTGAAAGCACTGACATGCATGCAAACATGATGCTGTGTGGTGGGGACACTCTGAAGACACATTCAATTACTAACCCTAACCAAGAGTCTCTCAACCGAATAACTTCTGCCTTAATATTATAAAAAGGATTTTTCACTGAGAAAAGAGATCTGCAGACAGCTGTAAGGAATCACTGTTTACATAATCCTGCTAAAATCATCTTAAATCTAAATGACAATAGCTTAAGAACCTCCATTCACTTGGCAGGAAAAGCTCAAACTTAAGCGATAGAGTCATCAAAACATTTATATGTTAATGACGCCATTGCTTGAAGTTCCATAAACAACTTCATGACAAAATGCACAGAAAGACCTTTTAATTTTCAATTGTGATGACATTAAAAAAAAAAGCTGTTCCACTTGCTGCCCCAACAAGTCTGTAGAAAACTTCCTACTCCTCAGAATTCATCTTTTGTAGAAGTTTTCTGTTTTACTCTGTTTTTGACAATGCTATGGTTACGCAGTGCATTCACCATCAATGCAGTTATTTAGACTTTTTGCAGCACTTTGTCATTTGCAGTGCATGTCCACTGTTGCATTAGTGCTTAACTTTTGCATGGGTTTTTAAATTGGCATTGTTTGAGAATTTGCAGCACAAAACCAAATGAATAATGAAGTGTTCATGGCACAATATTTGTCATGACACCTTGTTCGATCAGCAGCTCTCTCTCTCACAAGGATCTTTGACAGACAAGTTGTACAGAAAGCACGGCAGATTTTTTGTCCGGTCCAGTTCTGGAGGAATTTCTTTCTCTTCCCTCTGGACAAGAACAAGAATAAATAGGTATAAATGTATGCATTTTATTTGTTCCATGTGCAATCAATGCACTGAACTTGCACAGTTCTTGCGTGTATCGCTTCATCATTTGAGCAAAGACTGTGATCAGTCAAACCGAAATTCCCAAATGATAAAGATGTCTCCTCTAATAAAGATGCGCCCCTTGCAGTAACTTTTAAACATTTTTACTTCTTTTAACTCTTAAATGATGACGATTAATATTACCTTTACACCAGCTGTTGGTTGTTTGTCACTATAATGCCCAATGTTACTGCATATCATGTGTTGAACTGTTTTGTACCACCAACTGCAAATCAAATTAACCTCTGAGCTCCAAACTCAGCTCAATAGAGGAGTAATGGTGGGACCAAGTCATCTCACTGCTGTGACAGCATCAGAGGCAGAAATAGAGGCAATACAAGGACCAGACAAGATCACTGTGAGGCAACAGAGCAGCAGGGCAGAACTAAATGGTGTGTTTACCTCTGCTTCTCAACACAGTGTGAAATCATATTGGTATTACGTCATTCTAGGATCAATAGAAAAATCAAAGGTGTGATAGCAGCTGAGTTACAGCACTGCTGCAGACTAACAGATAAGAAAGTTAAGAAGATACCACAGTAACTCTGTGTATATCCACTATTGCCACCACCACAGTTCAACATGTAGTGCAATCACAAGGCCTGCTGTGATTCTCCACGGCAGGAAGCTTCTGTATGTTTCACATAAGAACACATTGACACTTACTCTTTGGATACCATCACATCAAGCTTACTGACACCTTTCAGAAACCTGTTTCCCTGAAGAAAGGGGCTTATCTCTCCTTCAGTCCAACTGTAATCCTTCATAGCAGCAGAATTCACCAACTGATGTAAACTCTAAGTTTTTACTTTCAACTTAGACTTCACTTCACACTGACTGATCCAAGGATAAGGAAAAAGAGTATTTATTTATGGCTTAATGGCTTTTAACAGAATGGTAACCCAGTGAAGTAAACAACCCCATCATACTTCCATTATTTATACTCCTTTATGACCATCACTTCCTCTTTTCAATATCTCTTTCTTAATCCTCCTCAAATGTATTTAGCAACTGCAGTGACATGGTACTTTCAACTTCCTATAAGCTTTACGAATGGCATGCTTGGTGATGTAAAAAAGCAAAATATGGCACTAAAAAAACCCTAACTACCTCCATCTAACCTCCACAGTGTCTGGTGGGAAACTTCAGTATCAGCAGAACTCTTTTCTCAAAACATATCAATAAAATGCTATCTCACAATTAAAAGGAAACTGCTGATCAGTGACTCATGATGGTGCTACATGTTACAAAAAGAGCTCAGATGAGCTGGTGGTGGTGGTGTTATCTTGATAAAAAAAAAAAAAAAAAAACACTGATGCAGGTGCAAACGGGGTCATAATCTGAATGTGATCAAAGTTGTCTGACCACATCCTTTCAAAGTCTTTCTTGCTTTGTGTTGAAATCTTTAACAAAAAATTGTAGACATGCAAATAACCAAACCCACATCATTACTGTGCTCTGACCTCAGACCTTTGACCGTGGGATTTTCCCCTGGAAGACCAGATTTGGATCTCTCTGGTGATGCTGTTCTAAAACTGGGTGGGTTCTCTCCTCCTCTGCCCTCTACTTGAATGTTACACAGCCTAACAATCAATCTCCCCTGTTCATGGTGAGGCAGTGATGTTGTGGGTTTATTAAGTCATGGTGGAAATCCGGTTTTGTATCGTCCCAGGGCGATGCATGCGTGTAATGCACTATGATGCAAAACACTGACTGGGTATTGCTTCATGTCAAATGGCTTTGGCTAGTGCCAGCTGCATAGCTCACTTCTTCATCTTCAGGTGAAGATTTTTAAGCCATGGTCCAACTTCTATCTTTAAATAGTTTGAAAATGTTGTTTTGGAAAGCTTTTGTCAGATCTTCATTGAAATTGCTGCACAATTTGAGACAGAAGGTGGGACTTGCTTATTAAATGGAAAATGAGCCCACTGCTTTAGCTGTAAGGGTCACATCTACAGTCATAAAGTCTGACATTGGCTGTCAGGCAGTCCCAGTCTGATACCAACTTGTGCCCTTTTTCTCACGTCACTCCCCACTACCTCCCTCAGTTTCCCGCTTTCCTACTTTTTTTTTCGCAAAGGCTTAAAAGACGGCCAAAATAACTTCAAAACAGTTTACTGGTGAACTTCAGCATTCCTGAACACTGCTCTTACTTCATAAGTTGATAACTGGCTCACACAGTGACAGACTTCTCCAGCTTTGCCTTCAAGAACCAGTTGGTGCAGTAGTGGAAAATCTACTGCTACTAAAACATCCAAAAGTGATGCCTGCGTAACTGAAAAGTCCTGAACATCCATCTTCTTGACATTCTTTAGACTCTTTGTATATGTAACAGTTCATCAATTTCACTTGGTAATGAAATCTTGTACAAACATACAGTGAATAAATTACCTCAAAACAAGCACTCCCTGCTATCAGTATTGATTTCATTATAGTGACTGGAGCTGCAAGAGGAAGGAGGGAAATCGAAGAGCTTAGAAAATAACTATAAAGCAAAAAGCCAATAATGAAATGCTGAGATGATGCATGACTCCTGATGGCCCCTTTTCATTATCATTTGATAATAAGGTCCAGTTTTTATCACAACAGACTTTTATCACAAAGTCTAAAAACACATAAAAAGCTGAAGTAAAAGGACTTATTTGACTTTATTTTCAAACTACTCATAAAATATTAATAAAACGAGGTTCAAGTAAGTTTCCAACAACAAAAGCATGCAGCTACAGCTTATACTACATTAATTTATTAAAAATCCAATCGCTTAATGTTACTGCTTTTTTGTATTTCTCAGTGTTTTGTTTTGTCTATAAAATGATGGCTGAAAGAATTTTAGTTAGCAGATGCTATTGTCCGAAGAGTCATACATTTGAGAGCAACTTCAACACAAGCAAGGATCTTAGTGAGAGGAAACAACATGAGTGTCTAAATCTGATCAGATACAGGTGCTGCCATGCAACGCTGTAAATGCAATACACAAAGTGTAGATAGAAGCAGTTTTTCTGTTTCTCATATTGTTACTATTGTTAATATAATCATCACCACAGCAAATAGACAACAAATCATCACTATGAAACCCCAATATCATGATCAATACCACTGTCATCAAAATCTGTGTCAGACTACCAACTTGTTGTAACCCTGCTTCTGAGCAAGTTTTAGACTTATTTCGTTATGATCAACTCTCATGCACAAGAACAATATGTTTACTTTTTTTCTATAGTTATTTAATACACGACAGTATACAGAGGCGGCTTCTCTCCACGCTGCTTGGCAGCAGGCACACCACACATTGCCTGGATGCTGTGATAATGTGTGGCTGTTATTCAGGATAGTAATACAATTTAATATAATTACACTCAGTCATTGAAGTTAAATAAGTCAGAGGTCAAAACAATTCTGCAAACGGCCTATTTAAGCCATACTACTGAAAGCTATTTGGGGGCCAAGAGAGCCATTCTAAGAGCTGAGAGAAATGATCCGGATTTCTAAAAAGGGCAAGGATCCCCATTATAAATAGAAACATTTAATGAAAGTTTGAAATAAAAGGGCAAATGTGTTTTTTTTTTTCCTTTAAAAAGGACATAATTGTTTCCTGCTCCTCCTGTGGGTTTTCACATTAAGCTGAATGACCAAATTAACTCTATCTTTTTCTGACATCAAACCCAAACAATCATCTTAATTCTTCTCACATGACAAAGCCTCCGTCCTTCATTGTGCCACCTCCAACAGATCCACACACAGGAGCGACATGTTATAAATACTCCACAGATTAAAATGCTTGCTGATAAAAACGGGAACACAATACACTCTAGCATTGTCTACCTGAGAGGAAAGGCAAGGCAAAGGTCATGACAAGCCAATAACTGCACACACACTACTTCAAGTGCAGTGATGCACACCCCTCTTCTTCTTCTTCATGGTAACTTTATCTGTTTGAGAATGAAATTTTATCCATGCATGAGAACTGATTAAACATGTGCCAACGTGTCTTTGTGTCAGAGGGGAGGGAAATCGTGTGTGGAAGGCATTTTTATGACGCTGCAGCTTTGTGCTGGACTAACTTCCAGTCAGACTAGTCTTCTTTTACACTCCTGAGGTGGACTTACTGATGTAAATAACATCCCTGCTTTCTATATTAGGCTACAAGTGTATAGACACTGGTGTTTACCTATACCTTACAGTAGCAAGTAGCAGAAATCAGAGTACCTTCTCGGACAATCATTGCTTAACACATGCAAAACAAATAAATTAATGAAAAAATAACCTGATTTTTTGATATGCTATGATTGCTTTTCTTAGGGTACCTAAAAGTACTAATTTACTCAGATTGTAGTACTTTTAATCGCCCTGAGCAGTACACTCTCAAAGCAACACTCACTGTCACCCTGATAAATTACTCCCTTTATTGCATCTCCTGTGATTTTTTTCTTTCATTACTGAAAACTCAAGCTGCTCATGAAAACTGTTGTGTGTTTTATTTTATATTTTTTCTGTGAAACGACCTGACTGAACCAAAAATGTAACCCTCCTGGTGACAGAAGTGTAAAGCATTAAAGAGTGTCCATTTAAGCAAACTATGTTCAAATAGGAGCCATACACACAGCTTAACAAAAACAGTCTGCGCTCTAACGATCACCAATCAATACACACACTCAGCACACTGTAATTTAGCACGCTGGCCAGGCCAGTGTGCAGGGCAATTATTCCAGCACCTTCTGAACCTCAACCTGTTGCTATAGGAGCCTACTGTTTGTGAGCAACGAGTGCAACAAGCAGTGAAAATAGAGACTTCAGCCATATGATGGTTCAGGATAAAGAACACAATAAGTATGATACCACAGCAACAGGAAAGATGGGGATGGTAAGATTAAATTGCAGGATTTAAAATAAGAAGAGATGTTTTTACCAAAACAGCTGCAAGGGTTATTTGAAATTAGCTCAGAGAGTGAAAACCTCAGGAGACCATATGATTTTAAACACCAGTTTGCTCGGACAACGCTAAAGCAGATGTGTATCTCTGTTGCAGGTATTAAGTTATGGAATTCGCAAAATACTGAGTTGAAGAGTTGTACAACAATGTTTCAGTTTAAGAAAAAGTTTAAAAGAGGGAAAATCAAAAATTATGAATTGGATGAAGTGGATGACTGATGATGTGTCAGTTTGTTTGTTTTTTTTTGTTTTTTTTGTTATTGTTTTTTTGTTTGGTTTTTTTCTTTTGTTTGTTTGTTTGTGGTATTTTTTGGACCTTAACTACATAATATTTTGATCAATTGCTGGCTGGTTGACATAGATAAATGTGTTGTAGTGAAGGGGCAGTCGTACATAAGACTTGTCTTCTGTCTGCTCCTTTTCATTTCACATGATTACATGAGAAAAAAAAAATACAATAAAAAAAAAAAAAGGATGAGTGCAATGTATTATATCATGTATCATGAATGAAATGAAATAAATAAACATGAAATGAAATGAAATGAAATTGAAGCTTCTACAAGCCTACCTCTACTGTTACTGTCCTTTTATGCTCACCATTGTTCAGATTAGATTCTCTCTACTTTTCCAAAAGAGGTACACCAAGTGTCAAAAACTAGTTTCATCACATCCCAGCTGAATAGAAAGGAAAACAAACAGTTGACTCTGCTTGGATTTGTCTTGGAAGGAGAAACTTGCTGTTTCAGGAGAGTGAAAGGAACATTTAAACAGATGAAGTTGCAGACTTGTGTAGAATGCATTAACGAATTACTTTTAACTTAGTTAAGAGTGCAATATTATTCATAGGCATTTTAAATGACTGTATAGTCACCTGGATTCCTTGTTTAATGGGCTTGTTTTTGTTAACCTAAAATGAGTCTTTTGCGTTTACATAAGGAGAAGGTCCTTTTCTACCGAGGTGGCCATCTTGCACTACTATGCTTCTACAGTATCACGGAAAGGACAAACTTGTAAAACATTTCTGTATTCAGTGAATGACCCGGCAAAACAACCAGTTAAAAGCTGAAGACTTAGAGAGTGGTTGTTACACTCAAAATAATTTGTATTGGTGAACATAATGATTAAAAAAAAAAAAAAAACTTAACAGGTTGAGGATCATGCTAAGTTTTACAGTAACTTTTTGTCCTTGAGGGCCACCGTCACTTAACTTTCAGGGGTGGGGGTGAGCAAGGGAACATTTCAGTCTAGAATCTGTGAACAAGATATTGCTAAATAACCCCATTTCTATCCACAACAACTCTTATCACAGATGTGTTACTTTTTTACTGTGATGGCCAAACTCTGCACCAACTTTTTAAGGTAACATTGAGCATAAATGCACAAACATGCTCAACGAATTGCACCAATTTACCATTACTGCTTGTTCTAAAAATATTGGACGACAACTACTTACAGAATATCATGCAGGTGTTTAGTTCTTGTGTGTCAATTTTCAGGTCCTTTCACACCGGGACCATTTTTTTCGTGCTATTATTTCAGACCTCAATAATTTTTTTATTCTGTCAATACAAGAATTCACATCAGTGACGTTTTCGCGTCCTGCGATATTGCTGCATTTATTTTTTCGGACCACAGTCGATTTTTCCAAAGTTTCGCATACTGTGTGTCCACTTCTGACCAATCAGATTGCGTATTATTGCAATGTCTGATTCACCGGTATATCCAACATGGCCGACCGGCTGATTGTTTACGTGTTGGAGAACAGAGTGCTTTTTGATAAAAGACACAAACATTACAAAGATAACGACCTGAAGGACAACTTGTGGAGAGTCATAGCATCGGATCCCTCATCTGACGATGGTTTGTGTACTTTAACAGTTTGCTAAACGTCTTTGTTTTAACTTTCATCTGTGCTAAGTAACTTGAGCTCGTAAGCTAACCTGTTCAGATACAACATACCAAATGTATTTTTACTGTCTCAAACTCAACTGCATTGCTGTCACAGCACCATTAGGTCTCGGTTGTTACCTTACGTTTATGGATTATAGTTTAATGTGCTTATCTGGTACTGGCCCTGACTCAATACATGCTTTCATGACAGACAGCCATCTCAACTCTAGTGTCCAATCAGAACTAAAAAACAGTAAGTCTGGCGTTGTGTCAGTCTTCTCGCTTCTACCCGGGATGCGTCTTTTTCCCCCTGTAAAGTCGCAAAATTGCATCGGGCTTTTCGGGAAATTCGTAATTTCGCGTTCTATATTCACGTCGGCCCCGGTGTGTAAGGACCTTTAGAGAGTGGTTGTTATACTCAAAATAATTTGTATTGGTGGACATTTATAATGATTGAAAAAAAAAGTACTGAAAAAAACTGCGTGGTATTGCATCTACATATATGCAATTTTGACAACTAGACAATGTGCGGGAGTTTGCTCGCAACTTCTAACAGACTGATTCCTGCCTTTCACACCTGCCTCACAATAGACATGCAACATTTACACGCAGTGAAAGCTACTGACAGTCTGCTGCAACACAGTTCAGTCAGTTGAGTTTAACATAAAAAGCCTTTGACATGTCAAGCCAATCAAAACTCAGGATTTTAGAGTGGCACCTGGGGTAACTAATCAGATTTTGATGGGGGCCATGCCACCTTTGGCCACCCATCAAGACAAGGCCATGCTATCCATGTGTTTTGCAAAGCTGTAGCACAAATTGAAATTATGCTGTGATATCCAAAAACAGCAGAAAATTCTAGAGCATCCTTCATGATCTAAAGTAAAATTCGTATGTTCCTAGTTTGCTCTTAAGTCACAGGTGATATTTTTAATATGTATGTGAATCGTGTCCCAGTGTTTTGTTTCTCGTGTTAACAGTAAGTTAAAGTTTGCAGTTTCATTTTTGGGGTAACGTTGTGACGCCCCGGCTTCATTACATAACTATGAGAGCAGACAGTCCAAGGGAAACGCGCTGGTTAATCCTCAGACAGAAGAGATAACAAGTCCCGGAGTTTGTAACGGGCAGCTGCTGTCTTACCGTATTTGTTTGGCTCTCTGTTGTACTTGAGGATAGGCACCACAACGTTTGGATCATGAGCCTCGAACACTGAGTCCTCCCCCGTCTCTTTTCCCTCCACCGTGCCAGCGCTGCTGCTGCTGCCGCCGCCGGGGTCCGTTGCCGGGTCAGCCACAACAGCGTCTGAGTGCTCCCCTTCCCCGGCGACCCCGACTCCTCCGTCAACCGGGACCACCACGAATCTTTCCCCCATGCCCCCTGCTTCTTTTGTTTCTTTCTAGTTGCACTAAGAAAGAAGAGTAAAACACAGCGATCAGCTAACCCCTGCGGTCCACACTCGGTGAGAGCGAACACGCAGGACAGCGTACGACAAGCAGGAGGACACACGCTCACGGGCTGATCAGAGGATTGATTACAGTAAGTTAGGACCCGCCTCCAACCTTCGCTTATTGGCTGAAAGCACCAAAGAGCGATGTCAATCATTCTTGGAGGCAAGTCTAAGTGGTAGAGGTTTGTTAATTGCAGAGGGAGCGGATTCATAAATTAGCTTCAATTTATGCCACTTATAATTAGTGTCACTCGTCATTAATCACAATTTTAATCTGATGAACAAAAATCTAACATACTGTTTTACAATATTAATATTTTACTGTATCAAGACACTCACAAAACATCATGCAAGGACTGCAACTAACTTTACCATGACAACTGACAAATCTGCTCATTAACTCTTATATCTCTAAACTTTAAATAACATTCCTAAAAGTGAGAATTGATTAATTGAAGTTTGCTCACTTGGCTTGACTAACAATCTAAAAACCAAATACTATTTGTTGATGTTAAAAAAAAAAGAAGAAAAGCAGCTTTTTCTCACATTTGAATTTCTATTTGTTACCAATATCAAAGCCATTTGCAGCTTTCTTTATTTTTATTTGATAATCAAAAAATAGTCGTTTATTCATTATCTGATTAAGGACTGAACAAAAGGTCATTTGGAAAAGAAAAAAAGTGGAAAAACATGCTTCTAAGTCTGTACGTATATATAATACTTCATCTTAACCCTCCTCCTGTGTTAGGGTCTGCACCAACCTGTTTTGAACCACATAAATTCACTTTTTCTTATCAAGATTTTTTGACTTTATCAGGAACCTCTATTTGAACAAAATAGAAATAAAACTAATTAAATAACTAACTAAATGAATAATATAAAATGCTCTTATTTAAATTATGACACTTTGCGTTATGGTTGCTGTTGACCCGGTTAGATTAATATCTAATAATTAGAGCAAAAACTAAAATCATATGTGCACAGCCAGGCACCACACTGACTGTCAGATCCTCTTCCAATCATCTGAAATTTAGGAAATTCTCGTTTTGCCATGTTTTTCCCTGCACAAAAAAACAACGTCGGGCATGTCCAGACATGTGAAATCAATACTGACCAAGAAACGCCCAGAGGACCACAACAAAATCTATTATAAGCAATATTTTCATGGATAATGAAGCCTAAAGGTGACCTAGAGATGAGAACCAAATTGGATGATAGAGAATTGTTTTTAGTGTAATTTACAGCTGATTTAAAACAAAAAGTGAGTGCATAGTGAAAGCTAACACATGAGGAAGGTTAACATTTGTAAGTCAAGCTTTCTTCTTTTTGGATGTGTCTATACCAAAAATAAAGCAAGACTATCTCATTTTTGTCTTTGCCTTTAAAGTAGAGGTGGGCCAACTGCAGCTAAACAGACTGCTCCTTAAAATAGTCCACGAGAGACCATGTGTGAACCCTGCTGTCACAATGGAGCACATGTACTGGCACGTCAAACTAAACTCATTACAAGCTTCTTTAATGGTCTTAAAATGGTGAGGCAATTAACACGTACTCTTCACATCCTCTGCCATCAATAGCCTGCCGCACAAACACAGTAAATCATTCTATTTTAAAAAGCAGCAATGCTTTAGTCATTTTCCAAACTGTCATAATAACTTTGGTATGTAAAAGCTTGGAATAAATGGTTCATCCACTCGCGGGTGTGGTATGGCTTCCTATGTTTCCGGGCAGTTTTGGTCTACAGTGACAGGTGTTAAAGTCCATGCTAGTCTTAACTGCCAAAACAAATAATCACAGCATAAGCTATCTGTAGCTGTGAAACTATTTCTTCGGACAAAATTTCTGCTTTAATTCAAGTTTGACAGCTCTGTCAGTTTCAGTATAAGACTTACATCAATTCAATGTAATACTTCTTTGTACAAAATCAACCTTTCGGCCAGTATAAAGGGGAATTTTCTGACATGTCAGCATGACAAAGTATGGGAAAAACACCCGGCACATAGGGATTAAATAGGCAGGACACATGTAAAAAAAGTAACAGGTTGTTCCACCAGACACGTGGAACACACCATGACAAAACGCTCCATAAGGCATGGAAATGTCGGGTCAGTAGGTCAGACTGGAGAGCTTTGACGGCTGTGATTCCTATTGGACACACCCCTCCAATGGTATGTTAGTAAAACGCAAACATATTTTTTGCTTGACTTTTTTTACATAGGACAGATGTTTTGGATTCAAAGACTGCTCCTAAAAAGACACTACTGTATAAGTCTTTCAAGTTAATAAATCACTGCATGGATTCTGTTTAGGTGTAAGACACTGACACACTCCTGGACCGTACCCATACAGTAAAGCCGAGACTGGACACTGTGGTTATTATTGTCAGGGGCAGGACGAGAGGGGTGACAGGGTCTCGAAAGAATCTGTTGCCCCCAAACCCCACTAGAGTCAGAAGGTGAAGGATACACACAAGTCGGAGCAGGACAAGCAAGCTGACACTGAACTGGTGGCAAAAAAAAATGCAACATCTGCTATATGAGGATAAATTGGAGTTACTCACAGCAAGGTTAGACAAAGATAAGTGCTGCATGAAACCAGCAACGTCAAAGTCTGCATGGCAGGGTAATATGACCAGCTTGAATCAAAGCCCTAAAGTGCCACTAAATTTACACTGTGGAAGAATGCCTTTAAGTTTGCAGTCAAAAACTGTAAATGCATTTTTCAGAACTTTCTTTTAAACAGTATTATTAAAAAAATATTGTTTATTTTTACAGAGATTCCTAAAGTTCGCAGAAGTGCCACATTGCCAGTGAATTTGCACTTTTAAAGAATGTATTAATTAAGAAAAAAAGTTGAATCTTTAGTTTAAAACTGTTGTTATCATGAGATAGTATAGTTGAAAATGTATGTATTTAATCTCTGTGTATATATTTTAGTGTTGACTTGAGGCTGTCCCCAAATGGCACCCCCACCAAGCCTGTATATATGTTAATTTTTTTTAACCTCAATATTTCCCTTTTAATATTTGTTTGACCATTTTTAAATTAATGGACAGAAATCCAAACATCCCTTGTTTTACTGAGCCAATATTATTCCATCTACATTTATTTGATAAAATGTTCACTCAGGGTCAGTAATTTTGCTTTTTATTTGTTAGTTTTGTTAAATTGTCTTTTGTCAAATGCAAAAACACACTGTGATATCAGCATTACTGCATATACTGTATCAGCAATCTGCTCTCGCAATTTGGGTATCAGCATGAGCCATTGAAAAACTAATTGATTGACCCCTAATGTTTTGTACAGTCTATGGTTCTGGCCCCAGAAATTCCAAATCACATGGTCATGGGTGTAAAGTAAAAGTGAGTGAGAGGCCCTCAAAATGTTAATGCTGGGCAGCCTTTTGCATAGCAACCTCTGCTGTCAATAGTTTGTTGTGATGAAAAAGCTTGAATGTGCAGTGGAACATAAAGCACCTGAAGAAGCGAGTATAATACATACAGATAGGTGCTACATAGTTGTTGTTATTCACCATTTTCAATCCTCTAGTTAATACACTAGACATCCCATAGCAGTTTCTCTAATGAAAGGCTATTTTACATCATGTGAATGTAGACGTTATTAACATTTTAGATGGAGACTGCACAGCAGCAATCATTAACAACAAGACCCTATTAGCAGTCATTCATGTTTAATCAGCCTCCACAACTCAATTATGGTATTGGATGTTTTCTTCCTGGAAAAGGTCACCTGGTATGACGTGACAAACCCCAGAGGACTGTCTGAAGACACACTTAGCATAAGCAGTAAGGTGCCTTTGTCTCTAAAAAATCTCTTTATAATCCTGTAAACACTCAAACATGCATTGGAAGTTTCTTATTATAACATGAAGATAGACAAAAGGTTTTTGGTTCATGAGTGTCACAGCTGAGCTAATAAACAGGCCTACCTGGAAGAGACTCAGAACCCCTCACCCAAACAGACTAACCTGTAAAAAACACAACACCCAAACTGTCCCAACCATCACACAGCCTGCACCTTAACTGATTCCTAAATGTTGTGTACATGCTTAGTCTAATAGACTTTGGCTTCAGCCATTTCCTATTTATGCATCTCAGCTTGCACCCAAACCATATCACATAGTCTGCCATTCATTTAACAGGTATCCAGAACTCTTCAGGGGAGAATTCTTTGGATGGTCTCCAGGAGACCACTCAGACAGTGACTGCATAAGGGGTGTTACGTGGACCTTAAAAATAGACAGCTGGCAGGACAGTCGGATGACGGAGGGGTGGGGGGGTAGATGGCAGGGAGTGGTGTGGCTGAGGGTGACCATGTTAAGGTCAGCGCAATTCAGCTCATGAATTTAATTACAGAAAAAAATAACCTTGAGTGCTTAACTAAAGAAAAATTGGCCATTGCAAAGTGAGACAGTCTATTTGTGTTAAATGTGTTTCCGGGGGTAGCTTTTCTTATCTTTGCAGCCTGAGTGTATAAATGTACTAAAGCTGGATGATGCACACTCAGGCTCTGATGGTAAAATACAACACTGACAAATAACATGTAATCTTTCATGTCCCTGTTGTTTTACTCATCCAGGGCTAAACTTATCACCTCTGTTCAGAATGACTCACAGACCGGACAAAATGAAACTCAGATTACTTTCTATAAGCTGGCTGAGAACAGATGCGGCCTTTACAGCTTCAAGTGTCATGATGACAAATATCAGTCTGCGTGTCTGCACTATCCTTATCTTGCTTTCAGGAAAATTGATCCCAGAGATCCATTCTGCAAAGAAAAGGAGGCTGTTTTTTGTCATCATGCCTGACATTTATTTTGGGGGTTTTCTTGAAGCACTGCAACATAAAAGGAGTTTGAAATGCTTAAATAAAAGCATCCCTACGTTTGTGATTGTAAGAGTTCATTTACAG